TTTTCAAAAAGTTTTTACATGAGCCCTTCCCTGTAGAATCAAGTCTTCATAAGTTTTTGGATGACCATATTAATGCTGAAATTGTAGGTGGAACGATCAAGACAAAACAAGACGCTATGGATTATTTAACATGGACCTACTTTTATCGACGTTTGCAACAGAATCCTACTTATTACGGCTTGGATGATATGACACAAAAGGGAATTGATGTATTTTTGTCAGATATGATTAATGATGTAGCACAACGCTTAGAGGAGGCTGGATGTATAGAGATTATAGATGATTTTGAATTGATACCTCTTATATCAGCACATATTGCGTCCTATTACTATCTTCACCCAAAGACAGTGCATCATTTCCGACGCAGCATTCATCGAGATTCAGCAATTGATGATGTCTTGGATGTTTTAGGAAATGTGCCCGAGTACGAAGAGTTACCAGCACGATGTCAGGAAGACGTATTGAATGCGGAAATTGAAAAGTTCATCCCTTATGAGGTCAAAGGTACTCCAAACTTTATTAGTCCACATGTAAAGGCGTATGTACTAGTACAGGCTCATGTGAGTCGTCTTGAACTTCCAAGTTCAGATTATATTACGGATCAAATTACCGTTTTGGATTCAGCGATTCGATTTTGCCAAGCAATGATTGATGTTGCAGCAGATAACGGATACCTAAAGACATCTTTGACAATAATGCAGTTACTACAGTGTGTAAAACAAGCACGATGGCCGAATGAATCACCCATTTTGACACTGCCTTATATCGAAAAACAAATGCTTTCTCAAATTCGACATAAAGTAAAAAAAAAAAAAAAAGAAATAATAATAATTGATATCTATTTATTAAAAACAACTTTATATTTTAGGGCAAACCTGTGAAGAGTTTGACTGAATTGATCAAACTATCTCATACACAAATTTTTTCAAATATAAAAGACCTTGATGAAGAAAAGAGAGAAGAGGTAGTAGATTTTAAATATAGTCATGTATATTACAAATATTAAAAGGTACATATATGTATGTTTATTATTGTTATTGTTGTAAAAATAGATTCGACAAGTATTGAATCGAATGCCACTTATTCATCTTAAAGCAGAAATCGAGTCCAAAAAGCCCTATTTGATCCCCGAATCTACTTACAAAATCTCGATTCAACTAAATCGAATCACAAAAAAGCATTATCAACATAATGGTCGTGTTCATGCCCCATTTTTCCCAAAGCCCCAATATGAGTCTTGGTGGATTGTCTTGGGCGACACAGCAAACGATGAACTATTAGCCCTAAAACGAGTAAGCATGCGAAATGGTCCAAATGAAACGTTAGTAAATAGAACCCATACAAGTGTAACATTTGAAACACCTGCACATTTTGGCAAACATCAATACACACTTTATTTGATCTCTGATGGTTATCTTGGTTTAGATCAACAAATTGAAATACCTTTTGAAACGAGAATGGATTAAATTCATATAAATTTTTTTTTTATTCTAGAATAAATTTTTTTTCTTTTGGGGGGAAAGCATATGTAACATATAAGATAACATACAATATGATGTATACAACATATAAGGACTTAAATAATGGAAAAAAATGTGATTTCGTTTTTTTGTTTTGTTTTGTTTTTGAAATGGAAAGGAGTGTAATCAAAAGGGGATTTTTTTTTTTTTTTTTTTTTTTTTTTTTTTTTTTTTTTATAATTTACAAAATTATACAGTGCAATTTAGATGGCACCATCTTTACCCGCAATGTATTCTATCAGGTCCACAACTCTAGTTGAGTAACCATACTCATTGTCGTACCAACTATGGAAAAAAAAAAAGAAAAATTAGTACACAACACAAGCATTTTCTTTGTTTAAAAAAAAATAGTACATACCTGATAAGTTTAACAAACGTCGGGGAAAGTTGGATGCCTGCCTTTGCATCAAAAATGGAGGATTCCTTGGAGCCGACGAAATCTGTACTCACAACTTCATCTGTGGTATAGCCAAGGATTCCCTTTAGATCACCTTCAGATGCTCTTTTAATAGCGGCTTTGATTTCATCATAACTTGTTGGCTATAAATATAGAAAAAAAAAATTAATTAAATAAATAAATAACGCAATTTTTTTTTTCCTTAAAAAAAAAAAATAACATGTTATATATTCTTATTACCTTTTCAAGTCGTACGGTCAAGTCCACAACGGACACATCCGGAGTTGGCACACGAAAAGCCATTCCAGTTAACTTGCCATTGAGTTCAGGAATCACCTTACCAACCGCCTTAGCAGCACCAGTGGAAGATGGGATGATATTAGCACTTGCACCACGTCCACCTCGCCAATCTTTATGAGATGGACCATCTACTGTCTTTTGAGTCGCTGTTGTAGCATGCACCGTCGTCATCAGACCCTCCAAGATACCAAAGTTATCATGGATCACTTTAGCAAGTGGGGCTAAACAATTTGTAGTACATGAGGCATTTGAGATGACCTTTAAATCGGACGTGTAAGAGTCAAGGTTGACGCCGCAGACGAACATAGGGGCATCAGCCGAAGGAGCAGAGATGATCACTTTGCGAGCGCCTCCCTTAAGATGAGCAGAGGCAGATTCAGTAGTCGTAAAGACACCAGTGGACTCGACAACATAATGAGCACCTGCTTTACCCCAAGGGATTTGAGTAGGATCACGCTCAGAGAATACAGAGATGGGGTTACCATTTACGACAAGTTTGCCGTCCTTAGCTTCGACCGTTCCCTTAAAGCGGCCATGAGTAGAATCATATTTGAACATGTAGACCTATAACAAAAAAAGATGTTAGATAAGTGATAAGGGGAAAACAAATATATCAATATAATCTTTTATTTTTACCATGTATTCGAGATCAATAAAAGGGTCGTTGATAGCAACAACGTTTACTTTGGGGTTTTCAAGTGAGGCACGTAAGACAATACGACCAATACGACCGAAACCATTAATACCAGTGTTAATTGAGGAAGACATATTTGTTATAATAATTTAAAATAAGTTATTTTTTTGTAAAATTCGTTAAAAGAGTTCGTTAAAAGAAGTTCGTTAAAAGAGTTCGTTAAAAGAAATTCGTTAAAAAAAAAAGTTCGTTAAGAAAAAAAAAAGTTCGCTTGGTAAAGTTGCTTTTAAAAGAAAAAGAAAAAAAAAAGAGTATTTGTATAAAGAACAGACAGAATTGAAAATAATAATCCCTTTTTATATCTTTTTTTTTTATTATTTTTATTTTTTTTTATTCTATTTTTTCTTGTTTTATTTTGATGAGTACGTTGTAATACTTTACAAATGTGAGTTATACACGAAAACATTTTCTAAATATATCTTTCAAATACCTTTTGCAACACTAGCCCCTCGCTCTATTGAAAATTAATATAAAAGTCATGCGTTATTATGATCATCATCCTTTTTATTATATTTGAAACGCCAAAAATTAAAAAAAACAATGTAGTCCTCTTTTTCTTTATTATATGTACATAGTGGTTACATTTATAATAAATACGTTTCAACGAAACACTGGTGGCCGGTTTATCTTATTTCGCTGTAACCGTAATACTAACCAATCTATAGCGTCTTCAACCCCATTTCTAATAAATAAAAAACGTGTGGTTTTTTTTTTTTGAAGTAAGTATTTGCACGATATTATTTAAATCATATTTTACCCTTCTAAAGCACTGACAGGCAATACTCTCGAATCACGCGCTCCTAACTTGATTGCAATCTTATTAAACACCTCCTTTATTTCCTCTACCTTTAAAGCTCGAGGAATATCTTGTTTATTAGCAAGCATCAATATAGGTACTCCTTCTACTGCATCATTTGTAATCATTTTCTCTAAAAATATGTATATACATGTATACATATCAGAGTTAATTTCAATGTTGCATAATTTTTCTTTTTCTTTTTCTTTTTCTTTTTCTTTTTCTTTTTCTTTTTTTTTCTTTTTTTACCAAAGGTATCTCGACATTCATCTAAACGGACAGGATCTGTTGAATCGACAACAAAGACAATTGCATGACATTCTGAATAATATCTTTCCCAAATGGATTGTAAATCTTTTTGTCCTCCTAAATCCCAAAAATTAATTCGTGTTGACTTGATGTTCACTCTGCCAACTAAAATAATAGATATAAGTATTTTATTGTTAATTATTACATCTATTATCTCATTAGTATTACTATTTAATCCTACTGTAGGTGCAATTTTATCTGGATCTAAGCCTGTTATTCCCATATAAATGGACTTTATACGTTCCAACAATGTCTAGTACAAAAATTAAAAATGTTAGACTTTGAAAATGCGAAAGGTTTTATGACACACTTTACTGTTTTTCCTGCATTGTCAAGGCCAATAATGAGAACATAATATTCTTCTTTTCTTGTGAGATGTTGATAAAACCCACTTAGCAAATTATACATTGTTAAAAAAAAAAAAAAAAAGAATGATGAATGCAGCTCTTGTACATGCACTCATTCTCTTTTTATTGTATACTTTACATTATTATCCAATTAAAACTCAGTCTGATAAATAGTAGAAAAAAAAAAAAAAAAAAAAAGGAAAAATCCGCTTCATGTTGGTTCTTTTATTTTTATTTATAAACAGTTAGCATAAATAGCAATGAGTGAAATGGAGATAGTTGAAGAATCAATTTCCAACATTGTTTCTAATATCCCAAGTAGTTCGGGATTATCTATATCAGTGTAATAATCATTGTTTGAAAAAAAAAAGAGATGTATAGCAAAAAAAAAGTAATAATCTTAATAGTCATCCGTTAGTTTTATTAAACATTTCTGATCACTATACGCGTACAAAACTACAAAATCCTACAGCAATAGAGAATGGTTGGCAAAATAATATTTAAAAAATAGCTACTCATTTGACTAAATTAAGTACATATATACATGTATATGTGTGTATATTTATTTATTTAGGACGAATGTATGGTGCTTTATTAGCTGCACAAACAGGCCGCGATGTAGATATTATCAACACCTTTGAACTTCCTTTATCATTTAATGAAAGCACTGTATTAGATAAATCATTTTTAATGTATAAGCTAGAACAATGTAATGCATACTTTGATACATAACACATAAGACAACAATTAATTGAATTTTATTATTGAAATAATAGTAAAGCAAGTATTTCCACAATTGGATTTCATGGGCTGGTACTCTATAGGATCAATGCCTTCTGAAGTAGATCTTCAACTTCATGAACAGGTAAGTAAATCAATATATGATAAGCTCTTTTTCTTTTTACTTTCAATACTCAATTTTTTTTTTTTTTTTTTTTTTTTTTTTTTTTTTTTTTTTTTTTTTTTTACTATCGTTTAGTTTCTTGAAATAAATGAATCTGCCTTATTTCTACAAATGAATCCAAATATGTCCACACAAGATTTTCCAATCGAAGTTTATGAATCAATTATTGATATCACAAAGAATCGTCCCCTATTTATTAAGTCAACATACAAAATAGAAACAGGAGAAGCTGAATGTATTGCAGTAGATCAGATATCTAAGCCTAGTAGTACATCCACATCAGATACAACAAGTCTTGGAAATACATGTAAGTACCCTCCCCTTCCCCCCTTTTTTCGTATGCATTTTATTTATATTATCTATTCAAGTGATTGCTCATTTGACTACACAAAGAAATGCGATTGCTATGCTAAACTCAAGGATTCAATTTCTTTATCAATATTTACAAAATATAAAGTCAGGCGCCATTCCAGTCGATCATGATATTCTTCGACAAATATCAAGTCTTTGTAAACGTTCTACTGTATTGGAAAAAAAGGCTTTTGATGAACAATTCACAACGGTAAGGATATATACATATTACTATTTGATATGTATCTATTTACGATTATTTTATTTTATTGCTCTACAGGAATACAATGATGTTTTGTTGGTTGCTTATTTAGCTTCCATTACAAAGGGATTAAATACTGTGAACGATCTTATAGATAAGTTTAATTTAGTGAATGGAAATCATAATCTGGCTGCTGGTCCTTCTTTAAATAAACCAATTTCTGTTGGTAAAAAGGGAAGAGTAAGTAAGTCTATTTTATGCTTTATAAAAATTTATAAAATTAATAGTTTTATTTTATTTTATTTTTCATTTCTTATTTTTTACTTTTATTTATTAATAGCGAATTCATATGTCGAGAGATTAACGAATAAATAAGCTTTATGTAATTTATTTACTACTGTTACATATGACAGAAACTGTGAAAGGAGGAGAAGGAGGAGGGGGTATTAAAGAGGAGTACATGTGAGATTATAATGGAAAAAAAATTCTAAAATAACCTAAGATGGTGGTTATTATGTTATGTGTACTTGAATATTGGATGAGGGGTTATCAAAAAAATTCGAAAATGAGTGTAGCGAGAAATAATGAATTAAAACTCGCGAATAGAAAAGCATGGAGTTGAAGAAATGAGTAAAACGGACATGACCTTTCTTGAGAACTATGTTTTTTATAGACGAATTAGGATTGGATATTACCATGAGACCATCTGGAGGTTGGTTAAAAAGGGGGTGCTCCAGCTATAGTCATTACTCTTTCTACCAGAGCAATATCACATACTATTTTGAGAGTAATTAGCGCTAATTTTGTCATAGCAATGGAGCTCAGGAACCTTTCTTTCCCCTCCCCCTCTCCCTAGGCATCTCAAAGAATAAAGAAAAGCTCCCGTCAATTCAAACAAGTGTGTCCCCAAAAAGGAACTGTCATTAGACATTATTTGCAATTTATCCATATAAACCTTGATTAAAATGGAGTTATTTGAAGAAATGAAAGGATTTTATTTAATAATGAATTATGCATGCACCCATTTATACAGCCGAAGATATAAGTGAAATAATCACAGAGAGAGAGAGAGAATATAGATGCACTTGTCTTCCTTCCTACTCCTCAGAACTCAACCCAATTGAAACTTTTTTTGGTCTGTAGTCAAGCAAAGCACCAGTGATGTAATTACAAGAATAACGGAGGCTTGCAATTCTGTTCTACTTAACCATCTCAGAGCGTTTGTTCAACACTCTAGATTAAACTCATTGAGTATTCCTTATTTATCTAGCACTAATATTAGTTACGTGAAGTTTGCTTGGAGCATTCTAATTCTTCCAAATATATGCCGATGAAAATGAAAAAGCACTGCATAATTGTTTCAAGATTTATAATTTGAAAGAATTTGTTCTTATTATCTTTCATAATACTAACTCATACTCTGGTAGTATCTTTTTTTTTTTTTTTTTTTTTTTTTTTTTTTCAAAGTGAGTGATGGAAATAAAAATTAAGAAGTTATATAACTATTTGAAACAGTTACACGCATAAAGATATAATTTATAGTTAAAGTAGCTTATTGTATTTTGCGCATTTCTTCCCTAAAGAACAGATAAAATTCTGGTCATAAAAATGTCTAAGAAAATAACAAAAGGTCAAGCTTTCCTGTTTAGTTCTAGATATGATACCTACTAAAGGAAATAAAAAGTCAGCAAAATGGAAGATGGAGTCTATTGACCTAATATCGACTTATACTAATGAGACAGGTGCAGTTAACCCATTGACAATCGTAGCTACTTTGCAACAAAAGAACGCTTTCAAATAACATGACATATGGTGATACTCCCCCTTCATCTAGTCCTTGTGAAAGCAGTATCAAAAGATGTATACAGTGACTCACAAAAATGTGGCAATAGTTTGGAATTTTAGATAATGTATGCATATCCACAATAAGTGATTATCTATTCATTAAACAAAGTGCTATATAGTGTATACTAGCAGAAAGACGAAAGCCTTCTCTTTCTAATGATACTTGTAGCATATATGCATTATATGGCGTTTTTATTTCAAAAAAAAAAAATAATAATATTAAAAGTTACATATCTATACATTTTATGCAAATATTTTTTTTTAACCCTTATTCCCAAAAGGAGTTTCTTAGTATCTTTCATCATTGATAATCTCATTTGGACAATTTTGATATAATTAATATTTTGTGCCCAACCTTAGGGGAAGTTTTTTATTTTATTTTATTTTTTTTTTTTAAAAAAAATTTAAATTATTGTTTAAATGTGTATAAAATTGATGAAAAAAAAAAAAGAATAAAAATAAATAAAAGAAATATGCTATATAAAAGAAGAATAAAAATAAAATAAATAATTAGCCTATTAAGGCACTAGAAAGTGAAAAAATCATAACAGTAAGTCCCCAGACAATAAGCAAACCAGCTGCTATATCTAGCCACCAACTAGGTTTTAGGGCCTTATCAACATCACCCATACTAATAGGAGTGTCATCTAATATGCCATCTACAGTAGAGACATCATCATCAAAAAGACGAGAAGAGGAAGCAATTGAATTCGTTTCTTCCCAAAGACTTGATTTTACATCAGTTTCATCATTGAATAAAGTGGATGTCCCCGTTAAAGTAGGATAGATGATAATATTATTAGGTGAAGAGGAAGATGACACTGTTTTTATATGATGATGATGATCATAGTAATCTTTACGAGTCACAAGATAGGAAGCAGCAGGTAAGATGTAGGCCAAGGTGGTTGCCGAGAATCCGCCAACAACTGAATAGACTGTACCCAATGATTTTACAGCCACAGCTAAGCTTAAAATTACAAAAAATAAAACAAAGGTTACTGTATAATGCTGTACATTGGTTGGTTGTTTTGTAGCAGTTTCAAACCCTAATGATTTTTGAATAGCCTCACGTGTAGGAAAGATACCCATTCTAGATACCAAAAAAAAAAAAAAATCATGAGATATACATACACATATATAAATGAATATATTATATATCATAATGAAATGAATTTTACGGAATGGTTAGTATCATGCTGATACCTAATGCAAATCGACCCATATTAATAATTGGGTCATCACTTTCAAAATTCATAAAAAGATTTGATTGGACTTTTGAACCAAAGCACAAATAGCCAACAATGGCAAATGTCATTGATATGACCCAACTGATAGAGGTTGATAATGTGGTTGTATGTCTCCAACCATTGGCTGATTGATCTCGGAGTGTCAGAAAATTATTAAAGGCTACTTGATGGCAAGTAAAGGCAAAGGCCATTATACCAAGAGCACCAAAGACATCAGCTCCTACCCATTCAAGTGGGATACTTTCTTTAGGGGCATATGCAGGAGCTCTGATCAAGATAGTGAGGAGAATGATAGGTAAACAGGCAACAGAAATAATTGACCAACGAGCTAATGATCCAATAGACCTTGCCATATTTAAAGGCAAAATCTATAGGCAGAAAAATAAAATAAAATAAAAAATAAATATTTTATACAACATATAAAAAAATTAAAGCTATAATATATTACACAGGCTATGCCAATAAAGATTAGAACAAATGTACGATCACCTAAAATGGGGTATTGAGGAAAGTAACGTTGAAATAGCATCGGAAGACTATCGCCAAGAACTATATACATGTTTAGTAATAAAGAATGATTAGATCATTCAAATGAACTAAAAAAAAAAAAAAAAAAAAAAAATGGATACAGACTACATGATATTTACGAATAAAATAACTAACTGCTCCACCACCTGCTTGGACGCAAATCATGAAATTTAAGAAATAATAACCAGGTCTCCCTAATAAATATTCAACTAACAAAGCATATTTATAGATGCCTACTCGCTGACCTGACACGATTAACATGTAAAGGCCAACTTGGGCAAGGACAGCAACGATAATAGAAGCTATTATGCCCATAAAAAAACCAGCATGAGCTATAGCAAAGGGAAGGCCGATAATGCCTGCACCAACAGTTGCATTCACTAAATTGAAAGCTACTTCAATCTTTGTTCGTGAACCATATCCAGGTCGATCAGATTGTAATAAATCCTGTTCAGCTTTTGTTAAATAGGGTTGTTTTTGTGGTATAGAACCGTAATTAGACATTTACAATAAAAAGAAGAAAAAAGAAAGAAAGAAAAGAAGGACAAAATAATAGATATTTATATATATATTTATATACAAAAAAAGGCCAGCTTCCTATTAAAGCAAAATAAGGAAAAGGTTGCATACTAAGCGAACGCATGATCGTCGTTTTTTAATATATAAAAATAAATATTTCATTATTACATATATAAATGCTATATACAGTAGTATTGAACATGATAAGGTATAAGATAGATAAGTAATATACATATAAGGAGAGAGTAAGAAGGTATAAAGTCAAATTAACAATTTGATGGAGTATGATGTTTTATAAAAGATGAATTTATATGATTGGTTTAAAATAAAGGTACAAATTTTCTTATCTCTTTAAAGTTTCCCAAACAGTTGCTTTATCATTGAACAATAAGGAAATTATTACTTCATCGGCAAAAATTTGCCTCTTACGGAACATGCATTCCGCAATACGCTACACTTGTTGGCTCATCTTCATCTTTAGTTTCCAATGTAATACACATTTTATTTTCCAATTTTATAAGTACATTCTTTCCATCTTCGATGAAAAAAAAAATTATAACGGAAGTTAAATTCCAATAGATGAGGTAGATTTCCTTATTCAATCAGCAGTTTCTTTTTTTCTTTTGGTATTATTTATTATGATATAGCGATAATAAATATATTAAGCAACTTAATAGCAGTATAAATTAACAACGATATTTATGTAACAAACATTTTAGAAGGAGTAGTTTCATACTTTGACAGGCCTATTCTTGACAGTTATCTGCCACTATTGTATCGCAAGAATTTTGAATTTAACGCAAAAATCTATCTTGATTAAATAATACATTACTACTGAAAAAAAAAAAAAAAAAAAAAAAAAAAAAAAAAAAAAAAAAAAAAAAAAAAAAAAAAACTTCATCCCCAAACTGAGTTAATGACAGACAGGTAGTCAGTGTAATAGACGAATGGAAATAAATTTAATACTTCTGAATAGCTCTTTTATTTACAAGTTATGAACTCAAGAGTTATAATATTTGATATTATTTTGCTGAAGAGAGAGAAAGCAATAATTAATGAACTTGTAAAAATAGTAAAAAAAAAAACACATTATGCTCACCAGGTTTTGGGATAAAGTATATTATAACCATGTGAAGGAAAAAGTATCATTCGGTTAAGTTATATACTTTATCCCTGATTTAATACTTGTATATCTAAAAACTTTTTGTATTTTTTTTTCCAAAGACTTTACCAGTACATTAGTGATTTTTACAAGTGTTCCCTTTTCTTTTTAAGGTAATATCTATAAATTCCATCTACGAAAAAAAAAATATTATTATGGAGGATATATTCTTATTCCAATATTCTTTACACTTGGAAAATTTCCCCCTCCCGCCCCCAAAATTGTATATTCAACAAAAAATGAGAATACAGTACATAAAAAAGAAGGCTATCAATTATTAATCAGATATCGAAAATACAATAAGATAGTTAAAGATTATTTCATTACCTTATTATGAAGTTAACTCATGTTTGTATGCTTTTTAAATATCATTATTTAAGATACACTTTTCTAAGCTCTTTATGATGAGAGTAATTGAAAGTACGAATCCAAAGCTTAGCTCCTATCATACAGCATTTATCTATTATAACAGATATATACATATATAAATGCTATATTCTTGCTAATCAAAGGTATTTTTAATATAGCTTGATCCAATTATAGTAAGTACAGTAGTTGCTGTTGTTATATATCTAGATTCAGTATTGTACTTGTAAAATCAGTAATAATAGATATCAAACGCTATTTTAAAGGGTAGTTACATATATATCTGTTGATATACCTATATCTAACTAATATGTATTATAAACATTAGGGCAATATTTTTGAACTATTGTATCAAAAAGATACTCTATCAAAATTTAAAGCTAATATAATAGCTAGAATACTATATATAGACTTGCTACTCACACAGTAATTACCGTTAATATAGCAAATAATACAAACTATACAAATCTAGTCTATGTCATCAATTCATAGACTGTAACGAGACAATTAACACCAACATATCTTAATCAGTCTAGTGACAAAAAAAGACATGTAGAGAAGTATTTAAGATTTGTGTCCCTTTGTTAATCCATCATTTCAATGGACCCTATTCTATGGTTGATTCTATTCCGTCATAGACTATCCAATGGTCAGCAGTTTCTGCCAATTTACATTCATTTGAATACTATTATTATTACAATGATGCAATTTATTTCTTACATGACCAAATTATAGGTATTCGTCTTTACGGTAGTTATTATTTCTACATCTATTTTAATGCTTATTATATAATTTCTTTCTCTAATTACACATTATTATTGTTTTATTTTATTTCATTTTTTGAAGACATATTCCTGGTTAAAAAAAAAATGGCTAATATTGAGTACAAAGAAACGTTTTTGAACCTGAAAAAAAAAAGAAAAACTCCAGGAAAATCGATATAAATTGCAGTCTTTTTCCTTGAAAGTTAAGATATGATTATTATTTTTTTATTAACATGGCGTATGTAAATTTTAATCTTGTAATCTTTTACTATATAAATATATATATATTTTTTTAATACTATTTTTCTTTTTTTAATAAGTCTAGTTCTGAAGTCTTCTATATTAAACAAATGATAATAGTAAAGGGAGGAAAAAGCCCTCTTTATTCTTTTAACAAAGATTGACTTTCATCATTATTATAGAATGGTATTTTTAGACCAGAGAAAGAAAGTGAATGAACTCTAATTGTTTTACATCTTGTCTTTATTTTCTAGAAAATAAAGAATTACAAGTGCAAGATTGAATTTTAAATAATGTTATACAACAATAATCAAATAAGTATTGCTGTAACTTTTTTCCTACTCACTGGAAGAAATAAAGTTTCTATTATCCAATCATTTTACATAAATCCATGAATACGAAATATAGAAAAGAACCCTTAATCTATTGACACTTTTATCCAATCATATAACCTCGTTGTAATAATGAAAAAAAAATTACATAAATCAGTTACTTGTTGTTTATATAATTAAATAGGTAACAAAGAATAACAGAAAGACAAAAAAAAATAAACTTACTATTTACCTATTTAAAGTATACTATTGACAAGTGATTTTTTTCTCTGTATTTTATATACAAATATAAAACTTATTATAGCTTAAAATTGAAGGGTGGAGAAAAAAGAAGAAAAAAAAAAGGAGAAGGAGGAGGAAGGGGAGGGGAAGGAGGTAGGAGTAATAATAATTGTGGAGAGAAGCTTAATTCTGTCAGTCATTGTCAAATTATTACAAAAAAAAAAGAAAGAAAAAAACGTAAAATACCTCCATTCATTATTCTTTCTTCTTTCAATTTTTTTTTTAAAGAAAAATAAATAAATAATACTAATCATTCAAATGACCGATAATTCAACTGAAATCAATAATAATGAAGAAGAAGCTGATAGCCACAGTTTGACCAGCATGACGGCATTTTCAATCATGTTTGTCAGTATAGGCATGTCATGTTTTATATGGCAAACTTTAACAACGGGTTGGATGATGTATAAAGCAAGAAAACCCATTATTGGTCTTGTCTTTTTTCAAGCATTTTTAGGCGTGATAGTTACATTTGTGACTCTTTTGACATCTCTAACAACTATTGATTGCACCTTTGTAAGATATAACATCCTCTCCCTCTTTATCTCTTTAACTAACTCATATAATGCCTATATAGCGACTGCTATTCTCTGTAATAGGTGTTAATATCGGTAATATGTCCTTACAATTTGTTTTACTATGGAAGGCATATTTAGGAAATAATCGATCCAAGCTAATTTTATGTGTGGGCTGTGTTCCCATCTTGAGCATTGCTGCTTTTATATGTGCAAATATGACAATAGGCAGATCAGTATCCTCTATGAAAGTTGGTTACTGTGATACTAAATATCGTAAGACAAAAAAAAAAAGTGGATATATTCCTACTTTATACTTATGCTGCTTTCATCTTTTATAGCTGTTGAAATCGTCATTGCAAAAACCGTTATTGATTGTACATCAAATACCTTTTTATCAGGTTGCTTTATTCTAGTAATTTATAGACATTATCGTATTCTTGGAAGTGGTATTCAAAAGACATTAATACGTGAAGGACTTATTTACTGGTAATATATATATGTATTGTATTTTTATATATTGTATGTTTATACCAAGTATTATTTTAGTTTTGGTGTTTGTTTATCTAATATTTTGACAGGAATATTAGTAGCTAAACAAGTATTTGGGGGAAATTCGCCTATTATTTATACCATTGACTGTAAGTATATTTAACTTAATATTACTTACTTTAATGCATTTTATTTACTCATTTTACTATATATTAAAAGGGTATCTTGCATCTTATTTGATTATAAAACAATTAAAATACAAAAAAATAGCTTCGTCTGATGAAAATGACGAAGAAGACGATGATGATGAAGATAGCATCACTATTGATTCTTTAGAAAAGAAAAAAACTTTAGACGAGGAGATTCTTCAAACTTTGCCAAGTAAAAAGCAAATTAATACACAGCATTATTCCATAGATGGTACCTTAGTGCCATCACCTACTTCGGCCATTACACCCTATCATAGTCATTTTGATGATACAAAGTTATCTGATTTGACAATTGATTACAAAAGACAGAAATCAACAATCTTAATATCACCGCCTATTATTCAGGGACAGGCTTCTCTATTTTTAGATGACCAAGATGATGTACATATGGGGCTCAAATAATGTATTAATAAAGACAGATCCACATACAATGGATAATAACTAATAAATGTATCGTTTTCATGTAACATGTTCGACTGTTTAATATTTATATAAGCATATTATACACTTTATATGGTATTATACACATGTATATTTACAATAATATTTGAAACAGCTACTTCTGAGGTAACGTCTAGTTATTAGCTAAAAAAAAAATATACAGTTTATATATATTTGTATTCTATTTAACATAGCTCAATTCTTTGAAATAGTTGTTATCGTTATTCCTGTAATAAGCATATATGTCTAATAAAAATAATATGTAAGATAAACAAAAAGGACATTAGTATGTATGAGTGTAGTGTAGCTAGAACGTCTTAGGATTTTAGTCTTCATTTTATTTTATTTTATTTTTAAAAAAAAATGATACTATAATATCATTGTTCATATGCAAGTATTCTCGTATTTTGTAATGATCCATTTTATTTTATTTTATTTTTTAAGCTGACACGTGTATAGCATGCGTGCATAGCAACAGCAGTAATCTCTTAATAGATCTTCAGAACAACAAATTTTAATATCTTCAAAGTCATCTATCCTACATGTATATTTTAAAACTTGTAATAAAACCTGCAAACTGCTATATTCCTTAGTAATAAAATTTAAAAAAAGTAACATGAAGGTAATTTATATAAAATAATTATCCTAGAATATCATTCAAGTATCAGAACTGGAACCCCAAAGAACACGTATGGGGTTTTTGGATAACTGTAAACGTAACTGTTTCCAAAAGGTAAGCAAAACTCAAGTTAATAAACTATAGTCCCATATTTATTTATTCTGTTAGTCAAAAAAAAAAATACAAGAATAGAACACATCTGTAGGATATGTAGAGTTCTAAATGTGTATATAAATAGTGCTACAAGAATAGCTCAGAATAATATAAAGTTAAATAATGAAGATTAATTTTATAACTTTCTACTTCTTTAATAAAACGTTACAGTTGGGAATAAAGGAAAGCTATTTTCATTAAAACCAATAATCTTAGTACTCGAATCACTCAATCAGTTAGACAATTTACAATTAAGAGCTTTAAGTTGCATTAAAAAAAAAAATAAAAAAATAGTTGTTGTGGTGAAAATAAAAATCGATGACGTTGACAACATTTTTTTTTTTTTTTTTTTATTAAAATATATGGTTCTGATTTTTTTTTTTATTCTTCTTTTATAAAATATAATTCTAAATCTAAAATAACGCAATGAAGTTCATCATCAAAGGTGGCATTTGGAAAAATACAGAAGACGAAATCCTAAAAGCTGCTGTCAGTAATATGGTAAAAACCAATGGGCGGTATTTCATCTTTATTAGTTCGCAAAACACCAAAGCAATGCAAAGCCAGATGGTACGAATGGCTCGATCCCAGCATCAAAAAAGTAAAAAAAAAAAAAAAAAAAATAACAGTTCATCACAACTTTAATTATTTTATATAACTAATTTATATTTTATTTTATATATTTTTTTTTCTATCTCTTTTGCAGACTGAATGGTCAAAAGAGGAAGACGAAAAAATTATTACATCTTGCAAAATTAATGCCTACACAATGGCGTACTATTGCTCCTATTGTTGGTCGTACACCTGCTCAATGTCTTGAACGCTATCAACGTCTTTTAGATGAAGCTGAGGCTCGTGAAGGAGCTGATTTAAGTTTGACAGGAGCTGAAGGTTTGGGTCCAAGTGCAGATGATGTTCGTAAATTACGACCTGGTGAGGTCGATCCAGAGCCAGAATCAAAGCCTGCACGACCTGATCCTGTCGACATGGACGAAGACGAAAAGGAAATGTTATCAGAAGCACGTGCACGTCTTGCAAATACACAAGGTAAAAAAGCCAAACGAAAAGCCAGAGAGCGACAGTTAGAAGAAGCACGACGATTGACTGCCTTACAGAAGCGAAGAGAATTAAAAGCGGCTGGTATTCAGTAAAGTTATATTTTATGTTCATATATATATATATATATATTCTAGTGGTTATTAAGCTGTTTTCATTTTATTGATAGTATGCGTATGAAGACAAAGAAGAATGTTATGGATTATAATACAGATATTCCATTTGAAAAGAAACCTGCTTTAGGCTTCTATGACACAACCGAGGAAGCTAATAAGAAGACAGATCCAGGAAAGCTGACAAATGTATATCTTTCTAAACTTAATCGACGTCGTGCAGATATTGAAGATGAAAAGAATCGCGAAAAGAAACGTAAGGCTAAGGAAAACCCTAATGCCGGACCCCAAGGAAACCAAGGTCAATTTGTAGCAGCTAAAAATGCTAAACTTATCATGAAACAACAAGAACAGGAACAAATCTCAAAGCGACGCAAATTAGTCTTACCTGCTCCTCAAGTTGGAGAACAAGAATTAGAAGAGATTGTAAAATCTGGATTTGAAGGTGAAACAGCAAAAAGTTTAGTAGTAGAGAATGAAGTTACAGAGGGGCTTGTAGGTGACTATGCCTTTCAAACACCCAATTTACGTGCCATGAGAACGCCTCGTGCACCCCCTACCAATGATAATCTATTGATTGAAGCACGTAATTTGAAGGCCCTTAGCAGTGCTCAGACTCCTTTATTGGGTGGTGAAAACACAGCACTTTTAGATGTAGGAACTGGATTTGAGGGAGCGACACCTAAACATAGTGTGATTCAAACACCAAATCCTATGGCCACACCTTTACGTGCCGCACCTTTTGGTGCAGAGACACCACAAAAGAAAGTACAACATAAACGTACACTTTTGCAAGGTTTAGCTAGTTTACCCAAACCACGTAATGAATGGGAGATTAAATTACCTGAACAACAGACAGAAGAGTCGTCTAAAGCTGAGGAGTCGACGACAGTTGTTGAAGATATGAGTGATATTGAACGCGCAGAGATTCAAAAGGCAGAAGAAGAAGCACAAGAATTAGCAGCACGTCGATCACGACCTGTTCAACTCAATCTTCCTCGTCCTATTACTATTCCTAAACTTCCAAATGCAACAGATGAAATTGAACAAATGATTCAAGAAGAAATGATTCGACTTTTAAAACATGATGCAGTCAAGTATCCTGTTACTGGTAGTAAGATAGCTCCTGGGGCAAGTCAATTAAGTGATGATATAGCCAATTTGGAATCAGAGTTTGATTCTGCTACACTAGAAGATGCTCGTAAGGAGCTTGATGAGGAAATCAAGATGATGTTGGGTGTTGATGATGATGATGATGTGAAAGAGGCTGTTTGGAAACGGGTTGCTAATGACGAAGCATTTGAAAAGAAATGGGAAAAAGAGCATGATGAGCTTCTGTTTTCAGTCAAATTTAATCGTTTCATGACATTAGATGAAATGGATGATGAACAAGATATGATACAAGGGCTTGGCAAGATTGTAGAGGTAGGAATATCTATTTCTAAAATGTATTTGTATTTTTATCTTATATGTGTGTTTAAATAAAATAGGCAAACCGACAAACAATGATTCGAGATGCAACAAGAGCTGGCAAGTTAGAAACGAAATTAGATGTGAGATTAGGTGGTTACATGCAGCGTTCTAAATTATTATCAGAACAAATCCTTGAAGCCTATGAAGCCTATGAAGCAGCACAAATTGAATATCAAAGTTTTATTAATTTGCAAATGGCAGAACGTGTAGCCCTTCCTCGACGTCTTGAAGCACTTCAAGAAGAAGTCTATAAATTAAGTTCACGAGAAAGAGAGTTACAACAACGCTATAAAGATTTGAGTGATGAAAAGATGGCTTTACTTTCTGCTTAGAAAAAACTTGTATTTGTGTGTGATATATATATATATATTGTATGTGTTTGTTTTTTTATAAATAAAATCATTATGAATTAAATATATTTATACTTGAAGTAATGAATACTTAGTACATGAAAAGATAATAGTAATTATGCATCAAATAGACTTTATTATTTATTTATTTTACACAATAGTAGTAGTAATAGTAAGAAAAGGTATATTTAATTTATATACTTTAAGGAATGAAAGTATATTGCTATTCTACATTATAATTCTCTCACTCTTTTTCTTTATTTTATTCCGTTGAATATTATGTTGATCCATTGAAATATCTGCCAAATCGTCTCCAATCATCCTTAAGAATGTTACGCCATCCTCACCTACTAGTGCCATAATAAGTGTAGGTACATCTTTATCCAATTTGGTCTTTCGCAATCCAACAGGTTCATATCCAGGCTTGCTATATGAAAACCATGCGTTTTGCTCATATAAGGAAGGCATCCTATCATGAATATTTCTAACTACCACTTGAAAATCAGGTATACCTGGATCCCTTTTCTTCCAAGTCGGTCTTGGCTTGTAGACATCCCAGTCAAATTTAGGAGTGTGATAAAAGGGCCTATACCATGGTGAAGAAGGTATTATTTGTAGTGTAGAATAAACAGTCATGTAATCTCGATATCGGTAATCCCATACAAGAGGTCGTATAGGGGCTTGATGATCATAAATCCAATGAGTGATTCTATCAAAAAATAATTTCCAAATAGATATAGGTTGTTGCTCCAGTTTATTAACCGTTCTTTCTTGCAATTGCCTAATAACAGGTTTGGATCGCATCACAATAAATCCCAATCGTTTTAAATAAGCATACACTTGGAATTTGTCATAAGTTATCCAGCCATCTCTAGATTCACACATGATCTCTAAAAAATTCTCGAATAAGATAGGCTTTTGGTCATTATTATGAACAACTAGTGCATTTCGAGAAACCAAAAAAGCAGCTTCCTCTGGATAAAGGGCAATTTGACCATCATGAGAGAATCCCATTGTGTGTAAATGGGTTCCCTTGACTTGTTTCACTAAAGTCCACCCATTATTTGGAGAGAGTTCACCTTGACTAGCGTTTTTTGATGATGCAGTCTGCAAGAGACAACTAAAAAGTGCTTCACGTGCATTAGAGAGTTGTTGTTCAGATGAATAGTTGGATGATTTGACACCTCGTTTTAGGACTATCTTCTTAAAACTGTTATTATTGTTATGATTAATACTCCAACTGATATACTTTTATCTATTTACCTTTTTCTTATTCAGTAACTGAGAATAGTCTATTAGTTTTTCATCTTCAGAATCACTCATAATTTATAGACGTAAAGAAAAGTGAAATGTAAGATTTTATTTTTTATTTTATTTCATTTTATTATTTTATTTTTTTATTTTTTTTTTTTGTGGCGTCAGGACACAGAAGCCAATTATATTTGATTGACGCTACAATTGCATAAAAAGGTCAAGTTGACATTTTGCCTTATTTTGTGTTCATTTTAAAGAAGAGGTTAACCTGTCTTTTACAAAAATTACCCTTTTTTTTTTTGACAAATAGCATCATTAAATACACTTATTCCACTATTATATAATGGTAATATTCATTGTTAGAACTTGCTCAAATGCTTTGCTATATCTTTTTTTTTCTAAAAAAAAGAAAAAATAGTCTTATGGCTCTTTTTTGTTGAATTATATGTTATATTCAATGATATAGCAGTATTCAATTTAACAAAGTATTATAATAATAAAAAGAAATTAAGAAAGAAAGAAACGCCCTGCATTCATTTTTTTTGTTTTACCTACTAGTTGTAGAACAATAAGTTTACCAAGGATTTTTTGTTATTATAACAGTTCGATTTTATAAATCTACAAGGATTCATAGATCATATAAAAGCAGTAGTGGTTAACGTTTAATCATATTCGTTTGCGGAAAAGCGAAATATTTCCATTTTCGTATTGTGCATTGAAGGAGTTTACTAAATTTTTTTTTTATTTTTTAAAAAAGTTTTTTTTTTTCTATTCTTTTTTTCTTTTTTTTCTTTTTTTTTTTTTTTTTTTTTTTTTTTTTTTTCGTATAAAAGACAGCGAGAGAAGGAAATGGTTTACATGAGAAAGTCTTGTTACAAGTGCGGGAACGGTACATATAATCAAATGATCTTGGTACATGAATGATTATTCATTATTATTGTTTTTTTTTAATTATAGTTGGTCATTTTGCAAGTGCTTGTGCTGAAGCTGAAAGACTTTGCTATAACTGTAAACAACCTGGACATTTGTCTAATGAATGTACTGAACCTAAAGTAGTCGAGCCTAAGCAATGCTTTAACTGTGGTGAAGGTAATATTTATCATGTTTAAAAAAATATAAAGTAAAATATTCATCAATTTGTAAAAAAAAAAGCTGGCCATGTCATTGCTCAATGTACCAACCCTCGTTCTAACAATAAAGATGAAAAGCAATGTTTTAACTGTCAACAAATGGTAAGCTACTGAAGAAGGTTTACAATAATGAATATATTTACTTACTTTTTTTTTTTTTTTTTTTTTTAAAAAAAAAAGGGACACATTGCTAAGAACTGCACTAATGAGTTACGCCCTAGAGAAAATAATAATAATGCAGACAATAATGATGCGCCCAAAAGAGGAGGAATGCGTTATAAGAGACGTTTTCAAAAAGTTGTGATTTGTAACAAATGTGGTGGGCTTAATCATTTTGCTAAAGATTGTCTAGCAAGTAGTGATATTCTTTGTTATAATTGCGAGAAAAGAGGACATATTGCTCGTAATTGCCCTTTGACTACTGTTGCTCAAAGACAAAGATCTGTTAAGACGTGTTATAACTGTGGTAAATCAGGCCATCTTGCTCGTAACTGTATTGTTGCTAAGAGAGAAAGAGATTCAGAAGATGAAGAAGAAGAAGATGAAGAAAGCGAAATTACTGAATCTGAAGAATTATCTGGTGAAGAAACAGATGAAGAAGGATCAGACAATGCTGCTTAATTATATATGTAATATTTCATATGTATATGTACACCTTTTTTGTATTCATTTTTGTTGAATAAAAAATTTTACATAAACACGAGAAATTGGGGTTACTTTTGTTACTACATTACAATGCATTGTTAAAGGAGTACGTATAAAAATATTATATTTTGCTGGATTTTGATCTAGAATAAATAACAACTTCTAATAAGAAGAGAGAACAATATATTTATCAACTTTTTTTCAGGAAGAAAAAAAAAAGTTTACCAAATGATGTGTTGTAATGTGAACTGGATAACTCACATCTGCAATAGAATATATTCCGTGTTCTGGCTTTTATATGCTTTGCCTACTCCAGTTATGGTCGTTAACATGGCAAGCAATAAAACTACTAAACATAAACTAATAAATATGAAAAAAAAAGGGTAGGAAAAGCGCAATATGTTAAAGTAAACCGTATTTGAAGTAGTAGAATGTGACGTAATAATGCATGCTTCTAGAAACTAAAGAATAATATGCAATCTCCTGAGTCTATTATCCAAGTGAGTAAAGAAATAAGCTCCATTCAATAGGTTGTCGATTTATGTAAGAACTGTATAATAGCTAGACTTAACTTTAGCTTTCTCTATCTTTTTGTTATCTAATATACTAAGCACAAATGATTGATTATTTACATTAAAATCTATCAGAGAGCAATACTGTGTTAACCTGTTTATAAATGAGTGTTCTGTAACAAGTAGATATTATACCAGAAGTTTAACACTACTGGATACTGTTGATAATCATCCTAATTTTAGCAGCCTGATAAATAATTATTGTATAAAAATATAGCATATAATATTGACGTACTTTATAGATTTTCTTTTAAATAATAAAATTCGTCTTTAAGATCCTAAATCGATATACTTTATAGCATGTATGACTATTATCCAAAGTTACACGTTTTGTATCATAAGAAGCAGTATTGCTACCACATGAAAAAAAAAAGTGTATAGAATCTAAGAACATCAACTCCATAAAGAAGAGTTTATACTAATCACTTTACAGGCCCTACTAAAGAATAAAAAAAAAATAGATATGAATGTATTATTTCAAATTTACCAAGAGTATTTAAAATAAAAATTACTATAAGTTAATAGAAAGAAACTTGTACTGTGGATAATGTATGCAGTTGTTGTTATCGAAAATGGTATGCCAATAAATTCGGGGAAAGTGTTGCTGTCTAACATTATGTTCATTCGCTTAATATAGTTGTGTTGTGACACTTTGATTCTGAAAATAAGCATTTAATTCCAACATCTATTTACGTTTAAGTCTCAGTTAAAGTAAATTAGCTATTATAATCATTCTATAGAGGAATAAAGAAGCTAAGAAAAAAAAAAGAAAAAGAAAAGAAGAATGGGCATTATTCATTTGTATATGTGTGTGTTTTTTTTATGTATAAATCATGCGAATAAATTTAGTATGTAAAATGATAAAAAGAGATCTACATTAAAGAAAAAAAAACCTTACATTTTTATATGTAACATGTGTATTACGGCCTTTTATCCAGGAAAGTATTACCAATCTTATAAAAAAAAAAGGCTCGATTTGTGTTCTCCCGACACTTAATAATTGTATAAATATGAGGGTTTAACTTGGATATAAATATTTATATTTTTCTTTTTCATTAAGAAAAAAAAAAAAAAACTTCCTTTCCCTTCATTATAAAATATTGAGAGATAACTCTCTTTTATATATACTTTCCTTTTAAATAATGTTCGTACGTACCCCGATTGCCATTGCACTTGCTTGTATTGCAGCCGTATTTACAGTTGAAGCCGCACCTACTAACTGTTTAAAAACCTATAAAGTAGTTGCAAGTGATACAGTAAAGTATAGACAGTTATCTGTTTAGTAAATGAAAATAATTCTAAATATTCTTTATAGTGTTATGATATTGCAATGAAAAATCATATTACCACCACCAAATTACGTTCTTTAAATTCTTCGAGTAAAAACCAAAAATGATTGTCTTTTTTTTTTTTTTTTTTTTTTTTTTTTTTTTTTTTTTACATTTACTAGTTTACTTATATTTTATTAGTCAACTCTAAATGTAGTAATTTAAAGATGGGTCAAAAGCTCTGTGTCAGTGTTTCTAATAGTGTCAGTAACAAGAAAACTACTACCAAGAAGAAGGCCGATAGTAAGAAGAAAACCACTACCAAGAAGAAGACGGGTAGTAAGAAGAAAACAACAACAGCTACTACTACAAAAAAGAAGACAACCACCACTAAAAAGTCCACAAAGAAGCCTACCACTGATTCTTCTGCTCCAACTGCATCACCACCCAACATTGCTAATTATGGCTTGACTGCTCAAATCACTAGCTCCTCCGACTTTTGTCTTTTCCTTCCAAACAGTCCAGGTGGTAAGGCCGATAATAAGGGTAAAGTGGATGTGGAAGCGATTTCTAAATCAGAAAAGAATGCAGTAGCTTTCTGCTTGAAGCCCTCTGCTAAAGCTCCTGGTGCCCGTACTTTACCTGTTAATTTTATCAAAACTGCTCACTTTTACAAGAATACAACAGCCGGTTATATTCAAGTGACAGGTAAATTTAACCCTGCTGCATATGAACTTTCTACTAAAGATGAGGGCGGACAATACGATGATCATGGTAAAGGTTCCCCTCCCAACTCGATCTGCTATGGCTACAAATATTATGTTAATTTAATTGAGCCCAGCAATCCAGATTATTGTATTCGATGGTAATATCATATAATATATGTGTATGAATATCTATTATGTATTTACTAATTTCTCTTTTAAAATATATACATATATATATATATATAGCTGTAACACATATGAAGATTGTCATGCTGGTAGAAGTACTTATGGCTGCAAGCGTGTTGTTAGCAATGGCATCTATGTATAAAATTTAAGCTATTTAAATAAACATAATAATTTTAAAATTAAACTCTAAAATTCTTGATTTATTTTTATTTTTTATCATTTTTGTTTCTCTTTTCATTTTTTTTTTCATTCTTTTTTTTATTCGACAATGATTCAAAACAATGATCCGCCAACTACATCTGTGATTTCCATTACGACATCACAAACAGAATCTACACCATTACTTCCAAAGCCTAAACAACACCATAATAAAAAGCGAGAAATAACGGGTCTTATTTTTATGACTTTATCTGCCTTGGGCTTTTCCACCATGTCATTATTTGTCAAATTGAGTGGCACTAATTTTCCCTCATTTGAAATTGTTTTTGCTCGTTCAATTGTCCAAACCATCTTGGGTCTCATGGGTTGTGTTATTTATAAAGTAAATCCATTAGGTAAACGTGGTGTACGTCGCTGGCTTCTCTTAAGAGGCTTAGCTGGTACACTTGGTCTTTGTCTTTTCTTTTACAGTATCACGCAACTCCCTTTAGCTGATGCTACAGGTAAATTAGATACACATATATAAGTCTATCTATCTATCTATCTATATAACAATGTATCATTGCTATTTTAGTTGTCTTCTTTTTGGGTCCTGCCTTTACTGCTATTCTTGCTGCTATTGTCTTACGAGAACCTTTTACGTTATTTGACTGTTTTTGCTCAGTTGCATGTTTGGTAGGCGTCATCTTAGTCTCTAAACCACAGTTTCTATTTGATAGCAGTAGCGGTCATGAACTCCCTCAAGGATCCGATACAGTGAGTGAATTGAAACGTCTATTTGCCATCATGTGCGCTTTATTAGGTGCTATCATGTCTGCTGTAGCCTATGTCACTGTGCGCAAAATTGGACGTGGAGCTCATTATATGGTCCACGTTGTCTACTTTGGTTTTGTTTCTATTATCGTCAGTCCTCTTGGTATGTTTCTCATGCAGGAGCCAGTATTACCCCGTACTGGATATGACTATAGTGTACTCACCTTAGTCGGCTTAACTGCCTTTGTGGGTCAATGCTTCCTGAACCAAGGCCTTCAGATGGCACCCGCAGGACCTGGTACTTTAATGCGTATGAACGATGTTGTCTTTGCCTTCTTGTTTGGTATTTTAATACTACATGAATACCCTGATATTTATAGTATATCAGGAGCAACCATTATCGTAGCCATGACTTCAGCCATGGGCATTCATAAAATTTATTCTCACACTAGAAAATGAGTGAACAATTATACTCTATTTACTACAAACTGATTCATTTGCATAATATTACTCATTACAGAATGTGAAGCATTATTTAAAAAAAAAAGAAAAAAAAACTATTTTATTAGAATAATCAAAATAAATGTATTTTAGAAGAATGGATATAGTAGATGTAGAATAAAAAAAAAGAAAAAAAAAATAGAAAAAAGGATGTCATTGATGGAATAATTCTTATTATTCACAATGAGTAAATCTGAATTCATGTTTTTTTTTTGTGGCAATTGAGACTGATAACCAATGTCGAACACTGCTATTCTCCTTTGAAAAGATATACTTTCTGACATAATAGTCAGCATGTATCCATTTCTTGATAATCGCATGTCCTATAAAACTTAATGTAGTAGTTAAAATGAACAATAGTGTTAGACAGCCAATCAGAATTTAATTACTTATTTTCCTCTCAAGCAGGAAAAAAAAATCCTTGAATTATTTAATTTAAAAGAAAAATACCCAATAATATATTACATATTTTTCGGTAAATTATATTCCATTCAAAGACTGTCTGGATAATTCTAAAAAAGAAAAAAAAAAAAGTAGAAAACAGTTTTTTTTTTATCACTAATTAATCTACATCATGTCAAATTCATCAGATGAAACTGTACGTACACATCGCTTCTCATTCCAGCATTTTGATCAAGAAAGCGATGTAGGCATTGAAAATGCTAATGGAGAACGAATTCGTAAACGAAAGCGACCTGGTAGAAAGCCCAATCCACCCACGCTTCAAGAACGACGAGCTCAAAACCGAGCTGCTCAGCGTGCCTTTCGAGAGCGTGAACAACAGCGTCAAAAGGAAAGAGAAAGACAATGGGCGTCGTATGTTGAAGAAATTAAACAGCTAAAGGCAGAGTTAGCGGTATCACAATATGAGGCTAAATACCTTAGAGCTTGTGTACTCCACATGACACTTAAGTTTTTAACCCTTAAAGGATCTGTGCCTCATATTTGGACTGAGTCTCGTATCATTCCTAGTAATGATCATGGGGAATATAAGCAAAAGATGTATGGTATATATAAACAGCCTAATGAGGTTCTTCAGACACCTGCATTATTAGATATGATTTTAGAAAATCAACATATTGTCGATTTTGATAAAGCATTACATATAACTTCACAACAAAAGGAGGTTCCAGATATAAATGATTTAGGATTTGAGGCTGATAGATATGAAGGCTTTATTACAAATGAGATTATTACACTAAATCAGGGTTCTCAGGAACCGATAAAGAATTTCCCAAGGAAAAGAAAGCAGCGGCAAGAACCAACCACCATGACCACTGAAATGAATGTTGATATACCTTTTAAACAAAAGTCAACAAATCAGCATAAAGAGTCTACAGCATCATCATCATCATCATCACCACCACCGCCCATAAGTGATGATCAACAGTCAAGTAGTCAAATTTTAACACTTCATCAGAAGCCAGTTGTGGGGGTCATAAATGAGCCGCCTACATTAAAGACAGCAGAAGATCTCATTCATATGCCTGCAATACAAGCATTACATTTATTACGTCTTCAATTAAAATTAGGAAGTATCCTAGGTGAATTCACAGCTGCTGCCCTTTTACCTAGTAAGTATGTGTGTGTGTGTGTGTGTGTGTGTTTTTCTTTTCATTGATCGAGAATAACGAAAGCATAGTATATGAATTAACATTGAAAACAATATAGCTGCATTACAAAGAGTTGTGCCGCATGATATTCGAATAGACTATATTCCTGGCCCATCTATTCGCGATAAAATGATTATTTTTCAAGATTATTACGATATAAATGAATGTTTTCAATATCTAACTCGACAGTCATGCTTTATTGGTGGTGATATAAGAGATTCAAGAAATTGGGTTATTGATCCAGAATATTCGATTAAATTTTGGTTTTTATCACATCAGCTTGTAGAAGATGGTTTTGATGAATGCTTAAAGAAGAAAGAAGCAAATATTTTAACTGAAACTTATATTACAAAACCAAGTACGGAGCAAGATGTTATGAGAATAATTATGAATCAACAGTAATTTTTTTTTTCTTTTTTTTTTAAGCTTAGCTTAGCTTAGTCATTTTGATAGTAGCAGCAGTACGCAATAGCTTACATAAATTTATTTATTTGTTTATTTATTTTCGGCTTGGATACATTTATAAACTATTTATTATACTTTTTTATTTTATTTACTCATGATAAAAGCATGTTGACCATTGAAACTGTATTAAGGTTAATTTTCTTGAGATTGTTAAGACTTATTTCTTTGTAAAACCTATTGTATTCTAGCTATTGCACTTTGCTTTAAATATAAAAGATTTTGGTAAACACTCGGCATACATACAAAGAATTTTGAATCGTTTTTCTATTTAAAGACAATAAAGAAAATCATATTTTTGAATGATAATAATTATCTTATTTACTAAAGAGGACAATAGGTTTATTAGTTCTAGGAATTATTCGAATCAATATACGTACATACATACATACATACATACATACATACATACGTACCAAAAAAAAAAAAAAAAAATGATATAAATCATTTACGTTTGTAGACAAGCCGACATAATCAAGAGCAATTAAATGAAACATATTGATCTGTAGAACTTGAATAGTTCATCAAAATATGAAAAGTATATGTATTTCATTATCGCGTATACATAATGTACTACTATTCGCATACTAATTCTTGTGTATTCTTGCGACAGACTCTTTCAAGTCACAAGAAGCAGGATAAGATACACACTAGAAATCAGTCGCTTAAGCAATTCACTATTTTCTGATGTATTTTAATTCGAGTCTTCGCCCTTTTTGTTGCCTCCTGATATATAAATATTTTTTTTTCTAACAAAGTGACATAGAAGGCTATAAAGTTAGTCCATGTTACTCTACCTTTCTTTTCTTTCTTATCTTTTTCTTATTTTAGACCAATTAATATCATTATTGAAATAACAAAAAGGTTTACTTTATATTTAATATCATTTATTCTTTAAATTCGTAACTAATCTGAACAACACGTGTGCATTATTCCCTTTAACACATAGATTATTACATACAATAGAATGAAACCTATTCCTTATGATAAAAAGATGGATATTTTAGAAAAACTGAATACCAAGGAGTCTTATAGAGATGTTTCAAAGACAATCGACAGGTCAACTAGGACAAATGGTAGAACTTCCAAAGAAAATCAAACTGAAATGAACGTAAAAGAAGGTAAGCCAAAAAAAAAAAAAATCAAAAAACAAAAAACAGATATTTTAGTATCTATTTCTCAGACGATTTTGGCTTAAGATCTCATTTTCTAGTTATTAATGCGTTCTATTGTATACAGTGAATTGATCTGATATTAGTAAAGATAACGATCTATTTGTGTATTCAAATCTTACTCTCGTTAATTATATATACTGATAAAGACTTGCATTATTCAATGTATTCATATATTCTTTCGTTATACATATATCATTGATAAGGACTTGTCTCATATTGTTTTTATTGAATCTAATCCTGAAAAAAGCCTACATAACACACATATTTAATGAATAACCTATTAGGGACTTCAATAATAAGCAATTCTTCAACAAATAGCCACAATAGACCATAATGCGTATTTGGCTGTTTCTTAGCAAGATATCATGTAGAGATATGTTCTATTTACTGATGTTGATGATATCACATATTCTTTTTATGTATGTTTCATTTTTCCATATTTTCTTTTATGTTCATAAACGTCCTTTTTTTTTTTTTTTTTTACTCTATACATTTTGAACCGGTCTAGATGGATTTTGCGTTTAAAACACTGGCGCTCAATTGGACAAGTAAAATCAATAAAAAAAAAAAAAAAAAAAAAAAAATCAAAAAAAAACGATTTTTTTTTCTTCTTCTTTTTCAACAAATGTCTTATTCAAAATTACAAGGGAAGAAGCAGTCAGAAGGTTCAAATAATAATAATAACGGAGCCCATAAACAACAAAAGTAAAGATTTTATGAATCTAATCTTTTTAGTTTACTAATGTTTTTTTTTTCCTTTTAATAGCCGTAATGTTAACAATAATAATTCAAACAATAGAAAATGGGCCAATGCAGCAGCCGGTCGTAATCACGCGCCTGCAGTTCAAAATGAACCTACTATGCACGATTCTTCCTCAAACAATTTAATGCATGACAGAATGCTTTTTTTACTTGGCAACTTGACTGTAAAATACATAACTAATGTTTATTCATTTTTTTTTTTAATTTTATAAACATATTTATATATCCATATAGGGTACAGTTGTCGAAGTAACAGTCAAGGATGGTTCTAAATTCAGAGGCATTTTTCATGGTGCTTCTACAGAAGGTGAATTGGGTATTGCTCTCAAGCTTGCACAAAAAATTTTTGATCCCTCTGCTCCCATTGACAAAGATAAAACGAATCCTAATCCTGTTAAAAACACTTTATTAATTTTCTCCAAGGATTTGGTTGAAATTAATGTTGAACAACTTGATTTGACTACATCTGAAACACCTGATCGCAACAGTAAATATTTTATCAATGAATAGATTTTTATGTTCTAATGCGTTATTTTCTTTTTATTATCATAGCTTTTAAGACAGACTCAGATATCAGTGGGAAATTGGACATTAAAGAACGTGAGTTGCATAAATGGACACCTGATGATGCATTAGAACTTTTGGAAGATGATTTGGAATCGTCAAAGGATACAGGGGCTTGGGATCAATTTGCTGCCAATGAGAAATTGTTTGGTTTGAAAACTGATTTCGATGAGGAAATATATACAACACCTTTGAACAGGTTAGCGCCTGGCTTTAAAGATCGTGAAAAGCGAGCAATTCAAGTAGCTAATGAAATTCAAAGGGTGAGTTTATTTTTTTTTTTTAAAAAAAAACTAGATGCATAGTACTAACTGTTTAACAGAGTACTACAACAAATATTCATGTTTTAGAAGAACGTGGTGTATCAATTGACGGTATGGACGAGGAAGATCTTTATGGTGCAGTTGTACGTGACTCAAATCCAAATAAATATCTTCCTCCTGCACTTCGAAAGCAAAACCAAGATCACAATAAAAAAGAATCAGTAAAAATAGCTTCCTTAAACAAATTGATAACCTCTGACCTTCCAAAATCAACTGGATCTACTTTATCACCTATTGCTAATCTACCTCGACGTGGTGAAACTACCGAAAAGGTTTGTTACAGTGATAAAATACGTTAGTAACAACGTTAACGTTTTATATATATATATTTGTATATATCAAGACTAATGAACCACCCAAACGAATTGAAGCTGAAGTAGCTACTACATTTAAACAATTTGCCATGATGGAAAAAGATAAATTACATGCAAAGAAACAAGCTTTACAGAAGAGAGAAAAGGATGGTCGATTAGCTGAATTGAAGGCCTTCCATCAGTCTTTTAAATTAAATGTACCTATTCCCCCTGATTTGGTACCATTATTATCAAAGGGTAAGAAAAATAATAATACTATCGTTTCACCCTCACCTACAGCCATAAAGAAAGATTCAACTTCTCATGATAAAAAAACTCCAAATGAGACGACATCCCCGACTCCAAGCAAAATTCTACCTGTTCAAGATAATAAGCCAACAACAACAACAACAGCAGCAACAACAACAACAACAACAACACCACCACCACCACCAACAGCAACTACTACTGCTACTACGACAGCGAAAACGACAACGACAACGACTAATACTACTGCTGCCTCTGCATCACCCTCAAGTAAAAATACAACTACCTCACCCAAGAGTACATTTAAGTTTAACGTAAAAGCATCTGCTTTTAAACCTAATCCTTCAGCAGCCGTCTTTGTTCCTAGTCACGCACATAACACAGACACAGCTGATACACATCCTTCTAATCGATCCATTAAACGTGGACAGAAAGAACATATTACGATGTCCGTCGCATTTAAGCCACCTCCCTTCAACAAACAATCCGCTCAACAGGTTGGCCCCACCTGGCCATTTGGAAACAAATCATATCGAGTTCAATTTAGTTCATTTGCCTATGAAGAAGACATGTATATTGCCTATCCTTATGGATATCCAGCATATCGTTACCCTCCTTATGTACCCTCACCACAAGCTCCCTATATAAGTCCTCCTCCACCTTTTGTGATGCCCTCACCCCCATTTCCACAAGGTTTTCCATCACCACAACGATCACCTATGATTCCACCTTATCAATACCAAGGTGTGATGGTGCGTTATCCTGAGCCACCTGTCATGATACAACAACGACCTGTCATGATGGAGATGCAATATAATAATAATAACCAAGAAACTGAGCCAAATGAGTCTACATCTTCTCCTCATAATTAAAAGAAAAAAAAAAGAATACACACACACAAAAAAAAAAAAAAAAAAAAAAAAAAAAAAACAAGAAAACAAGAATTAGATGAGAAGATAGATTTGTCACATACACCAGTAATTAACTCTTATTTTTTTTTTCTCTTTTTTTTTTTTTTTTTTTTTTTTTTTCTTTCTTTCTTTCTTTCTTTTTATTATTAAACTAACAATAATAATAAATCTTTCTCTCTCATAAATTTACTTTTTGACTCAATAATTGTTGTTTAATTGTATTCGACTTTTCTTGAATGAGGTTTACGAGTCTGTTACCTTCTTCACGTATTTTATAGATGTTGGTATCGATTACATGTTGAAGGTAATCTTCTACTGTCATGTCCTTTTCTTGCAAGTCAAACACTTTGTCCATGTCATCATCCAATGTCATGATAGGCGGTGTTTCGGTAGACTCCATATTTAATTTCCCTTGTTCATTAATGAGTTGTCTTGTTCGTCCTTGCATTGGCGTCACAAATGGTTGATGCTGGTCATCATCACTTGATACAATGGGTGAATAAGGGAAGATATCCCCAAAGATATCTGAAGCATGAACCCTATTGGAAGTTGTTGATCTAACAGGTGTTGATTGTAAAAAGAATTGATTATGGCGTGAGGGTGTGGGTATAGGATTCGATTGTAATGTAAATGCAGACTGGCTTGGAAGATTAGGCGCAGGTTTTGGCTTGGATTTTGAAAGACTGATAGAAGTAGTAGGAGGAGGAGGTTCAATTGCACGTCCTTTACCCTTATCTTTTTTCAGTGTTTGTACCTATTTATTGCAATAAATAAGCAAGCAAGCAAGCAAGCATGTGATTATTATAAAACTTACAACAGTCAAGTCTTCTTCAGTTATAGGCTGTTTTCCTTTTTGGTCATTTGTTGTCTCCTTTTCTTCTGGCACATTTGTTTCAATTACTATAGGCTTGTTTTCCTCTTCTTTGTTTTTTGATATTGTTCTCTTTCTTTTCCTTATTGGTGACTTACTTCTGATTGCTACAACAGGTTCATCTACTATAGGCTCTCCTTCTATTGATGATGTTTGCTGTTTCTTATTAAATACAGCTGCATTTGAAAAAATATCCACTTGACCCATATGCCGTTTTGTAGTGTGTGAAGTTCGGTTAGTTCCAAATGTAAATGTTGGTCTACGTATCTTTTTAGGTAATGCGCTTTCAAGTGATAAAACATTCCCAATATCCCAAAAGCTATCATCATTTGAATCAGGTGATTTACGTTTTTTGGTTGAATTATTATCACCATTTGAATCAGGTGATTTACATTTCTTGGTCGAGTCATTATCATCGTTATCATCAACATCCTATTTCAACCATTAACAAACATATCTGGGGGGGAAGAATAAGACTACTTACAGATATGTCACTATTAGCAGTTTTGTATGTGTCTGTCGAACTTATACTTATTCCTGTATTTCTTCGTACCTTTGATCCCACATTGTTTGATTGATCAAAAAATATACATGCACTATTAAATTGACTGTGTGATTTTCTAAAAGAAATAAATAAAAGAGTTAATATGCCTCGTTTTTTATTTATATTTCTATTATCAACAAATTCTAAAATACTTGCAATGCATCTATATCATTTATAGGTGTATTGATACAACATTGACAATAAGGACATTTCACTCTTGATTTATTATCTGATGTAGGTGATAAGATAAAGCCTGCGTCTGCCAACTATCAGCCCATCATTAGTCGTTCAATCATCATTTCTTATTCATTCTTTATTTTTATTATTATTATTTTTTTTATACCTTTGTTGAAGCTAAAAATTTTCGTCTTCCAGCAACATCCCTTTTCACAGGTGGCCAAAAATTATGTGAATTAAATGTGGCTAATCGAGCAGCACGCATTTTAGGATGTTGGGGTTGCAGTTTAATAGTTGATCGTTTTGTAGGATCGTCAGGAAAGTTAAGAATGACCCAAGGACAAGATGGTGATTCAGTAGCATGACGTATATAAGGTGATTGTCCCTGTTTCCAATGACTCAATTCTATATCACACAAAAAGCATCGTGTTGTATCTGGTAACTTGGGTCGAGTTAGAAAGTAAAATCCAGCTTTTGCAAACTATAGATATTGATAGAGAAAACAAATAGTTTTGAGACAAATGAACTTTTATGATTTGATCAAGTTTTTTATTTTATTTTATTTTTTTTACGGTTTCTGTTTTATGATATTTTTTATTCGTATAAGGCCATTTGGTTATCGAGTTATGAAATGATGCTATTCTATGTTCTAAAATGTTCATAATGCAATTGAATTCCACATAAACTTTCAACAAGAAAAAAAAAAGTGTGCACAGCTCGCGTATAATTTTATTTTTATATTAAAAAAAATGAATTGACCAATAAGCATTGTAGCTTATATAAATGCATCAGCCAATTCAAGTTTTAGAGACTTTGACAGTTATACTAGCTATCCAAACATGTATGAAAACCAACATCGGAAATCTTTGAAATTGTTCAATTTTTTTTTTTTTTTTTTTTTTTTTTTACTATTAGAAAATCTCACGTATCCCTTGTTAGCAGCCTCTTTATTCTCATAAATAGAATGCTTTTAATAACTGACCGGAATTACTTGAATGGATTAGGTTCAGGAGACTATAAGGAGGGTTTTTTTTTTCTTTTTGTACCCCTTATTGAGAAGGCTTAGACGATCAGTCATCTGGCATTTTTCGAAGAAATCATCAGAATCTCTAGTATTTTATTTTTTCGATAATGTATAAACTTAAATTTTTAACGAGTTGACAGCAGTAAAACTATAGCTTCTTTGTATTGTAATGTCTATACCAACCATTCATTTATCCTTCATTTACATAGTCTTTGTCTCCTTGTCTGAATTTTATTTTTTTCTTATAAAAGAACCCATTATGCTCTAACAGTACTACTCCCTCATAAGTATTATTATCCAAAGTTTCGATTCTATCATACTCGTATTAGATAGCTTTGTTTCCATCTTTATAATTACAAAGAAAAAATTAGAATACATATTACTATTCGAGATTTAGGTATAACAATGGTAAAAAGAATGAATTATCAGGCAAATATGATTGAAAGGCATTTTAAAAGAACCTAATGTTTGCGCAACAACTTCTTTTCCTTCCTTCAAATGTATACTGTGTGTATGCATGTCTAAACTAGATACAATATGCAAAGAGATAAAAAAAAACTTTTATATACATTAAGAAAATGAAATCATATAGAACAATAATAGGGGTATATTTGTGTATATGTTCGGATGCATAAATTAAAATACTAGGAGATGCATTAAATTTGTATTTTGATAAGTATATTAAGTTGATTTTAATAAGACATATTTCTCTTTCAAATAAGAATGAGATAACTGTAATAAGTCTATCGAGCAATATATATAAATATGTATGTATGTATATATCGCTTTTATAGCAGGTATTCAAGTCATTTTATTACATTTTTTGTAACAATAGTTATATGCATGCATGATTAAGCAAAGTAAAAAAAAAAAAAAAGGTTCTTCTATTATTATTATTCATAATGTTACTATATTGACGTATTCCTTGAAATATACTATATGTTTAGCTATTTAAATATTTGTGAACTAATGTATTTTTTTTAATAAGCTAATCTTTGATACGTATATATTTATATTTATTTGTCATTATTTATTATTAAAATAAAATAAAAAAAAAATAAAGGAGAAGAGGAGTAAAGTGTATAAAGAAAGGTGAGTCAACGTACTGGAGATGCATTCTAAAACAGCTACAGTCAGAAAGTTAGTCATGTAATAAGAATTATATACAAACTTTAAAAAAAAAAAGCATATAAAAAGGGCAATTCAATTATATAAATTTGCTTAATTATTCATACCATTTAATATGAAAAGTACAGTTTTGATTGCTCTATTTACTACTTTAGTCTTGCTTAATAATTTTGTTAAAGCCCATTGTGATTGTGATCCAAATGACAGTTCTTGTCTTTTTGATTGTGGTAAGATATTAGTGTGATAGTAAATAAATCTTGATAATTAATCTTATGTTAAGTGAATGATACAAATCAATGCATCGTTGACTGTGAAGATGACACTGACTGCTATACAAGTTGTATCATTCATAATTGGCCGGGCATAGGAAGACATGGTGGTCATGGAGATTCTCCTTCACATGGTGATAAAGATTCTGGTAATAATGACTCTAATAACAATGACCCCATGAGCACTACTCAACCTGTTGCTGATACTACTACTACTACAAACATGAATTCACCATCAACATCCTGGGATATTCCACCTCCACCTGAATGGTCTAGCACTTTACCTAACGACGCTTCATCATCAGAAACTACAGCTCCAAGCTCAGGGAATGAACCCTTATGGCCTATTCCTTCCGTCTTTGTTAATTCTTTTGTTCCACCTAATGGCTTGGCTTCATCCACAGCATCTTCTACAAATGTTCCTTCAAGTAAGTTCCTCTTTATATCTACAATTATTCATTAGACTTTATTTTTTTTTCTAACTTTTATATATTCTAGTTTCGAGTGCTGTGGCGACATCTTCTGATACTACCTCAGCTACTAGTGAAAATGATTCTTCTTCTTTGATGTGTTCCAAATTTTTTATTGGTCTTACCATGTTTATTACAGTTTATATTTTACAATAATTACATAGTACATTTACGGCAATAGATATAGATATACATATATTTATATACAAGAGTTTCCTTTAAATAATAATACATAAATATACATGTATATCATAATATACAACATTTTAATTCATTCTTTATTCGATATTGTTTCCTTTTTCTTCTTCTTTTATATGTTTCTAGATACTTTAACTGTCTTTGATTAATTGAACCTCTTCTATGCCTTCTAACATATTCAATTGAATCCAAAGGGTCCATTCCTTCTTCTATTAATGCAATAGCTACTAATAATGGAGCCCTTTATATGAATAGATATATATATATTTATTTATTTTTTAGTCAATTCCTTATAAATCATGTGTTGCAATGTATAAGAAATATAAGACCTTCCCAACCCAGCTACACAATGTACCGCTATACATGGTTCCTTCTTCTTTATTTCCTTTATTGTTGTATCTTTAAACAAAAGATCAACTAAATTGAGCCATGCATCTATAACACTATTAGGTGGTGCGTCTCCATCCGTAAACATCCAATCATGCACCTTAATTCCATGTTCGTTCAGTATCGTGGGTGAATAAGTTGCCTTACAGCAACGAACCACATCAGTTACATTCCATCTCTTAAACTCCTATTATATATGTATATCCAAAAATAAAAATAAATAAATAAATCCTTTATATTTTATATGTTTTCCAAGCCCTTTTTGGGGAGGGTAAAAAAAAAAAAAAAAAAAAAAAAAAAAAAAAAAAAGTACATATATACATTGATGTATCGAGATATAGTATTACTAGAAGGTGTATCTGTAATTAAGAATCGTATATCTTTGTGTTGTATATAACTTGGTGGATGTAATAATGGCTTTTGTACCTTGGAATATGAAGGTGGTTTGAGCATTTTATTTATAGTAAAAAAAAAAAAAAAAAAAAAAAAAAAAATAAAATACACATGCATATTTTATATATACATATTTATATTTATAAATGTTGATTCATCTTTTTTTTTTTTTTTTCCAAGCAATAAAGTGATGATTGTAAATCAATCACATCATACGTTTATATATAGAAATAATTTATCATTTGATCTCTGTGTAAGTACATTATTTATTCTACTAAACCTAATAATTTTGCACAATGAAGATGAAGTAATTGTCCATATTCACTTTCTCGAACAAACATTTTATCGCCAATATCACGATGACATTTAACACATGTTGTATCATTCTCTACTACTACAGGTCCAATCTTCTTTTGTAACTGAATTATTTCGCTATTTACCTATTAAATGAAAAAAAAAGTTTAAAAATCTTTAAATAAATAAAAAAAAAACACCATCTAAATATATAGCCATGTTATTTACCAGCAAGTTTTCTCCTCGACTTAAAGCAAGCACAATTTGGCTCTCATTATAATCATCCAAGGTTCTTCTTAAAGACCTAATCAAAAAGTCTTGCAGCATATGAATTGGCCAGTCTTCGGGTATAATTTCAAGTACCTGAAAAAAAAAAGGGGGAGGCGAGGAAACAACAGCATAAATTATATATCATTCGTATAACTGTCATAAACTTACTTTTAAAATATCGAGATAAAATCCTTGTGTGTTCAACAGATACATACTTCGAGTTATCATTAAATCGCTTAATTAATAATATCAAGTAAGTAAAAATAAATAAGAATTACAAAAGTGAATCCCATTTTTTTTTTACCTATTGTTAATGGCGATGTAAGATTTGAATAACATGGTAAATAAGGCACGTCTTTCGTTGAGTTGTTTTGTCGAAAGATATTCCTCTTCAAACTTCTCTTTATTCAATGTTAGGCTTTTTCCATTTGTCACACAGTATGTTTCTGCTCCTACAAAATCATGTAATTCATGTATCAAAATATCTAATGCCTCTTTATGTTTATTCATCTAGTAAAGAGGAAAAGCCATATCAACAGAAGGACATTAGAAGAATATATACATAATATATTAAAAAGGAAAAAAAAAAAAAAAACTACTTCATACCCTTCCATAAACAACCGCTTTTTCTATATTCAAAGGACCTGCCTCTGTAAGAACATTTAATAGTATTTCAGGAGAATAAAGTTGAGAAATCTCTAATAGTTGAATTAATAAAAGTCGAGGCTTAATAAAACGAAAGTTTGATTGTTGAGATTCAAGATAATCTACAAATGTGAAATGATTAGCTGATTTTTGAGTGGATTCAACTTGTCGCTTGAATTCCTCAACTAAATGTACATAAAAATATGAAAAAAAAAATACAGTTTAGAGAGTCAATCTAATATGAATACATTGCATATATGTATATATGTATATATATTTTACGGGTATTTTTCATTTCTTCTAAACATTTTGAGTCTTTCAATATTCTTTGTATATCTTTCACATAACTGCATGCTAAATACGTATGATATTCAGATTTTTTACTATTCTCAGTAAGGACAAGATATTCAAGATAGGTCTTTTGTATATCTTCATCATAAGTTTCAAGTTTTTCAAGTATTTCATCAGAATCCATTTCATATCTACGTGGTGATTTTATAAAAACTTGTACTCCATCATGAGGGCTTTGATCAGTTAGCCACCATGCATAACGTATCACGACTGATAAAGGTAGTTCCTCATCTCGTATATCTTCTTGTAATAGCAAGTCTTTAATACGTCGTAATAATTCATCTTTATCATCAAATTCTTTATCATTCTGTAGTAATTCACCAGAATATATTTTTGTCCAAATCTCCAATACTTTTTCATGCATATGCTTTGACTGATACAGTTTTGATAGCGCGCTGAATTTCTTAGCTTTTGATAATGCTTTAGCACAATCCTCTATACTACAATTGTTCTTCTGCTCCAAGAGTTGATGAATGGCAATATCATTCTTCTGCGACATATAAATCTTTAAAAGCGAGGTATCAATCACTGTACAAATTATGTCATCTTGTACAAAGGGTCGTTTATCACGTTCGATTTTTAGATATCTTTCAAGTGCCTCTCTAGCATTCATCAATAACGTACGCTGCATATTGTTTTTTTCACCATTAGCTTCTAATCTATTCTTCACAACCTCCTTGATTGTCCCTAGTTCTTGAATAAACTGCCAGACACCCTCAAAGACTGACATCGGCGGTGACTCATTGATCCATCTGGGCTGTGCAAGTCCCTCAAACATCTGAACTACAGCTCGAGGATCTATCTTACCCTTGGACATCAACATAAAGGCATCTTCAAAAAGCGTTTCTTTTAACAACATAAGCCCGCATTTTTGATAGACATAATTAATCTCAGTTCTTGTACGCTCCGTAATATGTTTACTATGAGCACGTTCATCAGCTAAATGAATTGCTTCCTCCACCAGATTTTCTTTTAACAATGCATCTACTTGAATAGCTAATGGTGTTGCTATTTGGGCCCAAACTCCATCTTTACTAAACATAAGTGTATGTGCTGATCCTGTTGATATGTAACTCTCTCCTTCATGTTTAGATCCTGGATGTAATTTTAATCTTTCAGATAAATCTGATATCCATACTTTAATACCGTGACATGGTGCAATCCCCTTTAGAGTTTTATCCAAGCAAATAGTTTGTACCAATTTTTGATCTATAATGTTATGTATTTCAATCGTATTATTCCCCAAGAGCGCTGTTGTATAGGGATAGTCGACTGAAATATGTTGTGGATAATCAGACCATTGTAATGTACCTCGTATAGCATCCCCGCTTGCATTCACAAAGATACCAATCGTACCTTCGCCAACCATCAAAAACTCATTCTTACGAATGACCACTATTAAAGGCGAAAAAGGGGGTGTTGGTATAAGTGGTATTACTGTTGATTGTCGTAAATTGATAAGTTTGTACATTTGGGTATCTGCTAAACAAAGCATATGACTATGGCGCGTAAGTGTAATGGCTCCATCGCTTAGGGGTAGCTCCTTTTTGAGATACATTGATTCACCTCCCATCTTATAAATCTGAATTGTACGTCGTTTTACAACGCATAGCTCAACTGTCCCGTCCTCTCCTATTTTTCCTTCCTCACTAATATCATGTGAACAGCAAGTAACGCCTTTAATGGACTGAATTAACGATGTTGGGATGGGATCAAAGAATGGTAGAGAAAAAAAAGACAATGTCGAATCTAATAATAATAATAATAATAATAACAATTAAAATAAGTAATTATTATTATTATTATTTATTTGTTATGCTATTGTTGTCGATATCGTTTATGTAAAAGCATTTATCAGTTACTTACCGCAAAGTATAACTGCTTTTGAAACCTGAGGAATTAGCAAAATTTTCTCTACAGGTTTTTTACCGAGACCTAAATTAATTGTACTTTCTAATTGAGTTGCTAATGTCTTTTTTTTTTTTTTTTTTTTTTTTAATGTTAGAAGTTGTTTCAACATTGACTCTAATGTACATTATATATATACATATACACCCCCTTTTTTTTAAAAAAAAATAACTTACTTTATCCTGTGAAGACTTATTATCTTCTAGTGAATAATGTAATATAAGTCCATCATGCGTACCGCAATAAAGATCACTATCTTTATATATACATAAAATATTATTAATTATATACATGTAATTAATTATCCCCTCTTAATGCTGCGTTTACCCCAAGCAGCTACAGATTCTATATCAATTAATGTATTCAATGTTTCATTGTTAGTTGGAGAAACGGGTCTTTTGGTCGAGAAGAATGAATTATTAACTAATCTAGGTGAAAGTGATTTTTGTTGTAACTCTGTTGAATTATCAAAAGTCGATGGTAGTAATATAGATTGTAATGTATAAGGCGTATATGGCATTTATTGTGTTGTATTGTGGGTATGAATTTGTAAATGAAAAAGAAGAGTGAAATTCACTTTTGTTACACATTAAAAAGCATATTTTTTTGTACTCCGTCATATTTAGAGAAGAAGAACACGCTCAAATAGAAAAGTAAAATCAGTATAAAAATAAGTAGTATATTTTTCTGTCTCTCTGTCTGTCTGTCTGTGTATTGATTCAGACAACAATTGTATATCAAATATCTTGACATGTATTAGATTTGACAGAATGCAAAGCTTTGGTAGCAGCAACAACATTTGCAACAAACTCGTCTGTTCGAATTAAGTTTTGGAATAAAATCTTTTCATTTTTTTTTTGGATCTATCATAGTTTATATGTTAGAGCTACTATGTAAATGCTCTTTTTTTTTCCGATTTAGACGTGCCATTTTTGCAGCAAAACACTTTTCACTCAAGCTACCATAGATTTACATAGTATTCTCGCTTGTCAAAGTTGTGGGGGAATGATATGGCAACCTGATGTGAGTGCTTCCAAAAGAAAAAAACAATATTTTTACAATTTCACTACAAGTAATCAGTGGGCGCGGTCGTCCTTTTACTTTTTTGTCAAGTCCAGTAATTTATGTTGTTATATCACCGTCTCGAATACAGAGAGAGGGGGTTTTTTTTTCTTCTTAACGGAAAAATTCAGATTTTTACAGGTATTATTTTTTTTTTTTTGATCTAAAACTTCTTACTAATCTCAATTTCACTCGAAAATACTGTAGCATAAACATTTACATTCACAAACGCTTGTATTTCCCTTTCACAGTTGATGACCTAAGATCCTTTCTTCTCAATATGCTCGCTCTTCCAAGGCGTAAACCCCGTCGTAACTCTGATTACCTTAGCTGGTTTATTCTCTGGCCTATCCTTTGCACCATTTTACATGAATTGGATCATTATTTCCATGATGACTTTCCTCCTCCTGTTGAGCTGGTTACTCAAGAAATAGTGTGAGTCTCTCTCTCTGGTTACTCTGGCCTAGTTTCCTTTCCTTTTCATTCTATCTCTTTTTCCTTATTATCTTATATCTATTATTTTACTTTTTTCTCTTTCTTTCTCTTTCCCTTGTCCTTTAGGTGAATTTTTATTCTTATAACATCTTTATAGCTAGCTCGGACAATACAACACGTTTTATTGCTACATGCTCACTGCCAAAAAATTGGAAAAAAAAAAGGAAGGAAAGAACTTCCCCCATATATGCTTATCAGAGTGCTCATTGAGTTTAAATTTTATTAACAAATAAAATAAGCGTATTGCTTTTACAATGCTTTCCAATTAAAAAAAAAAAAGGTGACGGAATTATAAAAATTCCTAACTTGATGTCATCAGTTTATTCCGGTAAAGAAAAAAAAAACGCGTAATCTTAAAGCGGATTTACAAGTTACAGAAAAAAAAAAAAAAAGTTACAAAATATAATTGGGAATTGAAGGCATATTGATATATAAAGATTTCAATCTCTCTTTATTATATAAAAATAACATAAAATACACATAATGAGTTTGAAGAAAGGAGAAGTTAATCTTGGTGTAATGTCAATTTATAACAATTTGATTCAATCAAAGTAATTGACTTTGTTATTTTATAAATAGACTTCCATTATGGCAGTAGCTTATAAAGACGGTGTCATTCTCGGTGCTGATTCACGTACAACAACAGGCGCCTACATTGCTAACAGAGTTACAGATAAATTAACTAAAGTTCATGACACTATTTACTGTTGTCGATCTGGATCTGCTGCAGATACACAAGCTATTGCTGATATTGTTCATTATTATCTTCAAATGTACACGTAAGTGTGTTTTAGTCCATGGATGAATGTTGATTTTCACTGTATTCATTATTCAACTTTTTTTTTTTTTTTTTAAAACAAAAAAAAAAGTGTTCAGGAAAATGAAGCACCTACAGTTCGTACAGCTTCAGCTTTATTCCAAGAATTATGTTATCAAAATAAAGATAATTTAACAGCTGGTATTATTGTTGCTGGTTGGGATAAGAAGGATGGACCTTCAGTATATAATATTCCTCTTGGTGGTTCTCTACATAAAGCACCTTTTGCCATTGGAGGTAACTTTTATATATACATATTGTTATGATAAAATTTACTTATATATACATATATGACATACATATATTAGGTTCTGGATCAACTTATATTTACGGTTATTGTGATGCTAATTATAAGGATGACATGACACGTGAAGAATGTGAAAACTTTGTCAAGAATTGTAAGTTTCATAAAAAAAAAAAGTATATGAATTTTAGAAACTTATTATTATGAGAAATAGCTTTGGCATTAGCAATGTCTCGTGATGGATCTTCTGGTGGTGTTATTCGTTTGGCAGTTATTACAAAAGATGGCGTAGAAAGAAAGTTTATTCCCGGAAATGAATTACCAGGTAAGTATGAATGATCTCTTTATTTTCATAACTAACAATTTATTACTTTAGTTCATTGGGAAGGATAAATTGCAAAGTATATAAAAATAACTTTAATAAAAATTTATTTGTAAAAGCTGTGAATCTTTTTTTTTTTTTTTTTTTTTTTTTTTTTTGTTATTGTTGTCAATGATGATAAATTTTATGGAAAAAAAATATTCACTTACTTCCTTTTTTTTAATCATTTATTGTATAAATATAAAAAAAAAAATTCTTAAATGGGTTGGACATATACAAAAGCGCTTTTAGGAGCAAGCTCTTCTTCTTCTTCCACAACTAAAACAGCTACACGAGGCAGACCTAAGAAGCAGCCTAATACATCACCGAGAACTCCTAATCGTGCTCGTAGCATGCCAGCATCTAATACTTTACCAAGTATTCCTAATCGTGCACATGATGATGTAACAACAATAAGATCTGCTAGTCCATCCATATCTAATACAACTTCAACAAAGCTTCCTAATCCTGCTAATGCTCGATTTTCTTCTTCTCCAGTTATTAAGAATAGAGAGTCATCGATTGAAAGTACTTCAAGTTCCAAGAAAATGTTGGTCCGTGACATGTATGAAAATCTTTTACCACCAAATAAATCCAATTATCATTCAGGATCCAGCACAGCATCAACTGATTCAATACCATTATCCCAGTTATTAAGACCTCAATCAAATGTGAATGCCAAAGATATAACAACGAGTGATGAAACTGCTAAACCTAAAAAGAGAGGTCGAACTCCAAATACAACAACTGTACAAAGACGGAAACGTACTACAGATGAGGCAAGATCAGAGACATCAAAAAAGATCATGAAACGTCAATCATTACCCATATTAGGTACCTAGCCTATACACATAACAGATAGTTGACATGCTTAATTAACAAACCTATTTTTTTTATAAAAAAAAAAAAAAGATGCTATTTATCAACTAAAGCTTGTAATAAAGGGTCATACTGAGATCAACATACCAGTAAGAGAGAAAGGAGATTTAGAGGATAGTAAAGATATTTGGTGTTGTGAATTTGAACCTATTCGACATAGTGACGATATATCAACACAAACTGTAGCCATTGCAGGCTCTTATAGCGTTCTCTTTTTGGATACAGAACAAGGACGTTATATAAAAAAATACACACATTCAGAAATGCAAGAAGTCTTTTATTGTATGTCTTGGACTACATTGCAGGGTAAGGAATTATTGAATGAACAAGCGACAGAGGATGATCCTGGCTGCAATATATTGGCAGTAGCAGGTCGATTGGGTTCTATCAAATTATTAAATCCTTTGCAAAATGAATGTTATCGTTATCTATTTGGACATCGTAAGGCTGTTTTAGCCTTAACATTTGCTAAAGCTGAACCTCGATGGTTATTTAGTAAAGTATAAGAAAACACACTCACATAAACACACACACACACACATATATATATATATATATAGTTATATAGGAGAAAATATTGACTTATTTTACATTTATCAGGCGCATCGGCTGATCGAACTGTTCGTTTATGGGATATTGGATCACCTACAAGTAAAACAGATGACTCTGCGTAAGTTAATATTAATTTATGCTTTGGCAAAATACTAACTTTTGATCCTTTTTCTTTATTAAAAAAAAAAGCTGTTTGGCAAGGTTTAATATTCCTCAACGATTAGGCAACCCAACTTCAATAAGTATCTCACATGACCTTTCTACCCTTATGGTAGGGTGTGATAATGGCGATTTAATACGATACACGATCACTAAAAGACATATCCAAGCATTCAAAGCCAAGACACAAGAGTTTAGAGACAAAGAAGCGTCTGAGAATGGAGATAAATGGGCATCTGGTGGTGCAATTGCAAGTTTATCACCTATGACGGTATACCCTACAGGTGACGAATGGCACGAAGGATACCTTGATGATATTTGTATATTAGGCCAAGATGGAAATGAAAAGCATCATTTATATAATAAGATAGGTAAGATAATAATAACACTTTTTCAACTACTTTTTTTTTATTTATTTATTTTATACACACACACACTATTTTATTGCTTTTAAAATTAGTTTCTCGTGCTTCAGATGATATGGAAATAATTATATGGGATCCTAAAAAGAGTACAAAGGATGATGCTAGTATTGACATATCCTTAGAATGGCCCGAGTCTGCTGAATGTACAGGTTTAAAATATAAAGTAATTGAAAAAGGTAATATATGATATAAACTATGAATAGAATGTACAAATTATATTGACTTGGTAGCAGTGGGGCAAAAGGTATTGATTGCAGGTGACTATGATGGTCAAATCCGCATTTATAACATTGGTGATGGTAAAAAGAGTAAAACATTACCTGATAACAGCAAAGAACAGTTTCCACCAACAAGAGTGAGTTATTGATCATTTTAAATATTTATATTTCCTTGATATTTACTCTACTCTATTTCTACTAGATTTTATCACATCCTTCATCTGCTGAACTCATTCGAGATTTAACGTATTCTAGTGATACTAGCACGATTGTAGCTGTGAACAATGATAACACTATCTTTGTTTGGACTGTTTAAATATACATATCTAGTTTTGTCTAATAATAATAATAATAATAATAAAAACTACTGTTATTTTCATGGAGTATAATGTCTGTATAACATGTTCGATTTAATAGGTTTTTTTTTTCACTACTGAGTATAATAACCTGATTCATATTCTTGGAAAAGATAATATTTTGTATTATCCTTTAATCATCATTTTTAGCAATTCTTCTTAATTATGAGTAGAAAAATAGATTTGAAGTACAATTAGTATTCTAAAGAATCTAATGATTATTATTACAAGCAGTCCTCCAAAAAATATGTATATGCATATATGAAATATTTAATAAATCATCAAAGTTAAAGAAATACGAGACTATAGGGTTATGTAAGAGAAAGTCGAATAAGAATGAATAACGGAAAACATATAAATATTCATGTATATATGTATATATAAAGAAAATAAAAAAAAAAGATAGTGTCGCGAACAATAAGAATAATCTTCTTAATGGACTATTTACTACCTATGTATTAACCTACTTTTGAAATGTATTTTTATCTAAGAAAGTCTTTAAGAGACATACATACACACACACAAAGCCTCTTTCCTGTCAATTACCATGCAACTATTACTTCAATACTTTAACAAACATAGTCATATCAGGATGTTGAAAATCAAGCTGAAGTTTACTAAATTTTAACATAATTAATATTGCTGTATTGTGCTTTATATAACCTTTGCTGTTTCCTGTAAAAAAGATTGAGTTGTTAAGAGTACTGAATAATAATCCAAGTGTATACATTACTCAACTTTTAATAAAGAGAGCTCGAAAAAGGTATTATAATTTATCTATTTTTTTTTTTTATTTAAAAAATTTGAACAGTTTTTCTTTTTCTTTTTTCCTTTTCATAACAATGTTTTAACCGAGTCCAAAGAAAAAAAAAAAGCGTTGATTTGATGGATATCAATTTATTTGGTCCAAGCAGTAGGATTAGTACGGTTACAAATTAAAGCAGCACGGTCAAATGAATTACGATTCTTGTTAGCAGTAATTTGGAAACAAGTGGCACTACCTTGACGTGAAGAAATGACAGACCAAGAAAGGAAAATTTCCCAAATACGAACTAACTTTTCTCCATATTTAGCCTTCATGGCATCCTTATTTTTCATCCAGTTTTCATACCATCTTTCAAGTGTGGCGGAATAATGAACGCCTACTGTATCTACATTGTGAATTTCAAAACCAGCAGTTTCTAATTGTTTAATGTACCAATATAAGGGAGTGGAAGCATCAGCACCAGGGAAAATATACTTGGCCATAAAAAGACCCCTATTATAAAAAGAGAATAAAAAAAAAATAAAAATGAAAATAAAATAAATAAATAATAATTAGCTTCTTATACATATATGTATATCATCAAATTATATACCAAATGAAATCCTCATATTGCCATGTAGCTCTTAAACCAGCAACTTGCATATAGAAAAGGCCATCATCTTCAAGAAGTTCACGAATTTCTTGAAGGAAAGTTTGGAAACGACGAAGACCAACATGTTCAGCCATTTCTACTGCCTATATAAAACAAGAAAGATATAAATACATATATTTATACAAATAATGCAAAAATAAAAAAAGTCATCATATCTTACCGTAATCTTATTGTATTTTTGATTCTTGGGAATATCACGATAATCCATACAGAGTAAATTAGCATTGTCTTGAACTCCCCAATCCTTAATACGGTTTTCACCAAAGGCTACCTGATTACGAGCCAATGTAACACCTGTAGATTGACTCTTGTATTCCTTAGCAGCATAAGCCACTAAAGTACCCCATCCACATCCAATATCCAAATGTCGTTCACCTTCCTTCAAATGAAGCTTCTCACAAATCAATTTCATTTTATTTTCCTGCATCTCCTCTAATGTTTCACGTTTAGTGGGGTCAGAGATGATACCTGAGGTATATACCATAAGAGGACCTAAAAATGCTTCATAAAAGTCATTACCACGATCATAATGATCACGGACTTGATTTTCGTCTTGTTCGCGAGAGTGCCAAAAGGTTTCAGGTAACCATTGAGTTAAAAAGAACTTGAATTGACCATATGTGAATTGGAAGGCTGCCCAGTCATGACGAAGTTCCATGATCTCAAGTGGATCTCCGTTAAAGTCTACTTTACCAACGAAATAAGCTTCAAAGAAAGTTTCCATAGGAATCTTATTACGTCCCCTGTATCGGTTTTTAAGCTCAGGGTCGTGGAAGGTTAAATAATGTTCAATAGGTTTACCAGGAAGTGGAATAGAATTACGATAACGAGGAGCAAAACGTGAAAATAAATAAAGAGTGCAAGCCAAGATAGGTAAAAAGAGGACTACTGTTAAAACTAAGAAAGCCCAAAATGGAAGTCCTAAACTGAAGGCTAAAAAAGCAGGGATACCTAATGCAGCACCTACCAAGATACGATTATCAAATGTTTGATTACCTGCTCCTTCAGCAGGCAACGTAGCATTATGAATACTAGCCCAAGTTGTCGGTTTAAACGAATTTGTCATCTACAGTTTAAATGTTGAAATGAGACAATACAAACAATAATAAAATAAAATAAAATAAAATAAAAAGCTGTTCTTTAAAATAACAATAATAATAATAATAATTTCTCCACATATTATTTTGTATAAAAAATAGAAGCTATCACTTTAATCCCCTTAACATGTATAGACACGCTTTTTTTTTTAAACCTACCTTTTAAAAATAAAGATAAACAAGAAGAAAATAAATGAAAATAAAAGTAGAGGTTCCTTTTAATTTTAGTTTATTGTGCGACATGTCAATCGTTATTACAAGTGGTTTTCGTGGTTTTGACTTTCAAAACATTTTATATCCGCAAAAAAAAATAAAAATAAACATAAATAACGATAAAAAAAAAAGAGGCTGTACAAATTCCAGTAGGACTACGATAATAATATGTATAGTTTATTAAAAAAAAAAGAAAAAAAAAAGACTTGCTAAAAAAAGATGGAAATTATAAAAGTTTAATAGGATCGAATTAATATGTGTATAAAAATAAAAATAAAAAAAAGTATATTTTTAATATAGCCAAGCCCATTTTTCTTCAATATATTTTATAGTTTCACTTGTGTTCTTCCTACAGTTGAAGAAACTAGGTTGGGCCAATGAGAAAAAATTTGGTCGTTTCAAAATTGAATTGGGACAGAGACACGAAAGTAGGACAGCGATACGGAAATGGGACATATGAAGATACTTTTAATTTTTGGGTGAATGAAAACTTTTATTCAATAGGTCAACTTACCTGTAAATATAGGGTGTCTTGCTGCTATACAGGACATAATGTTATTCAATTGTTCAGGCTATTTTTCCACAAATAATAATATTGTTGTTAGTATATGAAGTAATGAAATCTATATTAATATCAAGATAGCTTACCCTGTCGAAACTCTTCAGGTCGATTGTTGTCGTTGGCAGCCATATACAAAAAGATAGAGCGTATGTTGAGACTCGCCATGTGATCTCTGTTCCATCGAGTATTACAAGTTTGACAGTTGAGAACTGGATGGATCATCATATTGGAGTTATCACGTTGGTTGGAAGTACTTCTTGTATGACATCTGGGACATATTTGACTTGTGAAATACTCATCAATCATAACGATGTACTTTCTTGAATTTGGCTGATTGCGTCTGGTTGATTTGACATAATTTAGCAGGGCTTTTCTGAATACCTTTGTTGGAGAAGGTACATTCCCACGAAGCTCACTGAACTGAGCAGAACGAAACGCCACTACAGTAGGCTTTCCAGCTTCACCGGCATTGTCACTAGGGGCTAATGGTTTCCACTTTTGCTGATTTGCTTGTTGTATATCAGGATTGCCTTCTTGGTATTTTCTGCTACCTGTAAACAACCGTTTATACATTTCGGTCAATACTTTTTGCTTGTTTCTATAGCTGTAATATTTGAGCTTTTTCAATCCGGTTGTGTAATAGCCTCTAATTGCCTCAAAGTTCCGAAATATATAACGCAAAGCTTCATTGAACAGGTCTCATTTACACGTCCTTGTTGATGATGTATTAGAAATCAGACGGCGTGCGTCAACATTGGCTCACAAATGATGACTTGCTGCTCCATTCTTTCTAAAACATGGTATAACCACGGCAAATACAAGTGAGGTATAGCATAGTAATTTGTATCAGTTAGGTTCAAGCCATGTAATCTTTGGCGGCATTCATCAATAAGATTGTTGTTGATTGAGGTTTTGTGAGTGTCGGCAACTTCCATATTAGCAGGGTAAATTACTTCTTGATTGGTACAAATAGCATTGTATACCTGCTCAGCTAGGTCGCGTTTGACACCAGTTCGGAAAGGGAGGTCTGGAAATTCAGTTGTGTCAGAAAGCCTCGTAAAGAGATAGCGCAACGTTTTTGGTTTGAAGTTGGTTCCAACATGATTCTCTATGAGCGTCTCAAAGCTATGCATGACTATTGAGATTAGTGTGCTATACTGAATGTTGGGGAACTGTTGTTACCTATTAAAATCTTCTCCCATGTCATTACTAAATTGTAAGAAAGCTTCAGTGATCTCGGCATCAGCATTCTTTCCTTGACCAACAATTAAAGCAGCAAAGTCGTATAGTTTTTTTTATGAGTCAGTTTTGGTACAGCCTCGACCAATAATTGATGGGTATCAGCATAAATGACAATAAAATAGGAGAAAGGGGATGTCATTTAAGTTTTCATTCTGTAGAATCGGTAGATAAAAAAGATATAAGAAAAAACAAAAGCAGTGGGTTAATCTAGATGCTTGTGTGAGTGTTTATTCAATGTAAACTAACTGAAGGACTTTATTGATCCAAGATGATCTTCTTTATATACATCTGTCGCTATTTGTTACTTGTATGAATATAATCATATGAAATTGTCGGTTTTCTGATCCACTATTATCATAACATTGGTACCTGGACTACATACGGAGCCCAATATTACAGAGTATAAATAACGATTTTAACCAAGACCTGGTGGCTCTAGGTCTTTCTTTCTTACGAATAATAAAAACCCTATATTCTACGTATCCGAATTACTTTACTTGGCTTTATTATTTCAAAAACGATAGTTCACTCACTCCATCAAACTCACAGAAATGCTCCTTATTGTCCTAAGTAATTCGAATCTGGGATATTCTCCATGAGGATTGTTCGTTCCGGGATCATTCAAGTTAGGTGAATCATATCCTAATCTGGATGATCATCATAGTAGTCTGATAGTCTATTAGTGACCTTTCTTGTTAAATGGAACAAGATTATAGCTTCTTGTTTATACATTCGCCCAAAAACTAAGCGTGTCTCAATATATCCCACTTTTGTATCAGTGTCCCACTTTCATATTGGTGTCCCAATCCAACTTTGAAACGATCAAATTTTTTCTCATTGACCCAACCTAGTTTCTTTGATTGTAATAACCGAAAAAAAAAAGAAAGTAATGCTTACTTCATATACCTTTGAAGAATAAGAAGAGGTGAAAAAAAATCTTGTACGTATATTTAAAGCGTTTAATTTTTATATAAACTGTTAGGAATATTTGCCAAAACATGTATAAGCTTTAATGATAATAGAACTACATATAAAGTATCCTTTGTTAAATAGAATTAAGCAAGATGCGTGCAAAAATTTTATGCTGACTGGTAAATATGTATAATTATTTTAAGGATTCTTTATTCACTAAGCCCTGGAGTATAATCTTTAAATTTCTTTAATTACAATCAAAGCATTTTTACTCAATAGTAAATAAAAGAAAACATCACTATTGAGTGCATTGGAAGTTTTTTCTTTAATTGAATATTTCATAGGAGAGATATTATTATAAATTTTTTATTTGAATTATAAGAATAAAAAAAAAAGGTAGTTATTGATAAAAGTGTCAAAACTAGATCAACACATAGACTATTTGCTTTCAATAGAGGCATATCAATATGTATATGTATATTCACACACACACATATATATATATAGAGAGAGAGAGAATTCAGCTACTTCTTCAAATGCTTCGCCAAGATTTTCTCGAATTATAGCACTTACTTTCAAAGAAAATATGAATAAAGACACCATTCTACGCAATTTAGATGCAAATTCAATATGATATCAATATAAAGAATTATTTAGTGACTTACATAGTCAAGAAGATACCAAAAAGTAATACTGCTGCATAAATACCATCTGCTTCTATCAAGACTAGATGATCAGCTTATAAAAAATGTTGTAGTTGCAAAGTAAGTCCTAGTAATAGGTAAAATGAAATAAAATGATGACCACAAAATATCTGAGCATATCTTATATAACTTTACACTAGTTGCAGTATTTGACATATCGGGCATTATCTTCCAATTTTGCTAGGTAAAAGATATGTGAAAACATACATAGACATAGCAATTTGATAGCTCTCCAATCCCAGCTATTATGAGGTATTAAGGTGTGCTTGGGGATCATGAGAACTAGCCAACTGGCTATGTATGGACACATATGGTAGAATTCAAGACAGCTACAACAAAGACACCTATCTAGTATGCATTCGGAACAAATTCTAATAATGAAGATATAGATACAAACAATGCTGAAATCGTCATAGCAAGTGAGACTTGAAAAAGGATATCAATTATTAGGTGATCCACAAATAATTGCGAGTGATTTTTAGGATTCAGTTTCCTTAATACAGATTATAAAATGTGGAAGAAAATATAAACCTTTTTTTTTATCGTTTGTTTGTTTGTCTGTTGTTATTGTAATGTTGGTGGTGCTAATGGGATATTAGATTATTGCCTTTTCATCTATTGATTAAGTGGTTATAGGTGTCATATAGAATTTTTGTTCAATTTTTTGATCTCTTTTTATAGTAGGAAGCCAGTTTAAAATTACTGGTTCTGCTTCTAGTTATATATATATTTGGTGAAGTATATAAATATGAATATCTATCAACTAAGCTTAACAGGATCAGGATATAAGTAATATTATGTTAGAATAGATTCGACATTATTAGATGCCGAATATGTGTCTTCAAAAGAGGTAGCGTTAATTATTGTTGTCTCATTACTTTCATACTGAATATGAAGTGGTGATACTTCCTTAATAGAGCCGTCTCCCTCTGAAAGCAGTATAATAAATGAGGGGTTTTTTTTTTTAAAAAAAAAAGGATGGAAATATGGTTCATACTAGACTATAGAATCCTACATTTTATGTTTGGCCTTTTTGGCTTAATCAGTACTGGAAGGCATTTTATTACTGTCTAATATCGAGTGAATATAATTTTATGTAACGTCATCAAGCGAGGAACAACAATTAACAATTATATATAAAAAGCTTAACCTTAAAAGCTATCCTATCTTTCTTTTTTGATTTTTTTTTTTTAAAAAAAAAAAAGAAAAAGAAAAAAAATGTTTAAGCAGCTACCAACAACTATTTTTAAAAAAGGTATAAACATAGTTTATTTTAAATAATCCTTTTTGTGTATCTTATATATATATATATATGTATGTATGTATGTATAGGAATGACACCACAGAAACGCATGTACGGAAGTTTAATGACGCCTAATGAGTTGAAATCAGCAATGGGCACCGTCAAAATATTAGATGGTTCATGGCACATGCCAAATGCACATCGAGATCCCTATAAAGAATATTTGGAAAAAAGAATTCCAGGCAGTCAATTCTTTGGTATTGATACAATTAAGGATACCTCAGTTGATCTTCCTCATATGCTCCCTCCTCCTGCGGTCTTTGCTGAAGCTATTGGTAAAATATGCAAACAATAATAAAAAAGAAAAAAAAAGGAAAGAGAAAGAGAGAGAGAGAGTGTGTGTGTGTATGTGAAATTACTTTAAGTATATGAATATTTTTATATATATGTTCAGGTAATATGGGTATTAGTCAGGATGATCATGTTGTTGTGTATGATACAGCTGGAGTATTTTCTGCTTGTAGAGTCTATTGGACATTTAAGGTACAAGAAAAAAAAATAAAAATAAAAAAAAAAATAAAATAAAAAAAAAAGATGTAAATTTTACATTCTATTTTTAAAAAATAAAAGGCTTTTGGACATGATACAGTTTCTGTCTTGAACGGCGGATTGCCTCTATGGGAAAAAATAGGTGGCTCAATCGAAAGAGGCAAACCTTCAGCTGTTGAACCTAAACACTATTTAGTACCAAAGATCAACAAGAATCTTGTACGCGATTATCAAACTGTATTAGCCACTGGACGTGCAGTATTACAAGAAGAATTGACAACAACAATGAATTATAAGGACGGAATGAGAGCACAGATTCTAGACGCACGTCCCTATCCTCGTTTTACAGGTGAAGCACCTGAGCCACGCGAAGGTTTGAGCTCTGGACATATGCCGGGCTCTATTAGCATCCCATTTAACGAAGTTATAAATACAGCAACAGGCGAAATGTTAGATAATGATCAATTACTTCAAGCATTTGAAGGAAAAGGAGTTGATCTTTCAAAGGAAATTATAACAAGCTGTGGTAAAATTTATAATATCAATTTATATTCTTTCATACCTCTAATATAGATGATATAGGAAGTGGCATTACTGCTTCTATTCTTTATTTAGCGTTGGAAAGAATTGGTGCTAAACATTTAGCTGTTTACGATGGTAGTTGGACTGAATATGCGTCAAAGGAAGATGCAATCATTATTAAGGATTAATTTTGAAAGATTTTATAAATAAGCTTTCATGTTTATCCATTTTCAAAAAATACATTTGAAACATAAAAAAAAAAACAAAAAACAAAAGCAGCGATTGCTGTGTATATAAAAGAAGTATGCAAATTTATTATTACCTTCATTTTATTACTATTATTATTATTCAACCATATTATTAAACGATGCCTGTTAATTCTATCAAGCCAGTCGATTTATCTGGCGGACAATGGTATATAATGATAGCATAATTATACAGAATATTGTGTGTACACATATGTAATCATTTCTTTTTCTTTTTTTTTTTTTTATTTAAAACATGTATATATTGTCATTTTATAATAGTGATCATTGCGGACAAGTAAACAAAATAATAAAATACAAAGTACAAGCGTATATTAAAGTTTTATCTTTTATATATAGTATGGCCATAGTAAGAAAACATGTAGTCTTTTAAAATCAAAATAAGCAATATATCATATATAGATATATATGTGAATAGATACATGCATGCATGCATAAATGACTTTCATATTAAAAATAAATGTGTACAATTAATAAACATGTATGTACATATAAATATATACATATTTATATATATTACTATACTCTAAATCAGTTCCATATAACGTTTCAACTCATAGTCCGTAACAGTATTTTGCCATAAATTCCATTCATGCTTTCTTGTACCCACATAATGATTAATAAACTCATTTCCCAATACTTTCCGTGCTACTGAGTCCTCCTTTTCCATCTCCTGTATAGCCTCCTGTAATGTACGTGCTAATTTCTTATTCTGCTTCACCTCATCTGGAGTATGACTAGGTCCAACTGGTAATTCTTGTTTCGTTTTAATACCCCAATATCCACATTTTAATACTGCTGCCAAAGCTAAATGAGGATTTATGTCTGCTCCTGAAACTCTCTATACATAAATAATAGATTTATACTTATAATATATATATATATATATAATATATACATACCATTTCCATACGCGTTGCATTTGCAGAAGCAGATGGTGGAGCAATAACACGAACTGCTGTATGTCGAGAGTCTATACCCCAAGAAACACTTACAGGTGCCCAATAATTTTCAACCAATCTTTTATAGCTTTTACAAATATCTATATTAACAATCCTCTTCCTTATATATATATATATATATTGTTGAATACTCTCTATTTACCTATTCACTGTAGGTGCCAGTATAGCTAAAATACTCGGCAATCCTCTTAATACACCTGCTAAAAACCAAACAGCTGCTTGAGTCAGACCGTCATAATCTGATGGCTCTCCTACTGCAAAAACATTATCCCCACTCCTATCTTTCAAACTAAAATGCATATGACCTGAGCATCCGGGTTGATCTGTATAAGGTTTAGCCATAAAGGATGGCATAACATGGTGTTTCAAACCAATCTGTTTCATGGCTGTCTTGAAGAGCGTTGCACGATCACCAGCTTCTTTAGCTTCATTATAAAAAATGGCAGCCTCAAAGACACCAGGTCCTGTTTCTGTATGCCAACTTTCAATATCAATGTTAAACTGTTGAAGCCAATCAAATGCATTCAAATAAAAGTCTTGATTTTGACTTGGTCTTAATAGAGAATAACCGCACATACCTAAGGTAAGAGGTGTTAATGGACTAAACTCCTTTTTCGCTAGACTTTCAGTTGTTTCTAAATAATAATAATAATAAAAAATAATAAATGAACAAGTAATAATATAGTTTTAATTAGGTCATGTATCCAAACCTTTGAAACAAAAGAATTCAAATTCAACCCCACAATAAGGTGTAAGGCCTAATTCTTCAAAATCCTGTACAGCACTTTTTAATAAGTTTCTTGGACAACAATAAAGAGGTTTATTGGTAACTGGATGATAAAGAGAAACTAAAAAGAAGGGTATATTATTTTCCCAAGGAATACGTCTATAAGAGCTTAAGTCTATCTTGGCTATCAAGTCAAAGTATTGAGCATCCTTTCCAGCAAATTCAATAGAAGTTGTAGTATAATTAATATCTTGAATATCCCAACCAAATATAACTGAACAAAAGCCTATTCAAAATTACAAGTTACATAAATTTATTTTGTTTTTAATAAAATAAATAAATAAATCTTTGTACCAAAACCAGTCTTAGCTACTTGCAAGAATTTATCTTTATGAATAATTTTTCCTCTTAGAATTCCATCAATATCAACTGCAGCAACTTTAATTTTTGTATCATGAATCAAATTCTCTTCAAGATTATTTAGTGTTAAAGATGTATGTGTCATTTTAGTTTTATTTTTTTTAAGAAAAAAAAAAAAAAAAAAAAAAAAAAAAAAGAAAAAGGAGTATTTATTAGGCACCTTTTTTTTTTAATGCACGACTGACTATTAACTAAAATCACGCGGAGTTAGTTTAGCATAGTATCATAGTCGTCATTGTTATCCATATTTAGTAATAAATAAAGTTTTATTTAGTATACGATCATCAAGTTGGTTGTCATGCAGAAACGAAAATAATAATACATAGTAGTAGTAGTAGTGGTAGTATAGTTGTAAAATATATATGCTTAGAATGTCGAAATTATTAAAGATGTATGCGTAAACATGATACATGTGAAGAATATCTATTATACATATTAGAAATTAATAAATAGTTCGTGAAAAGGATCATCATTAGGCTCCTCTCGTGATGTTATCTCATCTGGATACTTTTCAAAATTACTTGTATCGTATTCATTTGAATAAGCAGGTATTATTGGTGCCTTTAAAACATATATATATATATATATATATATATACATATGTATATAAATGTAAGTATTGAGAAGAAATAAATAATAATAATAATAATACATTATCCATATATATACATATATTTACCCGTATTGTCTTATTTAATAATCCATACCAATCTGCCGAATTACGAAACCACTTGTGTCTTTTAACATCTTCTGCACCCCCTTTTAAATTACCTAATCTTCTTGTTCGATCAATGACTAGTAACTTCTTTAACAAATCCTTTGCTGAACTCTCAAAATAAGCAGGATAATGTATTTTACCTCCCAAAATTCTTTCATAAATACCAAAGTGATTATCATCGTAAAATGGTGGATAACCTGCCATCATTTCAAATATGAGAATCCCAAGAGACCACCAATCCACTGATTTATTATGTCCTTTACTTTGTATAATTTCGGGTGCTAAATATTCGGGAGTACCACATAGAGTCCATGTTCGATCAAGAACTTGTTTAGCAAAACCAAAATCAGTTAATTTGATATAACCTCTATGATCTATCAGAATATTTTCGGGTTTAAGGTCTCGGTAAATGATATTTTTATGATGAAGGTATTCGAGAGCGAGAATGATTTGTGCAGCATAGAAGCGAGCTGTATCGTTCGGGAATCGACCTGCTTTTCGAAGATGACGAAATAATTCTCCACCAATCACATATTCTTGAAGCATATAAATAGATCGATTATCCTGAAATGTGCAGTATCTATTTACAAACTTGAGTTTCATATGTCAATCAATAAATACATATATACACATACACATATACATATACATATGCATATACATATACATATACACATATAGACATATACATATATATATATATATATATATATATATGTATATTTATATGAATAAGGAAAGTAGTAAGAATATGATTTGAGAACTTACAATTGAACTATAAAGGGGAAATTGAGTTCTGATAATATCTGTCTTTCTGAATTGATATGTTCAACCTGTTTTAATTTTACAATGTCTATTTTTTTTAAAACTTTGACAGCATAGTATTTATTTGTATTTTTTTGTTTTGTTAACCAGACTCTACCAAAGGTCCCTGTACCTTTAAATAAAATAGAATGAGTTAAAAAAAATAAGATTCTTTTCTTTTTTTTTTTTTTTGTTTATGTAACAAACCTAGTGTTTCTATTAATTCGAAGTCTTTAATACACATTATTGGTAAAGAATTAAATAATGAAGGCTGATTTTGCCAATACGAAAGCTGTTCTTGATGTGCTGTCCATTCTGAAGATACAGAAGTTGCTGTAATGTCACTTTTTTGGTCATCCTTTTTATTAGTCCATAAGAAGCTTTGAATAGTAATTGTTGGACTAAAAGAAACTAACGAAGAAGATGATTTTTGCGAAGTGAATATTTCCTTGTTTGATAATATAGTTAAGCTTTCTGTAGCTTTTAATTGTTTCTCTTTTTTCTGACTAAATACAAGTGACGATACAAAATTAGACACAAATTTTAAAGGCATTTCATGAATAAAAGGAAAAAAGAGTTGGGGACCATACAAAGAGCAAAACTTCTATCGAATAACTAATATATATACAACACATGATTTTGATTGCACAGGGACTTTTTTTTTTCCAAATTTCAATTCCGCATTTGGATACAGGTTTTTAAACCTTTATTTAACTTATTAATGCATTTATAGTAGTCAAGCGTAAGGCTTTTTTTTTTAATATAGAACTATTCCATTTATAACAGTATATCGTGCAATAACTAATGTAGTAGCTTCTTATAAATATTCATCATCACTTTATAGAAGTATTGCTTTTATATAACAGAGCATTTTACAATGTCTTCTTTTTTTTTTTTTGTTTATTAAGAGTTGTTCCTTTAAGCTTCTTTTTAAAACATGTGAAATAATTGTCGTGTTAAAGGTCAAAATACATTGAACAAGTTTAGTAATATTATACTTTGGTTTTAATTTGAGTAAAAGTTGAAGAATAACAAAAAAAAAAAAAAAAACTAGACTTTATCTTTATCCTGGAAAGAATGTTTAATGAGTCAATCAAAGACAAAAGAGTAATTTGAATAATTCAAAAAAGCAGTTTTGCTTATTTGATAGTTACGAGATATTCAAGCTTGTGCCTTTAATGTTACCTTTTGAGAAGTTTATATATGTTAACAGTCAGAAAATATCATAGTAGAACAATATTGAGAGCAAAATGCTATTTTATTTTAAGAGTAGTTTTATGCTTGGATTTAATAATAATAATAAAAAAGTGTTTGTATTAGGTACACATATGCCAGCACAAATAGTTGAAGACTATGACGCTCAATGACTACAAAAACAATCAAGAATGCTTATGTCATCAGAACTTGAATGTTGTATTCAAGTTTAGGTATATTTTATTGTCTTTGAGGGAAAATTACCTTTTGACCTAGTTATATCCTACATCAATATGATATAGTCTTCAAGGAAAAAAAAATAGATTTTCTACTACATTTATTACTGCTAATACTCAATTCAAATATGATATTAAACATAAGACAAAAGGGATAATTTTCAACGAGAATGATTGGAAAAGAAAAAAAAAATAATTACAAGTTTGATTTGAATCATATAGAGCTTACTCTTCATGTAGTCTATATTATATCATGAATGAGTAATAATAGATAGTAAAACTATATATCATTCAAATGTACTTGTTGTATTTTATCGTTTAAATAGTACTTTTCTATTATCTACGAACTAGCAAGCTAATGGGTTTAATGATTTATTGTTAACAAAGCTCTGTTAGGATGTCTTTTTCATACTTCTTGTAGATTTAGCAGATTATTCAATTATTTACAAATAGTAGCGCTATATTATATAATTTTGAATAATCAAGTTGATATGAAAGAGCTTTAAATCTGAATTAAGCAAACATGTATTATTTAAATAGAATAGTATAAAAATTTAACCTATTCATTAAAGAGATACGACAGGACGTTATTGATATAGTTGATAGCTTTGATTTATGTTTGAAGCAAGTATATATTTATTTATCAGTGTAAATTACGTTATAAATATTAAATTTATACACGTGTAGCTTATTTTTTAGCTTAACCTTATATGCTTTGAGGAAATATAGATGCTTATTCATATTATTGTAAAAAACACACTTAACTCTTCATAAGTAAATTTTACTGGTATATTTATTAGCTCTATCATATATACACACCCTATTATCATTTTTTTGCATTAAAAAAAATAAAAATAAAAAAAAAGCTTAAAAGCAGCGTCTCCGCTTAACAATGTTGAATTATGTCCTTTTTTTTCTCTCTTTTTTAATAAAATATGTTGGAATCACTAGTAGCTAGTATTTTAAATCGAGTATTAAAGGATTACGTTTCTAATTTAAATTATGATCAATTAAAAATTGGAATGTGGAAGGGTAACCTACTTTGAGAATAGCAGATACACACTAGCTAAATCTCATTTTTATAATAGGTGAAGTTAATCTTCGTGATCTTAAACTTAGAAAAGATGCTTTAGACAAACTGCAACTTCCAATTAATGTATCTGAAGGTAAAGTTATCATTGTACAAAGCAATCGTCAGTGTTCAATGTTGGATCCTTATTTTTTTTTATTTTTTTTTTAAAATAAAAATAACAGGCTGCTTGGGTGAATTAACACTTATTATTCCGTGGTCTAATTTAAGAAGTAAACCAGTTAAAGTTATTATTGATCATGTCTATTTATTAGTAGAGCCTAGAAACGAAGCTACTGTAAAAAAAACAATTAATTAATTTAAAGAAAAAGTAATTGATAATTTACTCAACTACTATCTATAGGTGACAGTAGAAGAGGAAGAGGCAAGAATTCAAGAATTAAAGCACCGACGCTTATCCACTGCTGAAATGCTTGAAGCATCAACAGCACAACAGCAACCTCAACAAAACCATCAACAACAAGGTAATGATGGTTTTATAAGTCAGCTCACAACAAAAATCATTGATAATCTTCAATTTACAATGAAGAATATACATATTCGCTATGAAGATACCCTTTCTGATCAAGGACATCCTTTTGCAGTTGGTATTACACTTAAAGAATTGAGTGCTTTATCTACTGACGAAAATTGGATCCCAAAATTTATTAGTGACCCTACAAATACAATTAATAAGGTACATTTAAATTTATAAACTTGATTATTATCAATATAAGAAACTTATTCTGTTTCTTTTTTTTTATAGCTTGCAATGCTTGAATCGTTGTCAGTATATTGGAATACTGATTCGCAATCATTGGCTGGCATGCAACTTGAAAAAGCAAAGCAAGCATTTACTAATTTGGTAATAAGATAAATCATAAAATTGTCGACTGCAAGGGGGTGGGTTTGCTTTTATTAACCAAAATGCACATATAGATTCCTATTTCTTCAAATTTACCAGGAGAACACCAATATATCTTAAAACCAGTATCAGGCACGGGAAAGGTAAATAATGTTATATATTCTTTAAAATCTTCTCTTGTTCAATATTATTCTTTACAAAAGGTTAAAATAAATAAAAAATATGGAGGAGATGTTCCAAAAACCGATATTTCACTCTTATTTGATCAGTTTGCATTTGAACTTGATGATCGACAATACCAAGATGCTATTCTTATGATCGACCTTCTTCATGCCAGTCTCAAAAAGCAAAAATATCTTAAATTTCATCCCTCTAAAGAAAAAACACCTAGATCACATCCTCGAGAATATTTTCAATTTGCCGCTAAAGCTATTATATCTGAAATCCATGAACGCAATTATAAATGGAGTTGGGATCATTTTAGAACCCGTCGAGATCAACGTTTACAGTACATTGAATGTTATACAGCAGATAAAATAGGGAGTGCTACACCTCAACAGAAAGAAAGATTGAAGGAGTTAGAATATGAATTGTCTTTTGAGGACATTCGCTTTTATCGAAGTATTGCAAAAACAAAAATACGCCGCGAAAGAGTTGTCCAGAAAAAGTCAGAAAATAAGACAACAGGGTGGTGGAGTTGGTTAACAGGTGCTACAACAAATGATTCGAATAATGCTACTGATGATGATACAGAATCAATATATATGACTGAAGAACAAAAAAAGGAGCTCTATGATGCAATTGAATACGATGAAGACAAAGCATCAATTATTAATGCTATTGATATACCCAAAGATGTAATATATATACATATTTACTACTTCTATATAAATACAAGAGCTGATTTATTTATTTTTTTTTATATCATTTTATGTAGTCTATCAAATTCTCATTAAAAACAAATCTGAACCGTGGTTCATTTACATTGAAACAGAATATTAGGAAACCGACAGAAATCGAATTATTATCCCTCGTGTTTGACGAAGTTAGTATTGATGTAACTCAATATGTAGAATCTATGAAAATAGCTGCTACTCTAGGTGATTTACAATTGTTTGATGGAGCTACGAAAGATACAATCTATCATCAGTTGATTGGTGTCAAGAATAAAATTAATAGAGAAACATCATCTTTATTAAATGTAAAGTACAATATGACTGAGAAACAAAGACGAAACTCTATTCTCATAGATCACCATCATGATCCTTTCTTCTCAATTGTATTTGAGAAAAAACCGTTAACACAGCAAGCTGACAATGCAATTTCAATCAAGATGAGACATTTAGAAATTATTTATAGTCCAATTGTTATTGCTGGAGTTAGAGATTTTCTAAAGCCACCAAGTTCCAAGATGGAAAGTGTCAATGCTCTAATTGCCGTCGCGGAAGATACCTTTGAGGGACTTAAGATTCAGACTCGTGCTGGTTTAGAATTTGCGCTAGAGATACATGAAACACTTGATCTTAATGTTGATATGGATGCTCCTATTATTATTATCCCTGAAAGTTTAACAAGCCAGGATTCTTCTGTCCTTGTGATTGATGCTGGTCATATTAATATCGATAGCCAACTTGCTGATAAAAAAATTCTGAATGATATCAAGGCTAAAGATATTACAAAATACAGTAAAGAAGATATTCAAACCTTAGAGAGTCTTATGTATGATAAGTTTAATTTACAACTAAGTCAAACCAAGGTATTGGTTGGCAGAAATACAAGAGAAATACAAGATGCAAGTTCTCGTTTAATAGAACGTATAGATATGAACTTTTTGTTAGAGCTTTGTATTCTTCCAGGAAAAACTGAGTTTACAAAATTCAAGGTTTCAGGACATTTGCCCCTACTGTCGATTAATTTATCTGATACCAAATATAAAATTTTAATGAAGGTCATTGACTTTATTGTCCCCTCATCGAATAATTCAGAACAAGTAGTAGTGACAAAACCACGAATAAATTCATCCAATGATAATTTACTTGGTAAACGTTTTTGGAGCTCACGAAGCAACGAAGTCTTATTGGTTGATTCTGCTAATGAAGAAGTTGCATCAGTTAGGAGTCAGTCAGATACAGTAGTTGGTTCTCAATATGGGACTAATATGGATCTGTATGAATCTGAACAATTTAAATTGATGTTCCAAGTGGATAAAGTATCAGCTGCTATTCATGAATCTAACAATTCAGATTTGGGAGAAGTATTACTATGTGAGCTTGTATTAGAAAGTTTTACATTAGTGGTCTTAACACGACCTGATGATATGCTTGTTGACGTTACTTTAAAGGCTCTTAGTATAGCAGACAAAATGGAACATACAGGTCCTTTCGACTATCTAGTTTTATCAGAAACTACAAATCAAGATAAAAATTTAGTTAATGTTGCATACAGGAAAGCATCACGAACACATCCTCACTTTGAAGATATGTATGATGGATATGATCAAACAGTTGATGTTGTATTGTCTACTTTAACGGTCATTATGTCAAGGAAATCTATTTTGAAATTATATAATTGGATTATGAATACCTTTACAACACCACAACAAACTAATCAGAGTGAAGGAATTTTTGATGGTGATGTATCTTATGATGATACTTCCTTTGCAACTAATAAGTCCATACTTTCCATTCCACTTCCTAATAGCAAACAAGCATCAAATTCCCAAAACGACAGTCGAATGAAAGTGGGTATTCATATGGATGGTGTCAATTTAGTATTAAATAATGAGGGAAGTAGTTTGGGAACTATCTCCTTAAGTTTTGGCGAACTTATTATTTTGTTATTACCTAAAACGATAGAGGTAAATGGTAAATTTGGAAACTTTACTTTAACCGATGATAGTAGCCCCAAACGTCATCAGACAATTAGTATTCTTGACAATAGCCTTGCTGATTTTACATATAAAACTTATGACCCTGAATCTAAGCAATTTCCTGGTTACCATCAAAAATTTGTTCTCAGGATAGGTTCCATTCAATTATTTGTTAACGATTCGATAAAACCAACTTTAACGTTCTTGCAAGACTTTTTAGAAATGAAGTCAGTTTATGATGCCGCTCGCACAGCTGCACTTGAGACTGCCCAACAATACCAGGGAGTTCGATTCCACTTTGATGTAGTTGTAAAGAGTCCTATACTAATATTCCCGGTAGCAGAGTCAGATAATTTGATAGCTTACCTTGGAGAGATTAGAGCAAAGAATACGTTTGTCAATGTGCGTCGACGCAACTTGCGTAAAATATTCGAATCAAGCATGGTTCCAGTTAACCATATTAGCTGTGGCCTTTATGATATCAGTCTTCGTTCGACCCAAGGAACTAACCAGGATAATTTTCTTCCAATTATTGATGACTTGAATATTATATTTAATATTGAGAACCCTGAAGACACTAAAGAAATGACGGGCATGCAAATTCTAGGTGAAGTTTCTGACGTACGAATGACTTTAACTGATCAGCAATATAAATCATTATTGGAAGTTTGGGAGTTTATTCAAAGTAATTTCCTTACCGGCAAAGATGATGTGAATCAACCAACAGAATCTGAAAATTCAATGATTACTTCCACTAGTATATCTACTAAATCAATCAATACAGTAGAGGCACCAACTATTAATCTTAATCTCTCTGTTGTATTGAAAATGATCTGCCTTGAAATCAAGACTGGCGATCATCCACTATCAAAACTTGCATTTAATGGCATACATATGAAATTACAAACTATGTCAAACGAATCAATGCTAATGGAAGTTAGCATGCAATCTGTCAGTTTTTCGGATACAAGAGAACAATCTAAATCTCAATTTAGAGAAGTTCTTCCCGCCAGTACAACCGATGGTTATCAATTCCAATTAAAATTATGCTCTTATAAAAATACCGAATTGATACCAACAATGGATATAAAGGTTACTGTTGATAGTCCCAAGATTGTTCTATCGCTTGATTATCTCTTTTTATTAAAGGATTTCTTTATGAACCCCTTTATCATCAAAAAACCAACAGAAGCGCAGAAATTCGCCCAATTACATGGTCGTAATAGCAAAAATATGATTGCTAAGAAACAACAACAGTTGAACGAGCAGCAAGTCATAACAGTTGTTAAATATAATGTTAATATTGTAGACCTTCAAATATTTTGTCTCGCAAATCCTGAAAAATTATCTTCAGAAGCTGTTATATTATCATTCAAACAGTTTATAGTTATTCAAGATGCTTGTCTAGATGCTTATTTGGATGGTATCGGTATGGTATTATGTCGTATGGATAATATTACTGAATCAACTATGCATTTTGTGGAATCTTTTAAAGTATCCATGAAGATGGAGACGGCAGCAGCAGGCTCAGTACATAACCTAACATCCATTAAGCTGAATCTAGAACCAATTATTTTACGATTATCCTATCAGGACGTAATGTTGATTATGACAATTGCTAATAAAATGACAACCTTAATGAGTGCTTCAGCAGAGCAGACACCATCTGATTCTACTTCTCAATTTTATGATATATCAACGGAAAGCTCTCTTCCTGTTCCTGGAGAGGTTAGGGTCCCCACAAACGCAATAAGCAAGCCAATAGAAATAGGGCCCTATATCACCATGTCAAAGGAATTATTGACAGCTTCCTTTGAAGGGCTACAAATAATTCTTATAGAAGACTTGCATGATTTGCCATTTATGGATTTTCAGGTGGATCCCTTTACTATCACAGTCTCAGATTGGTCAAGATTGCTTGAAGCTGAAGTCAATTTCTCACTTAAGGCAAACAACTTTAATTTTAAAAACTCACATTGGGAACCTATTATAGAGCCATGGGATTTATATATTCATGTTTCAAAAGATGCTGCAGACCAGTCAATGAATCTATCCTTTGAGTCTCAGAAGCCTTTAAATGTCAATATTTCGCATAACTTTTTAGAAACCCTTTTAACTATTTCTGAAACACTTTCACAGACTAAGGTAAAAAGATGAAAAAAAAAATGTAAGCTATTTTATTATATTTATATGCTGAACTTATCATTGTTTCTCCTATATTATTATTATTATTATCAAGCCAATTGCACAAACAGCACAAAATCAAGTTAGGCCATATCTCATTAGAAACTTTACTGGTTATGATCTTCGATTTTGGAATATGTCAGATGATGTTAAAAAAGGTGATACACGTGTCTATACATTACCACAAGGAGAATCCTTACCATGGACCTTCCGTGATTGGAAACAGCGTAGAGAAAGAACAAATTTAGGGAATAATTTATTTGGTCTACAAATAGATAAATATAACTGGGAAAGTCTTATCCATGTTCCCGTTGATACTGAAGGAGAGCGTTCTTATCGTCTACAACCTAATATTAATGGTATCTATCATCGTCTCATTGTTGATATACATTTGGAAAATCATGTCAAGACGGTTACATTTCGATCGGGTCTTGTCTTGGAGAACAAGTCTGCTTATACATTGCAAGTAGCCTTAGTTAATAAAGATCGTCGTATTTTAACTTCTGCAAGTCTAAAGGCCGGAGAGCCATTTTATGTTCCAATTGAACAAAGTTACAGTCAATGGTTTGTCGTAAGGCCATCAGATGAGTACCATTGGAGTAGTAAAATGCTAATGTGGTCTGATTTAATGTTGCCTTCCTGTCCTAAATACATTGAATGCTTGTCCTTCAATAGTGGATCATTATGTAGATTCCAAGTTCATGCCGAATTTGATAAAAGGAATCCCTTAGTGAAGCAATACCCATTTATGAAGGTTTATTTCAGTCCTCCAATTGAAGTTGAAAACTTGTTACCATTTGACTTTGATTTAATATTAACAAATGAACTGACAAATGAAAAGCTAACTACCTATGTCTCAAAGGGTGAAATAGCTCAAGTACATGACATGAAAAGTGATGCTGCACTTGTTATTGCTATTGATATCAAATCTGAAAGATATAAATGTAGTGATCCAACTATTATTCGTACGAAACCTTATGACTATATTATAGGAGAAAAACTTGTAGTTAATGATCAAAATGATATACAAATAATTTTACAAATGAATTTGACAAGATCAAGAGACAACGATGCATTACATATCAGTATCTATGCACCTTATCTAATCTTCAATAAGACAGGACTTCCGGTTTGTTTACGAAAACGACAGAATGTTTATCATCAAGCACAGCAGCCGGTTGAACATATCCCCGCTTACATAGAGGGTGACATTGTAGAGCCTGTTATCTTTTCTTATCCAGGGGTTGATAATCGTAACCGTGCACAGATATCGATAAATGACTCAAAATGGAGCGAGCCTATTAGTTTTGAAGCCGTTGGGAATAGCCAGGATGTAACACTTCATTCAAAATACGATAAACTTGCACGTCATGCTGGTATCAAAGTTGAAGAAGGTGTTGGTATTTTACGTTTAACTAAAGTGGTTACTATTACACCACGTTATATTCTTAAGAATAAAATGTCAGTAGGGCTTAAATTTTGTGAATTTGGTATGGAAGATGTATCAGAAATTGCAGCTGGGCAAAAGATGGTACTTTATCAAACATCACATTCTCATGTAAGATGGCTCTGTTTGCAGCTTCAACATCTTGAAAATACTTGGTCTTCACCTGTTGATATTCAAGAAATTGGCAAGACTTTTGTCAAGGTAGACAAAGAAGATAGAACAATTCCTTATTTAGTACGTGTCTCAGTACACATAAAGGACTCGACACTCTTCATCACTTTTAATGAAGATGATGATTGGCCCTATTATATTGTTAATAACTCAAGTGTGGATGTTCAATTTAGGCAAAAACCAATTGATTTTGAAGATTACGATCTTAAAAAAAGTCAAAAGAAGGCCTTTCAAGAACCTCGTCTTTTTAATTTGGCGCCTGGTGAAAAACTCAAGTATTCTTGGGACATACCAATAGCCAAAGAAAAACGACTGCAGTTATTTGTGGGTGATCGACATCGTAGTATCAATTTTCAAGCGATTGGTGCTCAAATACCATTTCGCTATTATAAACAACAGCAAAGAGGAGATTCTGTTGGAAATAACACATTATCTATTGATATTAAAGCGGATGAATCAGCACTTGTTTTATTATTAACAGATTTTGATCTTTCTAAAAGTCTATATAGACCAAATTCGTCTGGAACATCTACATTGGCGTCATCATCAAGGGAAGGAAGTGTAAGAGATACATTTGAGACAGTGAATATTCAACATATCGTGAATTTTTCATTTGAGTTGAAATTAGCTGAGTTTGGGTTATCTCTTATTAACCGGCATGTTCAGGTATATAATTAGAATTAAGAAAAAAAAAAGCACTATACGTATATACTGATATTTACTTACATGTGTTGTAATTCATTTGCTTATAGGAGGTGGCATTTGCCACTATTAAAGGACTTGGTTTTAAATATATAGATTCCAATTTGTACCAATCAATTCGACTCAGTATTCAATGGCTTCAGGTATTCTTTTTTTTAAAAAAATAAATAAATAAAACTAACCTATTTAACTGTTATAGATTGATAATCAATTGTACAATTCAACATATCCCATTTTATGTTACCCAACTACGCTTCCCAAAGCTCCAGCAGAATTAGTAACGCATCCTACATTACATATTGCTCTTGATAAAGTGAAAGATGATAGTAAAGCTTTTTTTTTTAAAAAAAAAAAAAAAAAAAAAAAAAAAAGAAAGTTTTCTAATTTCTTCTTTGTAGAACACGGGGTACTTTATTTCAAATTGTTCTCTATTCTACTGCAGGAAATGACATTTGAAATTGATGAAACCTTTTTATATGCTATGCTTGATTTTACACAATTTGAAAATTCTTTGAAAAAAAATAATAATAACGAAAATGATTTATTCGTTATGAAGATTGAAGAACCGGCAGCAGACAAAGCTGAGGCATTATATTATTTCGAAGAATTCTGTATTCAGCCTATGAGATTGAATTTATCCCTAGTTAAAACAGATCGAAATGATGATAATACAAAAGATTCTACAAAGAGTTCACCCTTTGGATATGTCTTTAACGTGTTTACTATGACCCTTGGTAACATTAATGATGCACCTATTAAATTAAACGCTTTAATGGTAGATAATCTTCGAGCAAGTTCAGAAGACCTTACAGCACGTATCTTAATGCATTATCGAGAACAAATTATATATCAAGTACATCGTGTATTAGGCAGTATTGATATCTTTGGTAATCCAGTAGGATTTTTCAGCACTTTGAGCTCTGGATTTGGTGAATTATTTTATGAGCCATATCAAGGGTTTATCATGAGTGATCGACCACAAGATTTAGGCATCGGAATAGCTAAGGTATATAAGCTGAAGGAGGGGGGGAGAAAGATGATTATATAAACTTATTTAAAATATATTTGTATACATTTATATATAATAGGGTGTAGGTGGATTTATGAGAAAAGGTGTATTTGGTATTTCGGATAGTATGAGTCGATTTACAGGAAGTCTCGGTAAAGGTTTATCAGTTGCTACAATGGATAAAAAATTCCAAGATAGACGACGTATGAATATGACACGTAATAAACCTACACATGCTATATATGGCGTGACCCAAGGTGTAGGATACTTTGGAACAAGCATAGCAAGTGGATTTGCTGGTTTAGTGGTAAGTCATTAACACTCTTTTATATACATATATTATAGATTATTTTATGCATAAAATTCATTTTTTTTTCATGCAATTCTAGAAACGACCTATTGAAGGAGCAGAAGAAAGTGGTGTTGTAGGTTTTATGGGTGGTGTCGGTAAAGGCATTGTTGGGTAATTATTTAAAAGTTTTAATAATAAAAAAAAAGAGGGGGGGGAGGAAGGGGTGTTTTTTTTTGTCACTAATTATATTATGTTCTAGAGTATTTACAAAACCAGTGGTAGGATTTTTAGATATGGCAACTAATGTTACAGCTGGCATTCGTGAAACGACTACTGTTTTTGAAGGTGGAGGTATCTGTCGTGAAAGACTTCCTCGATATACTGGAAAGGATGGTATTGTAACTGTAAGTGCAACACCTAATTCATTTTAATAAAATACAACTGACATAGTATATATATATATAAATAGGTTTATTCACAAAGAGAAGCGTTAGGTCAAATGTGGCTAAAGCAGATGGAAAGTGGGAAATATGCCAACGAAACCTATATTGCACACAGTATTGTAGATAATGATGAGACGATTGTTATTCTGACTTATACTCGTATTCTATTAATTCAATCTGATAATTTAAAATTGAATTATGGCGTTTTATTAGATAAGATAGAATCAGTCGAGTCAGAAATTGATGGTGTTTATTTACATCTTAAAAATGTATCAACACGTATTTTACGCATCCATAACGAAACGAGTCGAATGTGGTTTGCAGGGATTATAAAAGAAACGATGGCTCAACGAAAAGAAGAACGTGAAAGACAATAAACATTATATTTGTGTGTTTATGTATTTTGAAAAATAATTATAAATTTAGTGAATAAAAAATAAAAAAAAAGAACATTAGTCGATAATATACTTTATAATAAATTATAATAGATCATTTGAAGGTAGACATTTGTATGTACAAAGGTCAAATATAAACTACACCATTTATACCTTTTTTTCCCCCTTTATCTTTTATAATTATATCAAGTTTTTTCCGATTTCATGTCGATAAAATCAAATAGTTTATATCAAACAAGTTTATTATATTTAAACAGAAGACAAAATAGGGGGTTCAACGAACTCCTTGGTGGCCTTGGAGCCAACATCTTCACCAGCAGCAGCAGCACCACCGTGAAGAGCCAAGAGAGCAGAGACATCGAACTTGGGTGCCTTAAGGATCTTGACCTTACGGATGTAGGTGTTTTGAAGAGGATAGATACCTTGGCAAGCCTTCTCGATACGGACAGCAATAGCATCTTGAGCGGATTGAGAAGCAGAAGAAGTCACCTTAGTAACAAGTTCCTTGAGGTCACAAGCAGTGGCTTCTTCAGTCATGATCTCAAACATCTTCTTACGGATTTGACGGATTTGAGAAGATTGAGCATAGGTGGTCTTCTTGATTTGGTTACGACGACGAGCAGTGAAAGAGATGGCAAAGAGACGAACGAGATAACCATCAGTGGTCTTGATGTCAACGAAAGCCTCAATAAGGGTTTGCCATTTCTTGACCATAGAACGAAGCTTGTCGGTTGTCATATCCATACGGTAGAAGTTGGTGAGACAGTTCTTACCTTGGATTTCATCAACCTTCAATTGGATCTTACGGAAGGCACGAGATTCGTCCTTGGAGAGATCACCAAGAGACATTTCAATAACACGACCTTGAAGAGAGTCGTTGGCGTTACGGAGACCTTGAGTACGGTTGACAAGAGTCTTACCGACTTGACGGACATCGAACATAGAAGGAGCTTTGATATCATACCAATCTTTACGGGTGAAGGGGTCAACGCTATAAAATAAAAAACATTAAAAACTGTATCTCTTTAAAAAGAAAAGAAAAAAGATCGAATTGTCCTAATCTCTATTTTAACGATTCTGATGAAACAATGAGAATAAACATTCACAAACACATGTTTACAGACATAATCATTGTTGTGTAATCTCTTTAAACAACCGAATAATGTTTTATATTGGGATTGCTAGTTTTGATTCAACAATGCTGCAGAATAGATGGTCTCATTTTAAAACTATTCAACAATTTATAATACTGATTGCCTGTTGTATTCTCCCCTGTCTTTCTCGTTTACTTTTTTTTTATATTTCGATCCAAATAAGAAATGTAGGACAATGATCAAATTCTCTAAATCAAAATAAATAAAAACTTACACCTTCTTCTTCAAACCCTTCTTTCCTTTTGAAAGACGCCTAATAAAAAAAAAATAAAAAGTAAGAATTTATGTATAAATATATACATATATAATTGTGTGTGTGTGTATATATGTATATGTATATGTATATGCTCAGATATATCAATAAGAGACTTACTTGTTCTTGCCGACAGCTATTCATAATTCCAATAAAGAAAAAAGACAAATTAGTATTATAATATAATGGATGGATGGATGGCAGACACACATACCCATATTTTATCAGTTAAGAAGGAGGAATTCAATTGTTTCCTTTAATGGCGATTATAGGTAAAACTTCTTCAAACTTGCAACCTGCCACAGTTATGAATCGGAAGCTTAATATTTGGAGTCAGTAAAGAGCTTAAAAAGATTAACACTTTAATAGCATAATTAAGTCCGGTTCAAGTATTATCATTATTTTTTTCCGGTCCGGGAATCTTTTTTTTTTTTTCTGTTCTACTTCACTGCCAAAATGTGATATATGTAAATCAATAAACTGAAGCGATAGAATCCTTCTCTTTGTAGATTTTTATCATTTAATATGGTAATATAGTAATCATCCATCCATCTATGAATAAAGAAATTGACTTGAAGTATCATTTATAGGGTAAAGTTCACGGTTCTTTGGCTCGTGCCGGTAAGGTTAAGTCTCAAACCCCTAAGGTTGCTAAGCAAGAAAAGAAGAAGGCCAAGACTGGTCGTGCTAAGAAGAGACAAGTTTACAACCGTCGTTTCGTCAACGTCACCACTCAAGTTGGTGGTAAGCGTAGAATGAACCCTGCTCCTACTGCTGGTCCTTAGATGTGTACACATCAGTAGTATTTCGAAACTGTAGAAAATCCGTGAATCCAACAACTACAAAAAAAAAGAACCATTTTTTTTGAATTGTTATGACACAAACTATACAATTTCGAATAAATTTGAATTCAATCTATATACGTTTGCGCTCACGTCTTTATTTTTTTTTTGCTAGTCATTTTATGTTTTCTTTTAAAAAAAAATAGATCAAAGAAAAAATGGATGAATTTAGTAAACTGGATGGTTGATAAAAGTTTAGAGCAATATGGTATTTACTAAGTTGGTATTTAAGTAGACTGTAAATAGAATGTTGGTAGGAGAATACTAGTCTGGTTTTAGTTTAAAATTATTGCATGATATAAAATCGAAATGCGTAGTAAGACCAGAGAAAAAAAAGCGATTTAAGAGAGATCATATTATAATCTAGATGATTAGCATTTGAAATGTTTAAATGAAATGTTAAGAATTTTATAGTAATAAATACAAGTTACATAAGTGATTCATAACATGTAAAGCAGATATTTATGAGAGAAATTGCAATGATATAACCTCGCCTCTGGAGGAGCTTGATTTAGTTGCTTTTTTTTTTGAAATCGTTTCCAGTTCCTTAAAAGTTAAAATAAGAAACGGATAACTGCATGAAGTTGATTTGTTTAAAAGGTAAAACAATAGTGAATAATACAGTGTATGACTATATAAAATTTATAAGTTACAAGCTAAACTTTGGATTTCTATTCTTGTCGTTTTATTTTAATAATAGTAAAACAGTCTGTTTGTAAACATACTGAAATTCAAATATTGAATAAAACTTTATTGCAAAACAATTGAATATGATCGCCAATCTAGAGTAAAGTTATCAGAGGCTAAGAAATATTCTCATTAGCAGTAAAATAAACCTTAGTCGTACTATTGCTTACTATAGAATAGAAGGATAAATGCATTAATAAGATGAATAATAACATTGGTATTGATATTGAAAGATAGTGATGAAGCCCTATTCCTTAATAGAACTATTATCTTTCCGAGATATTCTAGCTTGTTATGCAAAAGAACGTACTAAAACTTTTTGTTTCGATGGCATTGGACAAAGGCTAATAGGATTAGGATTGTTTGAATTAGTTAGAAAGAGTTAAAGGACAAGGAGTCAGCTATAGAGTTAGAGTATTGAATTAACTGATACTTCGAAGTAGACACAAGACATAGCTACATATTACAAAGGTTTTGATAATAAAACAGTGAATGTCTTTTAAATAGAATACTTCAGTAGTGGTAAACAAGCAAAATGAGGAAATATAAAATAGTCACTTATTTAATGATATTGATCTACTGTTGTAAATAAGGCATTTTTTGTCATAAAAAGTAACTTTAAAACTTGATTTTCTTTTCTCCGATTAAGAAGATCAACAAAAATAATTATAAAAATTTAAATAACTCCCCATTATAATTTATTATGTTCCCCTCCCCCTCCCCTTCCCCTCCTCCCCCCTTTCTTTTTACTGCCATCATCTTCTCTCTTTTCCCTCACACACACAACTCCTCCCCCCTTTCCTTTTCTTTCCTTTTTTTAATCAGCATAGCATAGTAGCTGACTCTATAATAAGCATTTGACAGCAAATAAATGAATATTAGTCTTTATTTTTATTTTATTTTTTTTTATTTGTCTTTCTTTCTTTCTTTCTATTTATTTATTTATTTATTTTCATTTCCTTTCCTTTCTGCATATAAATACATCGCCCTTTCCATTCCTTAAAAAAAAAGAAAAAAAAAAGAGTTCAATAGATAGAAATGATATCAGACACTACAACACTAAATTACTTTGAACATGAGCTGGAACAAAAACTAATGTACATGTATCAATACGATGTTCAACAGGTATGTAATATACATTCGTATATTTATGTATGTATATAAAAGTTATATTTAACACAAATAACTCCGGATTTCTTTTTTTGTCCCTTTTTTTTTTTTTTTTCTAATCAATACTCCTTTATAGTCTTACGATGATGAAGGTATGATTGTAGCACAGCATTTATCATCAGAACAGTATGATTACGAATTCCCCAAAAAATCACGGCTTAATGGTCTAGCCTACTTGGACTTTGATGATTCTTTTTTTGATTTATTTTCATTTCAGGAGATTTTGTCTGAAGATGATCATATGTACAAAGAAGGTATGTAGGCATATACATATAACATGAGCAATTTTTGGGGTAGAAAGGAGATTTTTTTTTTGTTTTGTTTTGTTAAAAAAAAATTGTTATTTACATTGTAGGTGCATGTTATAATGAATCAGTGCCTATCATGGATACAGATAATTCAAGTAGTGGTTCTAGTAGCAGTATTCATACCACAGAATCTCGTATTATTCTTATAAAACTTAATAAATCATCTTTAACCTATCTCGCAAGCGATGAAAGGTATGAGGATGAAAGTTGTGAAGAATTGAAATCAGATTGTATCTTTTATCCTATCTATAATCATGATGATATACGACATCAAGCAGCAACAAAAATACAGGCCCTTTGGCGAGGCTATCGAGAACGTTGTAATCAACCTTGTTACAAACAACAGTCTAAAATGTCGATCCATCTAGTCAATCTTTTTAATCAACTAGATAGACGTCGACAAGATGATGTTCAACATAAGTTAGAGCAATTAGAACGGCAAGTCTGTGAGGAACGTGCAATGCGAGTTGCCTTTGAAAAAGCAATGGAAGATATGACCGTCTTGATCGATCAACAACAAAAGAGTTTATTTGACCGACTTGTAGAACAAGAGACAGAAATTCGTAAACGTCTTGAGACCGCCTTGGAACCATTAGATAAAAAGTTGCGTAAAGAAATGCATGCAAGACTGAAGTTGGAAGAAATGATGTCGCGTGTCCTGGATCAGTTACATATGTCTGAAACATTACGTGAAGCAAAAGAGGAAGAAATAAAATCAATTTCAATTAAATTAGAAAAGGCAGTTGACGATATTACATTATTAAAAAAGAAACAGCAAACTATGACTACAAAGAATCCTAAAATTCAAACAAGCATGACACACTCTCTTCATCAACCGTCACCACAACGAATGTCATCTATAACTATAAATAGGAAAAATGTCACAACTGATATTGGTCATAGACATCAACAACAACAACAACGTAATACTAATAAACCTGTCAAACACACAAACTTCATTAATAACAAAACGATTGAAAGACTTTCTGCTCCTGTATCTTCTAATCGACGTTTACCAATCACAAAAATAACAAGTCAACAAGTTACTCCATCTGTCAAACGTAAGACAGCAACAATATCAAATAGTAGAAAGTAATGACAAGTTTATATATTTATATATACTACACATTAATATAATAATATACGTATACGTGTATATGTACATTATAATCAAAAGAAGGAAAGAAAAAAAAAGTTCTCTGCTTTAATTTAATACTTTATTATAATAAAATTGTGTATATACTACATACCATAGAAAGGTCATTATTAACGGTATAGCTTCTTTAAACTTTTTGTTTCCATGACAATACATTTATTTTTTTGTGTGTTACCCTTTTAAAGTAAGGTTCAATTAGGCAATAGTTAATTATACTAAATATGTTTATGTATAAGTCTCCTGTTTGCCTATTATTATTGGACTTTATTATATATGCATATTTTTTTTTATATCTCCCAATAAATTTCCAAATTAAGGCACAATAAGGGAAAATCTTATAAATGCATATAATCAATAAATATTACAGCTGAAGAAAATAGGTTGGGCCAGCAAAAAAAAAAAAAAAAAAAAAAAAAAAAAAAAAAAAAAAAAAAAAAAAATTGGGCCAGCGATATTGAAAATGGGACACTTTTTTGAAAATGAATCAGTGCTGTGATGGAACGTAAAGAGAAAATAAAAGAGAAAGAAAAGAAGAGAGAAAGAGAACAAAAGGAAGTATAGTTTGAGACTGTTTTTATTCAATTAAAAATAAAGAATAAAAATTGAAGGTTAAAAGAAAGTTAAAGATTATTTTATGTCTACACAACTGCTTGTATTTATATTAATGACTCCTGAATCAAAGAAATAAAAAAGATAAGTCATGAAACAGTGTTAGTATTCAGATATACATCTTGTTGATTCAAGAGACTGATCTATGGATTATCTATTGAGTGTTATAATGATCTGATTAAGTTTTAAATAAAAAAATTTATTGTTTGATCTGAGTATATGTTCCTGGTGTCTATTTTAGTGGATCAAAGACGACCTGAATCCTTTGTCAAGGTTATAAAAATAAATATTTCAGAAATAATACGATGTCTTATAATTGATACATCTAGACAATTGGATGTCATCAAGTTTTATATTATTTACAAGATGTTATCTACAGAGTTTTATTTTATATTCAGGCTTATAGTTTATCCTGTATTATGTAATTCATCTACTACAATATTACTTATGATTATATCCAGAGCTTGTTCTATAACAAATATGTCTAGCTGCAAAAATATCAATTATTTATGAGTTACTATCATAATCATTGTATAAGATTTCATTACTTAACAATATTCAATATTATCAATGTATATCTGATATGTATCACTCAAGAACAATTATGTAATTGAATACACCAGTCATAATCCTGTTTGAATTATGTATATAATTATTATTATTGCTCGAACATTCTAACAATGACTATTATTAAAACTGAGTGTAGAATGAATATTATGCTGTGAAGTACAATATACTAGTTTTATATGAATAACCTCTTTGTTATGTAATAAATGATGGTTTATTTCTATTAACTTAATTATAAAGATGACTACAATCATAACAGTTTCCAAATCTACGCACCACACCGTGTTAAGACCACTTTCACTTTTGAAGGTCAACAATACCAATTTCGTGGTTGCCCATTTGGTTTGAAACATATTGCCTCTCGTTATCAAAGAGTCATTAATATTGTATTACGTGATCTCAACTTTGCACAGGCTTTTGTTGATGATATTATCATCTATTCCAAGTCTTTTGAAGAACATATCACACATGTACAAACTGTCATCCAAAAACTAACTGATGCCAATCTGATTCTCAACCCAGAAAAATGTCATTTTGCACAATCTTGTGTGTACTTGCTTGGATTCTGTGTTGATACCTCTGGTTCTCGACTTGATCCTTGTAAAGTCACCAATGCTTTGTCTTGGCCTCGACCCACTTCTGGTAAAGAGATTCAAAGATTCTTAGGTTTGGCAAATTATTTTAGAAAATATTTGCCTAACATTTCAAAAGTAACCGCTCCATTGGATAAGTTAAGATTTGAAGGTAAACTTAACGATACTCTATGGACAAATGAACCAGAAACTGTCTTCATGAAGATTCGGAAGCTTTTATCTTCAGCTCCAGTCCTTCATCATCCTGATCTTCAACAGCCATTTTAGGTTGCTACTGACGCTAGTAACTATTCTATTGGCGCTGTTCTATATCAGATCATTGACAATCAGACAAGATATATTGGTTTTATGGCTCGTTCACTTTCTGCTTCTGAAAGAAATTATTCAACTACCAAAAGAGAATTACTTGGTATCATATTTGCTTTAAAGAAGTTTCATCCATTCTTATGGGGGAAATCCTTCTACCTTATATACCGATCATAAGGCTCTTACTTTCCTCCATACTCAACCCACTGCCAATTCTATGATGATCAATTGGCTTGATACCATCTTGGATTATGACTTTAAAATTATTCACAGACCTGGTATTCACAATATACTTCCAGATTCTTTATCGCGTCTTTTCGAACCTGAAAAAAAAAATGCTAGTGGAGGATAAAACTCCTAAAACCATTATTACTTTACAAATTGTCAACGATGATGGATCTATTCTTACATCTCGTGTGATGATGCCCTGTTGATTTAATAACACCAGCACTGGAAGAAAGACTAAATCTACTTATAAAAACTCATTTAGAAGGACATCATGATGCTCAAGCTATGGTAACAGCTTTACATAATGAATGAATTCATTGAACAAAGCTTAAAGAAGATACTCTTGACACAGTAAAAAACTGTCCCGATTGTCAAATCATGAATATCATCCATTAAAATCAATTTATGCTAATACTCCATAGGATCACATTTGTATTGACACCGCTGGACCCTATAACAATATCTTTACAAGGAAATAACTACACCCTTCTAGTTGTTGGTATATTTACTAGATTTTGTGTACTTGGAGCAATCCCTGATAAATTATCCTTAATAATAACACTTACGATAAGAAATATACTATCTATCTCTAATGGGAAGATCTAAAATTATCCAAAGCAATAATGGTACAGAATACGTAAATGAAATAGTACGACTTTATATTGAACACTATGGTATCGACCATCGGCTTGTAACAAGCTATCATCCTCATGCAAATAATATAGTTGAACGCTGGGTGTCTAAAAAAACAAAGTCCATCATCTATAAACGTTTACGCTGTCAAAAGAAAAACTCAAGATGGAAGCTATGTATTGGTTGATGGTACAGGTCTACTCTTATCAAGAGACGTCTCTTCTTCCCATATTAAAGTGATATCGCGTAAATTTAAATTGGCCAATACTAAAACTGATACTTATGAAGTTGAGGTAGTAATCAACCATAAGGGCACTCCTGGTAATTACTTATACCAAGTCAGATGGAAAGGTTATGACGAAAGTGATGATACTTGGGAGCCTGCTAGTAATTTTCATGACTACTCTCCTATTAGAAAATATTGGGTACGTTGTAACGAACAAGCGCCTTCAAATGAAGCTAACCTTGTATCAACTAATGACAGACCTAATAATAATGATAACAATAAACGAAAGTGTCGTCGTAATAATGCTAGTTACAATTCTAGAAGAATCAAAATTTAAACATTAGCATTTGTCAATTAAATAAAATAAAATAAATATGTATATATTACTCCATCCTACCCAAGTATAATATTATTGTAGCCATCAACAACTTAAATGTTATTTAGAAACTGGACAAGAGTATTTATCATGAAAATATATAAACAAACAAATTTATACAGATGTATATACATGTATATACAAAAAAAAAGAAAACTCTCTTCCCTCAATTTTCCCAAATAACTTTACAACTTCATATTTTGGTAAACGCAGTAACGTTACAAATAAATTACATTATAGTAACTATACATCACTATTTATTTTTTTACATGTATTTTGCCTATATTACTTATTTCATTCTTCTCCACATTTTAAAATATAACGCTATAATATGAATTACAAATATGACTTTACACTATTCTAACACATATTTATTCACAAATATAATTCCAAATTTCAACATGAAGTACATTGCTCATTTCAACATGAGTTTAATGACCCTTCAGAAAAGCATAGTTCTAACCTGGAAGGGGGCAATGTCATGAGCTGACTTATAATGTCATGTTTCATGATTAAACATGCGGATCATAAATTTATTCAAGGAATTCTATCTATATTCTCCTGAATCTTTCTTGATCCGCTCCATCTAATAATATTAAAACTTCTAACACTTCATTATCTTCAACATACCTTATTCGGTCGTAACTAACATTTTTCTGGTTTGCATCTTATCTCAGACCTCTTTAACAATTCTTATAAATACCTTTATCAAGTTAAATTCATAAATAAAGTGATTGACTTTAGAACTATTGTTCGGTCTCGTTGACTCTTTTTGTCTTTTTATTATTTTTTATTTTCTAATATTTTTTATTTGATATTTTAAAAGAAATATCACAAACTGGTTCAACAGGTACGTTTTTTCTTTTTCAGCCAATTAAACTTCTGTATTTTAGTTCAACTAGTCCTTTTTCACTCGCAGTCAATTAAGAATTTTCATTTTGGCCATCTTTTTCTTATAGCATTAAGCTGTGTGAGACCCAATCTTTTTCCTTTTTTTTTAAAAGATGGCTACTACAGTTACTAAAGAGCAGGCAATCTGCATGTTGTATTGTGAAGAGTATAACGACATTAACGTGAGGAGACTCCTAGAGAAACTAAACTCTTTTGAAGATCTAGAAATTTGCTATGAAAAAGATCCATTGGAACCTAAACTGATTCCTCTTCAAACAATCTACTGGCAACCTCATCGATTTCGAATGTATACCTGTTCATTTGTAAACAATAAGTCATCCAATTCAAATAATGTCTGCAATTAACTTATCTAGACCATTTTTTCCAGGACTTTTATATATAATGTTTCTGATATTAATTTTTGAAACAAGCAATTTTGTCTGTGAATCTAGTGATGTTTAAATCACTGAAAAACAATCAACCAACAAGAAGTAACTTTTAAAGGTCTTTGGTTTTATTTTATGTGTAGAAGCATATTTCAAACAAACTAGAGTTTCAATATTAATATTATGGTGAACGGTTCATCGCCTGCGTTCGTTCATCCCGATATCAATCCAAATTTCATAAAAACGGAGTTTGTCCGGGATGAACAAATCCAGGCGTATACGTTTATATTTTAATAATATTAAAACATAAGCAATTGTATGTTCAAAAAGTATTATACCGAGTAAGTAAATAAATCGTTATTTACTACTTTCAAGATATAAAACATAACATATTTGATAAGCAATAAATAAAGGTTAAACATAATAAAAACTAATATCATTTATTAACATGTTAGGGCGTACTGGAACTTTTTCAACAACATCCAAGGGATTTTTGCTATAGACATAAAGTTAGACGAAAGTGGAGACTTTAGAATTAATAAATATTTATGATCGTTTATAACAAGGTTTTCTGCAATCAAAATCCTTTAAAATACTAGGATTATCAATAATATCGTCTCGGTTATAATACTTCATGAGCCCAGTAGACACAGAAACGTCAATGATGATCTTCTTAATAGAACCATGAGCTCTAAAAAATCATTTTCAGCGAGAAGTGATTATTTTTTTTTTTGTAGTATAAGAAGACTTACTGAATGAAATCATATAAATCACTGGTATTGGTTGACAGACCGGCGAAATCAATTGCTACTAGACATATGTTTTCTGATATGCTAATATATCTCAATAGGTCTATACGATACTGTGAGTAATTTGATTAGAATTAAATGTCCTACGTTTATTACCTTGTGTATTTCCATGGACTTGGTTCAAAAGCGTCAATTGATCATTTTTTCCATTTGTGTCGCGGGATGTAATGGTATCATTTGCTCGCGATGACGTAGTCACAAATACTTTATCCACAAGCAACGTGTCATACAATTTGTCGACCATTTTCTGGAGCAAATCTACTCTCACATCCTGACGTTCCTCGCTTGGAGACTTTCTGGCGTATCCAACGACTGTGAAATGATTTTGCTTAAGGTTCTTGACATATGCCTGATACTTTGGCAGATGCTCCATGATTGATAAGGCAATGCCATTCAAATATTCATCATTTAGTATCCATAAGACTCGATATCGAATCTTGGAACCGTTTTGATCCTTTATTACTTTTCTTTCCTGTTCTTTGTTTATATATAAAACTTTCTTAGCTCTGCACCACTTTATAAAAGATAATGACGATTTCTCATTAAATCTAGATGTATATAACAGAATCAAAGAAAAAATATCCCTGGATGAGACTTTCTTTTTTGTGTAAAGTGATTCGTTCCATGGCTCTGTAGGGACATACACTTGATTCAGAAACTGAACAATCTGAGTATCGTGTACTATTTCAAGTATTAATGATTAAAATTGGCTAAACAACATTAAATGTCATTCAAACTTACTTAAGTTAACATTTGTTTTTTCCTAAACTTCTTGTGATACTGTATCAGCTTCAGAGCGATATTTCTTAAAGCCAAAAGGATTCGAATGGATCCTAACATGAGGAAGTAGCATAGGCTGTAGAGGATCGCCAGCATGGCAAATTTCTAGATCCTCATAAAGGGCTACCTTCTCTAGAATCATTTTTATATTGTCTTCATTATACTCCTTACAATATAGAAGGCACAATGCTTGTTCTCTTGTGATTGTTGTTGTCATTTAAGCTGAAAGAGAAGAAACGGACCAGTTGATCCAGTTGATGATCCAGTTGATTCAGTTGGACCAGTTGGACCAGTTGAGAGAAAATGGACCAGATGGACCAGTTGGACTAGAATACAGAAGTTTAATTGGCTAAAAAAGAAAAAATGGGAATTCTTAACGTAGTCCATTTTTATTTAAAGATGTTGAACCTAGAAGAAAGGAAATCGTTAAAAAACTTAGTTTCTAAAAAGCTCTCTGTTTTCTCTCAATTTTTTTTTTTTTTTTTTTTTTTTTTGGAGACTTCCCAAAAATAAAATATAATTCTCAGAAACTTTATAGTCTTCTCAAATGTAATCAAAAATACTATAGAGGACACGATAGCCTGAGATTTTAAAAAATGGACCTTTGGAAAAAAAAAAACGCCCTTTGGTGTTGAAACGAGTGTACTGGACAAAGTTCACCAGACAAAAAGGTCCTCTTGCAAATATCCTTGTCCTGTTTCAAAATAAGTTTCCCAAATTTTGTAGGCTTTTCCATTTTTAAAGCATTTGTTATAGAACAAGCTCTGGATATAATCATAAGTAATATTGTAGTAGATGAATTATATAATACAGGATAAAATATAAGCCTGGATATGAAATAAAACTCTGTATATAACATCTTGTAAATAATATAAAACTTATTGACATCGTATCATTTCTAAATATTTATTTTTATAACTTTGATAAAGGATTCAGGTCGTCTTTGATCCACTAAAATAGACACCAGGAACATATACTCAGATCAAACAATAAATTTTTTTATTTAAAACTTAATCAGATCATTATAACACTCAATAGATAATCCATAGATCAGTCTCTTGAATCAACAAGATGTATATCTGAATACTAACACTGTTTCATGACTTATCTTTTTTATTTCTTTGATTCAGGAGTCATTAATATAAATACAAGCAGTTGTGTAGACATAAAATAATCTTTAACTTTCTTTTAACCTTCAATTTTTATTCTTTATTTTTAATTGAATAAAAACAGTCTCAAACTATACTTCCTTTTGTTCTCTTTCTCTCTTCTTTTCTTTCTCTTTTATTTTCTCTTTACGTTCCATCACAGCACTGATTCATTTTCAAAAAAGTGTCCCATTTTCAATATCGCTGGCCCAATTTTTTTTTTTTTTTTTTTTTTTTTTTTTTTTTTTTTTTTTTTTTTTTTTTTTTTTGCTGGCCCAACCTATTTTCTTCAGCTGTAATACATATAAATATCTATTCCGTATTTTATCGTAAGCCTCTTTTTTTTTTTTTGTAATATGGAACTATAGCATAAAATGGAAATATATACATGAATTGTTATTTTATATATAAAGAAATGATCAGATTCAACCAGATGTAAATAAAAACTGATAAAGCATAAAAAAAGAAGGGGATTATACAGTTCCTTCTCCTTATCAGAAAGTACTGTTTTTATAGTGTATATTATAATATAGTCTTTCTTAAGTTCAATAAATGATTTTAATTTAACTTTAATCTCTCTTTTTTTTTTTTTTTGTTTTGTTTTGTTTCTATCTTTCGTATATATACTTACACACACACACACACACACACACACACACACATATATATATATATATATATATAGCATTATGTCTTCTTTTTTGGTAGCAAAAAATGATAATATTCCAGAATTACCTTCAATTTATGATTCAGATATCTCAATTGATAAGTTCAAAGATGCTCCACATCAAAAAACTCAAACGCCAGTCTATGGTACAACTTGGGTAGCCTGGTTACAAGTAATTAGTATTATGCTTATTAATTGTGCCTGTGCCTTAATGTGGATGACAGGTGCATCTTCTCCCACGTCCATGTCTGCTTGGCTCCAGGTCGATTTTACACTACTCAATTGGTTATCAAACGTAGCTGCCATTGTTAATACTGTTTTTTCTCTAATCACTCTATGGTCTTATGAACGATTTAGTCTCAAAAAGAATGTAAATATACTTATTTATATAGAAAAGTTTATTTTATTTTATATATTTATTTATTTTTTTATTTTTTTTTATTTTTTTTTATTTTTTTTTATTTTTTTGAAAATATGTTGCTTATATATTTATATACATATACAGATTATGTTTGCAAGTATCACTAACTTAATAGGTTGCTGGATCCGTTGTTTGGCGATCATTGTTCCTAAACATAATAGATATATTGTCATGATAATTGGGCAAGTCATTGCTAGTATAGGCGGCCCTTTTATTTATAAGTAATAATTTAAATAAATACATGTATATTTATAATATATTAATATATTTTATTATTTACTAGCATCGCAGCAAAGGTACATCAATATATTATACACTATCATGTTTAATAATTTTTTTATACCATTTAATATATGATACATAGTTCGCTTCACTATGGTTTGCACCTAAACATAGAGGATTGGCCAATACATTAACAAGTAATAGAAGTTATATTACTTTTTCCATTTATGCCAATTAAAATCCTCTCTCTCTCTCTCTCCCTATCTGTATATATATGCATATATATACATATATTAATAGCTTTATCGTTAGGCATGATACTTTCCCCTCTCATGATGCCCAAACTCTCTAATACCCCTGAAGATGTCCCTCAAACATTACTCATTGTTGCCATCATTTCTACTGGAGTCGCTATTCCTTCTTTCTTCTTGCCTAGCCTACCGAGAATTCCCTGTTCACCATCTGCTAATCAAGGCCGTCTACAGGTTTGGATAGGTATTAAAACACTTTTCGTCAACACATCCTTTTGGATTTGTGCCTTTTTATGCGCTATTAATGCCGGTATGGCCTTCTCTATGTCTACATTCATTATGGAAGCTATCATCCCATTTGGTTATACAGATCATGAATCAGGTTACTGTGCGGCATCTATTACTTTGGCCGGGTTTTTGGGTGGCCTCTTCTCAGGTTATTGGGCAGGTAAAACAGGGCAACATCTATTACTTATTAAAGTATTTACACCGCTCATGGCATTTACATATATTATGTTTATCTTTGAAAGTAAATCTCATAGTTTTTTTTTTAAAAAAAACATTCATTATTAAACAAGACTATACCTTTATTTTATTACCCCTCTTAGTAATTCCAAATGCATTCAGTATAATCTTGATGGTTTGTATTCTTTCTGGATTTTTCTCGTATGCCCTGTTTCCATTGCATGTCGAATTTGCTTGTGAAAGTAATAAGTTATAGTATTCATTTTCAATACATTATATATAATCTAATAATCTATATATTATATAGTTTCATATCCTGTTCCTGAATCTATATCCTCTTCACTTTTATGGGCTATTTCATCCTTATCGATGCTTATCTTTTGTGTCATCATTGATTCATTTCGTGCAGGTCCAGAAGCAAATCCGCCTAATAATATGAAAACATCCATGATAATTGTTGCTGTCATCGTTTGTGTTGGTTCATTACCAACTGTTTTGCTTAAAGGTGACTTAAAACGACTTGCATTTGATATCGAAGGTCAACAAGATGAAAAAAAATAATACTGGGAAAAAAAAACCAGAAAAAAAAAACAAAATAAGGATACTTAGTTTTGTAATATATGCATACCCTTCATCTTTTTCCTTCTCCTCTTTATTAAAACTTTTCAAGATTTAATATGATATCTGCTATCTTTTCGAAATTATCTGTATTGATTATTTTTTTAGAGACTGAAGCTATAATATAAATAGAAGGAATCTATTTAGAACAATAATAATAATAATATATTATTGCTTACATGGTTTGATAGGATATAATATTTGAGTTGATTCATTATAACTCCATCCTCTTGCTGTTAATTCTATCATAATTGAACGGTTATATTTATCAGTTTTTTTTTTTTATTAGAAAGAAATGAAATTTTAAAAGTCTCACCATTTAAGACTTCTTTGTCTGAGAGACCAAAATAAGTTGACGCTTGCGATAATTCAATGGATGTATAAATATTTGAAATCAACTGAAATGATTCTTCTCTTACATCTTGTTTAATATGCTCAATTAGAAGTTGCATTATTTCTGACCACGAATAATCATCAAGATCCTTGTATAATTGTTGGTAATTCTTTTTTATTACATCAACAATAACACGCCAAATGGCATCTATTTCAGGAGATGATGCATTGTTGATCAAGATTCTTTTATGAAGATACCGTGCTGATTGACTAATAGAAAATATAAAATTATTATATATATATGCCTTTAAACAAAAAAATAAGCTTACAGATCGTGAATTAATATATAACTTGCTAGATAAATGGGGTAAATGTATGAAAGATCCAAGGAAGTATCGGCTGCACTCTTATATGTTTAGACAAAACATATACAACAATATAAGAATTATAAACAAAGGAAAAAGAAAAAAAAAACTTTATATATAACAGTATACCTGAATCTCTAGTTGCTCACATGTGTTGACAAGTTCAATAAAGTTCTTTTCTAGAGTTAATTTTAAAATGGTGTCCATTTCTTTTTGGTTTTTTTTTTCTTTTTTTGAAAATAAATGGTAAAAATGATAATTGCTTTAAATGTTGACGACAACTGAGTTTTAATTCCTATTTTGTTCATTTATCATTTTCAAAGCATAATTTTCCAGCTCGAATCATCATAAATTCCTTTCGTTTAGATATCTATTATTTTCCATTTTTCTTTTCTTCATTCTTTTATTAAATGGTATTCAAATCATTTATTTTTTTTCTTTTCGTACCGTTGATTTTAGCGGTTGATCCTAGAATATTATTTCGTCGTGATGGTGATAATATGAACGATGCTGATACGAACGAACCACCACCAGTCCCCGGTGCATTGTATGTCGGTGCTACTAACATTCTTGTCCCTGATGCCTCTGCTGATCTTCCTTTGCTCGTTTCGACTACTCAAGATCAGCCACTCTGTAAACCCAAGCAACTCATTCAATCTGCTCATACGCTTCAGGTTTTGAAAGGTTATGACTTTATTATCCTGACTAATCAAATCAACTCCCCTCGTAAGCTCTTGATTGATTACACGAATCATCTCTTGGTCTCCTCTCCTACTGGTATTCATTCAGTACGAATGGATAAATGTGGTAACTCTGATATTCAGCTCATCTATGAAGGTCAAGTTCAATCCATGGCTCTCTTTCGTAATCGTCTTTATGTTGTTGGTCAAGAATCTGTCATGGCCTTTACTTATAGTGATGGGCAACATAGTCCTTTAAGTGAAGGTGTTGAGGTTATTCATAATACGGGTACTGAGGCCATTGATTTGACTATTGACCTCCTTGGACATGCTTATGTAGCTCGTGGTGATGTTATCAAGAGATTTAATGTTAGATTTCTTCCTGTGGAAGGTTTTGATTTTGAAAGAGATGGTGAAATTTACGCTTATGGAACTAATACACAAGGACTTTTGGGGTTGGATGCTCAATCTAGATTATGGGGTATTAATGGTGTATCCCTCGTCAATGGTGAAATTAAGCGAGCTGATATTAGCGCTAGTGAAAGTAAGTTTATATATATATATATATATATATATATATTTATTTATTTATAAGTCTGAACTTTTTTTTTTTTGTATGTATGTACGCATTAGATCTTGCATCTGGTATTGCTGAAGAACTCAATGTATATGAAACTCCTAATACGAACTATGGTTTCCCATACTGTATGACAGAATATAAATTTACATCCTCTGACAATAGGGGACGTCAATGGGCGCATCCAGATTTCATGAGTGATTCTATCAATGATGACTATTGTCAACAACATGCTAACAATCTTCCACCCGCTGTTCCCTTACCACCCAACTCGATAGCCTCAAGTGTTCATTTCTTTATGGGTCAATTTTGCTCTGTTGGTGATTTGAAAACAGGAGCTACCTCTGTGGGTCTACCTTGTAATTGGACAGATACTCCCATCTTGGCCAATCATGGTTCAGGCAATGTTGTTCATTTGCCCTTTGATGATGTAGGACATAACCCCAGATGGGATAAACATACTCCTGAAGTCATCTTGAGTAGCAGTCAGTGTACTCATGGGGCCTGTTTTACCCCATTTGGCTTGGCTGTTGACCACTTTGGTCGTCTGTTGGTAAGCAGTGATGAAAGTAACGAGATTGTAATGATTTCACGTATCTATAATGAAAAGGCACTCAAGGTCTTGACAGATAAGGCGGCACTAAACAGTTAAATAGAATGGGAAAAAAAATAAAATAATTCATTTAGTTTTTATCTTATGTCCTTCACATACACACACACACACATCTCTTTCCCTACTCCCTCCTCTTCCCATTTGTTTTTTCTTTTTAACTTAATATTTCAATTATAGTACCCTAGATAGAATAGAAAACTAAATTCCTTTTCTTTTTTAAAATAAAATAAAATATATGATTAAGCAATAATAATTTGTTTATGTGTTCATTTGGAATGTATATAATAGAAATATACAAATTTGACTAAGATAGTACAAGTATTTTACTACAAGAATGGGATATGAGTAAAAATCAAGAATAGGGGCTATCTCAAGTATTCGATTATCAATACAAAAATGTGTCTAATTGTTGGGAGGGATGGGAGGGATAAAAACTTCAATCTGAATGATAAGATCATATAGAAGGAGGCAGTAAGCGACTAGTACCTTAGAGTTTAGGGTAAAGAATTCATATACAGAAAGAAAGAAAAAGTGTATTATCATAAATAATCAATTGAGTAATATAATTGAAAGGTTAAACTACTACTGCCTTAAATTTAATATATCGTTATAATTGACTTCTTCTCTACATATCGCAATATGGTTTTAAGAAATATGTATTATAAAAAGTAATACTGTTTAATAAAATATACATTCCATATAAATCTGTACACTTGGGGGAAAAAAAAAGGAATATCATACAATATATTTGTTAATTTCAATTAAAAGAATATATATATATATATTTGCTTATATAGGTGAAAAATAAATAAATGGGAAATGAAGAATGAATATCATTATTTTGCTAATAAATGGGTCGATATCCTAATCTTCTTCGATGATATATTTTATATGCAAAAAATCCTACCACTCCTAATAGGGCACTCATTAAAACTAATAGGGTTAACAGAACCACAACTGACCAGAAGAAGGGTAGTCCAAAAAATCCTCTTCTGATTGGTATCAATACTGTATCTATCATCATCACACCACTACCACCATAAACATGACCAAGCTCCGTTACATGTACTTCATGGTCACTCCCATGTTTGACCTTCAATATGATGCCAGTATCTTTTTTACCTTTAAATACTATCTTATCTACCTTTGATAATAATGTTGCATAGTCGTTGTTCCAATCTGATTGCCATCTATGTGGTACGATATGAAATCTAGCGATACGATCCAACTGATAAGGATCGTCTAATAATCGGTCTAAATCTAGATGAGCAAAGGCTTCGTCGGTTGGCGTCAAAATAATATGATCTGATTTCTGAATCTCTTCCCAAAGATTAGCACGTTTCAGGACTTGAACCATTGTCTTTGCTTCTTCAATACCGACCAAAACATCTGTATTCGTAATCTCAAATGGTATCTGGACCTGAGAGATCTGATGTACGACACCTGTTGACACTAATAAGTTGTTAGATGTCATGATCCCTTTATCACCGATAACAACACCTGTTTTATTACGATGAGTATGAAGTGTAGTGTTGGCTAATGTCTTATAGTCCTTTGTTATAAAATCATGATAGTATAAGGGAGTAGGAAGGATATGATGTCGAAGTAATGCTTGTAAACGAGAACGAGCTGAGAGATGTACTAAATATTTAGCCACCAATCCCAGTTCTGTAAATGCATTATTTGTTGGTACAAAGAGTGTAAGCCCCCTGACTTGTTTGATTTCCTCAATAATTCCAGAAACATACAAGACGGCAATAAAGGTGGACAGATCCAAATCTACTGCTAACTCTTTGAAGATATTGCCAGGCATAGTCAATGGCTCTGATATTTGATAAATAACATCACCATTCACACTCACTTTTACAAATATATATATATATAAATACAAATATAAATTTCAAGTTCGTATAAATATATATATATATATATACTTGTTATATACCATTATCACCAATCATACGAGACTTATCAAATATAATGGATTTGCCTCCTGATGTCATTATATCCTCATGTTGTACATAGACAGGAAGTCGTTGTCGATGCCCTGCTAAATCATCTGATTTAAATTCGGTTTTTAATAGGGTATTATCACGTAGTTTATTTTCTAGCCAGGCCTTTTCAAGAATGTGATAGCTAAGCCAATGAGTAGATACCAACGATTGATTAACAGATTCTAATGGAGGTATTAAATATGTATAATTTTCTGATGAAGAATGATTAAGGTAACCCAAATTATGCTGTTCTATCCAATCAATCATATATGTTTTATTCATGCCATAAAGATACTTTCTAGCATCAAATTGAATATCTGGTTTGAAAGTATCACTGATCTCATGAATAACACCATTAGAAGCAATAATATCAGTAGACCTAATGGGTATACCATTCACTGTCATGGACTTTTTATCAGATACGATAACTAAAGAATCCCCAGACAAAGATTTATCTACGAAAATATGATATTATACATAAGTTATTTTAAAACTTAAATAGTACATATAAAATATATATATTTATATATTTATATATACAAAAGCCAAATTACATGTTGTCTTTCCAGAAGTAAATTCGTTCATAAAAATAGCTTTATCAATGATTGTATAATTAAAAAAGACTGCTAAATCTTCTATCGCATATTTTGATGTTAAATAATTATGTTCAATTTCATTAAACTTTTCAAAAATATCATTCTTGGTCGACACGAACACTGTAAAAGGCCTTTTTTGATTTAAAATATCTATTGTTTTCGATAAGTTCATTAGATTATAGAGTGGCTTATTTCTCTCCAAGATTGTATTTCCTATTTCATAACAAGTATTAGTCTTATTACATAATGGGCCTTCTTCCTCTTTTTTTTTTTTTTTTTTTTTTTTTTTTTTTTTTTTTTCTTTAAACCTAAAAGGTGTGGTGGTTGCAAAACGTGATCTACGACTTGGATCCAGGTTGAATTATTTACTGGAATATCCTTTTCAATAATCTTTGCTTCTCCACCACAATACACATTCTCTTCTTTTACATTGAACTTTATGCGTTGTCCAGGTCTATCTGGGTTTAAATGTCCTGCTGAAGCCAGAAATGTTTCCTTTAATTGTCCATCATAAAATTCAGATGCTTTCATGCCTTTCTTGATGACATGGTAAAGTAAAGTAGAGCGATCAATTTTAAACTCATAATTTTTAAAGGCATCATTATCGGGGGTAAATAGCGTAACTCCATCAAGATCGTTCATGAACTGAATCAACTCAAAATGTTCAATATGAGCAACAAGTGTTTCAAATCGTTTATCCTGAGTCAAAACATCCATAATACTGGCATAAGTTAGATGCCATACTATTAGATAAAATATAAACGATACTATTTTTAACATGATAAAATAAACAAAAGAGGAAAAAAAAAAAAAAAAGAACGAAAGCATATTTTTTTTATAAATCTAAATTAAGAATAAATATAGAATTCATGCAGCAGTCACCATAATAGATCACAAGATTTTACGAGCATAGACAAGCATCAAAAAAGGGCCTGTCTGTAGGAATAAAAATCCAAAGAACTAACATGATAATAGACATAATGATACAAGCAATGGGCATAATCAAGATACCTAATTTACCAGCAACTTGACCTGTTATGAAAGGAAACAAAGCAGCGCCACCTGCACCTAAACTATAATATGATTGCCATTAAAACATATATATATATATTAGCAAAGATATGTGAATAAGTCATTGTATTTTATACTTTACGCTGCCATAAATCCAATAGAAGTAGCATGATAGCTTCTAGGCAAAGCTTTAGAAGCTAACGAAATAGTTGTAGGGAACATTGGACCTAATAAAAGACCAATACTAATAAAAGCTATTTTTTATGCATACATACATACATATAAGTATACAGTTATTTTATATATATTTATATATTCTATTCTTTTACCTGTTGAGTCTAATATTATGTTTTCAGATACCATCATAATAAATAAAGCTCCAATTGTCATCATTGTAAATAAAGTAATCATTAATTTTTCGCCAAATCGACCTGAAAGATAACCCAAGATAACTCTTCCAGCTGCTAATCCTGCCCAATAACCGGATACAACTTCAGCCATAGCTATCTCATCGCCATGCCTACCTTCCTTTAAGAAACTGTAACCCCAGCCGCCTAGTGTAACTTCTACGCCTACATAGATGAGAATATAGGTAGCACCTATTAAGGTCACCTTATTGAAAATAGCCTTCTTGGTGAGTTCTTTATGATTTTCCTTGTAATTATCCACTCCATCGTTATCACTCTCTTCTTCTTTAGCCTCACCAAAATCAACATTCCAAAATCCAAATGCAATAAAGATGATATTAAGGATAGCAATGAATGTCAAAAACACATACATGCCTTTCCAGCTGACATCATATTTTAATAAAAAGGAGGCAACTAATGGACTGATCATTGCACCTACACCATATACAGCTAAATAATAAACAATGAGAAAAAAAAGGGGGGTCAATACAAAATAGTGGCAAAAAAATAAAAAAAAAAATAAATAAAAAATAAAAAATATTTTACCATGTAAAATATTCAACATAAGAGTAGCTAGAGGCAAATTGGCTGTATATACATTCATGGCTGCATCTAATAAAGCCATACCACCACCTACAAATGGCATAACGCAGATCATAACAGGAAATGGGAAACCCCATGATAAAATAAAGAAAGAAACAAACATGCTTGTAGAACCCAAAAAAAGGGTTTTGAGCTGACCTAATTTATGTACAATAGTGCCATTTAAACCAGCACTGGCAAAGAAGCCACAAGCGGAACATAAGAAGAGTAAAGAGATAGTTTCATTAGGGATTTCATAGTATTGCTTAAGACGAGGGATAATGGTACCAATACTACCGTCGTTAAGACCAGCAACCAGACTAATAAAGAAAGAAGCAAGTACGGGCTTAATATGAGGCTTAAGATCCTTAAAGCTTTCAGTTGTAGGCTTTGGTAAGAGAGGTGTTACCTCTTCATTGTATTCCATTATAAATAAATTGAATTCTTTTTTTTTCCCTTATAAAAACAAAAGAGTTGGTATATTGTAGATAGAGACGCAAAAAAAAAACAAATAAATATAATATATAACAAGTATTAAATTTAAAACAAAGTAGAAAAAGGAACGAATGGTAAAATAAAACTTTTATTTTGGTTTAAAATTAAGCTTAATTACAATTAACCTGATTGGAAGACATTTGGTTTCACACTAGAATGATCTAAGCAATTTGGGCAGAGATGAACATCCAAATATAGAAATTACCTAAAGACTACAAACTTTAAATATTCATATTTATTAGTTAGATTTGTGCAATAAAATAACAAAGTCATCATATAGAGATGATGGATAATGAAATTATATAAATTGTAATCATGCTATGTGGTTATGCAAATGATCGCATTGTTAAAGATGGAGATGCCACCGAAAAAGATGATTGAGTTGATCTATTTATGGAGAAAAGGCAACTGAAATATTAATAATATGTTGCTTCTTATCTGATTATTTATAAAGGCGTATCAAGAAAAACCATCCAAGAGTTAATTTCATAAAGTTGCTGCAACAAAATAAGTGATCGAATTTTAACATTTCAAAAAGTCATCATTTGCGTTAGGATGTTAAATGATTGGTAACATGATAAAATTGAAAGATCTAGTAAAATTGTTGAAATTGATGAAAATAACAAACACATAATAAAGTATTAATTTCAACAGTTAATTTGCATTAAAAATGTGTACGGAATGGATATAAGGTATATTTTTTTAAGCATCTATTTATGCAAGCTCTAATTTACAGTATCAGAATATTTGAACAATTTTAAAAGCAAAAATTTTTTATTTTAAATGGTAATCTAGTTTTTTTTTTTTTTTTTTTTTTTTTTGTGCTCAAGTTGCTTGACTAAAATAAAGCGTCCTTTTTTTTTTCCTCAGGTTAAGCAAGAACAATGATTTTGATATAGTTGATTTTAGTACACATACACATGTCTCAAATTTAAAGAAACTATCATTACTTGAAGAGATTAAAAAGTATAGAACAAAATACCTACTTAAAGATACTGTTATGAAAAAGATCAAGGCTAAATTTGATAAAATTGGCTTGTTAGTGTCAGCTAATAATATTGAACGAGCTCAAAAAGAAATACTCTGTTACATACACATATTTAAATTAATCAGATTGGCCCGTATACTAGAAAGGTTTATCTTGATTTGTTAGCCTAAATATACACATAAACAAATTCTACTTCTTTGCAACGAGTAGCATCTCTAAATATTCAAAAGAGAATTACAAGCTCAACTTTTGTGCATTTATAATTGAAGAGTTGCTTGGATACTCTATAGAATTTATCAGATGGTAAGATAGATTTATTTAAAAAAAAAGAAAAAAAAAGATTCTAGGAAAGCAGATACTATGGTGGTATATCTTCTTTGTGGAATTGTCTGTTGTATTTTAAGCAATAAATCATTGACTTTAACCAACTGAATCATAATAAGGGGAGAGGGGAGATACGATTTCTAATGCCTTTTAAAAAATAAATAAATACAAAGCTACAGTTGGATCTTTGGATCATTTCTTCTTTATCAGATTTACGCGTGAATAAGTTCGTAAAGATAATGTATTCCCTCAAAGATATATTTGTGTAAAATGAAGCTTGCTTTAGTATTTAAAATGCATTTGAATGACTACTTGAAGAATTTAAAGACTACAGAAATATCTCTATCTTTATTCTTAATCATGGGCTTTGATTGCCAACAACTTTTTCCATTTGAAATTAATTGAACCAAAGTTGTACATCATCGATCCTATTTCAACTTTTTTCATTTCCAATTACAAAAGAGCAAGTTAATGAAAATATAATAAATATTCTTTCTGATGCTAAAGTAAATATATTATTTTAAATAAACTGAGATTGCTGACTAGCTCCTCAATAATTTAGGATTATATGGTTGATTTAAAAATCCAAATGCTTAAATCAGAAAGAAATAAAAATGTTCACAAAATCTTAAGAGTGTTAATTCCTATTGATACTGTCATTATCACTGAACAAAAAAATGACTGGTGTTTCTGCGTAGTTCAGCCTTTTAGCTCAACTATAGCCGATTTTTGTATAGATTCTAATGTTGTTGTTGTTGTTGATGATGATGATGATAATGATGAAAGCCGTGGACTTTATTGATTACCGGGAAAAAAAATCCACCTGCATAAACTTAATATTATTACGTAATTATCAAAAATAAGAAATATTTTTAATCGGGATTTAATAACGAGTAAAATAGAACATAAGTCTGCTAAATGTAGTATAAGGTCTACAGTTTTGACGGGAGACCTTATAAATTAAATAGGATATATCGATTGGCCCTATTATTAAGGGGAACCAAATGGCATCCAAGATCCATACTGTTCAAATCAAAACCTTCGTCATCAGTCTTTAAGAATATTGAAAATTTTCGTTTCCTAAGCATTAAGAGTTTTCTGAAATTTTTCTTCGGTAATCCGGTCTCGCGATTTAAAATAGAGCATAATTGCAACTTGGCTGGTAAATGAATATATGCAAGTGCATTTGTCATACGATTATAAATATAAATATGTATATAAATATGTAGGGTAAGCTTATTATGTTCTTCTTTACGTATTTATATGTAGTTGTTGTCCTTTAGATTCCTTCGTTGCAAACATAAATAAATGACACCTAAACACTTTGACTCTGCATAACACTATTGACCTTGAGATTTTATAGTAGTTCTTATTGTCATTAATACCTCTTTAAATGAATGTATCGTTTACATTTGAACAAACACTATTAAAACTCTTTAACTAATAGTCAGTCTTATGATTTTTTAGTATATCAAATTAAGCAAGTTGGCAAGGGTTTTATCATCTTTTGCTCCACTTATCTTTTTCTATACACCTTATTATATTATAACTGTCATTTGCTAAACTCTTCATGTATTCTTGATATTGCGACAAGTGTTTAGCATTTATTTATTTATTTTTACAACACTGACTATTGTATGTATGTTTTTAAATAATAAAAAAGCAACAAATATCCCAGTCCCAAGAATGTACAATGATCATCAGATTTTTTTTTTTGCTGTACATACTACTAATCTCTTCTCAATGCTATTCATGCACTTAATTTCTTTTATTTGAGCACCAGTTATCGACGACAATAGTAGCTCTGTTATCAAATAAGCTTGAATACTTTTAAACGATAACGAGTATATTATGTATGCTCAAACAACAGTTCTTGCATACTTCATCATTACAAAGCCTCAATATATGTATCGCGTTTAGGGAATGTACAGACTCTATATTACCATTTATAAAATAATAAAAATTGAGTGAATTATTTACCAGGGATAATCTAATCCTATTATTATTATTATTATTGTAGTGAAAGAAAAAAAAATTAGAGAACCGTTTTAGGCTTTGATACTTGTACGTTTGAATAGAACTTCAGTAGATTGTTCAGGTACATAGTAAAATTGACTTTGCTAAACCTTTGAAATAGTCTATCTTAGTATTCTATAGATTGCCCGATGATTTTGTTTAAAGCAGTAATATTAACTAGCTACATTCTTTACAACAAAACATGTAAATGATTTGCTCTCTTGTAATATATTTCATTACTATTGTATATAACGATTAACTAAAGTTTAAGTTTATTACATACATTCGGGACCTTAAATTGTAATTGCAGTTACAAAATCAACGACAACAGTCCAAGGAACATAAATGTGCATATGGTAATCTATCCAAAAATGTTGGTTCGTACTGTGGCTGATGAAATATTATATAAACTTTCTAAAATTCAGAATAAAGTAAAGTCTTTAGTTCTTTTGGTCTAATTAATTATCGAAGAATGTTTATTTTATTTTATTATTTATTAATGTTATGACAAAACTGAATTATTTGGAATATTCGGGCAGTGCGTTTACTTTTTTATTAGGAATCCCCTCATGAATACATATTTGAACAACTGACATATTTTTAATAATTAGAAACAGACCACATGCACTTGCTATTTGACATATTTGGATTTTTATTTTTATTTTTTATTTTTTATTTTTATTTTTTTATTTTTTTTTTTTTTTTTTTTTTTTTAATTTCTTCTTATATATACGAAAAAAAAAAGGATTTGATTACTAAATATATTCCGAAAAGAAACACCAATAATTAAAGAACATGGGTAAACAAAATATTAGGAACGCTGTCCGAATGTATATATTTTTAGAAAAAAAAAGTTTTTTTTTATTAAAAAAAAAAAAAAAAATAACGACATTTTTGCTTATTTGAACAATAGTAACCAAGCAATTATATGTGTGTGTAGTACATAATATAATGACATTAAAAAAATATGCATATATTTAATTACATAATAAATATTATCTGTTTTCTTTTTCTTTATACCCTTATTCCTTATACTTCCTTTTTTCGAATTTTCCCTATAAAAATAGCAATCAATAGAAACTAATTCACACTCCACGGATTCTGATTCACTCGAGCTCTCTCTTTTTTTTTTTTTTTTTTTTTTTTGTTAGGATTCTTCCTTGAGTTTAATTTCTTTCTTTTTTTTTTTTATTCTAATTATTTTGTTATTTATTGTACAACGTAGTATCCCCCTTTTTTTTTTTTTTATATATAAATGCAACAAGAGGACTCGCGCACAGACCTTGTCTCTCTTTGCCCTAATAATGGATCACTTCCTTCTGAAGAGAGAATTTCGAATCTATTAGCAAATCGATTTAAACATAATTTACCATATACCCAACTTGGCTTTTCTACCTTAATTGTCGTTAACCCTTACCAACCACTTGAATTATTAAATGATGCTACTCTTAGATCGTATGCTGAAATTGGATATAAGGATTTATCAGAACAGAAACCTTTATTACAGCCTCATATATATGATTTAGCTACAAAAGTGTATTTTCATATGAGGCGTACTGGAGAAGATCAGAGTGTGATATTAAGGTATTTATAAAATTATAAATATATAATACATAACCAAGTAAATAATAATAATAATAATAATAATATATATACATATATGTATATATATTTATGTATAAATATCTATATAAATAAATAAATATACAAATTTATATTTATATTTATATTTGTATATACATTTATACACTTATAGTGGTATTACAGGTTCTGGTAAAAGTATAAGTCGAACTCATTTCCTTTGTGAACTCTTACAACTTTCAACACATAATAAAAGAGAAAATAAATTAAGTTCACAAATTCAGAACAGTCTTGTTATTATTGAGGCATTTGGACATGCTCGTACTACACAAAATGTTTCTGCATCCAAGTTCGGCATGTTTCAGGAAATTCAATTTAATGAGCGGGGCCGTATTCTGGGTACTAAGATTTTAACTTATCAATTCGACAAGTCAAGAGTCACTCAACCTTCGCCCAATGAGCGTACATACCATGTGTTTTATTCACTTTTGGCAGGCACCACACCTGATGAAAAGAATGCACTCTATATTAACTTTAAACCCGAGTATTTCAATTATATTAGTCAGACGCCTACTCCGAATGACGAGCTTGATTTTGCTGATCTCAAGAGTGCCTTAAAGATATGTGGATTCAAGACTAAAACCGTTACCCAAATATTTCAATTATTGAGTGCTATCTTGCATCTCGGCAATCTTCAGTTTACAGAGAATACAAATATAATGGCAGCTGCAGCACAAGAGGCATGTGTGGTTAAGAACAGAGACATCCTTGACATTGTGGCTATCATGCTTGGTGTTGCTCCTCAAAAACTCGAAACGAGTCTCACTTACAAACTCAAGTTGATTGGTAAGGAAGTGTGCACACTCTTCTTGAACCCTCAGGCAGCTGCTAAACAACGTGATGATCTTGCCTCTATCCTTTACAATCTTCTCTTCCTGTGGATTGTCGAATCTATTAATCGTAAAATCTGTTATGATGGTGAACCCACCAACGTGATTGGTATCCTAGATCAGTTTGGCTTTCAAAACTTTCAAACAAACGGCTTTCAAGAGTTTTGTGCCAATTTAGCTAATGAACGTATACATCAATTCTTGGTTCATGAGCATTTTAGTGATGAACAAGGTATTCATGCTATGATGGTCAATGATGGTGTACCATTACCAGCTGTACGTATCATGGATAATGCCCCTTGTCTTGAGCTCTTATTAGGTCGTGACAAACAACAGCTCCTTGAGGACCATCCTACTAAAGATCTCACAAGCTCATCAGCCTTAGGTTTAGGTGGTATCGTTGGACTTATGGATCGTGACACGGCACGTCTTCAGATGGGTGCCACAGATGCTACTAACGCTAATTTCTTAGCTGCTCTTCAACGTCAGTACTCAAGTCACAGCGCCCTCTCTCGATCATCCCAGCCTTACTATGCCTTTGGTATTAATCATTTTTCGGGAACCGTTCATTACACGGTCGACATGTTCTTGGAACGTAACTTGGATGATCTTTCACCTGACTTTGTCAATCTGTTGCGAGACGGTAGTTCGAACATGTTTATCTCAAATCTATTCCAGGGGACCACGGCAGTGGCCACTGAATTTCATCCAAATGATAATCGCACGGTGATCAAGGCCCAAGTGACAAGTAAACCAACTCGAGCACCCTCTATGCGTAGACGTCCAACTAAGAGACGCAAACCTACTGAAAACGTCTTTGATGAACCGATACCTGAGGACGATACGATGCAGATTATTAAACAGGCAGAGGAGGCTTATGAAAATATGCAACAGATGACTGTCATTGATCAACTCTATGTCACCTTGAGAGATATCATCTTTACTATCTCAGATACTCGGATCTACAATATCATCCATATACGACCTAATGACGTTCAGCAGCCTGAGTTCGACCATAATCGTGTAAAATCCCAGATTAAGGCATTCTTAATACCCGATCTCATCGTTCGTCATCAATTTGATTATGCTAATCATTACTCATTTGATGAATTTGTGGAACGTTATGAGTCCTTCTTGGCATATCTAGGTCAACAGCAGGAGGGATCAAGTACCAAGGAAATAGTAGAAGCGGCTTGTATGACTATGAATTGGACTGTTGAATCCGTCTTTATAGGTACGGAATATATTTGGTTAAGTTACGAAGTTTGGAAGGAGTTAGAAAATGGTTTAAGAGCAACTGAAAAGGAAGAACGAGCACGCGCAAAGACGAATATTGAAACGCCCTCTGAAATGGATTATCAAGATGAGCGAGTATTGATGAATTATGAAAATGATATGAAGCAATCATTTGAAGGTTCTCCTATTTATGAAGATGGTGCCAGTTATGTATATAGTGAGGATAAGCGAGATGCAAGTCAATGGGGTGAAGAATCGGAATGGGGTATTAATGGCCTTAGTGAAGGGTAAATTATATATACATATATTTATTATATAGTATTAATATTCAATTTTTTTTTTTTTTTACTTATAATATATACATATGTAGATTTGGCCCTAATATGGATATGAGTAAAATGATTGAAGATGTTCAACCACCTAAGATTGAAAATATTGAAGAAGTACCCATTACACGTATTCGTCGATGGTGGGTCAGATTTGTTTGGTTTATGACATGGTGGATCCCTTCCCCTCTACTACGTTGGATTGGCAAAATGGACCGACCCGATATTCAATTAGCTTGGCGTGAGAAAGTAACCCTTTGTATGATCATTGTTCTCTTTTCGGGTGTCGTTCTCTTCTTTATTATTGGTTTAGGTAAAGTGATGTGTCCAGGCACGAGCACGATGTACTCTACTCAACAGGTACGAAACCACGATGTTGCTGCAGATAACTATATGAGTGTAAGAGGTGTTGTATATGACGTAACCCAATTTGCTAAGTTGGAACATGGTGGTAGTGGATATATAGCTACTAAAGCTGATATGGCTGCTCTTGCAGGCTATGATGTTTCATCCTCAATTCCTCCTCCTCTTACTATCGCTTGCTCAGGCCTTGTTTCTAGTGCAACCATCAAGATCATTCCTAACACTACCGTCAACCCACAGGCGACCTTTGTGCATTACTCTGGGGACCAACTCATGATTCCTTCATTGACTAACATGAAGGATCCCTTCTGGTACTGGAAGACCTTTTTACCTACTATGAAAAGTTACAAAAAGGGCACACTTGTTTGGCTCCTCAAGGACCTCCTTGCTGATGCCAACTCATGGAATCGTTACGCTCTTGCTATTAACAACAAAGTTTACGATCTTACAGATTATTTCAATACCGTCTCGATATTTGGAGGAACCGATAGTGCCTCCTCTTCCTACAACTTTCTTTCCCCAACTGTCCAAGAACTCTTTAAGCGTTACAGAGGTACGGACGCAACCTCAAAATGGCAGCTTTACAAAGAGGCAATGACCGCTGAGGAAATAGCGATGAATCTTAACTGTCTTGATAACTACTTTTATATTGGTAATGTCGATCCTCGAGAGGAGCCTCGCTGTACATTTAGTAACTACCTATTGTTATCCTTTGCCTGTGTTATGTGTTTCACGATGTTGATCAAATTCTTGGCCGCCCTTCAGTTTGGAAGTGCGCCAACACCCGAGGACCATGATAAGTTTGTGATTTGTCAAGTACCATGTTATACTGAGGATGAAGAGTCACTGAGACGAACGATTGATTCATTAACTGTGATGAAGTATGATGATAAGCGCAAGTTATTGTTTATTATTGCAGATGGTATGGTCATGGGTAGTGGTAACGATCGTCCTACGCCTCGTATCGTGTTGGATATCTTGGGTTATGATACAAAGCAGGACCCTGAACCTCATATGTTCAAGTCCGTCGGTGAAGGTGCTAAACAACTTAATTATGGTAAAGTCTATTCAGGTCTCTACGAATGTGAGGGCCATGTTGTGCCCTATATTGTTATTGCTAAGGTTGGTAAAGCGTCTGAACGTGCTAAGCCTGGTAATCGTGGTAAGCGTGACTCTCAAATGATCTGTATGAACTTCTTGAATCGTGTTCATTTTGATAGTGAAATGACACCCTTGGAACTCGAGATCTACCATCAAATCAAGAATGTGATTGGTGTGAACCCATCATTTTACGAATATATTTTAATGGTCGATTCAGATACAGAGGTCCTACCTCATTCACTTAGCTATCTAATCTCCTCCATGTTGCATGATAGTAGTATTATGGGTATCTGTGGCGAAACAAAACTAGCTAATGAAGATCAATCCTGGACTACAATGATTCAAGTCTATGAATACTATATCTCGCACTATTTAGCAAAGGCATTTGAATCCTTATTTGGCTCTGTTACATGTTTACCTGGTTGTTTCTGTATGTACCGTGTTCGTACCCCTATCAAGAATGAGCCCCTTATCATTTCACATAAGGTCGTTCAAGACTATGCTGAAAATCACGTTGATACGCTACATAAGAAGAACTTGTTATCACTTGGTGAAGATCGTTACTTGACCACACTCATGATGAAGCACTTCCCTCAATATAAGATGAAGTTTACTCCTTATGCAACATGTAAAACTGTAGCACCTGACAAACTACGTGTATTACTATCACAACGTCGTCGATGGATTAACTCAACTGTTCACAATTTATTCGAGGTTGTCATGTTACCTGACTTGTGTGGCTTCTGTTGCTTTACAATGCGATTCGTTGTCTTGCTCGATTTGATCGGTACCCTATCGTTGCCAGTCTCATTTGTTTATTTGATCTATTTGATTTATGTCATTGCGGCACATGCTGGTCCATTCCCCATCTTGGCTATTAGTATGCTAGCTGGTCTATACGGGTTACAAATTCTTATCTTCATTTTAAGAAGACAATGGCAACACATTGGTTGGATGATATTCTATATCTGTGCCTTACCAGTCTATGCTTTCTTTTTACCCGTTTACTCGTTTTGGCATTTTGATGATTTCTCGTGGGGTAATACGCGTATCGTCGTTGGTGACACTCAGCGTAAGATTATCGTCACTGATGAAGAAAAGTTTGATGAAAAGATGATTCCTATGAAAAAATGGAGTGTTTACGAACAAGAATTATGGGAAATGAACTCAGAATCACAAAGTTATGGTACACCTAGTCAATATAGTGGTAGCATGATGCAACAGTCTGGTGATTATGATTATTACAGAGATACACGTATTAATGAAAAACCACGTCAACGTCGTTCATACGCGACATTTGCTGGTAGTGTTATTGGACCTGGATCCGTTGTGGCGGGTTCTGAATATGGAGGTTATGGCAATAATATGTATCCTATGACTGAATATAGTCGAAGTGTGATCATGACAACACCTCAACCTGGATCCGTGATTGGATCTGAATATGGTGGAGGAAGAATGGCATCTAGTAATAGCTTAGCTATGCATCCAATGACAGATTATACAAATATACGTAATAGCATGATGACAGTGAATAGTAACATATCGCCACCTATGCCAAATACAATGATTCCACCTATGGGCATGAATATGTATGCCACAAGACAACATCAACAATACCCTCCTTATTCATAAATTAATTCGTATAAATAAAGTACTGATAGTTATGTAATCTCTGATTAAAGGGGAATATCAATGGTATTTTTATTATTATTATTATTCAATAATTGAAATTTGAGAAATAACAGTCTGTGCTTCTTGTATTTCATCAACAGCAGCATTTTCAAAGTTTTCCTTTTTTTTAAAAAAAAATAAAAGAAAAAAAATAAAAAAAAAGAAAGAAAAAGAAAAAAAAAAGTTAGCATATAAAGATTATTACTTTGTTATATATAAATATTTACTAGTTGATTTTGTAAATCTTGATAAGCATTAGCAAGTCTTTTCTTAACATCAGGAATCATTTGTTGTGTCTCTGCAAGAACCTCTTTCTAATAATAAATACGCGTATTTTTTTTCTTTAAGTTTTCTTATATTTTACACATATATGTATAAACGGTAAGAGTAACTCTTTTTTTTTCTATTTACCTGCTTTCTAACATCGGCCTCATCAGCTCCTTCTGCAATGAGTTTATCAATACGTTTTTGTTGAGTTTCGGCTTCTTTAAGATAACCGAGATGTTCCTTGTAAATTCTAAATTACGTAATGATTAAGGATGAGTTAATAAACTATTTAATTTTGTAATAACCAACCTCTTAACAACGTTGGTTTTAATTTTTAAAGGACTAAGAGGCATTTCTAATTAAATTTATTTATGATTTAAAAAGTAAGAAGGAAAAAAAGAAGGAAAAAAGAACAAAAAAATAAAAACACCAAAAAATAAAAATTAAAAAAGGCAATGATTTCTCGGATGACAAAAAATAAAGCCCCGCAAATGACGGGAAAGCTTATCATGGTTTATTTAATAAAGATTTTGATCTTGTTGAACGTTTTATACTTGATTCTGATTTAGCTTGAAGAACCTAAAAAAGAAGAAAGAATGAGTATTCGCTCTTATGTAATTAAATACCATATAATTTTTTATTTACTTGTGCTCTTTTATTCATAGAATCAATAATAACGGATTGATGCTTTAATATTTCATTTTTCAGTTTATATTCTCGAATTCCTTTAGGATTTAACCAAGACAGTAGTTTTTCAAGCTAATGAAATAATAATAGTATTCGTTAGTAAAACTTCTCCCTTTTTTTGTTTATTATTCTTCTTCTTTACTCTATCAATAAAAAAAAAAAAACTATTTATTACCTCTTCTGGCTCTTCGTAATATTTCCACCATCCTCGATATTCACTAGGAGGTGTCTCGCTACTTAGCTCGGCTATACGTTTTTCAAGCCATTCACATTCTTCTCTTAAGCCTTGTTCTTGCATTAATTTTTTAATAAACCAAATACCTCCACCATATCCCCAGGGCCTTTCAGGTAAATCAGTGGCATGATCTCTTTCCATCATTAACAAAATATCACCATCACTTGGACTATTTACATATAATTTACCAGATCCATGTGTATTGGATATTCCAATATTATCAAAATAATAATATCGGTTGTTAAATCGATCTTTACCTAATGGTCGAATGCGTAATGTCATATAACGTCTCATGGATACCTCTAAATGCTCTTCCTATAAAGAAAAGTATTAAAACATATACTTTGACTTTTTTTTTTCTTTGTAAGAGGAGAGTAAAGATTACCTTTTTTCTTAAACGTCTTTCTTCTTCTTCTAATTTTCGTCTTTCTATTGCTTTTTGACGTTGTTCTTGATTTTTTACCTTAGCTACTTGACGCTGTTCCACATACTGTCGGTTAAATTCTTCTCTTTCTTTTTGTTTCTGCTTTAGTTTTTCTTGCCTTAATTTATGTCGATGTTCTCGATCTATTAACATACTATCCGAGCTAAGTATAATATGTATATATATATATATATATATATATGTATGTATTTAGAATATAAAAATAAATTTATAATTCTATCTTACGAATCACTGTCATTATCTGAATCTTCTTCTGTACTACTACTTGTATCTTCCATCTTTTCTTCTTCTTTATCTATTTTATCCATCCGATTTCGTTTTGATGCTAATATCTTGGCTTCTTTATTTAACTCAATTTTTTGTTTTCTAAATTCGGATATTTGTTCTTGGCAATAATCCATGTAGTTTTTAATAAGAGTTGACTCATTTACGACATCTGTGAGGAAAGTAAGGATATTTAGTTTTTGTTTAGGTGTTAAGGTGGGGTATTGTCTTTCTCTTTCGGATGCTGTTGTTGCATAGAGATGAGTGAGGATTTCATCAAGATCAGATACTAACTCAGGTGTTGCTACATCATTAAGGCAGCCCATCAAAACTGTCTCCCAGCCACGTCGTTCATAACTAGATCTAATTTCCTTCTGATCCCATTTAGAAGTTAACTTAAGTTGATCTTTGTTGCGCCAACCTGTTAGTGTTACGTGAGTTTCTAAATACTCCTCCATTCTATCGCCGTTCATAATATCATTCATTGTGTCTTCGTTACGTTCACGAATTATCACATTTAATAAAGTTGCATGATACTCTGCAAGGATATGTGATCTATCTTCTCCAAATATGCTCGCTTCAAATTCATCCAAACTAAAGGATGATAATTTAAGAGGTTCAGAAAATGCTGCCATAAAAGACCAAATAGCCAAAAGAATATCAAACAATTCAGGAGATAATGAATTAGTATGTGGTGTGGGTCGTTCAGGTCGACCTCCACTAGGATATGGAATATCATGAGTTGAATCTGTTGACATATCTATAAGGGTCCAATTTAAGTTGGGATCTTTACGATAGATGGGTAAATCAAGATCTTCTACAGGATATTTAACTGCAGACTGTTTGCGTTTTTCTTCACGTAACCTATCTCGTTCTTCTTTTTGTTTAGCTCTCAATAGTTGAATTTCTTCTCGTTTAGCTCGTTTTTCTGCATCTCGTTCATAATAGGATGGTATTTTACGTTTTTTAGAGAGTCGCTCATAAAGCTCTTGGATATGATCAGGTAACGTTGTATCTATATGGTAAGTAGAAGCAATTGCAGGCTAAAAAAAAAAGGAGTATTATTTTAATGAAATATTAAAAATATTTAATTTTAATATATACCTTAATCAGCCATGGTGCATTCATGTAGGTATCTTGATAGCAGCATTCACGTATAAAACTTTGAATATTTAAACGATTATAAATATGTTTTTCTCTATCATATATTTGGTCTTCATCAATAATACGATGGCAATCCTCTAGTAAATTTCCTACTTCATCAATTAATTGCACTTCAAATTGTTTTTTATGCTTATAATTATATATATTGGGTGATTTAGGTTCAGGATGAAGGAATGCATCAGGAAAACGTAATCGGCCATCCGGCTGTCTAGGAACATCATGTTCTGTGTGAGATTCATTATTGGTAGAATGTATAATATCCACAATTTCAGCATGGTAACTAATGATGGAATATTATTATATATTGCATATGCACGTATTTTTCATTAACATTACTTGTATTCATTTAATTTACATTGAATTGTTTCGCCTTTTACATAATTCTCTTTAAAATAATTATAAGTGTCATCTACTAAGTCATCCAATCTCTTTGTTTCTTTTTATAAAAAGAGAAAAAAAAAAGTTAGTAAAATGTATATGTTTACCATTGTGTGTATACATTTGTAGGTAAACTTACGAAATTGAACTTTTTCCAAAATACATTTTCGTAATGGTTTGGAGAATATGTATTCAACTCTTTTATCATGTTCTAATTTTTCACTCTCGAGTGCTTGTTTGTAGGTTAAATTCTTTCTTCCTGTCACTTCGCATTCCCAAATGGCTTGATTATATAAAGTTAATCTATTAATATAAGATCTATTTTTGGCAAAAAGTTAAGGTATAATAAAATTATTGTATAAAAAAAATTCTTTTGTTTTATGAATGTTGAAACTAGCAAAAAAAAAGGATACTCGTAATTTGTGAAGACTTCATTAGTAGAGCGTAAATACCATACTTCTTTACGTTTACGCTTTGGATCGTATGGAATAGTAGGTGTTAATGGTATTCTTTTCCTATTTAATAATGGCATGTTGATAATTAGAAATGGCAAAGAGAGAAAAAAAATTAATTTTAAAAAAAAAAAAAAAAAAAAAAAAAAAAAAAAAATACATTTATTAATATCGCGTGTATGAATCAAAATAAGTTCTCTTTTTCATTTCCCGGTTTTGTGTTTTTGATTTTCACCCCTTTTTTCTATGTGATATAAATCCTGCGGCGGCTGTCAATAAGAATGCAGTCACGACTTGAATATCCGATGAAGAATCAGAAAACTTGAATAAAAAAGAAAAATCATGATAGGTTTACCATGTAGACTTATTAATTTAACTATGCTGTTTTATTCTTGTTTTTATATGTAGTAGCGCACATTATTTAAATAATGTAAGTTGGTTTATATTGCATATTCGCTTCTACAAGATTTTAACCTAAAAAAAAATAAAAATAAAAAAGCTGGACGAGTAGAAAATTCTATTGGACGAATTTAGGAATCTTTAAAGACTTTCAAATGAGACAATAAAATCCTTCTATAACAAAATTATTTATTTGTAAAAGAAAAAAAAACCTAAATCTAAAGCTTGAGTAGGTAGACCATTCCTGATCCAACGATTTGCTATTTATATAGGATGAAATAGCTGTCGATATTACTAAAGATTGGCTTCTTTTAAATGCAGCCTAGATACGTTTCTTTTCCCACACCGAACAAGATATTGGCATCATGTATAACGCAGTGTCGACATCCCTTTGCGAAAGAGTTCCACATAGGTTGCAATTGACAGAACTTGCATATTTGAAAAGTAAAGTACTCGTCCATGGTGACGGCAATTAATCCATCTTCAGCTTCTTTCTTCTTAAATGTGTGCTGTCATATTACATCTGTGACTTTTTAACTTTATCAGGTTGTTATTAAACATGACTGCACTACACACAACTAACGAGACTCTTTTAATGCTGGTTGAACTTGAGTGGTACCTACTTGCGCGACATATGCAGAGTTTTATATGAGTCAGTATAATCATTGCTATAAATATATCCAAACCAATAGCAATTTGTGTATTATCTTCGATTTGCTCCCTCTTGAATATTTTTTTCTTTAATCCCGTTCTTTTTATTATTATTATTCTTCCTCTTCCTTTTTTTTTGTTCCTCTTATTTCTATCATGCTTTGATACCATCATTGATCAGCATGTTGGCTATCAATTCTGGTACGTTTTGCCTTCCTTGGTACAACATGAATTGTATTTTTTTGCTGATTTTTTATCGTAAAAACTAAAAAGGACATTCAAATGACTGAAAATATATCTGATATAAAGTCGGTATTGATCCACTCTAGCTAGTTTTGATGTCAGAATATCTCTTTCAGGCCTGGCCATTCCTGTCATGCTGCTCTTAGTTTTTTTTTTTTTTTTTTTTTTTTTTTTTTTTTTTTTTTTTTAATAAAAAATAGGGCGTGAAAGTGAGCTAATCCAGTTAAACGGTAAAACTCTTTAGTTGTACATCTTCTGAGTTGTATGTTTCCATCATCTGAATCATTCGCTACTTGAAAAACGGTTTTTAAATCCAGGGTCTAAAGTTGTTGGTAGGTATGTATGTATGTAATACTTGATTCTATAGAATGAAAGTCTGTCATAACCAGGTCACAATTATCATAATAATCTTCATTATGTATAGACTCTAATCACTTTCTTTTATAAAATAAAAAAAACAACAACAACTAAATAATCGTCCATTTGGACTATGTTCCCAAACAGCTTTTTAACTATTACTGGATGGTATTAGCTCTTTTAAACTATGAAAAGGAAAATATTATTTTTATTTTTTAATTATATATTTCTTGTTTATACAAGTATGCAATGATATTTGAATCTCACCTTCTAAAACGAAGCTTTGCAAACCCTAAAAAAATTCTATAGAACATCTCTAATAAACCAGCAAACCCCTTTGAGGTAACTGCTCTTTTACAAAGCTTATAAGCGCATTGACATTTACGGTAATGAACCGCTAATGTAAGCACGCATCATGGTAGAACATAAAGAAGCTTAGAGAGTGGGAGCCTTCTAAATATCAAATAGTGTTTTTTTTTCTTTTTTTCGTTGCGGTATTCTACTTCAATAGTTGACAAAATGTAAAAAAAAAAAAAAAAAAAAAAAAAAAAAAAAAAAAAAAAAAAAAAAAAAAAAAAAAAAGAAAGAAATGGAATAAATTTTCCAGCAGGCTCTCATAGGCTTTTCAACGTTACCGCTACATCCAATCTTTCTCTAAATGGTACATAGATATCAATGATTTCAGCTTTCAAGTCTTTAGTTAATCCTTTATCGCTAAACCATTGGAGGCTCTCTTGGCGTATAAACCTGTAGCAAAACTTTACCGAAATATCATAATTCGGTTATGATTTCATGCTCTGAAAATTTTAAAAGATATTAATACAGTCAATGCTCTCAAATATATATGTATATATATATTACCAAAACTCTAGTCTTGTAAAGTGTACTTGAAATATTTTTAACGATTTTGTCTCAAATATTTCAACAATATTATCAGAGTATGTTGTTGCAAGTTCCGTGCGTGCTTCTGCAAGACACTGACTTACACCATTAATAAGAGTAGTGCGATACTCTATTTACGACAGAGTTTTTTTTTCGTGCTTGAAATTGTTCCAAAAAGTCGAAATATCAGGAGGCATATGGCGGATACTTTTTTTAGACCAACTGCTGTTCATGAATTGATATATAGAATACCCAAAACTATTGTTTAAAACACATACACACACACCAATAGGATTGAATGTAATATTGTGAAATAGTGTATAATAATTGATGAAAACTTTAGCACCGAAAAAGGATTCAACTTATATCTTTTACAAGTAGTTACGAGTGTTGTTATCAAAGTATCTCTATAATGTTCTTTGACACAATCATGGTAAGGTAGCTTTCTGATAAACAATGCATAATTTTCACTCGAGTTTCTTTTAAACACTTCAACTTTGGTTATGATATGGTTTGGACAGCGAAGTGAACGCGCTATGCTATGGTCTGCCTTTTTTTTTTTTTTTTTTTTTGAAACTGTCTTTAAATATTTTCGTAATCGTCTTTTTTAGAATCTTGTATTCCTTCGAGCAGTATTTGCTCCGATCCTCTTCTTTCGTTGTGTTACAAAATAAATCAAATTATTTAGTTTACTACTGTTAAATGGCATGTTATTATTGTATTAAAAAAAAATAATATTTATTAGTGAAGTATATTAACCAAGTATATGAATATAAAAAAAAAAGAAAAGAAAAAGTTTTTTTCTTTTTAATAAAAGATATGTATATTATGTCCATACATATGAATCAGTTTTTCTTTTTTTTTTTTTTTTTGTTAAACAAAGAAATGATAATTATAAAAAAAAAGGCAAATGTGTATAAATGTATATATATATCGCACGTGTAGTATATATGAATATATACATATATTAAATTTCTTCTCCTTTAAAGCATATAAGCTAAAATAGCAACACCAACGAGAGCAGCAATCGTTCTTGAAGACGAGGAAATAGAGGTAGCTTCACTAGTAGGCTTAAAAATAGATCCTGAGGAAGTAGATGTAGTTGTACTATCCGTCTTTGTAGCAGCACTAGCTGATGATGAAGCTGCAACTGCCAAAATATTAATAGGTATATCTAATTGTGTTGCAGTTCTGGAATCCAAGAAGACAACTTTATAAGGACCGGGTGTGACAGTAGTAGGGATATTATAGTTGACTGAATGTTCGTAAAAAGTAATATTACCATCTTTCTTTGCACTAGATGGGGACTTGGAGGTATCGATTGAAGTAGCAATAGTATAAGTCATATTACTACCTGTAGTGGCAGGCTGAAGAGTGATTGAAAGTGAAAGATCTATACAATATATGTATATATATAAAGGGAAGCATTAGTTTTTTTTTTTCGTTATTCTCTCGTAAATTGAGTATTAGTTGTTACAAACTCTACCTGATACGATATTATCTAAAACTCGAATAGTACAAGGTAAGATTTGGCCTGCAACATAAGGACCATTAGGAACGGGACTACTAACGTTATAGTTTTGAGTAGGTGCTGTTACTTGTGCAGTAGCAGCTGCAATAGTCAACACAATTCCTGAAATAATAGTAAAGAACCTCATTATCCTTGGTATTGAAAAAATAATAATAATAAAAAGGAAAAAAAAAAAGAAAAAGAATATAAGAAAAAGAATATAAGAAAAAGAATACAAGAAAGAAAGGAAAAATTAAATATTTGAAAAATCGTACGAATCAAAAAAGGGAGTTTGCTACGAGACGCAAGTTATATTTTTAGATGTACTTATTGTATGACAAAAAGGAATATATTATTGTTCCTTCCTTAAGTTTTTTTTTTTTTTTTTTTTTTTTTTTTTTTTTTTTTTTTTTTTTTTTTTTTTTTTACTATTATTATAATAAATTTTGATTTGTTAACATTTTGTGAAAATAGATAAGAAGACATTATGATGTTGTCTCATTTCAAGAAGCTTTCTTGATTTTGACTATTTCATTCTGAGATAAAATGTTTCTTTCTTCTTAGAAAACGCATTATTGGAATTAACAGGTTTTGTTTGATTTATCTTTATAGCAATGATGTAGTATATCATACATAGACATGGTTTTAACATAGTATGTCAATATTATATAAGTATATATGTATATGTATATTTGTATGAATGTATTTAAACTTGTGTACATAATAAAGTTGTATAATACATTTTATTTTATCACTCGTATTTGTAATTTGTTTAATTTGTTTTTATAGGTATATATTCTTATTTTGCAAAGGTAAATTAATTTTGCAAGCTTCATACTCTTAACTCATTTACATATGCATATCACTTCTTTTTATTTAACAAATATTTGTATACTTTTTATTAAAAAGAAAGGATAAAATTTGGCATTGGCTTATGCAAAACCTGCAATTGTTTTTTAAAAAAAAAAAAAAAAAAAAAAATCTAAATAGATCAAAAAAAATTGTGGAGAAACTTCTCCCTAAATAATTTCTAGAACTTAGTATTTATATAAGCTCTCTACATCAATAATAATGAATTCTAAACAAACATACATATTTTGATGTGAGCACGTATCATACAGAAAGAAAAAAATTGTTTAGATTTTTATTATAACACTGTAAAAAAGTATGTAGGGAGACCATTTAGTAAAATGATAATCTGAATATAAATTATAGATACTTTTTCTTTTTTCCTTTTTTTTTTCTTTCTTTAATTGAAGATGCCATTTACTAATACTACTGCAAATGCAGCAGTAAAAAGGATAATAAAATCGAAACTAATACGAGTACTGCTAGAGCTAACAGAAACAGTGCTCGTAATAGAAGTTGAAGGTATAGCAGAGGAAGCAACCACTGGAGTAGTAATACTAGCAGCAGGGTTATAAGATACAGTGCTCAATAAACTTGCAGAAGGAGTAGATGCAGAAGCTAAAAAAAAAAAAAAAAAAAAAAAAAAAAAAAAAAAAAGGAGGATTTATGATTAGGAGCTTTCTTGTTGTAATTCTATAAATAAAACAAAGTTTTATATTTTTGTCAATATTTACCTAAAGTAGAAGAAGATGTAGCAAATCTACTAGTTAAAGTAAAAGATGCAGTCTCACCACTTGAAGTAGAGGGTCTACCATTTGATGCTGAAAAACTACTGCCTGTAGCACTACCTGTTGCCCTAGTATTAGTAACACTGCCTGAGACAGAAGCAGTGCCTGTAACAGTATTAGTAGAAGTGCCTTCAGTAGTTGTGGTAATGGCTTCATCTGTGTTAGCTTCAGTGATAGTAGCAGTAGCGTCATCCATAATATCATTTTTATCAAGTACATCAGTAACGATATTTGTTACTGTCTCAGTAGCGTCATCATTAACAGGACCCGTCAAATAATTTTTAAGTTGATCTTCTGATAAAAGTGATCTCCACCAATAAATATCAGTAACAGGTTCAGGCATATTAGCATTTTCTATATTTATATAAGATATATATTCATTACAATGAAAACTATACAGTTAACAAGGCAAAAAAAAATAAGTTTATACCTTCTTGTTGAGCAAGAACTAACTGAGAAAGGATAAACGTAACTAACAAAGATAAAGAAAGTGAGGATTTCATTTAAATAAATAATAGCAATGAAGAAGAAGAAGAAAACAAAGAAAAAATATAGCTTAAGCAAAACTATTTATTTATTTATTTTTATTTTAGATAAACTCCTATTTCATTATACAATAAGAGAAAGGAGGAAACTAGTATCGCTTTATAATACAAAAAAGGGCTTTACTGCATTAATTAGCAAAGTCTAGAATTGTTTGCTTAAAAAAAAAAAAAATCAAGTAGATTACTTCTTTAAACAGAAAAAAAGAAAAGAAAATAACAGAGTAGATTTATATCATATTTATTTATTTTTGAATGCTATTTACAGTGACAGATTATATAAGGAATTTAAAAAGAATAAAACTTTTCTTTCACTGCTAGTGCATCATTTGAACAAATAGTTTTGAAAAAAAGAAAAAAATAATAATAAAATAGTATAAAAACGCCCTCAGCACCAACGATGATCATCAAGAAAAATAATACTTGAGTGATATACAAATATTAAAAAGAAAAAAAAATAAAATATCTAGAAATAGAGGGTGCTCTACACAATTTAGATAAGAAGCTTTTCGATTTGAGTCTTGATGTTCAAAATTTGAGGCTTCAAGTCAGAAGCTTCGTTAGTGGTAACAGAAGCAGCAATAACAGAACGAGAGACACCACAAGCACGTCCCAAAGCAGTTTTAGAAGGAACAAAGACATAAGGAACATTCTTATCTTCACATAAAAGAGGAAGGTGAAGAAGAATTTCCAAAGGTTCAGTATCAGCTAATGGGAAGAAAAAAAAATAAAAACATTAGATCGATGATTTATAGCATCCAAACTAATATGAAAGATAAAACTTACCGGCCATGATAATGAATTCAGAAATACCTCTGTTAAGAGTCTTGGTAGCTTCGTTAGCACCCTTCTTGAGTTGCTTGTAATGAGAAGCTTGTTGAACTAAATCGAGAATAGTGCTGGTCAAAGAAGCATCAGCAAGAGGGAAAGCCTTGGGATTAACAGCAGACTAATAATAATAATAATAATAATATATAAGCTTAAACTAATAACTTTGTAAAGGTTGACATTTTAGAACTTACCATTTTGTTTTGGTGTTTGAATTAAAAGAAAGAGGAAAAAAAAAAATTTTATAATTGCCTTTGGTAAAACGCCAGAAAAGCTTGAGAATAAACAGTCACGTTAGCATGGAGCTGTCTATAAAAGGTAACCAATGGATTGTTTCGCTATCGTCAACCATTGTATGAGCATTATGAATAGTATAAAGCGATATCCTAGAGCATAAATTATATAGAACCATATATAATATGTTTATTACTACCGTTTCTTATTAATTTAAATAAGCTAATATAGAAAAAAAAAAAAAAAAAAAAAAAAAGCTCATAAAATGAAGAAATGATTTTTTATAAAACTCAATTACTTGGAAAATACATTGCAATCCTTATTTTCTTATGACAGAATTGAATCTTAAAATTATATATTAGGAGGCCAGCAAAACAAAAGTTCATTAAAGCAATTTTATTTTCTCTATTTAACTAACTGGCCCTATTAAATTTTAATAAGAATAGCCGAATAAACTATGTATTGTATAGTGTCAATCATCACCAAGTTGTATATAATTGTTACATGTAAAAACTATCTTTCTCTATTTATTTTACTACAAATTTCAGTCTATTATATGATGGCAGATATATATCAATATATGATATAAATAGATAATATGGATCGCCAATAAAAAAACATTATTCATTACTCCTATATTTGCTTATGTATTACATAATTGTGATCTTCCTCTGCTTTATTTGCTGATCTCATAACGATAAAGCATATCACATCATTACACACAAAGCTTATTGTCAAATTAATTCCTGCTTTTACTGACAATGAAAGTGAAGGGAACTTTTACATAAAATAATAGTATACAATAGGATAAACTATTTTTTATAATAGTTTTAGTGATGTTCATTACAAATAGAATAGACTGATTATATGATTTCCGATGAAAACATAAATGCCTTTAACCTAGCACTATTATCTGTAAAAAATGATATCGATATACACTAGATTTATAGGACCTGTTTTTTTCCTTCTTTGGGAGAAAGAAAAAACCAGCTCTTATTAGTATAATCTCTCTCTCTACTACTACTATTACTACTACTCCTGTTATTACTGAGATAACCTTTATATCTCCTTATATAGTCACTATTACTCCTTACTTAATGATATTCATTATCAGAGTACTAGTTATTTCCAACAAATTATTTGTTTCGGTCAACATTGAGAGTGTTAAAAGAGAAGAAGGAAAAAAAGCAAATTCTGTGATAATATACATATCTATTTTTATTTTACGTAATTGAAGGATAAAAGCAAAAGAAAAAAAAAAAAAAAAAAGAAAAAAAACAGAGAGAGAGAAAAGATACACGTATTATTTGTATTTTTAAAATTTCTGTAATGAATAAAATAAAAATATGAGTTGAAAAATAAATAAAATCAATAAAATATGTTTTCTTACCCAATCATCAGGTATATTTTGTGCCCATCTAAACTTGTCTATTAATGTCTTGCTAAAAACTTTCTCTAAAGGTACTTCATGTTTTCTACACCAAGCAACAGTAATACGAGGATCAATGTAATTCAATTTAGAAGTACTAAGAGCTACTTCTTTATTCTCTTCTTTATCTGTAATTTGATTTTTCGTAGCATGTATACGATCATCCACTTTTTGAATTTGGGAAATAAGTTTCTCAACTGTCATACTTGCTTTAGGTTCAATCGTTGCCATCTTACGTTCCTTCTTTAAACGCTTTTCTAACTCGTCAGCCGCTTTTAAATTCTCTTTAAGCTGGGATAAGGGCATACGTGGTTGATTTTCGGCAACTAACTTTTCATTTTGCTTTTCAAATTTCGACTTGATTTTTTCTTTTTCCTTTTCAACGAGCTTTTCTTCGTAGTCAACAATCCAATCGTCTTCAAGATCGGATTCCATCTCGGCATATCGAGGATTCTTTTTCATTTTGGGATCAAGAGTAAAAAGTTGTTTTCGAAGCTTCATGCGCTGATATTTGTGTTGTCGAATACGATCACTAATTCGTGAGATGGTCTGCTCGTGAGTTTTTGAAACAGATCTTTGATGGTTACAGAGAATCGCGACTTCACGATTAGCTCGATTGTATGATAAAAGCTTGTTAGCAATTGAATCGTCAGAGTTTGTTAAAAGATCAACCTGTTGTTGGAATGTGATAGATGCATTATAAGTACGGAATACTTTAGCTGATAAACCCTTCATACAAGAATTCAAGTAACGGTTAAGATCAGATGTCGTAAGACGATCAAAGATCATATGACCATGACCCACTTGCTTCTTAAAAATATTAATATTTTTATAGACTTGAGGATCGACTTGAACTGAATTCTGATATCGAATAGAATCTTTACCTAAGAAATCAAAATGCAATGTATTTGGAGGCTCTAATGTGATATGTTCGTAACGAAGAGAGCAACAGCCTACTGTATCTGCTTCATCTTCACCCTTTTCATTACCGGCTCTTAAAGCTAACCTATCAATCAAATACATGGCTGTAGCACGTTGACGTACTTCAGTCAATTTATCCTTTAATTCTTTTGTATAATTCTCACGAATTCGTTTGACATGTTTCTAAAAGACACATGTTAAATTCTACTGTTTGTTTATAGATATACATGTTGTAAATACCTTCAATTCTCTAGCTTTTTCAAACTTTTGCATATCACTCTGACCCTTCCAAGTAGAGTTAGCAGCCAAGAAAACATATTTAATGGAACCATTCACATTTTCTTTCCAAGTAGCTAACCAAGTAGCTGTTTGGTCATGAACAACAGAAGCCCATTTATGTCCTGCAGGAGGCTCAGGGATAGGAGCATCCACACCCAGATTTAATGTTACTTGCTCAGGCATAACTCTAGTCTTAAGTTTACCAGTTTTTGGATGACTACCACGACCACGAAATAATGCTGGAGGTTCAATTCTAAAATTACCAACTTTTTCTTTACGACCATCAACAATAGCATAAAGAAAAGGCTCCTCTGCTTTCGTTTTCTCTTCTTTGATTTTCTATTAAAAATGTCAACTATAAATATATGCAAATTGGGTGACATTCTTTCTTTTTTTCTTTTTTTTTTTTACCAATTTTTCTTCTTTTGTCATATTCTTCTTTCTTTCTTTATCTTCCTCGAACTTATTCCAAATAGGTCTAAAATCACATTTATTAAAATCGGTTATTTCAGGATTCTAAAAAAGAAATAACAATAATAAAAAAAAGAAATTAAATACTATAGCAAACCATAAGAAAAAAAATTTTTTTTGTTACCTTTGGATCCTTTTTCAAAATTTGCTGCCAATCCTCAAAAAAATTCTTTTGAAATACAGGATTTTTAGCATGATCAGTCTCCAAAAGGGCTGCAAAAAAAGAGGCTACTTCTTCAGCCTCAGGAGTAAGTGTGATAGGTTTACCATCATATTTCATTTTGACGCCATGAGGAACGTATTCAGGAGGAAAGAGAACGCCATTATGCTGGAGTGTAGTCCATTTAATTGAACCATCATTTTCAAGCTCACTCTGTTCCTCTTCCCACCATTTATAAAAACTGGGATCATCTTCTTCCTTTTTTACCTTCTTTTCGCGTTTAGTTGACGTTTTAGAATCTGAAGGTCTCTTTCGAGATGGCATATCAATGTCCATAGACTCGACTTTAATTTTTTTCTGTTGAAGACAATATATATATATATATATATATATATATGAGCCTTTTTCTTTTTAATAAAACATTCCTTTGCTTACCTCTTTTGGCTCCTTCTTAACTTTAGGAGACAATTTGCGTTGAGATAAAGGAATATCATCATCATCATCACTGCTTGCATTTTCTTTTTTAACGCGTGATTCTGTTTTTAGTTTACGCTGAGAGAGTGGAATATCGTCGTCATCACTATCGTCAATAGCTTTAGAGGCTATAGTGGTGTTCTTGGGAATAGAATGATTTCGTTGAGCTAAAGGAATATCATCCTCACTATCACTGCTATTATCTATTGTTGGTTTAATTTTGGTTGCTATATAAAGATTGCTATTAAAATGTATACAAATTCAATAAACATAGATGAAGTTTATTTTTTTATACCTAAATTAACTTTAGGAGATGAAAATTTCTTTTCATTATTTTCAAGAGGCATTATTAAAGTTTAGAAAATTACTTTTTCTTTATTAAAGAGAAAGAGAGAGAGAGAGAAATAAAAGGAGAAGAAAAGCTGCCTTAAAAAAAAAAAAAAAAAAAAAAAAAAAAAAAAAAAAAAAAATATATATATATATATATGTGTATATATTAATACATGTATGTATGTCTGTATATATGAATATATATACATGTGGCGGTATTTAAAGTAAAAAAAAAAAATATACATGTTTATATAAATATAATGACTTAATATTGTTTTATATATCAAAATGCACATATCTATTTGTATATATTACTGGAATGGATCAGCTAGTGTTGGCCAGTTTGGTAAATATCTTTTATCTACAAGTGGCCAAACTTGATTTGCATCATACAATTCAATAAATTGTTGATCCATAGATCTAGACTTTGGATGAGAAAACCTTCTATATTCGTCAAAAATTGAGGTGTGGCTCCAATTTTGAATTTTCCTTAAACAACCAATTAAGCAGCCTGTACGATGCTATTTTTAGGGTAATTTTATTTGAATAACAATTCTTTACTTAGCCAGCCACATAATAGTCATTACCTTTCCTTTATTACAATGAATTAAAATTGGATGGTTTCGCTTATCTAACAATGCTGCTAAGGCTGCGCTGATTTTATCTTCGGGAACTAATTAGACTATGTTAGTTATGCAAAGAAAAGATAAAGAAAATTTAGTTACGTCATCTTACTTTGTACAAAGGGCTCCTAAATAGACATACAACTATTTAACAATTAAAGCATATAATAAATAAAATTAAATATATTACCTTATTTCCTGCAATACCAAACTGTAAGAATTGAATATTGTGCTCTTTTAGAAATTTCATGTTTTGTTCAGGATACTCTTCAAGAATTAAGGTTCTACGTAATTAGTCTGTTTAATATTCCATTATTACTTGAAATATCTATATATATATATATATATGTATATACAATACAAAACGCTTTTTAATTTTAATTTCTCTAAAAACTTGTAATGCTTTTTCTTGGGAAAAGAAGATCGATAAACATGTTCACAGACCATGTTGAAATTCTCGGGAGGAATTAATGCTTCTTCAAACATTTCATTATCATCTTGAACATTAAAAGAATCAAGCACAGACCAGTTTGGATCTGTCAATGGTTTTGGAACCGTTACTACTGTAGTCTCTTCAGTGGTTGTATTGTCATTTTCGTCCAAGTTGTTGTCTTCTTTATCCGTCATTTACTTTACGTTGTATAAGGAAAAAAAAAATGGTTGACGGATATTCAATTTTACAGATTTGATAACAATTAAAAAAAAAAAAAGCATTTCGGTTTTATAAACCAAATCTCCTAAATGTATTTACTGCTGTATTATTGTTTCCTTTTTTTCTTCTTTCCTTATGCCTTCTACAAGATATCAAAAAGTATTAGCATAAAGCTAGATGTTAAATTAAATTTCTTAACCTTGAACTTTAAATAATAGCTAGCAACAATATCAGACAGCCATCATGATAATGAAGGCTCATCAACTACCACATCACAGCAGCAATCAGATTTACAGGATTCTTTTGGAGAATCATTTGATAAAGATGAAGATGAAGATAATGTTACAACGGTAACAGATAGGCTTCTTGAATACCACCAGCAAGATACATCTTCGTCACATAATGGAATACAACCAGCCATCTTACCAATATCAAATGATGGTGTTTTTGCCAATATATCAGCAAAACCAGATAATAATAAATTAGAAGAAACACCTCCTGTAATAATAATAATAATAATAATAATAATAATATTTGTTTATTTATATATTTGCCATTTTAGACTTATGAAGAAGCAGCAGCAGATGCCACACCTCCTTATTGGCAAACAACAATCATTACGCCAATAAGTATAGGTGACTTTATATTAGTTGAAGGACTGCCTGTTGGATCTATGTTTTCATTTTTTTGGAATTTAATAAGTAAGATAATATCAGCTTTTGTGCCTGTATGATTTTATTTATATACATATACAATTTCTTTTTTTTTTTTTCTATTAGTTTCTGCAAGCTTTCAATTTGTTGGATTTATGTTGACTTATTTATTACACACTTCACATGCAGCAAAAGTACAGTACATTTTATACATGTATAGTTACTAACTGTAGATATTAATTAATATCTCTATTGTATTAGCAAGGATCACGAGCTGGCCTCGGTGTATCATTAGTTCAGGCCGGATTTTATATTCGTGGTATTAATAACAATAATAATAAGATTCATTATACTTACTTTATATATAGGTGGCACATTAGAAGATGATGAATATTATCCTGATGGAGGGCAATCCTCTTCAAAGACAATGGAAGACAAGCTTGATATTAATCTTCTTTCTTACCTTTTTATGATCATGGGCTGGCTTTTTATTTTTCATTCTTTAGCTCAGTATTTTAAAGCAAAACAAATGGAAAGAATAATTACTTCTCAGCCAACCACTGCAGAAGCAATGGTTTAAACTTATTAAAGTAGAAGCCATGATATGTCAAATTGTGAAAAATGCAATTTATTAGCCTTTTTTTTTTCCATTCATAACACTGATAATATAATAAAATGGAGATAACAATATTGACATAATCAAAGCGAAATCTTTAGTCTTCTTTGATCTGATAGTTATAATAAGGGTCTATAAAGTACTTTTATATATAAAATAAAGATATACTAACTAATTCAATTTTAGTAAATGTTTATTATTTCCTTGTATTTAATCATTAGATTATTTATAATAATAATGAAAGGGTAGTAAAATCTTTGCTGTTATATTATCAGAAGTCGATACTACAATAATTGACATGAAAAATACAAAAAAAAAAGGCAATTTTTGTAAAAGTAACTGGTGAATTGGATGATTATAGTTTGTTCTCTGTAAATATGATAAGTCAACGAGCAGCTAAAGTTATGTGAGTACTGCTAACCTGACAAAATGCTTGAGCCAAATAATAAAAAATAGACAATTAAGAATATTTATAAATACTTATTAGTTTTGCTTTCTATCATTGTTGTGAGAAGGAAGTGAAAACTCTCTGCGTCCTAAATGTATTAGTTGAATATACACAAAGACTTTCTTCAATTAGTTCTCAAGCCTAACTAACGATAGGGAGGCCTTGAAGAAATTAACAGAGGGCACAGAACTGCATTTAATCTATCTTCTGTTGAAAGCATGTAGATATTGCAGCAGCTTTGCTAATGATTGCATCCTTAAAGAAAAAAAATAAATAAATGGCGAATAACTTAGGAAAAAGGTAACGTTGTTTGGCAATGTTTAAACTGCACATTCGAAAAGTTTACTATGCGATAAATTGGGAATAGAGTATGTAAATAACTTCTTTTATCTTTTATGCTTTCGCCAAATGGGGAAAGTAAGAATCAGAGGCTTATGAATGAACTACAAATACAAGGAGTGGCTTGAAGGGTCCCTCAAAAAAGATAAATCACCACTTGACTATTTTTCATTTGCACGAGTATACAATGACATATAAAGTTTGACGAACAGTCACTACTCTGATGTATTGGACAACCTTTCAAAAGATCAATCTAACAGACTTACTGGTATTGCATTTGAGGCAAATAATAGGTTTAAGGTATGACTAGTATTACAAGCCAAGAAAACATGAATTTATTAAATATATATATATATATATGCCTTGAGTAGAAGCAGAATGAAGATGACTCATTTGGTGTCGCATATAAAAAGTCCTGGAATGAAAGGAATCAACATGAGGCAATAGTTAAAATGAATCAGATAATCTGTGAAAATCTTGTATCCACAGCAGAACAAGTAAACTAAAGAAAAAAAAAACTCTAGGGATCTGTATATTTATATATTTTAAATTGATAGATAAGCAATGCACATGAAGTTGTTTGATCCGGCTTAGATCTAAATTCTTGATTTGAATACCAAGATTCGCACCAAGTTTTGCTTCAAGAGAATCATATTGATGAAATATTGAAATGCTCAGCTGACTCCTACGCAGATAGGTGATATATAATATGTGTATGTAAACCTAAATAATGTTAATCTGGTCTTTTTTTTTTTAGGAAAAAAAAAAAAAAAAAAAAAAAAAGGATCCTCCCGCCACTTCAAGTACTCAATTTTCAACAAAATTTTAGAAAAAGGCATCAATATTTTTGGAACTGACTGTGTAATCCCCTTAATAATATTATTATCTAATCGTCTGTCATACTTATTGCAGTTACACAATAAATTATCAGATCAAATTATAAAATAAATAAACAACACTTATTTTCTCACTTATAAATTAATAAACTTATATAATACTGGATAATAATAATAGTAATAAAATAGGATAACTACTGGCGTATCAGATACAATACGTTACACCTCTGACAGAAATAATCCTAACATCTGTCAGATCTGATCAGTAAATAATAATATTATTTAATGTTAAACGAGAGATACATTGGTATTTAATTTATTTATGTAGACTGATGTTTCCTAATAAGTGAAAAGGAGTGCTTGTTTAATGTTAATATTATATTCTATCAAAGATGGAACGAAATAAATACTGCGTGAATTTCATGAAAGATCTAACTGATAAGCAAAAAAGGCAACACAACAAGAAATAAAAGAAAATTCCATGCACCTCATTAAAGAAGTTGACAAAAAATATGCCTTCTGCCAGAATCGAACTGGCGACCTTCTGCTTACTAGGCAGACGCTCTGCCAACTGAGCCAAGAAGGCCTTAGTTGATTTTTGCGACCAAAAAATAAATCATAATTATCTATCAACTTATAAGTCACGTGACTAGTGATGACGTAAATAGTTGATTGCGTCATAACATTTTGTTTTAATCTATAGACGCTATTGGCCTTTTAGTTTCCCTTATTAAAATCTTAATCGTATTTATTATATTACTTCTTAAAAATATATGCTTGTTCATTGTTAATTAAAAAGTCATACAATCAAGGGTGTTGTTACCTTTTTTTTTTTCTATTATTGCTATAATAGCTAAATTAATAGAGAATAGCTATCATCATTTTTATTACAATATAAAGAGGCTATTCAAATAAAATCAGTTTACTATATTATAGTCCACAGTATAATGTCTGCTCAATATTTAGTCATTGTTATATATTATAATGATATTATCATAAATTCAATATGTCCTTTTACATACATACATACATTTATTTATAAGCATACGTTTTATAAATACATCAATGATGATAATTTAATAATATTTTACAATAATAATAAAAGTAGCATATAAATAGTTTATGTTAATATAACTAGAATATTATAAATTATTAGTGTTGACATAATATCTTGGAGGAAATATAGATATGCCTTATTGTATAAATACAGAGTAATTTGGAGATGCAATAGTTCCATATAATTCTTTATAACAGCATTCTTTGCTTGCCAACATCATGTTACTATTAATGCCACCTTACTCTTCAAAAATACATAAATAACTAGTTTCATTATGCATAGTCAACATTACTCTTACATACACATTCAAATATATATACTACGCTGACATTATCTTAGGAGTATTGTCATAGAATGGAGTTTTTATTAATTTTTTTTTTCTTTCTACATGCTCGTAATTTTACCAAAATTTAAAGGAATAAGGAAAACTGTTACTAAACAGACTAATAATTCATTATTAACATAAAGGTAGTCTAGTAGGTTTATCAAGTTAGTTTTTGAATATATATAACAACGAGGAATGTGTGATATTTATAGGGTAAAGTATAATAAAAAAAAACAAGACATGTTGCTGGCGCTTATTATGACATATAAACATTTTTTCAATTTGTATATGCAATGTTTTCATCCTCCTTTTCTTCTTCCCATTCAAATGCATCTTCAATATCCTCAACATCAGATTCATCTTCAAGATCAGAAACGAATTCAGCATTCTATTCAACAGAAAAAAAAAAAGAAAATTAATTTCTTATATAATATAAATTCTGTTTTCATTTACCTCATCCTCTTCCTCTTCTTCTTCCTCTTCTTCTTCAGATTCATCTTCTTCAGCGCCTTCAAGCTCCTCATCCAAAATCTTCTGCCAAATTTCTTCATTAACGTTCAATGGTGCATCACCATAGGCCTTATTCTTTAGTCTTTCAATTAATTCCTTTTCAATTGATTTCTCTATTCGTGCAGCTGCTTCTGCCTTACGCTCACGATTAGCCTCACGTCTTTCCAACTTCTTCTTGATACCAATTAATTGTGGTCTATCACTGTTTTTTTTAAGAAAAAAAAATAGAAATATTAATATATTTTCGGCTTTTCTTTATATCATCACTAACTTACTTTTCTTTAAGCTTCAATTTACGCATACGAATAAGATATTGCGTAATCTTGGTAAGACGCTGCTTACATTTATGAACTAAAAAGTTTGGCCAGAACTGTAACTCTTTATCAATCTACGACAGTGTCAAAAGTTGAGTCAGCTTTTTTTTTTATTAATACATAAGCAGCTTAAAGATGACTATATATACCTGAGCTAAGGCTTGTGCATAATTCTTTGATAGTTTCTTTCTTTCCCACATTTTTGCTGGTGAATGAGCACGTTCTGGTGTCTTCATGTACAAGTAAATAATACCTAAACATAACCATCTATTAGTAATCAAAATAAAGATCCAAGTTAATCTTATTACCCTTTTCTTCTCTAATCGTAGCATATCTACTATTTGCTAATGGACAAGATTGGCGATTGCAAAGACCAGTAACATTATATGGATTACGACAAAAGGTCCCCGTAGGTGTTCTATGAATAAATAAGTATCAACAAGATTGCTGTTTCAGTTGAATCTAGCTTACCTGACTTTATACGAACAAAATTGTTGATTAATAACTTGCCAAATAACTTCGTCAGATTGCATGATCTAAATTGACCTTTTTTTTTTATTGCAAAAGAGATTATATTAGCAAATAAAGAAAACCAGTTTGTTCTTAATTTTTTTATTTTATTTCTTTTTTTTTTTTTTTTTCAAGCAAAGGAAATTCAACAGAATAAGTAGTGACTGTTTTTGCATTTTAAAACAAGCCACTTTATTGTATTTCTTCTTTAATAAAAAAAAAAGGTACAGAATCTAAGCATAATAGATAGAAAATTCCATCTTATGTAAACATCCTTCTTCACTCTCCCCTTTTTTTCAACTCTGGGTTAATGTAAATTATATATTCTTAATATTTAAATTTACTTTTTTTTAATGAAAAACTTTACTTTAAAATGAACATGAACTGAGCTGAGATTTTAAAAGTAGTAATGTCACCTTGATCACTCGTTAAGTAAATTATATATATTAACAACGTTTAAGTTTATATAATCATACACTTTAAATGATATTATAATGATGAGGGAGGACCAATGAAAACATTATAGTTTTTATTTTAATGTTAAAGTTATACATTTCATTTATCATTTATAAAGTATTAGTTGTACATTTTCCCTTTGATGCTTACTTTATTTGTTATAGCCGTTTTAGATGTGTAGCATCATTTCTCTTTCTGTCATTAAGAGTATAATGTATTCCCTTAAAATGTGGAAACAAATAAAGAAAAAAAAACACTTTTATAAGCCTTATATACCTATAACATTTATAAAACAGATTTAATTCTTTTCTATTTTTTTTCCTTTTTTTCCTTTTTTTTTTTTTGCATCAATTCAACGCATTTCATAAACAAATAAATATTTTATTAATTGGTAGATTAGTGTCACAATCGGGACATGTTTTAATGCAGTCACTATCGTTTGAGAATCTCCTATTGGCAGTATCTCACTTCTATTTTTCATTAAAAAAAAGAGGTCTAGCTATTGTCTTTTTTTTTTCTCTTCCCTCCTTTATAATATTTTATTTTCTGTATACTTCTCTTGATATCCCTATTGTTCTATTAATATATACATATATAATGAGCGAAAACGAAGGAAGTATAAAACGCTCCATTGAAGAAACAACAGACATTGATGAACATAAAAAACAAAAGCTAAATTATGAAGACACATCTACATTTGTATCCAAAGAAACAGGAGAATCTGTTAATACACCAGTAGCAATTACATCTACACCCACAGGTAATGAGAAAAAAATATAAAATTAAATTTCAAAAAAAAAAAATACATGTATATAAAATGAAAGAAGGAAGGTTGGTTAAAAGTTCTAATTCACATTGTTTTATTATGAATGGAACAGGAGTTAAAGCCCGTTTAACTAAAAACGACTTAACATCAGGTATATTTTAATACAAGTGACTGGAGCCAATGTAGTCTTCTTTTTTATTTTTATTCAACTCTTTTTCCTTTTTTTTTTTTTTTTTTTAATAGTTGGGGAAGAGATAAATAAAAAGATGAAGCAGGATAATACTGTGTCAGCAGATCGATCAAAGGCAGTCACACCATTACCAGGTAACAACGGATAATTTTGAATTATTTTTAGTAAACTAATTTTTATATTATGCAACAGAACCAGAAAAGAGTGAAGAGATAACGAGTGAACAACTTTTATTTGCTCTTACATCAGTTCCTGAAGATACTCCAACAACAACAAATAATAATAATAATAACAACGATGACAGTAACAGTAAAAAGCTGTCGACACCTATACCACCTTTGACTATGCCTGTTGAAACAAAGCCAACAACAATGTCTACTTCTTCGCTAGTTTCTGGTCTTAATATTCCGCCCAAGTTACCAACTCTTTCACCACCCTCAAAAACGAACACCAATACTAGCCTAAGTTTACCAGACATCAGTGCTGCCTTGCGACGATTAAGTAGTGCATCTGTAATCGAACATCTATCACCACGCTTACCTCTTGAACGTAAAGGTTCTTTAGAACCATCCGAAATTTTAGGTAACGCATTAGCTGCTGTAGCTGCTACACCTAGTGTTCAAGCTACCATAGGCAACTTGGCGGCTAATATCAGCACTCTTTTAAATTCTGGACTTGAGGAAACTCGACGCCGACGTAAAAGTTCAATTGCAGCCAATGTTCTCTTTTCTAATATGATGGTTGATCTTATGACAAGACCTCAACAAAAACCCAAGTTGATTATTAAGAATGAAAAGGTATGGAAGATGGTAGAGGGCATAGAAGAAAAATCATTAGGTGTTTATCTTTATTCACCACACCTAATTTTACCTAATTTCGAGAATGGCGTGAATGGGTTAATAGAGATAAGAATACCGGCTCGATATTTGACATTCGACAATGTACGTGTGAGAAAAAGAGCATTATGGGGTACAGATATTTATACGGATGATTCGGATATTGTAGCAATGGTGATACACTCAGGCAAGTACCAGCCACACTGGATAGAGCCTGACGATGGTCCATTTATATCAGCAATATTAGGCACCAAGCCGCATGAATCAGTTATGCATCGACATAGATATGTAATACCAGATCATGATCTTAAAGTGACAGTGAAGGTGTTACCAACATTACAGAGTTACGCAGGATCAATTCGACATAAGTTAAAGTCTAGAGAATGGGGAAAGCATGATGGTATGAGTTTATTTATAAATAAAGTTGAAAAGATCAAGGTAATTTTCTATCATTGTAAATATATAGTAATAAACATACTTAGCTCTTTTTTTTTTTTCTTTTATTACATTTATAGAAAGGTGATGCCAAACTGAAAGGACGTAGTACATTAAAATCAAATATATTTGCACACGAATCTTATCGAAAACTGGCATTAGGATTGAATAATAATAAAAAAGAAAAAGAAAAAGAAAATGCAGAAAATACAAGAGAAATAACACCAAATATACAAAATGGACGTGTTAAAAAAACAAGTCGAGTGATGCGAATGTTTAAAGTAAGTGATTATGCAAAAAATAAAAAAAAAAAAGTTACCATAAAACAATAATATTAAATAACATGTATATAAATAGATACACTCTGAAATGAAAAATAGTAAATAAAGTTATTTAAAAAAAAACATAATCCTTTTCTTTATTATTATTATTATTTATTTTTATAATTCATCAAATTGACGGGCCAATTCTTCTAATTCAGCCTTTGAAGCCTTATGCATTTCATCTAATTTTTCATACTTTTCTTCCATTTCATTCAATTCCTTTTCGAGAATAATAATTTTACGTTCAGCTTCTTCAGCTCTTAAGTCAGCTTCAGTGAAACTATTAAAGTATTATGTTAATATGGTGTTATTATGTAGGAAGGGAGGGAAGGAAGAAGGAAGAGAACTTACTCTTGAGTGACTTTTTTAAGTTGATCTTCAGTACTCTCTAATTGTTCTTCTAAAATTTTAACACGATTTTGAAGGGATGAAAGTTCGTGGTCTTTGGCAATATGTTCTGTCTCTAATTCTTTAACATGGGCTTCAAGTTCGTCTGCACGTGCAGTTGCATTTTCTGCTTCAGCACGAAGGCTTGCAATTTTCTATATATAAAATTTTCAAATTAAAACAGAAAAAAAAAAAGAAGAGTGAAATTTTGCTTAAATTTACCTCTTTAAACTTTTCCATTTTTTTTTTTATTGAAAAAGAAAGAAAGAAAAAAAAAAAAAAAAAGAACTAATAATAATTTTTATTTAATTAAATAAAGATATAATATATCCCTAAGCTGAGTTTTATTTTATTAAAAAAAAAAGAAAGGCAGAGAATTGTATTAAATTTTTATCAAAGATAAAAAAACAAAAAAAAACAAAGAAAGATTGCTTTATTTTAGTACTTTCGAGTCAAATTGAAACTAGGTTAAAATTATGTTAGATGCAACATTCATATAAATGTAAACAGCATAAAGCTAGCCTGTTAGACATATATATATATATAAATATATACATATATAAATTCCGTTAGAAAAAAAAAAGCCATATTCAAAACAACGATATTAGTGTTCTTGATGAATCACTACAAATATATTCAAATGGGTTATTTCCTAGATGAATACTAAATATTATTTTAGTTACAGGAACCTTTTTTTTTTTTTTTTTTTTTTTTTTTTTTTTTTTTTTTTTTCAAAAAATTGGTTTTAGAGTAAATATGGAAAAAGAAAACGACTACTATTGTCATCTTCTTTGCTCAACAATCATATTCAAGTAGAGAATAACCATTTCTCGGAAAGCAACCGTTAAGCATTGTAAAATTTAATGGAGTGAGCTTTTTTTTTTATATGTGTTTCTACATATAAAATTCACTAATTTGAGTTCTTTTAGAAGTAATTAATTACAAATATATAAAAATCTGTTTGATAAAAAAAAAAAGGATACAATGTAATACTTATTTACCTTGAGTGAATATTGATTCACAAAAGAAGACCAACGTGCTCCATTACAATTAAAAGAAAATCCTTTTTCCTTCTCATTATTCGAGATAAATTATGTTAGCATAAAGAATATAAATCAAACTTATTTTATGCTATATAGAGTAGAAAATAACAATTCTGCATTTTTCTTTTAATAACTGTTAATTCGAACATCACAGAACTAACATTGTGAGTGTTGAATCGGTATATATAAATCTGTCGATTCTATCTGTCATATAAAGACAGTTATTGAAATTAAAGTAAATAAAGATAATAAAGTATTCTTATGTATACAGTAAAAAAGAAAAAGACTATTGCTGTCATCTATTTACATAATTTTTGTTATGAAATAATAAGGCCTTCATAAATGAATATCACAGCTATATAATGTACATTATCTAAAGAAAGAAGCACTGTTAACTATAGTTTATCGTTTCAAAGATATAAACAAACAAAAAAAAATTGATTATTATTATTATTATTATTAAATATATTACAGTGATACACATACAATGAATTCATTCATCTTAAGAGGATGACAATATGAGTTATGTTGGGCTATCTCTTCTATTAAGCAGAAGAGTTCTTATTAACATAGACATTATTATTGTTTGGTATAATTGATGAACGACTCATTCTCTTTTTCTTCTTTTCTTTTTCAGCTACAACACCAGGTGGTTCCTGAGTGATATTTACCAAATTATCACGTCCTCCAGAAGAAGGTGACATTACATGATGAACATGCTGTTTACCTGCTTCATGTACACCACAAACATCAATGGATTGAACCCATTTATCAGCCAATATAGTTTCTAAATTATATCTTCGTTTAGGGTCAATCTCTAAAATACCAGCTAACACAGGCCTTGATTCACGTGGTAGCAATTTAAGAAGCCTAAATTGTTGTTGATGTTGGTTAGTAGCGTAAGCTTTAAAAGATGGGTCCGTTAAACGTGGGATTCTCCAGGGGAAACGACGAATTGTCATGCAGATAAAGACAATACCACAAGACCAAATATCTGAAAGGCGTGGATCATAAGCAGGTTGAATATATTGTTCTGGAGCAATATAAGGATCTGAACCATAAACACCTAAGAGAGAGAGAAAGAGAAAAGAGTATTTTCTTTAGTCTACTACATACATACAAACACACACACATACACATACACACACATACACACACACACATACACATATGTATATATATTAAAGTACCTTTTGTTAAAGTAATGCTATTTTCAAATGGGTATTTGTAAACAGTTGAACAACCAAAGTCAATAATCTTTAATATTCCAAGATGATCTAATACTAAATTATCTAACTTTATATCACGATGTGCAATACCCATTGATTGTAAATATTCTACACCATTTAATAGTTGTCTCCAACAACAAGCAATCTCTTCTCTTGACATCATTCCACTCATTACCACATTAAATAAGTCGTTTGGGGCATATTCCATGATTTCAAAGAATTGAGCACCTTCTTGAATGATATCCAATGTTTCAATAATATTTGGATGATGTAAAGTAGAACCAATACAGAACTCAGCTGTTACCTTTTTTATATAATCTTTTTCAGATTCATGTGGAAAACGTTTTCGAAACTGTTTAACAGCGAATGTCTTTTGATCAGACGAACGTCGTATAAGACGAACTGATCCACCAGCACCTTTTCCAATATATTTACCTAATATAAACAAAGTAAATAAGTGAATACATAAAAGTCATCTTATCTATTCTTACCCCATGTCCCATATTTTCCTCCTATATCTTGTTTAAATTGATTAGCAAATGTATCTGATTCTTGTGAATGTTGTGATGTTGTAGGTGATATTTCTTGTTGTTGTTGTTGTTGTTGGTGTTGCTGCTGCTGCTGCTGCTGTTGTTGTTGTTGTTGTTGAGTATTAACAAAAAATCTACGTAAATCAGACCAAGCTAAAAATAAATCCTTTTGTTGTTGTTGTCTATGAAAATGAGTTTTTAAATATTGTTCATCATATTCAGGTTTTTTAAAGATGAATTGTGAAGGAGTTGAACAAGTACTTGCAGGTCTTCTATTTGATGATAAATTAGGTCTTCTTTGTTGAGCAAAGGTAGGTTCAGCAGAACAAGTAGAAAGTGTAGGAGAAGGAGGTTTAGAAGATTGAAATAATTGAGAACGAGGCCTTGGTTTATTTTGGGGTCTAGCTGGTTTATTATTATTATTATTTGCTGCTAATAGTTTAGACAGTTCAGATAAATCTATAGCGGAAGGATCCCATGATTTTCTTTCACTTGTAGCTATTGTAGGAGTTACTACAGCAGGTGAAAGTGTTGGACTAGAAGGTAAAGATCTCTCTGGTGTTGTTATAATATCATATCTTTGATTTACAAGATGTTGCATCATATTTTATTATAGTTTAAATAAATAAATAAATAAAAAAGAAAGGAAAAAAAAAAAAAACTCAAAAAAAAAAATTAACATATTCACATATAATAACATAATATGGATCCAATCTTTTTTTTTTTTTTTTTTTTTTTTTTTTTTTTTTATTTATTTATTTATATGTATTTATTTACAAATATACACTCGGGACCATATAACGGAGTTCCATCCTATAAGACTTTGATAGGGAGGAAAAGAAAGAAATAAATTACTTAATAAATATGTTTGAGTACTTCTTTAATATAAAATAAAACAAAACTTCATTCTTTTCTCTTTTCTTCTCTGCTGCTTTCCTTCTTATTTATTTATTCATCTATGTTTTATTAAAAAGAAACCATCATCTTTTTTTTTTTTTTTTTTTTTTTTTTTTTTTTTTCTATTTTATGTAGTATGTGTGCGCCTTTAATTATTCTACTCCGCTATAACTGAATAACATCATCCTATATTTTTCTTTTCTTTTTTTTTTATCTTTTTTTTATATATATACACACATACATACATACATACATACATACAAAAGCATCAATAATTACTCCTATTATTTATTTTGTTTGCTTTTTCGTTGGACTAATAAAATAAGGAGGGGAAGATAATGTAGTTTCTACTGCTACTACTACTATTATTATCATTACTGTTGTTAAGTGAAACCATTAAAACAATCTTTTTTTAGGCTCAGATAGGAATACCCACCACCCAGTTACAATGATATATTTGTGATTGCTTATAACGTTTTGATCAATCTTACACATGACTACAACTCGTAATAATAAATAGTTTTCTTTATTTTCTTTATTTTTTTCAAAAACAAAATTTAACACTATATCTAACTTGTAAACTTATTTTTTATTAGATCAAATATGGATAATAGGACGATTTTTTCTTTATCTCTCTCTCTCTCTCTCTTTCTCTCTTTTTAATAAAGAAGACGGCATAAATAGTTAAAGAAATAAACAATTTATAAATAACTCCGATTGAATATTCTTCACGTTGTTTTTTTTTTTATTTGTTATTGTTTGAACATTTTCAGGTGCAGAGTAAACATTGTCATATTTAAAGTAATTACAGCCTTTCTTTCTATCCCTCGTACTTTAAAGTTTCACTACCTGTTGTTATTATTATTATTATTGTTGTTGTTGTTGTACTCGAATTTTTTTTAATTAAAATGCATAATAACAAAGCTGTTGTAAAAAAGTTGTTTTGCTTTATATAGAAAATGACGCCCCTCGGTCTGTCTTTCCCTTTTTTTTTTTTTTTTTTTTATTATGTCATCTTCATTTCCTGGATCTTTTCCCATCTCACAAAAGAATAAAGCTCTAATTAAACCAACATCAAGTAAAAGAGTCAATGCTAAATTAAACTTCAAAACTAATCTATCTAAAATAAGAAATTATTTTCATGGTCAATCCTCATTTTGGAGGAAAAGTAAAGATGCATCATCAGTTACATTGAAACAACAACATGGAAATACAATAGGAAGTCTCATCAACGTGACTGTTCCTATTTCAATATCCAATACAACTCATTACCATGGTGGTAGTCATGGCAGCAGCAGAACCATCACCACTCTAATACAACAATGGGTTATTTTATCACCATTCCAAATCTATGGATTTATGTTTCTTTTTGCATTTTTATTATTCGTTATCGCATTCGGTATATTACAGATACATAGAACTATTTCTATTTTACAGATCGCCGCAAATGGAATTCGTTATACTTTAGTTGGTTTGACCTCAAATTTATCCTTTTTAATACAAAAATTCTTGTATTGCATGTTTGGGAAGCTAAAGTAACCATAAAATTACACATAAAATAAATATTTCTTTTTTTTTTCTTTTTATTTATATAAACAAACATATTATGTATCATCATCATCATAAGATTTTAATAGCTAATCATGGTGAAATAGCGATTCGAATGATAGCTGCTGCAACAGAATTAGGAGTCCAAACTGCAGCTGTTTATTCAGAATAGCAAGATAAAAAGTCTCTATTTATTAGCTCATGAATCTATTTGACTTGAAGATGCTTCTTTTTTTTTAAAAAAAAACTCAAAAGCTATTGTTGATGCAGCAAAAAAAAAAAAGTATCTTTCATTATCATATATAAACATATACATATATATGTAAATACATATACAAAAAAAAAAATTCAGTATTTTATAATATAGTATGAAGGCAACAGCTATTCATCCTGGTTATGGCTTTCTATCAGAATCAAGCGAATTAGCAAATCAATGTAGATAAGCAGGTATTCTATTTATTGGTCCTTCTTCATCTTGTATAGATACGGTTAGATATAAAGTCTCGGCTCGTCAAGTGACTCAATCAATCGGTATTCCTATTTTACCTGTTGCACCTCAACTTCAATATACGAATCCAGATCAAGTCAATACGTTTACGTTTGGCAAACCCATTTGGTTATCCTATTATTATGTTAAAAGCACGAGATGGAGGAGGTGGTAAAGATATTCGTATCGTTTCATAGTCCTAATCAACTGCCTGACTCACTCCCAACGTTGTCTGAAAGAATCTTCTTCTAAAAAGACAAGTCTTTTATCGAAAAAAAAAAGGCCATTCCAGGCGCAAAAACACATTAAAGTTCAAAACTTGAATGACTCGCATCAAACATGTTCATTCATTTATTTGAAAGAGATGGTTCTCTTCAAAGACGATATCAAAAGATATGAGAGGTAGCTCCATGTCCCTCTTTATCAAATGAGTTTCCGTCAAGAGATATGCCAAGCAGTCGTTCGATTAGCTCAACATATTTATTACGATTCAGTAGGGACAGTGGAGTTTTTAGTCATTCTTAAATCAGACCAATTTTATTTTATCGAGGTCAATCCTCGTATTCAAGTAGAATATACAGTTTCAGAAGTAGGATATCGTTCAGGTACAGATTAGAATTGCGTTATTTGGTGAAATTTTAAATGATTTGGGTCTCGTAAATCAACAACAAGTAATGGTAGTAGTAGTAGTAGTAGTGTTTTTTTCTTTTAATTTTTTTCCTCGTCATTTATACACTTTAATAGAATATGTATATAAAAAAAAGATATAAAATATAAACAAACCTGACAAAAAGGAAAGAAAAAAAACCTATTAATTGTCTAAAGTATGAGCGATGCAAAGGCCTTTTTGCTAAATGATATACAGTGGACTTCTTGTAATTCAGAGTTTGTTAGGGGTTTGCGGCATATATATACATATATATAAGGCGTATATATGATATATATATATAATATGCTTTTATCCTAATCGACAGAGTCTTCGTGCTCAACTCCTTTTATCCCCCCCCAGAGAAACGAGGAAATTGTATTTTTTGATAGTTACTTACTTTATTCTACTGCACCAATGTATTTGCTATTTTTTTTTTTTTTTTTTTTTTTTTTTTTTTCACTGAATTTTTTCTTTCCGTTACGTTCATCTGGGGGGATGCTCCATATCATCTTTAGTGAAAAACATGATTCAAGCAGTAGTTAAGAAGGTAGATGCTACCCCTAAGCAATCTCTAAAATTACAACAAGCTTGCATACCATTTGTAGTTGGAAAGGAACGGACCTAATATTGTATGCCACAAGATAAGCGCTAGGATTTTTTGAGAGCTATGTCTATTTGTACACATGGATAGATAAATAAGTAAATATATGTATATATATACTAAATACTTGATTAGAGTAAAGTATATATAAGAAGAGATAAGCATCAGGAAGATATAACAAGGATAGTATTGCTCTATTCTAGTAGTAGTAATAACAATTTAATGGTGAGTAGATAGTAGATAGTGTGTTTTAAAACAGTTAATATAGGATTACCATGAAATAGAAGACGTAATATACCTTTAGCATTAGCATCAATATAAAAGAAGAAGCCAGAAGACTAATCTATAATATATATGTCTATATATATATGTCTATATATATGTCTATATATATGTCTATACATATTTGAAATAAATAGGCGTAAGTACATTTTATCTTTTATTTCACTCTGTTCCCTTTTATTTTATTTTATATAATACCTCTATCGTTTCATTTTATGTATTATATCTGTATATACCATCTTTTACATGTATAGTTGAAAGATATAAAGCTAAAAGAAATACCCTTCTTTTTTTTTTTTTCTTTAAATAACTGGGGTTATGGAAAAAAAACAAAAGAAAAAAAAGTAGAAATAAACAACAAATAAAGATAAGAAAAGATGACGTATACAAACACTCCTTACATTATTGATATTATGAGAGAATAAATAATACACATGTGTATGTATGGATTGATTGACTTATTTTTTAAATTATATGTGCGGTATTTCAATCTTGTCTTGACAGTGCTGATACAAGCAAATTAAATTATATAATCTAGAGGGTACTAAAATAATTCAGGAACAATAAGGAACCAATATAATATTATATACAATAAAAGAGAAAATGACAATAAAAATAAAAAATCTAGATGTTTGAGTCATAATTACACTCCATTACTTGAAATGAGTTGTCAATAAATGATCTAATCTGATCTGATTCAATCTAAATCTTAGCAAATGTTCAAGTTCTATTATATATGATTTATATGATTTATGTGACTTGCATAATTTATATGATTTATATGATTTATATGGCTTATATAACTTATATGACTTATATGATTTATATGATTTTCCCCTTATTAAATCATAAAATGAGGATGATGTAATAGCATAGTATAATATATATATGTGTGTGTTGTCTATGACTACCGTTGGCCTTCAGCTAATTATATACCATTTTAAGCATTAAAATTAATATCAGAAAAAAAAAAAGTTAACGTTGTCTAGGTGATAGTAACTATATAATAATAAAGTAATAGATATATATCGTATAAAGGTAACTATATAATTCATGTTTTCACTTAAAAGGCATAAAATGCATAAAATGCATATAGTAGAATTAATAATAAGCATATCAGCCAGTTTTAGCTAGTTTTAGCTAATTTTAACCAGTATTATTATGCTTTGATTGATATTAATTTATCAGTATATTCCAATAACATAACATAATACAATACAATACAATACAATACAATATAATATAATATAATACAATATAGTAAACTCTATTCCTCTATTTTTACCTATCCTTTGCGATCTTATTCTATCTTGTCTGATTTTATTTTCTTCCTCTCCCTCCCTCTCTCTCTCTACCTCTCTTCCTTTTTTCTTTATTTATTTATTTATTTATTTTTCTTTATTTTTCTTTTTCTTTTTTCTCTTCTTCCCTCCTTCCTTCCTTCCTCTTCTTCCTCTTCTTCTTTCCTTCCTTCTATATTAAATTAAATTTGGGGCGGATACTTAGTCTTTTGACAAGTGTTTAAAAGTAGTTTAATAAAGTTAAACTAATATTGATCTTTTGCTAACTCATCTTTACTTTAAGTTTACTATTTGAATTAATATTGATGAATTGAACTATGTTAAATGAAAGATAGTATAGTATGCAAGAAGTCTTTATTATTATTGCTATTATTATGTATAAGTATATTGATAAAGATAATTCAAGAATGATTTTTGTATGTTGAAGTTATTTTGGACAGTAGTAGCAGTTTAATAGAAGTAGTAATAGCACTTCTTTGCCGATCACTGGTATCTATTCAAGCTCGTCTAGTTGCTGAAAATCCATTTAACGATCATATACCATCTATAGGTAACATTCATCGAATTCAATTTCCTCAAGGTCATGGTATTCGTGTTGATACATGGATTCAATCTCAATGCATAGCACCTCCAGTAAATAAGTTCTTATTATTATTATTGCCATATATATATTTATATACACATATACATATATATATATTTCTTTTTTTTTGGTAAGATGTTTGATTCTCTGCTAGCAAAAATCGTTGTAACTGGTCAATCTTATAAAGACACTTTATTTAAACTAGATCGAACTCTACTATCAATGAAAGGATAGAAACTAATCTTCAGTTCTTAATTACTCTTTTGACAGAAAAGGCTCTTTTTGTAGATCAAATGTCTCATATACATATTCATTCATTAGAATCGAATATGAATCGTCTCATTCAAACTATGAAACAACAACCTATAGTTGTTCCATCATTATCTTTCAATGATCATAACTTGATAAGCAATCAATCTTCTATTATACAATTAAAGTCAGGAGATGCTTTCAATATTCAAATAGATAATTCAATTACTCATTCATTTCAAGTCGAATCTATCCTGACGAATAATTTCCCAAAAGAATTCCCTGCTTAAATCAGGACGACTTTTGAAAAAAAAAAGCAACCATCCCTAATGATCAACATGATTCATTCAACAACTAGTAATAGTAGTGGTAATATCTTACGTCGAAAAGCGAACTCTCGGATAAATACTACAAAGATTGGATTTCCTTTAACCAGTAAATTAATAGAAATGAATGTCAAAGAGGGAGATTGTCTATCTATTAGGCAATCCTTGTTTGTCGTAAGTACTATAAAAATGGAGACTGTTATAAAAAGCATCCAAAGTTGGTCATATAAAGAAGATCTTTGCATTTGAAAATGATTTAATAGAAGCAGGTGATCTTGTAATTGAATTAACAAAAGATAAAGAAAGTAGTAAGTTTTAATAACAGGAATTAAAAAAAAAAAAGCTTATTGTTGTTATGGGAGGAGGAGGAGGAGGAGGAGGATATAAAAAAATAAATAAATACATGTTATAATTCTTAAATACTATTATTGTCTCTTTCATTACGGTCTTTTACACCCATAGGCCGTACCGCATAACCATTTGACACTCTACGTTCTTCCCCGAGTACAACTATGTATATGTATATAAGGGATAAGCAAGTCCATCTGTAAATAGAGATTACTTGTCACTTTACCTCGTTTATAGAGTATCCAAGATGTAACTACTACAAATGGAGCGGAAACAATTATCGTTGCTAATCTAATATCAGTTCATATATATATATATATATACATGTATATACATTTTTTCTCTTTGAGTAAATTGACTGAATAGTATAGTCTACCTTTGTCCTGCTGGTGATAACTTGATTGCCATATTAAAATTGTTACAAAAAACAAAAAAAAAAACAAACAAACAAGGGACGACATGAAGAAGAGTAAAATTGTCATTATCGAAATAAAATTTAAACTCAGATAATAATCGTTTTTAGTAGTAGCATTTATGAATAGTACTTATCTTTTATAATCAAATAAAACAAATGCATATAATAATAAAAAAACAATAAGGAAAAAAAAATGGGGCAGGGGGAGGGAGATAAGAGTGATGAATTATTGTAAGGTGATGAGTGTGTATATAAAAATGAATAGATTTTTTTTTTTTTTTTTTTTTTTTTTTTTTTTTTTTTTGGTTTGTTTATTCTTGTCCAAAGCCTACCGTTTCTTCAACTGCCATAGTTAACTTTGCTACAAGTGCTTCATATGTTTTATAAGGTGGCATATCAATACGATTAAAACTATTGACGAAATTAGAGTTAAATGATAGTACTTAGTTATGTATAACAATAAGCTTACCAGGTATGTGCTTTAGGTAATTGTGTGACTTCTCCTGCCTTTTCAATAGTAAATCGTCTAGGCCCATCACTACCCTGAAGATCTTTAAAACCATTTACAGGAATACGTGATGTACCCGTCGTAAACTGTAAGAATCTTGACTTCTTTTCACTATCCCAACTACGAATACATTGCCAGAACCATTGAATTACATCATCTTGTTCTGTATAACCTCGATAATCGGTATGTTTCTTCCAATCGTCTACATCAATCTCTGCAATACCACCTATCAATAGCTCAAGTTCACGTTCATCAAATACATTAATAAGATCTTGAGGAATTAATTGATTGAACCCTTCTTTAAATGCCTTGAATTGTTCTTCAACCCGTTTCGAAATACGCCATTCAGTCACTAAATCAACGTATTCCTTTTTATTTTCTTCTGTTACATCAATATTTCGTCCATTCTCTTTAAGATCTACAGTCACCATTTCACCGAATCGATCATCATCCACTGAAAAGGTCAAATCAAGGACATCTGTAATATCATTGTCCAAGATCCACATCAAGCTACGATAAAAGTCAGCATCTACACTTTCCATATCAGCCACCAGCACTTTTTTGTTTAAGATCATTTTGTAAAAGGAAACAATAAAGAAGGCATCTAAGAAACGACGATGGAAGATAGCCAAGCCAACAACTCGACCAATAAATCTAAAATAATTAAGATGTTCAGGATTAATACCTGAATGAGGATTAATTTGAAGCGTATAGTTATCGTGTGCAGAGTATTCAAAGAGACAGTAAAAGGGATTAAACATTTCATGTGATAATAAGAAGAAAAATTCTCGAGAGAGACCACCATAGTCAAGACCATCTTCACCTTCAAATTTGATCATAAGTCGTTTTTTAAGATCAGCAGGAACTTGACGCATAATTTCTGCATAGGCATCCTCAAAGATATGGTCTCGTCTAATCTTAATATGACATTGTCCGGGAACTGGACGTAAAGCGGGTTGAGAACGGAAATAGATGAGTTTACGACGGAAATCTCGCTTATATTGTGGAACATTTTGATCAAGACTACTAGGTAATCTAGGATCATCCCAGGTTGTAGTCTTCGTATTATGGTCAACAAAATAGACTCTGCCCGTACTTGTCAGACGCATTTCCCAACCAGAGGGCAAAGGTCCCAATTGAGAAACAGGTTGTACTTGAACTTGCAAATTAGATCCTGGGCCAATTGTATTAATATATTGTTGACGTCTAGGATCCACCCAGGTTGTTGTACGTGTATTATGGTCTACAAAGTAGGGTCGACCTTCTGCTGTAGTACGCATTTCCCATCCAGGTGGTAATGGACCAGAACCAGCTGTTGTCATATTATTTTGAACACCTACAACACCAACCACTGATTGACGATTATTATCTAAAGATGTTGCACTATTATTGACACTTGTTGATGATCTTTCTTCTGGTAATCCACGTGCATTATGTCGACGTCTTTCCATTTCTGTTTGATTTTGTTGGTCTTGTGCAGTTCTTGCTCTAATCAATTATCATTAATAATTATATATAAATAAGTATAGTATTTTCTTTTCTTACGAAGGTCTTTTCCATGTGGTTGTTCTTGTATTATGATCAACATAATAAGGTCTTCCTAAATGATCTACTCTTCTTTCCCATCTAATATTATAAATTATGCAAAGTTTCATGCAAGGATAAGAAAAAACAAAGCAATAAAAAAAAAAAATTAAAAAAAAATTCATTATTACCCTTCTGGTAAGTCGTCATTATCACCTGCATTACTTGTTGTTGTTGTTGTTGTTGCCGCTGATGTCGTTGTTTGCTGTGCATTAGAAGCTTCAACAGATTGACTAGAAGTGTTATTTTGAATAATAGAATTACGAGAACCTGCTGCAATGTTATTTGTACCATTTCGTATAGGCACATTGACATTTGTAGAAATATTTAGTATTAATTTCCCTTGTATAGTGTCATGATTATTCGATTTTTTCAAATCCAATGTTAACATCTCTAGTAATTATAAGAATATAAGTAAATTAAAGTCAGGATTAAAATACAAATATATTTACCATCTCCACCAACAGCGAGGTCAAATACACTGGATACTTGAACATTAACAACACCTAGAAAACCTTGGTCCTTCTTTTTAAATTTTTTTTGGTCAAAAACTTGAACGGCAATGACGCTTTGATTAGTCACTTGCCTATATACAAATGTATATATTTATAAATATATTTTTTTTTTAAAAAAAAAGAAGAGTAAACGTTAATATATTAATATATTAATTTTCTTTATTTAGTTCTTACAAGTCAAAGCTTTCATTCCAATAGGGATTTAATGTTTTTTTCATTACTGTAGTTGTATGTGTCTGTTCACCATCTACTGTTACAACAGCTAAAATAAAATAGGTATATAAATAAATATAAATGTATTCATTATTATTATTATTATTATTATTTTTCTTTTTTCTTTTTTTTTTTAAAAAAAAGGGCATAAAGCCAATATTTACCAAAAGGATCGGGCATTTTAAAAAAAAGGTCCTTTTTAATCAGACCATCTGCAGCAATGACTGTTAAACGAACAGTCCTTGTTGAACTTGGCATGATATATAAGCAACAACAATCTCTATATTGTATAAAGAGAGAGAAGGATTAAAGAAAAAAAAAATAAAAAATAAAAATAAAAATGCGCAAAATGAACCATGATACTTTTATCAACCAATTAAAAAGCTGCTGTGGCTTTTTACGACTCCGTCATGTGACGTTTTAAGAAATACACTCTTCTCTCTCAACTAGGAATAACCTTATTCTTTTTTTTTTTTTTTTATTTTATTTTCTAAATAATGGCCAACGAAGATTTTATTCATGACATTGCCATAGATATTTCAAGAGCCCTTAATTTGACAAATCCAAATGATCTAATTGCTAAAAAAGTGATTCAGTTTGCAGAGACTCATAAAGATTTTGATAGATTTAGTAAAGGTATATGCAAAAAAAAAAAAGAAGGGGAGAGTGTTTATGTTAACTTTTTTTTTTTCATAATCAGTATGTGGCACATTTGGTCGGTTCAGCCAAGAATTTCTTGCAGAAACATATACAAAAATTACAAATCATTTAAAATCAACTTCTAAACCTACGCCGACATCTAGTAACAGTAAACCAGTTCATCAACATGCTGTTAAAAATGAGGTTTTGGTATTAGGAAATAACTTACCAGGTGGCCTCCTTGTTAAAAACAAATCATCAAAAACAGATGAAGAACGACCGATATTTAAAGTACCAACTAATAAATCGCTATTAGGATTAGATGTCTTGGCTCGTAAGAAAAGACATGCGCAAGCTAACGCCGTTGTAACAGAAAAGAAAGTAAAAGTAAATTATGATGAAGATGAAAAGGATGATAAGGGAGATGATAATAAGAAAGAGGATGAAAGATATGACCATAGTAAAATACATTCTAGTCGACATTATCGTTCACATCGTATAGAGACTCCTTCTAATCCAGGTGGTATCTCAGATTCTGCACTAAAACGTATGGAAGACATGAAAAAAAGACATCGACATCACGACGATCATCATAAATCTAAACATCATGACCACAATAAACCACGTCCTGATGAAACTCCTAGACGTCGTGGGGGGCTCATCAAACGTAGTCAATGGACGGAAATGACACCACAAAATCAAGGTCGATTTACACCTCGACTTGAAAGTAGCGGTCGACATGACAGCCTTTTGAGTCGACAAGCAACGGGTGCAGCTACAGCCATGGCTCGTCGTACTTGGGATAATATGACGCCAGCTATTCGTTCTACTGCCTATGATGAAGTTGCTCTCGAATACCCTGAAGAATTTAAAGGTGATGATGAAGATCGTCGTAAATGGGAAGAAGAACAAGCTCAATTAGATCGTGAATGGTATCAAATGGAAGATTATGGTGCAGCTGATTCAACTCATAATCCATTTGCAGAGTATGAACAACATGATCGACATAAAGAAGATGAGTTGGCTCAAAAACAGATGAAAAAGTTATCTGCACGTCAAGCTCAGTACAATCGTGATACTGATATGTGGGAAGCAAGTCGTATGTTAAGTTCTGGTGTGGCACAACGAATTGAGGTAGATACAGACTTTGAGGATGAGAGTGAAAATCGAGTACATCTTCTAGTTCATGATAAGAAGCCACCATTTTTGGATGGTCGGATGGTGTTTACAAAACAGTTGGAGGCGGTTCAGCATGTGAGGGATCCAACATCTGATATGGCAATGATTGCTAGAAAAGGAAGTCGATTAGTGAAAGAAAAAAGAGAGCAAGCAGAACGTGCCAAGGCAAGTCGATTGGATATTGCGGGAACTGTATTGGGTAATGTAATGGGTATTAAGGACGAATCAAAAGAAGAAGAACAGCAAGTTGATTCTAAAGGAGATTCTAAATTTGCCTCTCATCTCAAGACCTCTGAAGCAGCAAGTGACTTTGCACGAACAAGAACAATGCGTGAACAACGAGAGTTCCTTCCTGTCTTTGCAGTTCGTGAAGATCTTTTAAGAGTCGTTCGTGATAATCAAGTAGTGATTATTGTTGGTGAGACTGGTTCTGGTAAAACAACTCAATTGACTCAATACCTTCATGAGGATGGATATACTAAATATGGTAAAATCAGTTGTACACAACCTCGTCGTGTGGCTGCCATGTCGGTGGCTAAACGTGTTGCTGAAGAAATGGGGTGTGAATTGGGTAGTACAGTCGGCTATACAATTCGTTTTGAAGATCAAACTTCTGAACAAACTTTGATTCGATATATGACAGATGGTATTTTATTGCGTGAATCAATGAATTCTCCTGACCTTGACCAATATAGTGCTATCATCATGGATGAAGCTCATGAACGAGCTCTTAATACAGATGTCCTCATGGGTCTTCTTAAAAAAATCTTAGCACGTCGAAGAGATCTTAAACTGATTGTAACATCTGCTACAATGAATGCTGACCGATTCTCACAGTTCTTTGGTAACGCTCCATGTTTCTTTATACCCGGTCGTACGTTCCCAGTTGACGTTATGTTTAGTAAAACACCCTGTGAAGATTATGTGGATAGTGCAGTTAAACAAGCCTTGACAATTCATCTCTCTCAGCCAGCAGGAGATATTCTTATTTTTATGACAGGTCAGGAAGATATTGAAGCAACATGTGCAGCACTTAAGGAGCGAATGGAACAGTTAGAGGATCCTCCTGCCTTGGCTATTTTACCCATCTATTCCCAGTTACCAGCTGATCTTCAAGCTAAAATTTTCCAGAGGGCAGAAAACAATGCACGTAAAGTGATTATAGCTACTAATATTGCTGAAACATCCTTAACCGTAGATGGTATCATGTATGTTGTTGATACAGGCTATTGTAAGCTTAAAGTCTATAATCCACGTATAGGTATGGATGCCTTACAGGTCACACCCATCAGTCAAGCGAATGCAAATCAACGTAGTGGTCGTGCTGGTCGAACAGGGCCTGGTGTTGCTTATCGACTCTATACCGAAGATGCGTATCGAAACGAAATGTTTATTAACAATATTCCTGAGATCCAACGTACGAATTTGGCAAGTGTTGTTTTACAACTCAAATCACTAGGTGTTAAAAACTTACTTGATTTTGATTTCATGGATCCACCACCACAAGAAAATATCTTGAATTCTATGTATCAACTTTGGATCATTAACGCCTTTGATAATGAGGGTGAATTAACGGAAGCTGGCAAAAAGATGAATGAATTCCCTTTAGATCCTTCACTTGCCAAGATGTTGATTACAGCAGAGCAGCTAGGTTGTACAGCCGAAGTATTGACAATTGTTTCTATGTTGTCTGTTCCTTCTGTCTTTTATCGACCCAAGGAACGTATGGAGGAATCTGATGCGGCTCGTGAAAAATTCTTTGTGCCTGAAAGTGATCATTTGACGTTATTACATGTTTATACTCAATGGAAGATTAATCATTATAGAGACGATTGGTGTGTAAAACATTTTATTCATGCGAAAGCAATGCGTAAAGCAAGAGAGGTACGATCTCAATTGATGGATATTATGAAGACAATTAAGATGCCATATGTATCATGTGGAACTGATTGGGATGTAATTCGGTAAGTAATATATAAGATATGTCCTTTTTTTTTTGTATTGTTAATTTTTTTTTTAATAATAATAATATATAGTAAATGTATATGTTCAGCTTATTTCCATCAAGCAGCTCGTATTAAGGGTATTGGTGAATACGTTAATTGTCGTTCTGGTATGAAGTGTCATTTGCACCCTACAAGTTCATTATTTGGTGCTGGATTTACACCTGATTATGTGGTTTATCATGAATTAGTAATGACATCAAAGGAGTATATGCAATGTGTTACTGCTGTAGACCCTTATTGGTTGGCTGAAATGGGACCTATGTTCTTTTCCGTACGTGATCGAACCCATTAATAAATAATATCAGAATGTATTGTAAATAACAAAGAAATCATATACATGTGTATATATTACAATGTATATAATAAACGTGCTATCTTTATTATTATCAAATTCAAATATTTATATTTATAACTATATAGTTTTCATAACTAATAGTAATGCCTTTGTTTCTAGTGAAAGCCTTGATTATTGTTTTTTTTTTTTTTTTTTTTTTTTTTTTTTTTTTTTTTTGGAAGCCATCGTCTCTTCTCCATTGACATAATTAGTATAATTTTCTCCAAAAAAATTTTGTTCGTATCTGTAATATAAAGAAGAACAAGAAATTAACATGATTATAGTAATATTCATAACAAATTATTATTAAATTGTTTTGTGAAATAATATAAAATAAAATTTCTCTCATCATATGAATCCAGTGATATGTATTAGTCTATCACATTACTTTCTTTTTTATTTTATTTTTTTTTTTATTACTTCTATACAATATGAACATTTTTTTTTATACATTAATTTCCACTACCCAATCCATAATTGTCAATTATCTTATTAACATCACGTAATCTTTGAAGGTTGCCTTGAACTACAACTGTGGCCTTACCAGTACCTCCACTAGTAACACTCACTGCCCCGCGTACAACACGTCCAGCCACACGCTTCAATTCGCTCATTGTTACTTTATCAATATTGGATAACATCTCATCAATTCCTGTCTTTTTACCATGCACCTGGATCTGTCGTCCTAAATCCTCTAATTGTACCATACGGCTTTCAAGATTCATTAATAATGAGCTCTTTAATTGATTCTTTGCTCGACTTAATTCAATTTCAGAAACAGCATCGATGTCGCCACGAGCCACAGTATCTAATTCACGACAAATAACTTCAATTAGAGCATTGATATATTCTGGTGGACAAGAACCAGCAATACCAAAGAGTCCGGAATCGGTATAACAATGATTAAAAGCTTGACAGGACTCAACCCAGTAGTGCTGATTGAGAACATTGGTAAAGAGACGAGAGTACATGCCCTTTCCAGGCCCACCAGCAGAAAACGAACCACCCCCACCTAAAAGGATTTGTAGTGTTGTTAGAGCGTAAATATCAGGATCATCAATCGAAAGTCCCTCAAAGGCAACATAGACATGAGTGAAAGGTGTTTCTGGACCCGTTTCCATAAAACTTGTTCCTCCTGTGTATTTAGCAGGCTGTGTGGCTAATTTAAAAGCACTGGTATCCTTATTTTCTTGGTCATTAAAATTCATTGTTGCGCTATTAAGAAGTGATTTGACAAATGATTTTCCGGACTCTCTTCGTTGTTGAGCTTGTTCTTGTTGTTGTCTGAGTGCTTCTTTATGAGTCATAACTGAATCCAAACTTTGAGTTGATTTAGGGACATCACCAAAGTATTTAACAGCCAAATCAACCACCTGTTCATGTTCAGCACCACAAGCGGCAATAACCATACGTTCAGGTCGATACCACGTTTTTCGATAGTTCTGAATTAATTCAGGTGTCATTGACTTTAAGCTTTCAGGAGGACATAAAAGTGGGTTGCCCAAGGTATTATCTTTATAAGCAACTGTATGCAAAATCTCCGGTAAAATCATTTCTGGTTTGGACCAAATTTCATCAATTTCGTAAAGTGCTGTCTGACGTTGCTCCTCTACCTCACTTATATCAATTATAGGTCTTAAAACAACATCAGAAAAGAGTGATAAAACACGACTGAGATCTTGAGAGAAAATGGCTGATTGGTACATTATTGATTCTCGAGATGAAGAACACATAATATTTCCTCCTAACGATTCTAATTCTGCTACAACTTGATCGGCCGAACGATTAGCCGTACTCTTTAATAAAAAAAAAAATGTCAAACTACAGATTGTTCTTCCTATCAGTATTTTTTTTTTTTTTATGGAATTACCTTAAAGGCTAGTCTGTCCAAAATGTGGCTCATACCCCTTGTTGCAGCAGTTTCATAACGACTACCAGAGTCTACATAAACACCGACTGCGCTAAAATGACCTGGTGTATTTTCTGAAGCAACACGAATACCATTTGGAAGTGTTGTAACTTTACTTAATCCAGTTGAAGCTTTTGAATATTCTTGAATGATAGTTGGAAATCCGTTCACTGAAGCCTTAATGAGTATATATGTATACATGTATATATAAAAAAAAAGTTTTGACTGAGAATCATTCATAGCAAAAAAAAAAAAAAAGCATGTAAAAGTAATTACCTGTGATCTACTGTAAGGAACAGTTGATTCTGAACGTTTAATAAATGAAGATAAAGGGTTTTTAGCTATTCTCCTGATTGTCGAGCTCAATAATCGAGATGTCATTTTATAGGAATTGTAAGTATAAATAAATAATTCAAGTTTAAAATGTATAAAAAAACAATCTCCATGCCCCTTCCTATGATAAAACGGGGAAAAAAAAATTGGCGGGGAAGAAATGATTTGTACAAATTCGGACTGTTGTCTTTGTAATCACGAAAATAGACCATCACTTATTATTACATAATAAAAAGGTTATTCGAGTATGACTAATATATTATTATTACACTTTACAGCATCATACTTGATAACGATAGCAAGAATTCAACAATAGAATTATGAGTGGTATAGTTGATTACATAATCATCTATAGACATACAGATTAAATATATGCATTAATGATGATAAATAGCATTATATCATTGTTATAGCCGGAATAATATTCATTATATTTTTAGTAACAGGGACAGCTTAAACAAGATAACATCCGTCTTCACTTGTCAAAACCAAATTTCTACTCCTAATTCTTTTTTTTTGTATTATTTAAATCTCTAATCAACTAAATATTCTCTTTCTTTATTGTGCTATATAATGAATATTTCACCAAAAGCAAAGCAGCCGTCTTTTGCTGGTAAGTCTATAATTGATATTTGTTCTATCTTTCCATGTCTATGTTACTACGGAATATAATAAAATGGCTAAATCTCGATATTTTTTTTCTATTTTTGACACTCTTTTACCTTTTAATGGTGTCTTGCTATAAAAAAAAAAAGAAAAAAAACAGGCTTGCTATTTAATCAAATTATTAGCTGTTAATAAAGTCTTGTTTGTAGTTTTACTTGATATTCATGATAGTAGAGTAACAAATATAGCACTATTCGATATAATGCTACTTTATTTTTCATTTAAGAAATATAATTAGTTAAGACTCTTGATCAATAATAAGCATTATTATATTTTATAATTTTTTTTTTTTTTTATTATGTTTCAAAAGTAACAATGTGTTTGTCTTTTCTTTTTATTCTTTCCTTTCTTTCTTTTTTATATATACATTTTTAGACCTACAAGTATTAGTTATGGTATATGATTATGATGCAACTTCTATTAATGAGGATGAATCTGGATGCCAATTATTAGATGGGTTTGCAATATTCATACAACTTGTTTTAGCTGCTTTAGCTTTTTTAACACTGATCATAAAACGACAAAAGGAATCACCTCAAAGACCACTATTAACTTGGTAAGATTATGAACTGTTTGATTTGACAAGTATTAAATTGTTATGCAAAAGGTCATTTGATGTTAGCAAACAAGTAATCGGCGGTGCAGTCGTTCATACTTTAAATCTTGTTGCATCCCATATTTTTGGAAAGAATGTAGAAGAAGAATCAAACCCATGTGTATGGTAATACTTTTTACATTTATTTTTTAATTATACTTGAAAGTTTATCTCTCTCTTTCTCTCTCTTTCTTTCTTCTTTAGGTATTTTTTAAATATTTTTGTAGATACAACACTAGGCGTTTTAGTCATTTGGGCAATTTTGTCGATTGTTAAATTCTTTGTTCGATTCTACCGTTTGAAAGGATTTCAGAGTGGAGTTTATGGTGAGCCACCTATTACGAACCAAATGAAAAATTGGACGAAGCAACTTGTAGTGTATATTATGACATTAATAACGATGAAGATAGTTGTTGTCATCTTGTTTAGTATATGTCCTTGGCTTGAAAGTTTTGGTAAATGGGTATTGAGTTGGACTATGGGAAATTATAGGATTCAAGTTGTATTTGTTATGTTGATGTATGTGATATTATTACTATTATTATTATTATTGTACTTATTTTTTTTCCCATTTACTATTTGTAGTTTCCCATTAATTATGAATATTGTACAGTTTTGGATAATAGATACAATTGTTAAACATAAAGTACTTGGATCTATTCGATTAAGTACAGATGAAGAATTATCAGAAGATATGTTAATATCAGACGGAGAATATAATACTGACGATGTGTTCTTTAACGAAAACGGAAGTGAAGAAGGAGATGCTAATTCTATATCAAGTATTAAAATTCATACTACTAATAATAATACTGATACTTTTGAAGAAGAGAATAGTATATATGAATTAAGAACAAGTCATGTGAATCATTCATGTATATAAAAATTGTAATAAATACCCTTTCCTATATAAATACATCCTTTTACTTATTCTATACTAATTCATGACCTAATATAATATTAAGAAAGACATGTCAAGCAAAAGAAAGAAAGAAAGAAAGAAAGAAAAATTAGACGTTTTTTTTTTTCTACAGTCCGTGTATTTTATGATTGATAATACTGCATAAGAGATTTTGTTATACTTTGTATATATTTGAATAAATTAGAATGTAGCACAGTAGTAGTAGTGGTGGTGGTGGTGGTGAATAATAAGTTGAAATGACACTATTACGTAAGGTTAAAATGATTATGTTTTATTAAAGAAAGTGTCTTTTCTTCTTATTATTGTTTAAGTGTTTCCGCTGACAAATCTATCGCCTCTTTAAATATTTCTATCAACAAATCCTCATGTGAAAAAGGAAGAACTTTCCCTGCAAGTATTTATTACCCCGCAAAATTAAAATAAAAATTCTTTTTTTTTTTTTTTTTTAATAACCCATTTTTTTTCTTTTCTTTTTTTTCTTTTTCCATTGTTATTAATCTATATTTCATTTAAAGATGTCCACTATGACAGATGATCCTATTGAACCCGTAGTCATTGAAGTAAAGAATGATACAGCTTCATCTGTAAAGTCTTTCCTTTCTGGTGGTTTTGGCGGTATGGCTTCTGTACTTGTGGGGTAAATAATAACAAGAAGAAATTTCGTCAATCTATAAATATATAAATATCTATATACATACTCTAGAGAAATACTTAACATTCATATTTTAGTCAACCTTTTGATCTTGTAAAAGTACGTCTTCAAACAAGTGAAGGCATATACAAGAATACATTTGATTGCTTCAAACAAATTATTAAAAAAGATGGCATATTGGGTTTGTATCGTGGTATGGCGACTCCTTTTGCTAGTATTACACCTATCTTTGCTGTTAGTTTTTGGGTACGTTGCTTTTATATAATATTATTTTTATTTTATTTTATTCTGGGGAGATATGTTTGTATAAATTATTTCTTTTCATATATATAGTCATACGATCTTGGTAAAAAATTGGCATTTGCATTCAGAACAGACAAAGAGAATAAAAATCCACATTTAAGTTTAGCTGAAATTACGTTTGCTGGTGCATTCTCTGCTGTTCCTACAACTTTATTTATGGCACCTTCAGAGCGTATTAAAGTTTTAATGCAAATTCAGGGACAAGGTGGTGAACAAAAATATAAAGGCCCTATGGATGCAGTTCGTCAATTATATAAGGAAGGTGGTATTCGCTCTATATTTAGAGGTACAGGAGCTACTTTATTACGTGATTCTCCTGGTTCTGCTGCTTACTTTGTAGCTTACGAATTAATCAAGAAGGGACTTACACCTGCTGGTACACGTCCAGAAGATTTAAGCTTTGGAGCTGTTTTATTTGCAGGAGGTAAAAAAAAATAGACAAATAGTATTTTAGAAAGTTTAATATTTATATGCATATATGTAAATTTTAGGTATGGCTGGTGTAGCTATGTGGACTATTGCTATTCCTCCCGATGTTCTTAAATCTCGTTTACAATCAGCACCTGCAGGTACTTATTCAGGTTTAGGTGATTGTCTTAAAAAGACATTGAAGACAGATGGTCCTTCTGCATTATTTAAAGGTCTCGGCCCTGCTATGTTAAGAGCATTCCCTGCTAATGCAGCTACTTTCTTGGGCGTTGAATACTCTATGAGAGCCATGAATATGGTCTTTTAACAATATTTAGAATAAAATAGTAATATCTTAAAAAAAAAAAGTGTGTGGGGAAAAAGGTTATTATTTGTAATCATAATAATTATGGGTATTTCGTGTTACAGACTATTTATGCTGACACAACAATAATCTTTGCTACTTTTAATAAACGTGGAGTAAAAAAAAAAAAAAGAAAAAAGAAAAAAAGAAAAATTATATAAAATTATAGCATATTCTATCGTTTTTTTTTTCTTTTTTCTTTTCTTTTTTCTTTATCATTCAAGAATAAAAAAAATATGTCCCTTTTTAGGAATACTTCAAGATTAACTCCTCATCGTTTCTCCATGGTCAATGTAAGTTTCATCTTTTTTTTAATTCAAACTTGAAAGTAACTCATTTGAATTTAGAAATCGACAACCATGTATTATCGTCGAACCTTGGCAACACTACCCAAGACACCTATTGACCCTAATGCAGCTGGACCTATGTTGAAATATCAAGCCAATTTACCTAAATTGCCTGTTCCTGCTCTTAGCGCTACTTTACAAAAATATCTCAAGACCGTTCGTCCTCTTTTAGATGATACTCAATATAGTCAAACAGAAAAGGCAGTAAAGGAGTTTGAACAGCCTGGAGGTCTTGGTCATGAACTACAAAAGAGATTATTGGCGCGTGCTAATGACCCCACTATTGTCAACTGGATGGAAGATTGGTGGTTAGATAGTGCTTATATGGGTTATCGTGATCCTGTTGTTATCTATGTTAGTTATTTCTTTATGTATAAGGACGATAAGTTACGCAAATTGCCTGCTCAACGTGCTGCTGCTATTGCTACTGCTGCACTTGAATTTAAGAAACAAATTGTAGAGTAAAGTAGATTCATTTATGAAATACAGAATTTTTATTATGACTAATTTATATATATAGTAAGACACTTTCGGTTGAAATGGCAAAGGGTGAACCTATGTGCATGGATTCCTATAAATATATGTTCAATAATTGCCGTATCCCAAAAAAGCCTTCTGATTATGAAGTTAGTTTTGACCCTGCTACTAATAACCATATTGTGGTTATTAGAAAGAATAAATTCTTTGTCATTGATACAATTCATCAAGGTCAACAATTATCAACTGCTGAATTACAGCATCAAATTCAAAATATCATGGATGAAGCAGGTACTTCCAAGTCTTTACCAGTAGGTGTCTTGACTTCAGATAATCGTGATAAATGGACTGAATACAGAGACCGTTTAATTTCCGCTGATCCTGAAAATGCAAAGCTATTGGAAAAAATAGAATCTTCTGATTTTGTTATCTGTCTTGACGACCAATCACCTTTTACCCGTGATGAAGGCTCACGTGCTTGTTGGCATGGCGATGGTCGTAATCGTTTCTTTGATAAGCCTCTTCAATTCATCGTATTTGAAAATGGTAAAGCAGGCTTCATGGGTGAGGTAATCTATATTTTTTTTCTCTAAAAAAAAAAAAAATAACTTGTATACATAATAGCACTCATGTATGGATGGTACAGCCACTTGTCGTTTAAATGAATATGTTTGTGATGGGTAAGAAAGAAAAGGAGAATTTAATCTTTTTTTTTTCTTTTTATTTATCTTTCTCTCGATAGCTTGCATCGTAATACAATTCATCATGGATCAGACGAAATCCGTTCAGACCTTCCTAAACCTCAAGAGCTCAAGTTTCATTTAGATGAATCGGTTAAAAAGGATATTGCTGCTGCAGAATCTAATTTTGATGCATTGATTGCGAAACATGATCTTACTGTTTTAGCCTACCAATCCTATGGTAAAAACCTTATCAAGAAATTCAAATGCTCCCCTGATGGTCTTACACAAATGATTATACAATTGGCTTACTATAAGATGTTTGGTGTATCTCGTCCTACTTATGAATCAGCACAAACACGAAAGTTTCAACATGGACGTACTGAAACAGCACGTACTGTTACGACGGAGTCCATTGCCTTTGTTAAGACGATGGAAGATGTGAATGCTTCATCAGAGGCCAAGCTTGCAAGCTTGAGAGCAGCTCTTAAAGCTCAAGGAAGTTATATGGCCGATGCTGTCAATGGTCATGGCGTTGATCGTCATTTATTTGGATTAAAGAAGAGTTTAAAGTCAGGCGAGGAAACACCTTCCCTTTTTAAGGATCCCGCCTATGCTTACTCTTCTCATTGGTATCTCTCTACTTCCCAATTAACCTCTGAACACTTTGATGGTTATGGTTGGGGACAAGTTGTGAATGATGGTTTTGGTTGTGCTTACATGATTAAAAAGAATGCTCTTCAATTTAATGTTGCAAGTGTAAAAGATTTAGAGGTACATGGTGAAAAGTTTATAAACGGTACACATAGATTTAAACAATGTCTTGAGGATGCTGCAAATGATTTAAGAGATTTGTTAATGACTGAGCTCGAACCTGAAGCCAAATTATAATAGACACACAAACACACACACACAAAAAAAAAAAAAAATGTAGTACATATAGTAATAAAAAAAATAAAAAAAAAAGGATGATGATGATATCATTTTTATTATTAATATTTTTTTATAATGATTTATATATATAGCTAATATTATAAACATGTTCATTGACGTAATAGTAGGCAACACATCTTTGAAGCACAAATGAACAATTTGACAAAAAAGGGAATATAATAAAAAAAAAAAAGAAAAAAAAAGAATGAAAGAAAGAAAGAATGAAAAAAAAAAAAAAGAAATTGCATCATTTTTTTTTCATTATGCAGACAATATGTACCTTTATATGATCTGCTATTGTTATAAAAAAAGATAAATATGTATATATAAAAGTGACTAATCAGTTACATATAATATAGTATATAAATGTGTGTGGGAAGGTTAAAATATAAATTATTACACATAAAAAAAAAATACTGCATAGATATGTATAATACACAATAAAATAAAATAATATGTATGTATGTATGTATGTAATGCTATAAACAAGTAATAATAATAATAATAATAATTGGTATCCAATATTTTTTTTTTATAAAAGTTAGTTTATGATTGATTGTTTTGTTAATTTAGTTAATTGCTTTTCTAATTCCAATACACGATGCTTATGAGTTAACACCTCTTGTTGTAATATTCGAATATGATCTACAGATTTTCGTAAAATAGCACCTTTATTAGGTTTATTATTCGTAACAGATGAGTTACTACTAACTAGCTCTTCAAGCATTGATTCAGGTAACATGGTACCTAATTCTTGAATACGTTCATTTATATTTTCTCTTCTTCTTCTTTCAACTAATAAAAGAAGAAAAAGGAAAGGAGAGGGGGGGAAGAATTCAGAATATAAATAAATATATACATATTTATATCCATGTATATACCTGCATTATGGGATTCCCTTCTACGTCTTTTTTTTTCTGCAAGTAGCTGTTGACTAAAAAAAAAAAAAAAAAAGTTAAAGGTCAATTTTTAGGAGGGGTTTTTTTTTTTTTACAATAGAGATGCATTTACTTTATTTGCATAGATTCATATTCTTCTAAACTATGTGCACCTGTTGTAGAAGTATCAAAGGCTGTTGTATTCTCTTGTTGTTGTTGTTGTTGTTGTTGTTGTTGATAATTCCCCATGTGACTCACCATTAATTCATAACCCATATGAGCAGGCGCTGAAAATGGTTGATGTTGATCCAGTTGGTGACTATGAGGACTAAATGAAGAGGATGCCCTTCTTCCTCCATGATAAATAAGTTGAGGTGATGTTATTGTTGTATTCGTAGTTGTAGGAGAAACAACCATATCTTGTTGTTGAGCGTACAAGTCCATAAAATGAGAAGAGGAAGACGTAAACGATTCACTCTGAAAGAGATCAAAAGAGGAAGGATAATCATCCGAGTGGCGAGTGGTAGATTGTCCTTGTTGAATATTAATTGGCTGTTGTTGCTGTTGTAATGGAAAAAATAATTGCTGTTGTTGTTGTTGTTGTTGTTGTTGTTCAGACATGACTTTCATAAAATGGCTTGTGTTAGTATGAGAAGTTGATAATAATGAATCCATGTCATCAAAATCTTGTAAAAGAGGTGAATGAGTTGTAGGTGATAAGAAGAATTGTTGTGCAAAACAATCAATAGAAGGATCTTCCATTACATATAATGGATCTATTGTTGTTGCCTGATCATTTATTGGCTCTGTTGCTAAAAAATGATACTCTGTAGAGCCTTTTAACTTATTATTATCACAAGAAGAACGAAGTGATAATTTTGTATTTTTCGTCATTAAACTATTATTATTAATAAAAGGAAGGAAAGAAAGAAAGTTATGTAGATGAATGAGTATTTATAAACTTTTTTTTTTCTTAGTCTTGCTAAAGTAGCATGATAATTTATGATTGGATGCTGATATTTAAATAATGTTACTTGTTGCCATATCCTTTTATATTCTATCCAATGAAAATACATTTCATGTTTATTTTTTTTTTAAAAAAAAAAAGAGAGAAAGAGAGAGGGGAAGAAAGAGGAAGGAACATATGATGAGTCAAATGAATTAAAGAACAATATTATCCCGCAGTAAAATGATGAAAGTTTGCATAAGTTACTAAATAAAGAACCCTATATATAAACAATGTAGAAATGGTCTGTGCTTTTCTACTTATTTTTACTCTCCCCCCCTTTTTTTTTTATCAAATAGAATACTACGTTGTTGTTATGCTCGAAAATAATAATAACTGAGATCGGAGAATAAAACTATACCGTTACTATCGTTACCATGGAGATTTTTTTTATTTATCTATTTTTTTTTTTTTTTTTTTTTTTTTTTTTTTTTTTTTACTTTAGCCGCATTTTAATAATAGTACAATGAGTACAATAACCAACAGAACCAAATCAATAGATTTAAAGGTAATTTAATTATTATGAGCCAAATAATTTTTTTTCTTATAAACATATATATTTGTTTGTTGATTTAGAAATTATACATTGGTAATCTTGATGAGACAGTTAATGAGTAAGTCTTGAAGTTGTAATACATCATAACGAATTTTATCATCTAACATTTCAAGATACATAATTATGCAATTATTTAAACCTTTTGGAAAAATTACTTCTATTGAAGTCATGGTCCATTGGATGGGAGTTAAAAAAGGATTGTCGAGAGGTTATGGATTTTTAGAATTTGATACAAAAGAGGTACCCATTCTGAAAAAAATAAAATAAAGACTACATGATACTAAATTATTATCATTCTAAATTAATACTAGCAAGCATTAAATGCAAAGAATGCCTTACATGGAAAATTGTTAAAAGGAAGACCTTTAGTCGTCTCATTTGCTTATGTAAAAAAAAACGACTCTAATGTTATAAAAAAAAAATTTTTTTTATATAACTAATTTATTTGTACATGTAGACTTTAGATGAAAATAAGCAAAGTAACAGCAATTATAATAGTAATAGTAGACGTAATCAATCATTAAATAGTGGTAAAAAGCCTACAACCCCCATTTCGTTAATAAAAGGACAATCATTAAAGAATTCTTCGTAAGTGAAATAAGCAAATGTATGATATACATTTTATCTTTGATTAACTTTTATCATTATTAGGACGGATGCTAAAATCAAAGCAATAGAAAGGAAATTAGAAGCATTAAAAAAACAAAAAGTAACAGCATCTCCATCTACATCTCCATCCACATCCTCTGCAGCAACATCTCCTTTAAGGTCAATAAAAAGTTATCAACAACAATCAAATCGTTTTAAACCATATTAAATCAAATAAAAAATACAAGCATTTTACATATATATTTCTAGACCTCTTTTTTTTTTCTCTCAACTCTTTCCTTCTTCCCCCAAGTAGACATGACTAAAATAATAAGAATAAGAAAGACTTATTGTAAAACATAGTATTTGGTTATAAGAATAGATAAAATGAAACCATATCTATTTGTAAGAATAGAGCCATTTTATTATAATAGTAATATTGTTCGAATTTAAGCAGTATACATGTTTGATAAGCTAAAGAGTAATACAATGACATAACATAAATGCTGCTCTTTTATTATTATTGATAAATGAGTTGATCATATCTTTAACTGCTTTAAAATGATAACAGATAACAATGACGTATATAATAGAAACAGTAAGTAGAACGCGTTTATGTAGAGTGACTGAGACAGTAAGTGAAAAAAAAAATCACTAGTAGATCACCAACAACTATATTCAAAACATGACATCTGGTGTCAACCAAAGGAGTTATCAAATAAAGAAAGACAGACAGACTGACAACGGCGTTCATTTATGTTGCCTTGTGGAAAACACTTTAAGAGTTTTTATAAAGAAGGCCGTTAACTGTTTAAAAAATGTTTTTACTAACAATCATGGGGTAGGCTTTTTTATAAAAAAAAATATAATTGTATATGTATATGAATATCAAGTTTTAATAATAGCTCTGTAAAAAATAGTATGATACAGTAAGGATAAAGATAATATTAGAGACTAAATCTGTAAGGCTTTGATACACTTTTGTATTGTCTAAATGTAAAATCCCTTATTAAGAAAAAAAAAACAACGACAGCAGTATAAGAATAATTCAATGTCTTTAATAAGTTGTATTGCAATAGTAGTCATATTATGATTGAATCGTATTATACAATTAGTTTGAGAATAGATATGTATTACATATCAAAGTTCCTTTAGGGAGTCTGTGAACAAGCATTTTCATTTACTTTTGCTAATATGAAACATTCATTCATTCTATAGTTGATAAGAATAAAAGGGAATGTTGTCATTATATATCAGTTAAATGTTGTCAATAAGGTAATCATTTAACATAGCAAGGAGAGAATATAGAAACTTAAAAATGCATTTCAATTTTTTAGTTGTGATGAGAAAAGATAAACAAAGAAGATATGAGTCACGCTTACTAAATATGTTCAGTGTTGTCAAAGAATATGATAGGTTTCTATTTAATATGAACACATGAATTGATTTGATCTTGACAAAATCGTCACTTGACTAGGCCTATAATAATTCATTCATTGCTAAGAGTAGATAATGAATTCCTGATATTATATCTGTAGAAATCATTTGTCTCATTATTTCATTGTATAAATGTATAAAATAATAAAAAAAAAAAAACGTTGAATAAAGACAAAAAAAGACAGATATTTTGTTCATTTCACAAAAATGGAATGATGAATACACATAAATTGGCTTATTATTATTATTATTACTTTTCCTTCTTGAGCAATTATTAGAAAGCACCATGTTAAAAGTAATGAGACATGAATGTAAATATACACAATTGCCCGAACTCTAATTATCTTCCATTACTGCAACAATGTAGTACAGTAGCAATAGTCAACAAACAATGAAATTAATGACTGACAACAACAATAATAATTATTGTTCTATTTAATAGGTGCATTTATTATTAATAATATTCAGGCACATTCTCCCCTTTATGTGTGTATAATAATAAATGAATGCTGTATTTTATCTTACTCTATCCTTCCCTTCCCATCCCTTTTTGAGTGATGAATAGCAAAAAAAAAAAAAAAAAAAAAGGTTTCAGTTTAATAAATGTCAGTTGACTAAAATACAATATGCCAAGACAAAATTTACCTGTAACGTAACAACAAAACAAGTGACATAATATCATCATAGAAAGCAAGACATTATATATTTGTATATGAGGGTGTGGGGGGGGGAAGCAACGTAAACTAGAAACATTACCTAATTAATAACATTTCATTGGAGTAGTTATGGTAATCATTTGAAGGAGAACTCAGACCTGTTGTAGTATCATCGTCATAACTACTACTACTTCTTCTCATTAGCAACCGAAGGAATTATTACTATTAGAATAACACAAATAGATATAAAGAATTGACATTTTATACATATTATTAAATATAATATTAATTATTTAAACGATTTCTAATTGGTTTATATACATATTGTTTGTTATATAATAAAAAAAGAAAGAAAGAAGGAAGGAAAGAAAGAAAGAAAGAAAGAAAGAAATCTTTTAATGTCTTCTTCTTGTTGTTGTATAATAGGTAGGATATGTTTTTTTTTTTAAATAATAAATTATCATCTTTTATTATTATTATTATTATTATTTTCTTCTGAATTTAAAAAATGATAATAAAAATAACAAAAAAACTCCCTTTTTTTGTCAAAAGTCTATTATCAGGAGTTAATATTATAAATTCCGCATTATCAAATCGAATATATAAAAAGAAAGTAAATAAAACAAAATAAAATCTTATCGTTTCTTGTCTTTTCATTCATACTTTTAAACGACGCTGGACGTTATATTGATCAATACACTTGGAGGCTTAAAGAAAAATAAATACATATAAAAAAAAAATTATAGAATACAACATGAAGACTTCTTTATTATTCACTATCCTTTCTTTCTTCTTCTTCTTGTCAATTGCTCAAGCAGCACCTCTTCATAAACGTCAAGCTATGTCTGGTAAAGCCACTTATTATGAAGTTGGTTTAGGTTCCTGTGGAGAAACAAATACAGATAGTGAGATGGTTTGTGCTCTCTCTATAGATTTAATGGGTAGTCATGCTGGTAGTTCCTATTGTGGTAGATTTATTACTATAAAATCTGGTTCTAAATCAGTTAAAGTTAAAGTAGTTGATACATGTCCTGGTTGTGGTAGAGAAGATATTGATTTAAGTCCCTCTGCATTTAAAAAACTTGGTAAACTTGAACAAGGTGTTGTTCCTATTACTTGGTCACTTTAAATAAGTGGAAGAGGATATATATTTTTTTTTCTGTATTTTTATTTTTTTCATTTTTTTTTTTTTACTTTTTTTTTTTTTTTTTTTTTTTTTTTTTTTTTTTTTAAAAAAAAAAGAAAAGAAAAATACTACTGCTTGTTGACGAACTGGTTTCGCATTTTCGTTATAATAAACGAATTATTTTAATAAATAAAAAAAGTTAACATTTTTTTTTTGTTAAATTGTTTAATGTGTTAAACTGTGTTTCACGTTGACAGATGATATTATAATAATGAAAGCTCGAATCTATTAAATCAAAAATATGAGTAAATTCTTTAAAATAGAATAATGCATTGCATTATTATACATAAAAGAATGATGATGCATACAACAACAACAATAAATATGATAAGGGAGCACAGACATGCTATCATCATTATTAATGGTGTAACAAACGAGTCTTATATAACTATTACATAACATCTGTTATTTCCCTTTTTTTTGATATATGTTAAAGGTTACATGTGCGCTTTGACATGAACCTGAAACGCTACTACTACTATTGCTACTGCTATTGCTACAGAAGAGTTCAACATAAATGTTGGCCCCAATTATGCGCATATATTACGTATTCAGTTGTTATACGCATAAATGTATCGAATATTATAACCCTTCTCCTTCTCTAACTTTATTTCTTTTTTGTAATCTTATAATAATGATCATTGAAATTGAGAATACATAAAGGACTAGTCTTTATTACCGTTTCTTTTTTACTTTTTTTTTTAAATAGCTAATAGAATGCAACTATTTTCTTTTTCTTCTTAATCACTACTTTCTTGAATTTGGCAGTTTATATATGACGCTATACATGTCAATAGTTGTAAACAAAACTCAGTTATCATCAGGGGTATACTTCTAATAATAATAGTACTACTACTACTACTACTACATAACATGTTGTGTTATTATATCTACTCCACTACAAGAATACTTTCTATCCATTTTTTTTATAAAGGATTATGTTTTAAACAAACTGATATTTATTTTATGAGTTTAATACATTGTATTATACTTTTAAAATAAAGTCCTTTATTATTATTTCTTCTTTGCTTGAGGAATGCATCTTTTTATTAAAAAAAAGAAAGTAAATAAACAAAACAACATTTAAAGTCTGGACTTATTTACTTGTGTTTCAAATGTCCTTTACTTCTTTTTACAATACATGTTGTGTAGTGGTGAGTAAGAAAAAAGGTGGTGGGGGGGAGAGGAAACCTCTATTTTAATACATGTTTCTAAAAAAAAAAATTAATGAAGGTCATGCTCTATCATCGGAACTGTGGCCCTTCCCCCCCTTCTTTTTTTTTCTTAATCCGCATAAAATAGCATACAAAAACAGTATAGAACAAAAACTACTTTAATGAACTAAAATAATGACTATTTTTTTTTAAAAAAAAAATCCAATTAAAGACTACCAAGACAATCTACAATTAGCTTTATCTAGCATTTTAGGATAGTTACACGTATTATTATCTAGCTCAGCTTCACTTATCTGTGCAAAAAAAAAAGAAATCTCCGATATTATTTTATTCAAGTACGTAGTATTATGTATGCCTTTATGTGAATAAGAAAAAGTAAACCTAATGAAAAGCATACATGTGTATATATAAAGAGAAAAAAAAACCACATCATGTTTTCTTAAGGAAAATAATAATAATAATTAAAAAAAAATGAATTTAATTAGATAATAAAAGGAACTCTATTTAATAGCAGTCATAGTTAGGGTCCATTACTACTTTGTGTTGAAACATGGAAAAAGTTTTTTTTTTATTTGGCAATAAAAATGGTCAATACCCAGACTTGATTTTAGCCTTTTATTTTTCAAGAGCCTATATCTTTTCTTTTAAAAGAGATAAAAAAAAAAATACGGGACCCCCACTGTTTAATTGATATGATTCAATAAGCAAAATAGAGACAAAAAAAATAATGCTTGGCTAATTTGAATCAATTTGATAATAATCAAGACCATTTTTTTGTCTGCTTATTTATTATAATTTATTCCCAAAAATGTCAATGTAAATTACTATTATTAAGACGATCAACACTAATAAGTAACAAATCTGGGTAATTTTTAATAGATTCCCGCTTAAGCAAATAAAGGCTTTCCTAATGACTGGTTTAAAAAAAAAGAAAAAAAAAAGATTTAAACTCATTTCTTTTAGTTCCAGAACAAAGTAGTGATAATCGTCTCTATTCTCCTGTTCTCCCTATAAGAATGCAAGAGTAGTAATCCTATTTAGTGCTACATACTTCTTTCCGTAAGCATCTAAAGATGGAGTCTTAAAAAAAAAAGCTATAAAAGAGCCGAGAAAGAGAGAGAGAGGAAAACAAAAAAGGATATATTTATCTATCTTATTTTATTCCTTCAACGCTGGTCGTTTTTATATTCCCTTCTTTTTTAACCAACTAAGGCTACTGCTTTAATTTCCCTTTCATCGTATATCATCAACAAACAAAATGAAGTCAACTTGCTCTATTAGTCTTCTTTCTTTCTTGGCCTTTATTATTTTCTTCATGTCAACATTATCTCAAGCTGCACCTATTGAAGCTCGTGGATCGATGTCAGGAGATGCTACTTACTATGATGTAGGTCTTGGCTCATGTGGTGAAACGAATTCGAATGATGATATGGTAGTCGCTCTTTCAAGTGAATTAATGGGCGGTAGTGGTAGCTCTTATTGTGGAAAGACCATTAATGTGAAAGGCAGCTCTGGTTCTGTTTCTGTCACGGTAGTTGATACATGTCCTGGTTGTGGTAAAGAAGATGTTGATTTAAGTCCTTCTGCATTCAAGAAACTGGGTGAACTTGGTGAAGGTCGTATCTCTGTTACTTGGTCCATTTAAACAAAAAAAAAACCAAGAAAAAAAAAAGAGGGGCAAACTGGTTTTGCTTACATATTACACATTTTATATGCTTTATTATTACTGTGAATTGCTTGATGCAAATAAATAAATAACCTTTTCTTTTAAATATTTCTTCATAACACGTTATTTCTTTTAGATGAAAAGATAAATTATTTATTGATAGTTAATAATGAGAGAGATAAATAGAGAACATCATGAGTCGACCACACTTGTATTAAAATAGCTTTTCAATAGTAGTAACTTGTTCATAGAATTTGGTGAAAAAAAAAAAAAAAATATTATTTTATCGGAGTAATGAAAGAATAACATTTTTTTTTTTTTTTTTTTTTTGTATCATTATTATTTTTTTTTTATCTTGTGAATTGAACATGGATCCAGTTATAAATCCTCAAGGTCAAGCATTACCATTAATGTATAATCCATATGGAATGCCTACATTACCACCAGGATGGATCGAGTACCGTACACCTACAGGACAGCCTTATTGGTATAATACATTCACGAAACAAACCTCATGGATCTTTCCTATTCATCAATCACAACCACAAAAGAAAAAGAAGCAAATAAAGTAACCTGAAAGAAGAAGAAAAAAAATATACATATATATATACATATATATTTACACGTTTGATAGGAAAAAGATCCCAAATACACATTGGTTGTTTGTTATTACTCATGATGGTTATGAATTTTATTATGATCGAGAAACTAAGAAATCAGTTTGGGAAATGCCTGAAGAACTAAAGGAACCTATGGAATTATTAAAAAAGATGGAAGAAGAGGAAAAGAATAAAAAAGGGAGATTGAAGAAGCAGAACAAGAGAAAAAGGCAAAACGTATAAAGTTAGAAGAGGAGAATAAAGCTCAAGTAAAAGAAGAAAATAAAGACCAAGAAGAAAATAAAGACCAAGAAAAAGAAACTCATATAACTGAAAATAGTGTCGAAACTACAGAGTAAGATTCAACTGCTTTACATGTCAAAAAAAAAAACAAACTTCCCATCATGAATGTTAATTCTATTTAATGTACATAGAATGACTGAAGAGGATATTATGTGGCAATTACAACAAATGGAACAGGAAAATGAACCAATAGAAGAAGAACAAGAACAAGAAATGGAAAACAAACAAACCGAGAAAGAAAAGAAAATAAATTATCAGAAGAAGAATGTATTGCTAAATTTAATGAATTATTAAAAGAAAAAATTACTTCTCCTTTTGCAGTTTATTCCGTTGAATATCCAAAATTGATATCAGATCCGAGATTTTCATGTAAGTGTAAATGAACCAAAAAAAAAAAAAAAAGGACTATTTACGAATAATTTTATTTTAGTGGTAGCCAATAATAAGCAAAAGAACTTGTTTAATAAACATTGTAGTGCTTTAGGGGAAAAGATTAAAAATGAAAAGATTAGTAAAAAAGTAAGAATAAATAAGAGGGGGTATAATGGATGATTAACACGTAAATATAGAAACCAGAAGATGAATTTAGAGATTTGCTTTGGTCCAAAGTAACAGAGAAAATGTATTGGGAAGATTTCCGTAGAAAATATAGAGATGATCCAAGATTTAAAGCCTTAGCAAGTACAAAGGAAAAAGAAATATTGTTTAAAGACCATGTGAAACATCAGCTGGGAAAGAAAAAAAGGAATCCAAAGGAAGATTATATGGAGCTTTTACGTAGCACAAAGGAAATTCAAGTAGGGATACGTTGGAGAGATGCCAAAAGAATCCTTGAAAAAGATGATCGTTATTATGCTATTGAATCTAAACTTGAAAGAGAAGATCTTTTCCGTGATTATTTAGATGAGTTATCAGCAAAAAAATGAATGAATAAATAAATAAAAAATTTTAAATTTTTTTTACCATAAATAGCTGCGGTTATTAACTAGATATTATAATGATATACTTTGGGTGGCTCTGTTGTAAATCTAACAGAAGGATGATGTGATATATTTTTATGACTATTATTTTCCTCTTTTATAACAGATAAGGATGTTAGACTTGTAGACGGACTGTAACGTAATGATTTTGATTTTAGCAATTTTTCTTCTTCTTTGTGTTCTTCTTTTTCTCTTTCTTTCATAATAGCTTGTATTAAAGTAAAACTATCGCATCTACGATGACGACGGTAATTAGATAAAGGTGATGGTGGTGGTGAAGGAATTGAAGCCATATTCATTCTATATTATTTATTTGTATATAAGCCAAAAGAAAAAGGGAAAAAAAAGAAAAGAAAAAAATAAAGAAAAAGAAAAAAGAAAGGGGTGGTTATTGTAATAATAATTTTTTTATTTTTATTTATTTATTTATTTTTTTTTTATTTTTTTTTATTTTTTATTTTTTTTTTTTTTTTTTTTTGAGGCTTACAACACAACCAATCATTTAATGCAGATCCTTTTAATTTATTGTCGATCTTTTCGGCAGCACAAATCAAATTGATTACAAAAAATGTGATCATAGTTAATGCATTTGTTGTTGTTTTGAAAATAGTTAAAATTACTATTTATCACTATGGTGATATACTTTTTCTTGTTATCTTTCAGCATTATATCAGACTTCTATCATCCTATATTTTAAGATTTTAAATAGAATTATATCTTCTTCAAACAAAGTGAATCACACAATTATTAAAATGAATAAGCATAGATGTAAAATATATCATTTGTGGCTATATTATACTTTATGATAAAATGCTTTTTTCCTTCATGTATATAAATTCTTTAGTTCGAACACTAATAGTACTAGATACTTGTCACTGATTACTACTTCCCTTCATGTAATTATATCTCTAAAGTTCTAATAACTTATTGGTTCTATCTGCTGGAATCTAAAAAAAAAACATCAATTACCCAACAACGCATTTCTATTTTCCGGTTATTAATATAAAACCTTCTTTTACATTCATGGACGATTTATAATAGAAAAAAAAAAACCCCCTTACATTAGTGCTCCTTACACCTTATCAAGATATAAAATGATTAGCCAGTATTGACAAGACTACTGCTATATTTCCAATGTTTAATTAGTCCATTTAATCAATCATATTCACTGCTAATTGAAAATAGTTTTTTATGTACGCTCTTTTTTTTCCCGATCTGAAATTAATATTTTAAAGTTCGACTAATAGCAGCAATAGTATTTTTTTTTTAAAAAAAAAGAAAAAAAAAAAGAGGGAAAATATAGAGAAGAACTAGACTGACGTTTTATAAGAAACAGAACTGCATCAGGTCATTATTCGACTACTAGAAGTTAATGTCAGGTTTTACGAAGTAACTAGATAAATCACAAACATTGATATTATAAGAACACACGTGTCAAAATCTTGTTAATCTACTATAGCAGCTATCCATATTTTGATTTTATAGTCACATCTTATGCTTTATTCATACATTATCAACAACAATAGTGTAAGGCGGTTTGAATCTTTTCATGAATTATCCAATATCTTTTTTTTTTTTATATATAATTTATTTCCTGTTACCGCTTATCATATGACGCATTTATTGATTTTCCTCTCCTTACCCCCTCCCCCCCCAAAAAAAAAAAATCTTACGCCAAAACATAATGATTTGTTTCTAGAACCTTATGAGGGGAACCTGTCATTCACTTGAACTTTGCACCTTTTTGGTATCAAAAAGTGATTTAAAATTTTTTTATAGAACCATTAAATCAACACTACTTGTAGACCTTCTTCCTATTATTCTCAAGAATTGAATGACTACACAGTGGAAATGCATTACTACTAGATTCAGTTTACAACTAGTAAAGCAAATGAATGCATGTTAGTAGACTTAGTCATCCAAAAGCATGAAAAAAGAAATAATTAATGATTCTAGATAATTCTTTTTGTTTATGAAAACCCTATAAAAGCAGAGTCAATCCTATATTGCTACATGAAACATGATCAAAGTAATACTTTAAAATAAAAGACAATAAAAGAATATTTTTTGCAAACTAGTTACTCGATAAAGAACAACGATAAAGACAAATAAATAAAAAGTTATCTTTGTTCCAAGATTGAGTGAGTAATCTTCTTGAATTGCTAAGTTAGTAGATCCATCAACATGACATTTCATTTTTATTAATTCAGTAGCGCTTTTGCACTAATAATTCATTTATTCGCTTGGTTGTCTAGGATAGCTTTAAAGTGAATGAAAGACTTATTGTATCTTCCCTTTCTTTTTTTTTTCTGTGTACATACGAACTACTTGATATCCCAAATACACTGGCAAAAAAAGAAAGAGTAGGAATACATGTATATAACATGATTACTAAGAAAATGGGGAGAAAAGTCCCATTCAGCTTCTTGTCATTCGCTTATAATATGATTTCTTTTATTTATTATCGTTATTATTATTTTTTTTTTCTAAAAATCTCGTAAAATCATAATTACATTATCTATTCTCATTTTTGAAACTTCTAGTCGTTCAAGGATCTTTTCCATTTTTTCAATTTCCTTTTTCTCTGCTTCACCAAGTAAATCAGGGTTTTCAATAACATCACTTCGGTTGATCTTATCGATTAAACGTTTACGAATACTCAACTCATACATCTTACGTTGCTGCAAGTTACCAATGGATCGATAACAATCCACCAATAATTGCTCATAGCATTTCTCAAGTGGGACGTACCATAAATGAAAGCATCGACTAGGAGCTCGATCAGCTGACTTTGGCACCTCTTGAATTTCTACAAATCCTTTTAATTTTAAAAGTGCAAGCTTTTCTCTGGTGTCCTTTGGGGGTAACATGGCTAACTTTTGAACTTGAGATTCATCTAATTTTCCACGTTCAATCAAGATTCTTAAAATTCGACTCGTGGCCACACCATATCGCTCACGTACAAGACCCTCTATTAATTTTCTTTTCATCGTATTACGTAATTTAGCAAAATTAATTGCAAATTGATTTGCACCTCTTTCGTCCTTGGACTTTACAAATCCTGCTGCATCTATCTTGAGTAAATGAATATAACCACGCACTATATCTTGTAGACTTGCTTTTTTGTTAGGTTCAATTGGGTCTTTGGGTAAACTGATATCTCCTCTAGAAACAATATCTGTATTTGCAACTCTATTTGCAATATGAATAGGTGTAGCAGAGGCTATAGATAGAAAGATGAAAAAAAAATTTTTTTTTTGTCAGCTTTACACACACACACATAAATATATATCATGGATATAACTTACGAGAGTCTTCTTCTTTTAGCATTTTCATCTTGTCTTTACCATGTTCTAAAAAGGCTTTCACAATTTCACCTGCTGTACGATTAATACGTTCAGTTGCGAAATCTACAATTGACTCATTTCTAAAAATCATATTGAATTTATCATAATTGATAGCAAAAAAGACACTCTCATCTATTTCAACATCCTCCTCCCCTTCTTCTTCTTCTTCTCCTCCTTTATTCATCGATCCAAAATCATCATCAAATGCAACACGTTTACGTTGAAAATCAAGGGGATCAGCTGCTTTACGTTTCATACCAATTGTTTCAGTTGTACTATATTCTGCCTCAATCTGTGCTCGTGCTGTATTTTTTACATGTTCAAGCTCCCGAGATGTCATGATTGTATATTTTTCGGATTCCTTTTCTGTTGCTGCTAAAATTAAATCCATAGTAGAACGACTATGTTCAGGCATGACTGCTTTAATATAATGTTGAACAACTAATCTTGTAAAGACTTGTACACATTTATTTAATTCTATATCCCCAGAAAATGTATATTAGTTTTTTTTTTCATAAATGAAGAGGCCCTTATATTATCTTCTTACTTAATTTTGTTTCATTTTCATTTATCCATTTTTTAACACCTGCAAGTGTCATTCGACCGTTTGTAAATAAAAGTTTACAAATAAGTGAAGCCTATAAATATATGTATATGTTTTTTTTAAAAAAAAAAAAGAATCCGAATATGAATACATATGCATATATATATATATATATATTACCTCTGGTCCAAAACGATCTTCAGCATCTCGAATAATGGGACCCATACGTAAACGTAACATAATTCTTTCGGCATCTGTAGTATAGTAGGTAGGTTCGTTTTTACCTTCAGCTGCTTCTGAAAAAAAGGTCAAACCATGTTGAATAAGAACAATAAGACTTTCTCGAACTTGTCTTCCTGTTAAACCTGTGAATCGTGCAAGATCGCCTAATGTCAAACGCCCTTTAAGAAGCATTTGTTTACCTACTGCCTATGATGAATAAAAAGTGTCAGCTTTTTTTTTTTTTCATTAATAGGTCAATTTGTCTTTTTTTTTTTTTTTTCTTACCGAAACAAAAGGCCCAAATTCCTCATCCAAGATTTCTTTACATAGACGAGCTTGGAATGACATTTGCAAGAGCTGCTACAGCTACTTTTATTAGAAAAAAAAAAAAAAGAAAGAAAAGAAATGTAATGTAATGTAATGTAATGTACTATTATGTTTCGGTCAAAAAAAAAAAAAAAAAAAATTCAAGGCTTAGAGGAGGAGTGTGACCTCTTTTCTCGCTCCTTTTTTTTTGTTGTTGTTGTATACTCAGTTTGCATAAATTTAAAAATAGAGATGTTCACCTTTATTTTATATAGATATTTATTTCTAGCATTCTAGTCTAGTTTAGTCTAGTATAATAAGGTATATATTTATGCTTGCTTTAATGTATCCGTTTAATTTATTGGTAAATTTGGTCTCGCTGTTCTGCAATTTGAGCTAGCTCCTGAAAGAATCTATTCATGTATTTTTTTAGAATACCTCCTATACTAGAGATCTCTAAAGATGTGTTTATCAATTTTTTCTTTTACTTACTTCATTCTAGCAGGTCTTTGATAGGCAGAGACAAGGCCACTTGTACTTGGCATCACATACATCACCGTCTCACCTTGCCCTGATAACCAAGGAAGGTTCACTTCTGTTTCCTGCAAACCCATCCTTTTACATTTTTGGCCCGAATAAATTTCATAAATGCCTTTACCTACAAAGCAAGCTACTCTAGGCCGATAAGTTGCAATTTTATGATTCAAGATAGGGATACCCATCTCTTGTTCAGACCTTGAGAGATCAGAGGCCCTTCGAGTCGTTCGTGCGGTTAAATTGGTAAAACCCAATCGATACAGGGAAGGTAACTGAATATCATCTTCAAATGTCACTTTACGGTCCACAAGACCGCTTTCAGAAAGACAAGGCCAAAAATGATTTGTATGATTTGCATAATGATGACCTTTAGCTGCACTTGTCAATCCTGGATTAATACCTACAAACAATACTTTTAAATCATATTCAAGAAGATCAGGTACCACTTCATTTAATAAAACAGAGGCCTCCTTTTTTATATTTGCTTTCCCTCCCTTTTTAATAAAATAAGGAGAAGATGTACTTGTTGTTACTTGTTTTGTCTTTGTTGTTCTAAGTTGCATAATTTAAAAAAAATAAGAAAAGAAAAAAAAGAAAAAGGAAAGAGCTAATGGATGACTGACAATTTTTTTTTCCCAAAAAAATAAAAAAAAAAATAAAAAAAAATAAAAAAAAAAATAAAAAAAAATAAAAAAAAAATAAAAAAAATAAAAAAAAAATAAAATAAAATAAAAACAAACAAATCAAATTCAAGCATTAGTTCTATAAATATGAAAAATACTAACTATTCGTAGTAATAAACGTTCTTTACAAAAGTCAATGTTTTGAAGAATATGATTATTACCTGTAGTTAAAATGATTGGCTTCTATTTTTTTTTTTATCTTATCATCCTAATGACACATTACTAATAAGATAACGATGATGATGAAGGAAGATAAAGAATGATTGTTCTTGTATCATTTTAAAAGAACGCCAAGTATTATTATTAAACTTTAGTTATTATTGTTAAAAACGTCAATCTTGTGTAATATTCAATCATCGTCAAACGACATAGAATAATGGCAAATAATGATACGATAAATAGCTTAAATCATTTTGTACAATTTGTGTGATGCCTTATTAAAACAATACAATGAATAAAAGCTTTAAAATTCATTTGTGCACGTAACAAGAGACTCTTGTCAGATCAGAAGGAGGGAACAAATAAAGAAACTAAAACTAAAAAAATTACGTTTTGATAGTCAAATACTATTTTATCAAATAAAATGAAAAAAAAAAGGGAAGTGTCTTTGACAGTTTTGGGTAACCAATTAAATTCCTTTATTTATCTATCGTGTGGCCATGGAAGCGGAGCAAGGTTTTTTTTTTTTTTTCCATTTTTTTTTCTATTTTGTTTTTTTTTTATTATCACCTCTATTTTATTCTTTTTACTATTTTTGTTTTCCTTTTTACCGATAATTATATTTTTAAGTGAGTGTAAATTACAACCAACAGGCAATATGCTTAAAAAATTAAAATATATATATATAAATATATAGCATGCAATTATCAAATTAACATATTTCAATATATATTTATATATATATATGTATATGTATATAAAGGATTTAGACCATATAACGAATAAAAAAAAAAGGGGGGAAAATAAAAGAATTTAAATTGAGAACAAAGATATACATATAAAAAAAACATAACGAAAAAAAAAGAAATGAAAAGATTAACTCCAAATGGTTGTTCGGTGGTTATCTTTCATAACAGCTCAACAAAAGAACTTGAATCAACGCTTCAATTACTAAAGAAAGAATTCAGACATGGTATTTAGTTCAATTGACATGTTTTAGTTGGTTGATTAATTTTATCTATGCCCATTAGTTATTGTCGAATCAAGAAAAGTGAATATCATTGCTATTTTGAAAGAACAACAAAAAGACAAAACGACATCGACATTGCTATTAATTGATTCAGAATCATGTCAAAAGAGACCACCTTATGGCTGTCCTGATCTTTTAATAGACATTGTTAAACTCTTGAAAGAAGATTTTATTACCAATGTTGTGCCAATTGGTAAAAAGAGAGAGAGAAAGAGAGAGAGAGAGACAAAAAAAAGTAAATGTTACTCATTTTTTTATTTTTTTTTATTTCACAGTTTGTTCATCACAAGACTCTCCTTCATTTATGTTGAAATGTCTACAGGAAGGTGCAGCTGACTTTATACTTAAACCGTTATCAGCGGATGTTATAAAAACTTTGTTTTTGGTAAGCTTCAGATTAGAATATTTTCTCTTTTAGAGGGGATTACAAAATAATAAATATGCATATTATCATAGAATGTGACTCGATATAAAATAGAGAAAAGTCAACCAACATTAGAAAATATAAATGAAATAACCAACAAGTATACAACAGAAGAATGTGACAAGCAAGATGGACAAGTATGGTTAAAATTTAAAGGACGTCTTAAAAGTGTATTTGAAAGGGAACACTGGTAAAGAAAGAAAGATGATAGTGAGTGGGGAAGACAAGAGAGTTATTTACACGTATAAATGAGAATATAGGCTATCAAAGTGGATTACAGACTACTATACCCCAAATCCTACTGTAAATCAAATATCTATGTCATCTGTTTTAAAGTAAGTTTTTTCTTTTCTTTTTTTTTTTAAATATTAAAGTCTTTAAAACCCTATTTTTTTCTTTAGTGATCGTAAAGAATATTTAAAAAGTCAAATATGTAGTTGGAATTTTTTACCTCTTGACTTGGATAATCAAGATTTAATTCAAATCGTTTTTATCATATTAAATCACGTTCTCTTCACGTTTAATGAACTTGAATCTCTTCGAGTTCCAAGTGGTAAAATGTGTAACCTTAATAGAGGATGAAACGCCTTGACCTTCCTTCTAAAGTGTATTCTATTTTTTTTTTTTTTTTTTTTTTTTTTTGATAGGTGACTTGTATCACTTCATTTTCGACATTTGTAACTCCTATCATAGTGCAAATCCATACCATAATTTCCGACATGCAGTAGATGTACTTCAGGCAAACTATTATTTTTTATGTAAAATTGGTGCAATAGAACCCATGTGTCCTGATATTACATTTGATGAATTTACATGTAAAAATAATGATGATAGTCATTCGTATTCCATCAAAGATCTATTAGAGCCTTTAGATATATTTGCCTTATTAATGGCTAGTATTGGTCATGATGTAGGCCATCCAGGTGTAAATAATAATTTTATGGTAAAAAGCTTCATATTTATCTATTGATAGACTTGTATATTTATTATAATTATGTTTAGGTGACTACATCAACTCCTTTAGCTATTTTATATAATGATAAATCTGTACTGGAAAGCTTTCATTCCATGTTCTTTTTCCATTTAGTCAATGAACATTGTTTTAGCAAATTAACAGATACTCGATCTAACCCGGAATATGCTAGTAAGTTTTAACTATTATCATTATGAATAAAATAATAAGACTAAAATGATCCCATCTTTCTAAATCATGATTATTAGGTTTTCGTAAAATTGTCGTTAATAGTATTCTAGCTACAGATATGAGTATGCATGATGAATATGTACAAAAGATTAAAAATCAAGCAGAAAGATTAAGACAGAACAAGATCAATTTTAATGATAAAGTAGCGTGCGAAAAGGAAAAGATATTGCTATGTAGTGCCTTGATTAAATGCGCTGATATCAGTAATTGTGTAAAGTCTTTCATTTTATTTTATTTTGCTACACATGATGTACATCATAATTATTTCTAATCATCCATATATAATAGGCAAGACCATTTGAATCAGCAAAAAGATGGGCAAAGATATTAGCAGAAGAATTCTTTGAACAAGGTGATTTGGAAAGAGAATTAGGTTTAACAATTCTACCCATCAATGAAAGGGGTAAAATTCCTTTAGAAGACTTTCAATTAGGATTTAAAAGATTTGTTGCATTAAAATTATTTGATTCTGTGAGTGAAACAACGCCATGTAAGCACTTTTAAACAAAACAAAACAAAAAAAGAAGAAAGAAAAGGGGAGAAAGAGATTGAACTAAATAGATGTGTATTATAGATATGCAATTTACTGTAGATCAAATTAATGTAAATATTAATTTATGGGAATTAATGAAATCAAAGAATAAACAACAGCCTAAACTTAGCGATGAAGTTTCAACAGAAGAAATAGCAGCAGATGCAATAGAGAAAGAAATGATGGCAAAACCCAACGATAACATACCACAACAACAACCTTTACCAGAAGGTAAATCCTCAACAAGGCCTAGTAGATCTGGTATTTGAACGAACAAAAAAAGAAAAGAAAAGAAAAAAAAAAGTAAAAAAAAAAAAAGTAAAAAATGAACAAAAAAAAAAAAAAAAGAACTACCCTCCATTTAACACACACACACACACACACACACACATTTGTATAATTTGTAATTCCACCTTTTTATGTATTATATTTTCTTACACACACGTTTTTTTTTTCAGGGGTTTTTTTTTCGGTTTTTTTTTCGGTTTTATTTTTTATTTTTTTTATTTTTTTAATATTCTTTGCGAAAAATATTAAAAAAAAAAAACCGAAAAAAAAAGAATCCTAAATTTATATATGTATAATAGTCATCCTTTTCTTGCGTTTAATAATAAAGTTTTGCGCATGAAAGTTTATATTAAAAAAAATAACCGATTATTATGTAACAATAATAAAACCTTTTTTTTTCCCCTCATCATTGTAACCAATATTACAATTTAGGAAATATCCTATGTAACAATATAGAGGGTATATTCCATTATACCTAATATAATTACGGAATTATAGAATCGATAATTACACTTGATTTGTTAAAGAATAAAAACGTGTCCCCCCCTTTTTTTTTCTTCTTCTTCTCTTTGCTTTTCTTTTCTTTTTTTTCTTGTAATATAAAATGATAGAATACGAGCGAATTGAATTTAAACAATTAAAAGAATCTCCTTTAGGAGAGTGTATTGGTATGTTAATAGTCAAGTGCAAACATATATATATATATGTATATATAATGGTTATTATTATTATTATAGATCTTGCTTCTTCTGCTCTCGGCTCTACTATTGTTGCCGTTACTGATGAATTCTTTGCTCCTGCTATAAATATGATTAATCCTCTTCCTCCAATTCATGCTCCTGGTAAATTTGTTGGTAAAGTATAGCCTATACATATATATATATATCTGTATTAGATAAAACAAACTAAAATCCTTTTTTTTTATTGATTTATTTATTAAGAAACAGGTGCATGGATGGATGGCTGGGAAACTAGACGCCATAACCCTAATCATGACTGGTAAAAACAAAGGAATATATACATGTGTATATATATATACATATATGTATGTGTGTGTGTGCGTGTGTGTGTGTGTGTGTGTGTGTGTTTGGAAGTATTATCGAAAAGAATAAAAAAAAATTTTTTTTTGATATATTAATGAAGGGCAATTATCAAACTTGGATTTCCAGGCTCTTTTAGGGGATTCGATATTGATACAAGCTATTTTACAGGCAATCAAGCACCTTTTGTATCTGTAGAAGGTACTGTTATCTCAAATAATGATAAGAAGGAGATACAAGCAATAACAGAAATTCAATGGACGGAGATTTTACCAAAAGTTGAATTACTTGCATCTCAACATAACCTTTTTATCTTAAAAAAGGAATCTACTGTCTATACTCACCTTCGTCTTCATAATATTCCAGATGGTGGTATTGCTCGTTTCCGTGCTTATGGTTTTATCTTTCCTATTTGGCCCAAGGATATAAAGTATATAGATACAAATATATGCATATATGATATAGAATTTTTTTTTCCTTTTTTTTTTAAAAAAAAGAAAAAAAAAAACTGATATACACATTTATTTATATTTAGTGCAGTGATTGACCTTGCTTTCTGTGGTAATGGAGGTCGTGTAGTTAAAGTGTCGGATCAACATTATACGCCAGGTTCAAATATATTGCTACCAGGTCGCGGTAAAAATATGGGTGACGGATGGGAGACAAAACGTTCACGTACGCCAGATCATACGGATTATGCCATCGTTCGATTGGGTTCTAAGGGTCACTTATTAAAAGCAGTGGTCGATACTTTACATTTTTGTGGTAATTACCCTAATAAAATTAGCCTGAAAGTCATTCTATCAGAGCATGATAAAGTGCCTCCTCATAAAGACGATGATCATACTGAATGGACTACATTGATCGAGTCTGCTTCAATTGGGCCTAACGGCTTATTTTCTTTTGATCTTCCTCAAGCTAATAAAACGTTTAGTCATGCAAAAATCATTCTTATTCCTGATGGTGGAATTAAGCGTCTTCGTCTTTATGGTGTACGTGAAGGTGCTCTCATTCCTTCTCTTCTTCCTATTGATAATTTAATTATTCAATAATGAAGGCATATACATATATATTCTTCACTGTGCATACAATAATAAATAATTTAGCTTTATTGCCTTTTTTTTTCCCTATTTTACACAATATTATAATATCTCATTAAAAGTGTAGATATAACACAAAATATAAGAATAGTAGTTATGATTCCACCAAACCATGTTAAATCTTCTTGATATTGACCAGGCACTTGAACATTCATACCCCATGCACCAGTCACAAGGTTCATTGGCACTAAAATACTACCTAAAGCTGTCAACTTTGACAAGACGTCGTTAATTTCATTATTAGTTTGTGTCATTTCAATGGATATTTGTGCCAAGTAATTTGAATGAGATCTTGAGGATATTTTTTCATAATGGTTAAGTGATTGAGTCATTGATATAATATGATCTATAATTATAATTAAAAAAAAATTATTATTAAGCAGTTTTTTTTTTATTATTATTATTTGACAATAGACTCTTCATCATTTACCTTGAACATCTCCAAGATATAAAGCAACTTCTTTACTCAACGCCGGTCGATTAGTACCATCTTCTGGACTTATCTCACCTCTTTTGACTAATGTCTTTATGACATCTGTTTTTGGACTTAACAATCTTAACAATCCCATCATACGTTTTCTACAATAACCAATACGTCGTAACATATCAGATTGTTCCGATTCCTTTAGTATCAATACAAGCTCATCAATTGAATCTACTTCAAATTCAATAGCACGAATTAAAGGCGCAAAAGAGTCCGTTATATCATCTAATAATCCATAACAAATCCAGTCTATTACAGAAAGGAATTTATGATGAGCATAACAAGATATATGCATCTACTTTATCTTTACCTGGCGTTACATTGATATAATCTTTTAATTGTTTAATTCTTTTTCTTACATTATGTGGATGTGACATTGGTTTAAAATGAAACTAGACACCAAAATGAAAATAAAATAAATAAATATGTGTATGTGTATGCATACTTTATCTATCAAACTTAATACATATAGATTCTATTTACTACTTACTGTTAAGACACCTTCTCTAAGGATAATTATATAAAGTGCAGAGGGCTGCAAATATGTTGATGAAAACTCATCTTGATCAAAACTTCTAAAACAAATAAAGTAATAGTTTATAAAAACTTCACATTTCTCTCTTTGTTCTTCCATACTAATATCTTCTACTGTTAATGGGTGAATACGAAATGCTTTACATAAAGCCTTCATTTCAATATCTGTAGGATTTAAAATATCAATCCAAAAGCAGCCCTTCTTTAACATATCTGATAAAGTTTCATTATCACTATTTCCTGGGATTTCACTTACTGAACGTGTATGAATCGTACTTGGTTCAGCAGATGAATAATAAGTGATTCTATACATATCTGTTTCACTTTTATCAGCAGCATTCATAATTCGATCGCCATATAGACTATATCGTCTGGTTTCAGAAGAATCTCTCATAGTCGACAGACGTCTTCGTCGGTGTTTATCACTCTTTTTTTGTTCAGCTAATTCCTTTTTTTCTTCCATAATAAATTCTTCTAGGGAATCATAATCGATACCTCCCTCTTCTTTCTTGTTGGGTGTTGGGAAACAAACATCCACTTCAACTGGACTCAAACGTGAATTACTCGAGGTTTCAATATCAGAATGATAACAGTTGGGTGGTGTACTTGTGTTTGGATTCATGTTGATCAACACATCTTGATCTTCTATTGGCTGTGGTGAGCGTGAAAGTACAGGTGAATCTCTATCATAATCCTATCATAGATGAAAAAATAATAATCAAGTTTAAAATTATAAAGCTCATTTTGTGCACATGTGTGTGCATGTGTGTGTGTTCGGGGGGGGGCTTTTTTTTTTCTTTCTTTTTTAAAACAACTTACATCATTAGGAATGGCTTGATACTTTACTGAATTAGAACCACTAAAAAGCATATTTAAAGGTTGAAATGATGAATTAGAATCATTATAACTTCTTTGCTGTTGTTGTTGTTGTCTACGTAATTGCTGATTTTTTACTGTTTGCCGCTTTTTTGATTTAGTCATTTCTTGTTAATAATCTATATTTTTTAAGAGAGAGAGAAAAAAAAATAAGAAAAAAAAAATAATGAATATTAATTTATGCCTTTTTTTTTTTTTTTTTTTTTTTTTTTTTCATTACTCCTTTTTCTTTTTCTAATTTTACATATTAAGCATGTTTATTCTTCTTTTAAACAGTTCTTACTAACTCAATATGTATCGAGACTTTATTTCATCCTTTATTATTTTATTTCGAATAATTGACTATAGTTTTATCATTGTCATGCAATATAAAAATCGATTGATAGAAAATTGTAACACTAATGATAATTATGATATCATTTAATATTACTACAAAAAAAAAATGTATGTACTGTTTCGACTTTATAATTATCCCCAACTTCACTATGTTATATTCTAATTTTGCATTTGTAATAACTCTCTTTACTGAATATTTCAAATAAATATCATTTTTTTTTTATATATATATTCATGTATATCTGATTGTTACTGTTTTTACACTTAATTTTTTTTTTTTTTTTTTTTTTTTTTTTTTTTTATTATTATTATTATTATTATTATTATTATTATTATTCAAATGTCAAATGTACCAAGCATCAGAAAATTAGACCAAGCTGTTGTTAACAGAATTGCAGCAGGAGAAGTAAATAAAGTGAATAGCCATTTCTATTTTATGTTTATTCATTGTATTCTATTTAGGTCATTCAACGTCCTGCTAATGCTTTAAAAGAGCTCATTGAAAACTCACTTGATGCAGGATCAACACAGATCCAGATATTGATCAAAGATGGAGGTTTAAAATTATTACAAATACAGGACAATGGACATGGCATCAGAGTAAATAAAATGCATTTATATACATACACATGTGTAGATCCATGTACATGTGGATTTACTTTTTTTTTTTTTTTTTTTTTTTTTTTTTTTTAATTGATCAAGCTATGTATGCTCATTTTTCTTTTTCTTTTTTTTTCCCCTCCCTCCCCCCTTTCTATTATAATTAGAAAGAAGATATGGCTATTGTATGTGAACGTTTTACGACTAGTAAACTTAATTGTTTTGAAGATCTAACTTCCATTTCAACTCATGGGTTTCGAGGAGAAGCTTTAGCAAGCATCTCTCATGTAGCTCATGTGACGATCACTACGAAAACAGCAGACTCACCTTGTGCTTATCGTGCACATTATACAGATGGACACCTAGTATCTCCCAAGGTAGGTCAATCAGCAGATCCAAAACCATGTGCAGGCAATAATGGTACGCAAATTACAGCGGAGGATCTGTTTTATAATGTACCTACAAGACGAAAGGCATTGAAATCGATCAGTGACGAATACAATCGTATCTTGGATATTGTAAGTCGATACGCGATTCATAACTCTGGAGTTAGTTTCAGTTGTCGAAAACAAGGAGCGACAATAGCAGATATACAGACTTCAAATGGTTCAACCATTATAGACAATATACGACAGTTGCATGGCTCTGTTGCATCCGAGTTATTACATGTAGCAAAGTCTGTAGATGAATTGAATTTCAAGTTGGAAGGATATATTTCAAATGCGAATTATAATACGAAACGAATGACTTTATTATTATTTATTAATCGTAAGTTTGATAATGTGAGTGAGTGAGTGTGAGTGTGAGTGTGAGTGTGAGTGTGAGTGTGAGTGTGAGTGTGAGTGTGAGTGTGAGTGTGAGTGTGAGTGTGAGTGTGAGTGTGAGTGTGAGTGTGAGTGTGAGTGTGAGTGTGAGTGTGAGTGTGAGTGTGAGTGTGAGTGTGAGTGTGAGTGTGAGTGTGAGTGTGAGTGTGAGTGTGAGTGTGAGTGTGAGTGTGTGAGTGTATGTATGTGTATGTGTGTATGTGTATGTGTGTATATGTGTGTATATGTATGTGTATGTGTGTATATGTGTGTATATGTATGTGTATGTGTATGTGTATGTGTATGTGTATGTGTGTGTATGTGTGTGTATGTATTTATTTATTAAATTAAACCCATTTATGTAATAATAGATCGAGCAGTTGAAAGTTCATCTATTAAAAGAGCTATTGATGCTATCTATGCTTTACTATTACCTAAAGGTTCACATCCATTTATTTATCTTAGCCTTGAAATTGATCCTAAAAATGTGGATGTGAATGTCCATCCAACTAAAAAAGAAGTTCATTTTTTAAACGAGGATAAAATTATCGATGCTATAAGTCATGTATTTCAAGAAACTTTAGAAAATGCAAATAATTCGAGAACTTTCTATACACAATCTTTATTACCTGGTGCTTTAGATCCCACTTTACAACAACAAAATGAATCAGAAGAAGGTATTATTTATGATTGTAATACATATAAAGAAAAGAAAAACTCACATCTAGACAAGATACAATAGTGCCTACAAATAATAATACGCCAGAATATAAATATGTTAGAACAGATAGTAAAATAACTACTTTGGATACATTTGTACATAAACGGGGTACTACTACTCTAGGACATGATGAAACACATGTTGAAGTTATTCATAAAGCTAGAGTGGAAGTACGTTTAACGAGTGTATTACAATTACGTAAAGAGATCAAAAAGCAAGAAAATATAGGTAATCTTTATAACAATAACAACAAAAGTGTACTCTATTTTATATAAATATTTTTTTTTAAAAAAATATATATATATATATGTATATGATAGGTTTAACACATATATTTTCAAGACATACCTTTATTGGCTGTGTAGATGATAGATTAGCACTCGTTCAACATGAACAAAATATTTATCTCATTGATTACAATGCGGCAAGGTAAGGTATACACATATATAAAGAGAATTACCCGAGTAAACCTCTCCCTTTTATTTATTTAGCGAAGAACTATTCTATCAAATTGTATTAAATGAATTTTGTAATATGGGTGAATTAAAGTTAGCGACACCTATTTCAATAAGAGAATGCTTAAGAATTGCAATTGATATAGAAGAAAAGAATGGTACTTTACCAGAAAACTTGATAAGTAAAGATGATATTGTAAAAGTAAGTTTAATTAAACTTAAGGGGGAAGCGTCTTGTATTGATATTAAAAAAAAAAAATTATAAAGTCCATTACAGATACTTTGGTTTCACGTGCAGAAATGTTAAAAGAATACTTTTCAATGGAGATATCTAATGAAGGAAACTTGATTGGATTACCGATGCTTATCAAAGATTATGTTCCTTGTATGGACAAACTTCCTTTGTTCTTATTAAGATTAGGTACAGAAGTCAATTGGGAATCTGAAAAGGAATGCTTTGATACATTCTCAAGGGAATTAGCTTTGTTCTATAGCGCTGAAGCACCATGTAATAGCAACGAACACGAAGACTATTTATGGAAAGTACAACATTTTATTTTCCCAGCTTTTAAAACTCATTTTGTAGCTCCAATGGGACTAAAAGACTATGTAACTGCATTAGCGAATTTAACTGATTTATATAAAATTTTTGAAAGATGTTAATAAAAAAAAAAAATTATTTTTTATTTCATTTCTACTAAGCACCAAGCTCATTAGGAATATCTTCCTTTTTCATTGTTTCGATATCTTTTAATGCATCAGCAATAATCTTAACGCCTTCCATTAATTCAGCTTCAGTAATACAAAGTGGAGGAGCTAAACGAATGATGTTAACATGAGTAGGCTTAGCTAATAAACCACGTTCTTTAAGTAATAAACAAAGTTCCCAAGCTGTTCTTTCTGATTTGGAATCATCAATTACAATTGCATTTAATAATCCACGACCACGAACTAAAATAAACATAGATTATGAATTTCCTTTTAAAAGTAAATAAATATGTATATGCATGCATGCATGCTTACCTGTCTTTAATAATGGTGATTTAATCTTCTTGAGCTCTTCTCTAAAGATGTGTCCTAATCTTTCTGAATTTTCTACCAAGTTTTCTTCTTTAATAACAGTTAAAGCTGCAATAGAAACAGCACAACCAAGTGGATTACCACCATAAGTAGAACCATGTTCACCAGGTTTGATACATAACATGATATCACGATCTGCTAGTACAGCAGACACAGGATAAACACCTCCTGAAAGTGCCTTACCAAGAAGGACGATATCTGGACGTACACGATCATGATCAACACAGAGCATTTTACCTGTACGGCCAAGACCAGTCTGAATCTCATCAGCAATGAATAAAACATTATGTTTCTTACATAATTCATAAGCTTTCTTTAAATAGCCATCATCCGGCACCATAATACTATATATGGATATGTATATATATATATATATCAATATATCAATATACTAAAAAAAAAAAAATTGTGCACACTTACCCTGCTTCACCCTGAATAGGCTCAACTAAAAAGGCAGCAACATGGTCTCCTACCTTATTCAATACTTTCTCAAGATCATCTATATTATTATAACGAATTGTAGTGTCTTCAATAACAGGACCCACTAAAGGTAAATAAGGTCCAAAGCCACCATAAGATTCAGGGTCTGTACTCATCGAGATAACACCCACAGTACGACCATGAAAGTTATTCTCACAACTCAAGACAATCGCTTTATTCTCAGGGATACCCTTCTTTTCATAACCCCATTTACGTGCCAACTTGATGGCCGTTTCAACCGCTTCAGCACCTGTATTCATGGGCAACACCATATCATAGCCAAAGGAGTCATGCATGTATTTAGCATAGGTACCAAAGATGTCATTATAAAAGGCGCGAGAAGATAAAGTCAACTTGGAAGCTTGATCGCAGAGAGCTTGAATGATTTTAGGATGACAATGGCCTTGATTTACAGCAGAATAAGCAGATAAGAAATCCATGTATTTCTTTCCCTCTGGATCCCATACCCAAATACCCTTTGCTTTAGAGAAAACAACAGGAAGAGGATGATAACTATGAAGAAGATCAGTATATTCATTATGCCGTTTATTTATTAAAAAAAAACCCCCCCCGTTTATTGTTATTTTACTTGTGTGCACTATAATTGCTTTCTAATTCGACAACTTCTTTACTAGAGATCTTGGCCATTTTTCTTTTGTTTTTTCTTTGAAAAAAAAAATAAAAAAAAAAAAGGAAAAAAAAGGATGGTTTCTTAATTTTCTTTATTTCATATATACAATAACCTTTTTTTTTTTTTTCTTTTCTTTTCTTTTCTTTAAAAAAAAATAATAATAACAACAATAACAAGTCACATGATTCAGAATGCTTAATTGAGTAATAATTAGAACTCTTTCCCACGATTCAAGTCTAAAAAAAATAAAAATGATATAAAGTTGGGTCAATTAGTGTCATGTGGCAAACATATTATACTTTATTCTGCATTGTAATATTATGTAATACATAGCGTTTACTAATTAAATGTAACAATCCACCTATGAAATCATTTACCAAAAACAAGTCATCAAAAATTAATTTCCGTATTTGGACAACGGGAAATATTAAAATTATTGACAAGTTTTGTTTGTTATTTATTTATTTACTTGCTTGTAGCGTTGTACAATCACTGAATGATGTATTCTAAAGAAAGCTGTTTATTTCCACTCTATTGAGTAAAGTAACCACGTACTAGACTTCCTCTTCTTTTATCCATCTAATCTAATCTTCTTCTCGGTTATTATAATGATTTACTTTTCTTTATCTCAGATCTATGTTTCAAGACGTAGCTATTTTATTATATGAATTATTCAATCTCCTTGATTGACATTTATTAAAACTATTCAAAAAATAGTCACTCTTGTATTGTGCAGTCTACTTGGTGTAGTTATCATCTAAAGAGCTGTTATAAAAGAATATTAAAAGCTTCTAGAATTCATCATTTTACATGATTCTACGATTGATAGTCCTTTCACTATTCTATTTTTTTTTGTTGTAAAAGACAAAGCAGATCAAAAAAAAAAAAAAAAAAAAAATGGTAAAGTTAGAGCTTATTTCATATCATGGCGGTAATTCTAATTAAAAGAATCACTTATTTTCTGAATCTTTGATAATTAAAATATCAGCGTCTTTTTTCTTTTTTCTTTTTTGAAGTCTAGGAAATCCCTTAACGTGTTAAGCTGATTTTGGTCATCAGAAAACTCTTTTTAATATTTTCTTTCAGCTGACGAACAATAAACGAGCATTATCCAGCTAGAAGTGTCTCTTTTGTAGTAGGTAATTTTTTTTTAATTTAAAATAAAGTAGAACGCTTTAGTAAAATGTTGCATTTCCCTCCAGAGATACTCCCAAAGTAATTCATCTAGTAGGAAAGAAGATAATTGTTGTTAGACACATAACTAAAATATAAAGTATGCAAATTTATCATCCTATTTTCCGTTTTGCCATTTGCTGAGAATTAAAAATGAATTCATATGATTTTGAATTGATTTATTGATTGAAACAATATAGAACTTTTTTTTTTTTTTTTTTTCTATTCTTTATCTTTTTTAATATTATTATTATTATAGAATGGTATGACACGGTGTCAATAAAAAAAAAAGGAGGAGGGGTGGGAAGGAGAAGAGAGTAGGTATAAATGACAATCATTAATGAATGTATTACATAGGCTGATCAACTTACACCAGAAGAAATTGCTGAATACAAAGAAGCTTTTCAGTTGTTTGATACTGATGGTGATGGTAGCATCACAGCTGTAGAATTAGGTACTGTTCTTCGAAAATTTGGTATGAACCCTAGTGATGCTGAACTCCAAGATATGGTAATTAATGATATACCATTAAAACTTAATAAGGAACAAAGGGATTTACCTTTTTTTTTTCTTTCTTCTCGAGATTTATAGGTTAACGATGTTGATGCTGATGGCAACGGAAACATTGACTTTAATGAATTCTTGGGTCTTGTTAAAAATATGAAAACTGGAAATGAAGGCGATGATTTAAAAGAAGCATTCAAGTAAGTTTTTTTCTTTTTTTTGTTTTTTTTTTGTTTTTTTTTTTTAAAAAAAAAAGTGAACATGGATTGATTATTTATATAAATAATAAAAAGAGTTTTTGACGTTGATGGTAACGGTTTAATTGACCGTGAAGAATTACGTAAAGTTATGGCTTCTTTAAATGAAAAATTATCTGAAGAAGAATTAGATGCAATGATCAAAGAAGCTGATATTAACGGTGATGGTCAAATTAGTTTTGAAGAATTCAAGATTATGATGGGCGCTTAAAAAAAAAACTATATTTTTTTTAAAAGAAAAAAAAAATATATATATACACACATGCATATACATTTACTTTTTCTTTTTGTTTTGTTTGTAACATGTGTATAATATAAAATATCCCTTTTCTTTATTTTTATTTATAATATTCTTGGTGAACCTAAGCCATTTTCTAAGCAAGGGTTATATATAAACTAGACTCATTAGAAAACTTTTCTTTCATAATCAGTAAATGGATACAAATTTGATTTTAAACTCAGATACTGTGTTGATTAAATTGGAAATTTTGTCAAGTCATACAAAAGATCATGGATGTACTCATTATTATGCAAGAAATGGTGTTGGTGGTTATATTTTATTTAAATAAGAATTTATTAAAAATAAAAAAAAAAAAAGTTCTTTATTTGAAAACTATTTAGACAGAAGCCAAAATAGGGGGTTCAACGAACTCCTTGGTGGCCTTGGAGCCAACATCTTCACCAGCAGCAGCAGCACCACCGTGAAGAGCCAAGAGAGCAGAGACATCGAACTTGGGTGCCTTAAGGATCTTGACCTTACGGATGTAGGTGTTTTGAAGAGGATAGATACCTTGGCAAGCCTTCTCGATACGGACAGCAATAGCATCTTGAGCGGATTGAGAAGCAGAAGAAGTCACCTTAGTAACAAGTTCCTTGAGGTCACAAGCAGTGGCTTCTTCAGTCATGATCTCAAACATCTTCTTACGGATTTGACGGATTTGAGAAGATTGAGCATAGGTGGTCTTCTTGATTTGGTTACGACGACGAGCAGTGAAAGAGATGGCAAAGAGACGAACGAGGTAACCATCAGTGGTCTTGATGTCAACGAAAGCCTCAATAAGGGTTTGCCATTTCTTGACCATAGAACGAAGCTTATCGGTTGTCATATCCATACGGTAGAAGTTGGTGAGACAGTTCTTACCTTGGATTTCATCAACCTTCAATTGGATCTTACGGAAGGCACGAGATTCGTCCTTGGAGAGATCACCAAGAGACATTTCAACAACACGACCTTGAAGAGAGTCGTTGGCGTTACGGAGACCTTGAGTACGGTTGACAAGAGTCTTACCGACTTGACGGACATCGAACATAGAAGGAGCTTTGATATCATACCAGTCTTTACGGGTGAAGGGGTCAACACTATAAAATAAATAATTAATCAACTACGGCTGATGTTATTTTTTTTTTTAGATGATGAGAAATGTCATGAACTAGAAGAATGTATTGCTGAAAATTAAAGTTGATGGATTGGATCAAATCAGCTAAAAGAAGAAAAAAAAAAAACTAAAGTCTACATGTTGTACACTTTATAATTAATATACTCCATATGTTGATAAATAGTCGTTTCTCGAACCAGCAAAATCAATTAAGCCCGTGTTGAATATATGAATGTACATATATGTATATACTTTAACATTGACATTTCTCATCTTCTAAATTATGAAATCGTTACTTACACCTTCTTCTTCAAACCCTTCTTTCCTTTGCTAAGGCGCTTATTCTTGCCAACAGCTAAAATCAAACATAGGTTAATATCCCTTATTGATGGATGGATGCTTGATACATACCCATATTGTCAATTCAAAAAAGAGGGATTGATAGGTTCAGCGACCTGTCAATCTATTTCCCCTCGCTTCGAGTTAGTGCACTTTTTTTTTTTTTTTTTTTTTTTTTTTACCACTCACTTTACCCTTCTAAGTAAGGGTCCGGCCCGGAAATTTTTTATCCTTCTTCTCCAGTATTGCAGCATATACTATTTTTTTTTTGTTAAAACTAAAATCATTACAAAGATTAAAGGTTTTTCCCCCCTTTTTTTTCTCTAATAATTATCTAAAATGGTAAATAAATAAAAGGGCATCCATCCATCCATCAAAGGAAAGGCATCTGACATAAAAAAAAAACATTTGATGTAGGGTAAAGTTCACGGTTCCCTTGCTCGTGCCGGTAAGGTCAAGTCTCAAACCCCTAAGGTTGCTAAGCAAGAAAAGAAGAAGGCCAAGACTGGTCGTGCTAAGAAGAGACAAGTTTACAAGTATGAATTGATCAACTTAATTTCCAATGTTTTCCTTTTTTTTTATTAACATTATGTTTTTTTTTCTTTTGTAGCCGTCGTTTCGTCAACGTCACCACTCAAGTTGGTGGTAAGCGTAGAATGAACCCTGCTCCTACTGCTGGTCCTTAAGCAACATCAACTAACAATAACAATAACAACAACACCATGATTACAACTTGATGTTTTTATAACTTTGTTTTGTTTTCATTATTATGATTACTTGTAGAATGGATTAAAACAAAAAATAAATAATAATAATAATAAAAAAAAATAATAATTCAAAAAAGTTTGAATGGATTACGAGAGCAATGATTATCAAATGACATGGCATAAATGTACATGCTGGCAAGAGGAATCTAATTAAAAGGTAGAATAGGTCAGGTAGTCTAATTGAGTTGTTATAAGTTCAAGAATATAACAATTAGTGCTGTTGGGTATAGTCATTAGTTATTTTCTGCCTTGTTGTCGGCTCTATTATACTTTTTTCTTTTCTTTCTTTCTTTTTTGTTAAACATGTTTGATATATTGTTTAAAACCTAATGTTTGTTTAATAAAAAGATGAATTAAACTTCTCGTGTTTTACTACGTCATTATAACACATTTTTCTTATTTTATAAAAGTGTTGCAGTAGTTATAAGTTACACTAATAATAATGACATTTTTTTTTTTTTTTTTTTTTTTTTGGTCAACTCAGCTTATATAAATTCACTACTATGCAATGTTCCTCTTCTTGGAAATTCTAAATTAAATCATGGCTTGTGACTTTATTATTAGCCTTCATTTTTTATTTATGTAGGAAAAGAACTGTAAAAGAAGCTTTTGTTTATAAGAGTTTAATCAGGAAGATTGTGCAGCTATCAATTATTATGCTCTTTCACGTTAATCCTATTAAAAGCCTTTCCGGAATAATCGGCCCTATCATCCCTACACTTTTGACCATTCTCTTTTGATTATTTGATCATCTTAAGGAGTGAACAGAATCAAGGAGTTTGTTGAATATCCTTTATGCTAAACGGTTGAGCAACTTAATATTTGGATTTATCTATATTAGGCTTTTTTTTTTTAACAAAAAAAAAATCATAGTTAAATGCTTAAATAATACTATAAACATACTATTTTGATTTACGTTGTATCAAGTTTATGATTGTTTCTTACATTATCATTGAGAGTCTTTATATATTAATTTAGTAGTAGAATATACATGTATGTATATAGCCTAAATTGTCCTCTAGCATAAAAAAGAATTTTATAAAAATAGTAGTTATGAAATATGAATGAGATCATTTAATAAATATGATAATGGCTATAATTTATGCTTTTATATGTATATAGATGTATATAGAAAGTGTCTTTTTTTGGGGGGCCAATAGTATGAAAGACGAAGACTACAGTATGTATTCAAACATTGTTTGCTGGTCTTGATTTATAATGAATAAGCTTAAAGAAAGCATGAGCTGATTGTAATGAATCTTTATGAAAACAATTGTATACAAGTAAGCAGACTTTATTTTTTTTGTTTCTTTTTAAGTTAATTAATCAGATATGTCAAACTACCAGGATATTATTTACTTCCGGAATAAAGATTAATTAGTGTCTTTATATAATTACAGCGCAGTAATGGGATATACATCTATGTTCATTTCTCTTCTAATATTAAACTATTTGTATACATGTAAAAATAAGTAAGCATATAGACTATCTGCATGTTATAAATACCTTACATAATCATAATATCTCCATTTAGCTTTTACACACCATTGAATATCACTAAACTTGTTTTTACTCCAAGGTGCAAATCATTATTAGAACTCCGTCACCCCGCCTTTAGAATTTCTGTACCCAATCAGCTTCTTAATGTCATACAATAATAAAATAAAATCAATCTAGTAATCACACTTTTCAAGATATATAAAGAAGTAAAAGTTTATCCATCCTATTTATATTTTTTTGTTAAAAAATAATAAGCAATATACATACATATATACATACAAATAGTTATATATATTCGTATACATATATATATGTATATATGTATTTATATGTTTATATAAGCATCTATTATTTTTATTAAAATAAAGTTAAACATGAAGAAAAAGAATTATTCTACAACTGAAGTTTACGGTATTTTTTTTTAAAAAAAAATCGAGATATGAACAAGATAATATTTGTTACAAATTAAATTTTTTTTTCTATAAGGTTTTATGTATGGTAAAGAACTGAATCTAATCTAAAAAAAAAAAAAAAAAAAAAAAAAAAAAAAAAGGTCTTTATAATTAAAACCCAGATTGTACCTGAAACATAGACCAACATCTGATAGGGTATAGTCAATAATAGCTTGTAAGTGCAGCAAGACAAAAAAAAAATGTATAAAATCTTAAAAAAAAAATATGCGTATACAAAAAAAAAATCTTTCTTTTTTCTTTCTTTTTATTTATCCCTTGTTATTTTACTTCATTATTATACCATTACTATGTTTCCCAATCCTATATTACAGCAAATATTTTCTTATCTTTCTTTACCAGATAGATTAAGAGTCTCTAGGTATTATTTAATTATACATAATAAATAGTTTTTTTTTTGATTTCCTTATGTTAATGTTAGAGTATCTCGTAAATGGTATTATAATTGTAAGGATCCTTATTTATATCAAGATATCGAATTTAAAGGACTAGAATTCAATGTTTTATTAAGAGCAATGGAAAGTATTGTTTCAATTAGTCCCCGCATTAAAAGTATTACAATTGATGGATGTTATTCTGAATTTATTCAAAATACAGTTGTACCTGTTCAATTCTCTAATCAACCATCACATAATTATCGACCTTTATTATTTTCTCATATTCGTACTTTACAACCTACTCGTCGACTTCAAGAATATCGTAAATTTGGCTTTGAACTTCATAATTATTTTTCTAATCTATTTTTACATATGCTTGAACTGAATCGGTCTACAATACATACTATCAAGATTCTTAACTGTGATTTGGACTTTGAAATGACTCATTTATTTCAAGCCATCATCTGGAATGCTTATTCGCTTGACACTTTTTATTATATGAATAATGGTGATAAAGGTCTTGATTCATCTCATCTATTGCAAGCCATTATTTCAAATTGTCCTAATATGCGTCATTTTCTTGGGTTTCATGCGGGTATGAATGATGATGTTATCAACATGATGGCTCATCACTGGCCTAAGCTTGAATCTTTAACATTATATAGTATCAAATCTCGAGATGTATTCGAAATAACAGACCTTATTAGTGAAGATGGTCATGAACTTCGAGGTGCTTCCCCTACCGGTACTATCTCTAATCGTGCCTTTTGGGAACTTCTCTGCAAGTGCAAACATCTTAAGAAATTAGAGGTTTATGATTTAGCTTGTGTTACTAATCGTGATTTAGCTCTTTATAATTCCCTCAAGGATACCCTTAAAGAAGAACAAAAAATGAAGATGATTGCACCACGATCTACAATGAGGAAAGAGAATCGTTATCGATTCAAGCCTTACTATAAAAAGGTCTTCTTATCTTCTTCTTCTCCACGTTCGAATTTAATAAATACCTTACCTGGCTCCTCTCTTCAACATCTCTGTATTACCAAATATGTGACTACACCATTATCTATCCCCGGCTTTTATGATCTTTTGAAGCTATTCCCAAATCTTAAAAGACTTGAATATGCTACAAACTTTCATACATTTAATAACCAATTTGAAGGTGTAACGCCTGACATGTTTGAAGCTGAATGTATGGCCGTAGCTAGTTTTATGGAAACACAAAAGAACTTGGTTTATGATGGGCAATGGAATAAGCCAATTACAACTGAACAACGGCTTATGGCAGGTATGACTACAAGGTCATATCATTAATCACTTCTTTCGTATACCCACTCCCCTTTCCTATTATTGCCCATTGAATTATTTCCCTTTATCCATAATATAATACCATATATGTAATATATAAATATGTGTATGTATATGTATATGTATATGTATATATATAAAAGTAATAAAATAGCTTGTTATTGTTGTTACCAATAATATAATTAAAACCCTATTCATTATAAAGTTAATGTACAACAAAACACAAACAAACACGAAAGAAAGAAAGAGAGGGTCCGTGTTTAGTTTGTCATTGAAAAAGAAAGAAAGATAAAAAAAGTCCATCTATATACACTACTGAAATAATTTCTTTTTCTTTTAACCTATATATAACACTATATGTATAAATAGGTTCATCTTCGTTTGAATGCCTTATATTTATTTATACACTTTAACAGTCATGATTTATCAAGTCGATCGATATAAACATATAAATATGTATACATATGTGATTATAATATGATTCACATGTTAAACATAATATGTGTACTACCTTTTTCAACAAATAAAGAATATTCATAAGCCGAAATTTCTTTATTTATAAAGTATTTTATTCTTTTTATTTTTTTATTCTTTTTTTCTTTTTTATACATAAATTACAAGCGATACGATTATTCAACTCTTTAAACGAATTACAATTTATTTATAAAATAAAAATAAAACAAAAACAAAACAAAATCATCATAAAAAAAAAAGCAAAGGATAAAAAGGAGCTTCAGATTCTAAACATAAAAATAATATAAAGTACACTTTCCTCTTTATTTTCTCTTTCCTTCCTCCCCCATTCCACTCATTTATTATGAACAATTATAGTACTATGCTTCATCATACTTTATTTATGACTCCAAAAGACGAAAAGGTATAATAATAAATAATAATAATTGTAATTATAAAAACGTGGCGTGTTGTAACAATATATTTTCCTTTTTTTTTTTTGGGTTGTACGACTATAGCAAGAAATCATTGAAATTACTCAAAATCTTGCACCTGAACAATTTCAATACGAATTCCCTCCTCGTTCATTAACGATTCAAGTGAATGAGATAAAAGAAAAGGATTTTAGTTTCTTTGATGAATTTTCTTTTACTTCGAATTCAACCGAGGATTTACTTGACCACTATCTTGATTCTATATCATCAGCCCCTTCTACGACGATTGAAGATAGAATTGATTGGGATAATTCTTCCTTTGTATTTCCTGATTATACTACTGAAAAGGGTAAATATAGAATATAGACTATAAATATACTTATGAATTAGTGCATTTAATAAAATCATAGTTTGTCCTAGTTTACATCCTTATCAACATGATGATGATACTGCTTTATCTTCGAGAATGGTGGTTATGAAAATCAGTCGTCATATGCAACCAACTATTGTCATGGCTACAGAAGAGGATAATGACGGTCCACTCCTAGAACTTCCTCTCGAATCTACTTCTGTCTTCTTATCTACCAATGAGCAACCTACTACTACTACTACTACGTTTAATCATCGAATTCACAATCTTGAAAGACAACTTGAACATGAGAAAGCCATGCGCATTGCCTTTGAAAAGACAATGGAAGAAATGACGGTGCTTATGGATCATCAACATCAAGTCTTAAACCAACGTCTTCAACAAGAAGTGGATATACGACAAAGTTATGAAAAAAAGATGGAGCATTTAATGGATCAGCTTAATCGTGAATCAGAGGCAGTAACATATCTTGTAGACCAATTAAAAGAAGAAGCTGAGCAGCGAAAGGTATTGCAAGTTCAATTAAAGGATACGATTCAGGAAATCGCTACTTTAAAAAAAAGGACAAACACCAATTCACAACAACGCATTCGTTCAGTGACAAAAAATGCAGCTGTCAAAAGGATACCGCCAACATCGACTGTTGTGAAATCCACTTCTCCTGTTGCTACTGCTACTGCTACTGCTACTGCTACTGCTACTACTCTGTCTAGACTTTCTCGTGTTACAGCTGGAAGAACAACAACAGCAACAACAACAACAAAAAAAAAACTAAACCAAACTAAACTAAACTAAACTAAACTATAATATATAATTTTTTATTATTAGATATAACCTTCCTTCTTTTCTTTTTTTTTTTTTAGATTAATATTATCCTATATTAATATTTAAATATGTATTTATAAATATACACTCGTACATAAAAATTCCTAATAAATAATTTACTGTATATTATTATTATGTCCTATCTTTAGTTAATTCACTAATAATAACCGTTGCTATAGATATAGATACACATATACATATATATGTCAGGATAGTTAATACACTATGCATTTATCCATTGACACATCAACATACCAGCTACAAATAATAACATAAGCATAGAGCCAAGTATAATTCGAAATTTCCATAATAAACCATGTTTCTTGACATCATCCTGTTTAGTGTTATTATGTTCTAAATCCATAATAGTATCTTCTCTGATGATGATCGCTTTCTTTTCCGTGGAAGATAGAGCATCCATCATTTGGAATAGAGCACGATCTGTTTCAATGACCGATTGTTTAGGTACACGGCTTCCATAATAAGGGATAGTATTGGTTGTAGCTGAAGAAGAGGGTTTTTTATTTTCGTCTGTTATATTTTTACTTTGTTGATTATTCATAATGAATTATAATAATAATAATAATAAAATAAAAATAAAAATAAATCAAAAATATGTATCTAACTTTTTTTTTTTTTTTTTTTTTTTTTTTTTTTTTTTTTTTTTTGAATAAATATACGATATCAGGTTCATTTTAAAATTGAATTTTCTTCCATGTCAACAATTTACAGTTACCACGAGGAAACCAAAAAAAAAAAAAGGTTACATCCATATTTGCCACGTTTACTTGTATTGTACTACTTACTTCTTTTCTCTTTGATTGTTTAGTAATATATTCAAGCCAATAAATCTCCAAAGAAAGAAAGAAAGAAAGAAAAAAAGAAAGAATAAAAGACAAGAATGGTTCTTCAATACCTATCGAGTATAATGCTTTTTTGAAGGGAGAGCTTTCATCTCATGCTCTTTCTTTTTATGTCTGTTAAAGATGCCATCAGTAATTATCTTAATGGCTTACAATAACGGTAAGTAAATTTGCATGCTTATGTATGCACATGGAAAAAAAAAACGACAAATAGCATATATGAATATACAAGATTTTTTTTTTCAGTTTTTCTCTTTTAAGCTTAGGTTTATAAGAAAAAAGAAATAGATATGCATAATTATCTATGATCGCTTTCTTTCCTTTTTATGCTAATAAGTAGTTTACCCCCAATTGTAGATTGAAGATGAATTGGAAGTTCTCAAAAATGTATATATGTATATGTATATAAAATGCTTCGTTTTATTTCTTTCATACATAATCAGTATCCTATGACAGTCCTCATGGTTAGTTTAATGATGATGTTATTGTTGTTGTTGTTGCTGCTGTTCTTCTTCTTCTTCTTCAGCAATATCATCTGCCTCAGCTTCTAATATCGTTTCATATCCATCTCTTGTTCGTTTCCATTTTTTAAAGACAATAAATCCACCTAGGAATAAAACAGCCAAGATTACAATCCAAATGACTGAAATAATCATGGCTGACCATAACCATGGTAATCCGAATAGGCCTCTTTCGACAGGGAATAAAACACTGTCAATTTCAAACACTGCACCCGCTGTTGTATTGCCTATATCCAGTACACGTGCATAACGACTATATGCCTCCCCTTTAGGACCCACTATCTTAATTCCAAACCCTAATTCTCGAATTACAATCTTATCATGTGTCAATGTCTTGTATTCATGACTATCCCGATCTGATGCTGTTAACGGTAGTACGTGCAGTTTAGCAAGTCGCTCGAGTCTTTTTGTATCATTCCAAATAGATTCCATATCCAACTCTTCAAAGGCCTTGTCAGTAGGTGCCAAGATGATACAATCTGAAACGTTTAAAAGGTTTGTATTCTTTAGGATATTAAGCATCGTATTTGCTCGAATACCACGTAATAAATTGCGATATGCTATATGAATATTATTTGGAATCTGTACATGATCTAACTTGTGTACAACACCGTTTGATACAATTAAATCTGATTTCTGAACACGTCCCTTTGTACCAATCCAAATGTCATTTCCTTGATTGTGAATAGTTAAAGATTGATTAGCAAGAGTCGTAACGTTAAATGTAAGCTGCCCTATCATATCTTGATAATAAAGAGGACGAGTAGCAAGATGATATCGAAGAATATGTCGAAGATCATCATGTCCTGTTGGATGAATAAGATAACGAGAGACAAGTCCAAGTGACTTGAAGGCTTCATTTGTAGGGGCAAATAAAGTCATTGCCTTTGTTTGCTTGATTTCCTCTACTGTTCCAGAAACATATAAAACGGATATAAATGTTGAAAGCTCAAGATCAAGAACGAGACTCGAAAAGATATCGGTTGGAAGTGAAAGGGGATCTGATATACGATAGATCATATTATCTACAATTGGTACTTCAATAGTAGAAGTTTCAATTAAAAAAAAAAAAAAAAAATGTCTGTATTTTGTATTATTTAATAGATCCTTACTATGATGCCCAATTACATTTGAATGATCTCCAAAACGAATAAAGGGACTTTGGCCGTTTTTATCAAGTCTAACTACTAATCTTTGTGATTCATTATTAAGTAAAGATGAATTAAATTCGGTTTTCAATAAAGTGCCATCTGTCAATTTTGAGGGTTCCCAACTACCCTGAAGAAGATGATAACTTAACCATTGTTTCTTTTGATTGTTTGGAATATCGTCTTCATCAATTACTTCATTCGTAGGAGCCAAAATTGTAATATTACTAGTTTGATTATTTAAAAAGTGGCTTAATCCAAATTTATCTATAAGAGAAACAAACTTTGTAGCATTAAGCCCAATAAGGTACTTTCTTGAATCAAATACAATAGAGTTAGGTCTAAAAGGTAAGTCATCCAAGACATGCACTACACCTGTATTAGCTTATTAATATCATTTTCTGAATAACGATAAAAACAAAAATAAATCTGTCATCATACCATTGGCTGCTAAAATATCCTTTTCAATTACTCTATGACCATTAACAGTAATTTGTCCATTTGTATTGACATGAACTTTAATATCGTCACCTGATTCAGCTGTATCTATTATCATATATATATTGAGAGAAAGAGAGAGAAGGAGGAAAGGGAAAACGTTATTAGAACTTCTTTTTTTTTTCATAATAAAAATAATCATTTAATAATTACATGTAATATCGCCCACTGTATGATTATATAGATAAATTGGTTTTGGAATGATAACATATTTAATGATCTGTTCTAAATCATGGATGCCATGCTTGGAAATCAGATATTTTTGTTCAATCTTTTTAAATTTATCTAACAAATACTTTGCAGATACAAATGCTGTAAAAGGTTGTTGATGTTCCAATAGTAAATCGATCTTACATTTCTTCATCAAGTCAAACAACTTGTAATCATGTTGCTGTATAACATGGGCTAATTAACAATCCAAATGTTACTCGTCCCATTTTTACTATAAAAATCTGAATTACTTTCCCCCACCCAAAAAAAAAAAAAAAAAAAAAAAAAAAAAAAAAAAAAAAAAAAAACAACAAACAAACAAACATATACTTACATAAAATTTTGGGTGATTCCAATACACCATCAATGACATGTAAGGTTGTATTTTTATTTACAAAAACATCTTTTTCTTTAATTCTTGCTTCATTCACATAATAGAAAGTTTGGAATGATTGAGTCACTTTGAGCATTTGACCTGTCTCTAGATAACCTTGTCGAACAAAGACTGATTCTAAAACTTGTCCATCTTTAAAAGAGGAGGTCGTATACGGTTGTGATAATAGATGATATAATAAACTATCTTTAGTCACATCGCCTTTGTATTTTGAAAAAGCTAAATTGTCAGGTGCAAAAAAGGTGCCTGCTTCTAAACTATTTATAAAGGGAATCAGTCGTGTACGTTGTAAATGACCAATGAGCATAGAGAATTTCGCATCTTCTGATAATACATCAATAATGGTCTTGTACGCAAAAGTAGATGAAATAATCAGTGATAATAAAAATATGATTTTCATTGGGAAAAAGATCAAAAAAAAAAATCATGTACTGCATAAATTTTGTAATTCTTTTTTTTTTTATTTTTTTTTTTAAAGAAAAGGTTGAGCACATGAATAAATAACTAATTGTCATCATGATATTTAACTTAAAAACAATGCCCGTCTGCGTATGTTTTTTATTTAATGAAATTTATTATACAAAAATTAAAAAAGCATTTTGTCAAATTTAAAGCTTATCATAGTACTTATCAAGACCAGGAATATCTTCAGTAAGACCCTTTCTCTTACGAACAGCACGAATGATATCGTAGACCTTGTTTCCGGGTTCCAATGGGTCACCGGACATAAGTTGCCAGTGATCGAAGACAGCTTGAGGGAAGGCTTGACCACCAGTGGCAGCACGAAGATCAGCGGTGAAACCGAAGGATTCGTTAACAGGCAAGTAAGCCTTGACGTTCATCATGGGGGTACCAGGCTTTTGTTCTTCAGAGAAGACTTGACCACGACGTCTGTTAAGACAAGAGTAGATACCACCAATAGCAGAGTCAGGACATTGGATTTCGACCAAGTAGACAGGTTCTTGAATACCAGGAGAGGCAGTCAAGACAGAGGCGTAGACGACACGACGACAGGTAGGAATGATTTGACCACCACCACGATGGATAGCATCAGCGTGAAGAGTGACATCAAGAATGTTGAAACGACAACCACGGAGGTTTTCATCAGCAATAGGACCTTCCTTAGTAGCCCATTGGAAGGCAGCAACACAAGAATCCTTGATTTCACCAAGGTATTGGACTTGCTTGGTAATATCAACCATGACGTTGGGACCAGTACCATCAGGACCGAAACACCAAATCTTACGAGCTTCAGAGACATCCCATTCGTACTTGTCGGCAAGAATACGAGCACGAGCCTTGAAATCGTCCTTGGCAGAAATCTTACCAGCTTCGATTTCATCAGCGAGTTCTTCGTTCAAGGGCAAAGCACGCATGTAGATACGGTTGTGCTTGTTAGGAGACTTGGAAAGACAGTCAATGCTGGATTCAGCAGTAACAGTTTCACGGTATTGGACAACAGGGTCACCAGTCTTGAGAGGAACTTGAGCGTGATCTTCTTCAAGATCCTTCAAACAAATTTCAAGGTGAAGTTCACCAGCACCAGCAACGATGTGTTCACCAGAGTCAGAAGTGTAAGTCAAGACACAAGGATCAGACTTGGCAAGACGCTTAAGACCTTCAACAAGCTTAGGAAGATCATTGGCATTCTTAACATCGACAGCAACTTGGACGACAGGGGAGACAGAGAACTTCATGACCTTCATGTTGTGAGCGACTTCAGAAGTGGTGATAGTACCAGACTTAACCAAGAATTGATCAACACCAACAAGACCGATAATGTTACCGGCAGGACAGTCTTCAATAGCTTCAACGTTACGACCCATCATAAGAACAGTACGTTGGATGGACTTAACAGCAAGATCAGTCTTGGAACCAGGAACATAGTTAGGACCTTGGATACGGACCTTCAAACCAGCACGGACGGTACCAGAGAAGACACGACCGAAGGCATAGAAACGACCCTTATCAGAGGTAGGAACCATCTTAGAGACGTAAAGCATAAGGGGACCGTTGGGGTCACAGTTACGGATACCGACGGCACATTCGTCATCAGCAGGACCTTCATACAATTGTTGGTAACGGTAAGCTTGAGAGGTGACAGGAGAAGGAAGGTGGATACAGATCATTTCCAAAAGAGCATCACCACAAGGCAAGAACTTACGCATAACAACCTTAAGAAGGGCCTTACCTTCCAAATCCTTTTCATCACTAGCAAGACTGATTTCCAACTTTTCCAAAAGAACCTTAGTTTGATCCTTCTTGAAGTTCATAATAGAATCAAAGAGACGGTAGATAGGGTCCAAGACGAACATGTTGAAAGCACGTTCGAGTTGGTTACCACTAGCATCAGTGCTCTTAGTAGTCCACTTCTTAGTCTTAGGGTTGAAGTAGTTTTCACCCCAGAGCTTGTTCATCATCTTCTCCTTATCAACACCAAACTTCTTGGCATAACGGATAGCGAATTGACGAAGAGTGAAACCCCAACCGTGAAGACCAGAGGCGAAAGCAACGGTACCCTTTTCAGGGTAGACTTGACAGTCACCAAGAGCTTCATCAACGTAGGTAGAGATGATGACGTTAACGGATTCAATAGTACGAGCGAAAGAGTTGTAAAGTTCTTCCTTGTCCAATTGAAGTTCGAGAAGAGCACGATCAACCTTGTTGAGACAGATAACAGGCTTGATACGTTCAGTCAAAGCTTGACGCAAGACAGTTTCAGTTTGGACACAGACACCATCAATACAGTCAACGACAACAAGGGCACCATCAGTAACACGAAGAGCGGCAGTAACTTCAGAAGAGAAATCGACGTGACCAGGAGAATCGATCAAGTTAATCAAGAAAGCGGAACCATCAGTCTTTTGACCCTTAATTTCCTTGATGTCTTCTTCATTTTCCAATTGGAAATACATGGAGATAGCGGTAGACTTGATAGTAATACCACGTTCTTGTTCATCCTTACGGGTATCCATGAAACGAGCTTCACCAGCACGACCGGAAGAAATAATACCGGCCTTGGAGACCAAGGAATCAGATAAGGTAGACTTACCGTGATCGACGTGAGCAATGACGGACATGTTACGGACATTGGTAACCTTGTCCATCAAACCACGGATTTCTTCAATAGTGAAATTCTAATAATTGTAACAAAAAAAAAAGAAATTAATTTAATCGAATTGATACATTGTCATGATTGTTTTTTAAAATTGATTAATGGTGAAATCTACTTACAACTAAATTAATTCAATTAAAATGAAGAATAGATTGTAAAAAGAAAAAATAATTGTTAGTAAATGTATATTCATCTATCGTCTCTTTCCTCCATATTAAATAGATGGATGGATGGATCGCTTCTCCCCCTCACTAAATATGATTCAAATATATTACCCATTTTCGATTGTTAGAGTGAAGGGAAAGATTTAATAGCTTGCCACTAATCGTAATTGATGTACTTCTACGAAAAAAAGGTCGGAGTTTAAAATAGAAGATTTTTACTTTATTAACACTTTGAATTCAGACGACGTTTTTTGGACGAATTAAAATTGCTTATCAGATGATTTGCTTACCTTTTTCGGATAAAATAAAAAAAACTTCTTCAAACACTTTAACAACATTTCTTTTTTCTTCAAGATTCTATAGTATATAATGAAGCAAAAGCGTGAAAATAATCCAATTAACGATTTAACAATATCAAAAGGAAAGAAGGATTTAGCGAGTAAGTATCCAAAACATACACAGCGAGAGAGTATGTGCCTTTTTTTTTTAAGATGTGGATCATGATACATCTACTTTGACGACGTTTGTTTCAACTTCACTTGCTTTGACGCCACTTGCTTCTACAAGTTCTTCTTCTAGTAATTTACCTCATATTTCAAAGAAGATACAAAAAAAAAAAAGAAAAAAGCGTGCCTTGATCAATTTTAGAATGGAAACAGCAAGCAATACAATGGAAGAAACGGATACAGTAAGACATAAATTAAAACAGTGTAAATGCGGCTCAACCACCCATATAAGAGTAAACAGCAATGCATGCCCCCTAAAAAATCAAAAAGAACCAACGCAAAGCCCAGACGAGGAAAAAGATATCTTCGTGATCAAATGCTCCTTGAAAAATATCTGTATAGACGCTAAGCTCATTAATCAAATATCTCTCATCACGGCACACACAACAAAAGTGATGTGGGTAGAATCGTTGTTTATCAACTATCTTTTTTGAAGCTCTTAACGAAGGATGAAGAAGTTCCTATTATGAGTCAGAATGATGTCTACTCCATCTTTACCGTCGTCACTGGTAAGGGCAAATAGCCTCCCAGTTATATTTTGCAATGAATGTGAAATTAATGACACAATGCTACAATCCCTCAAGAGTGTTGGATGTTTTTCTCTTTTATCCATTGTATGTAAACAATACGATGTGCTCATACGCAACCACGTATGTGAGAACCACAAAAGGAGAACAATTCGCTTATTTATGGAATCCTTGTCCGATAAAGACTCTACATTTTTTTTTGCAAGGGCTTATCTGTTAACGACAGAAAATCCCTAGCCAACTATATCTATTCGCTAAAGCTGAAGCAGAAGCAGAAATTTGTATAGCCGTCATCTGTCGAAAAAAAAACAACATTTTAAAGAGATTATACAAAAGATGGAGTCGTTATGGTCTGGCTATCAAGCATTAAGCTGTAACTCAGAAGATCTATACTCTCAACCACATCAATTCTTTAAATGGCTTTTTTACCTTCAGCAAAAAAATAAGTGAAAAGGTGTACATGATGGAAGAAAAACCAGTCACTGTTGCCTCCAAGTCCTACATTTATAGGAAGTTAAAAGAACTAACGTTTACTTCAATACTCAATAGACGAAGCTTCAAATCTTTGCAAGAACAAGTCTTGTAAAGCATTAATTCAAATGTTCCACTTATCCTTGGGCGGAAATTATCCAAAGTCAAGCCTCATTTACTTGCTCTGGAAACGTTTGTCACAAGTGTCAAGTCAAGAATTGCTGATGGAACATTCACGTCTGAAAAATATACGGATAAGCATGGCTACCGGTTTTTCACTCTATTACCGATCTATTCATTTGAAACAAAGTCAGTCCAAATAATAGATGCCACAGCTTTTTGGCGACTAGTGAAGAAATCTAATATTGAAAATTACCCAAAAAGTACTAAAACCGAATCGGATCTATCAGATTTCTACTACAAGCTTTTTGACTTTTTCAAACTGGGATTTTGCTCTCGAAGAGAGTCTTTTACTAGGAAGAAAGCAGTTCGAGTAAGTCAATTCTTCAGTTGTATTGAAATATAAAAGTATTGGTTTGGTTTAATTTAATTAATTAATTAATGTATAGAAACGTCGTGCTTACTGATGGGTATTCTATTTTTTTTCTTTTTTCTCGAATGGTAAAGGAAAAAAAAAGAAGTTTCCGTAGAAAAACAACCAGCCAACTTTCTTGAAGATATTGAAAACGGCTATACTGTCTGGGGAGTAGACCCTGGTGTCAATACAATCTTCATCGCCATAGATAAATTTGGAAGACAAAGGACAACCAGCTTAGACGAATATTACCATTTATGTGATTATAATGATGCAACGTTTATACGAAATCAGCATCAGAAGCAACACATGGCTGAATACTCGAAAATATCAAACCTGAGCTCATTGAAGACATTGAATATAAAAGATTTTATTAAAGCATGCAAAAAAAAAAAAAAAACTTGCGTTATATGACGATATTAAAAAGTATTATAACGAGAATAACTGGTAAGTGTTTAGACACTATAATACTTTCCTTGTTCACTTACAAAAGAGAAATTTTATAGGAAGTCCAAGCTGAAATTCCAATGTTACGTGAAGAAACAAAAAGGTGTGCATGAGATTTGCAAGAGGTTCGTCTATAACAGCAGCAAATATCATCAGAAGTTATCTACTGGTGTAAAGTCAATTATTAATAATGTAAGCAAATTCTATCCACCCACCCCGACCGACCATAAAGAAAGGCCAGTAAAAACGATCATTGCTTTGGGCGATGGTGTGTTTAATACTAATTCACAAGACAACAAGTCGTCGCCGGTCAGAACTGTTACAAAATCGTTGAAGAGGTATTGTGGGCAGAAGTTAGAAGTAGTAATGGTTGATGAATACCTTACTAGCCAAATCTGCAACAAGTGCAAGATCAGAAATGTCAAGAATATGGTGACCAAAAAATCAAAGCGAAGAGTACACACACTATTACAGTGTCAATAAAACACTTGTAATATTGTGTGGAATCGCGACATTATGTCAGCTCACAACATCTTGGACTTGTTTTTATTTGCTTCGAAAAATAATAATCAGCGTCTGAGCCCATTCAAGCGTAAAGACGCAACCATCGATGAACCATCCATGCGTGACTGATACGACTCTCTCATACGTCCGTACAGCGTAAGTTCTATATTTTTTTTTTTAAAAAAAAAAAAGGTTATAAATTTTTCAATTATTATTATTATTTTTTTTTTTTAACAGTCTTTACATTTTTAAAGGTATAGATGATTTCTTGTTGGAACTCGTCTAAAACTAACTTTTTTTTATCTGAATTTCCTTTTTTATTTCATCCGAAAAAGGTAAGCAAATCATCTGAAAAGTAATTTTAATTCGTCTAAAAAAAAAACTAACGCATAAAAAAAAGTCAGTTGATTGTTCTATTGTTAAACATTAAACATATTATCAGCTTATTTTATCAAAGGGTCTCCAAAGAAGGTCCCAGCTTACACTTTTTTTTTCTTTGTATAATTGAAGAAAATTTAAAATAATTATATTTTCATAACTGAAGAAGAAAGTAGTCATGTTTGCTAATATATGCAACTAAAGAACAATTTTTTTTTTTTTTTGTTGGCAGGGGATTTAAGCTAAGAATTACTGCGGTAAGTTTAAAAGGAAAAAAAAACACTATAACCTATATCATAGTAGTTTATTAGTAAATAGTACAAATTAGCATGTTTATTATATTTATGTAGAAGCAATAATTCAACTACTACATTATAATACTCTATTAAATATTAAATAATACATTCTATGATATATATATATACACACATATTAATTATATCGATACTTGTTGTTGTTATTCGTTGTTGTATATAGAACAGTAGAAAGTATAACAATTCCTGTACCAATTATAAATAAAATAGAAGGCTTGAAGTCAAAGAGACAAAAACTGAGTAAGCCAGAGACGATGATAGAGATGCTTGTGGCAAATCCTTTCAAGATATTATCTGCATATTTTACAACAAGCGCTACTAATAATCCACCTAAAGCTTGATTCACGATCACACACCAAGTTAAAGCATTATAACCTTGAAAGAAACCATTCGACTTAATTAAATCAAAATCTCCAATTAGCATAGCTATGAATGAAAAAAGAGCACCACAAAGTGCTAGCTGTATGTTACGGACCCACATAGAAGAGATTGAAGATTTTAAAATCTTTTCAAAGTAACATCCCGCAAATCCCGATGAAATACAGCACATAAGAACAGCAACAAGACCCACCAACGGATTTTGCTGTTGTTCCGTTAAGGAAGAGTGATTGGTAGTGACAACTGTTTCGCTTTGTACAAGTGTAACACCAGCCATTAGGAGCACTAATGCAAACCATTGGGTTGAAGTTAATGTCCGACCTAACATGATAACTGAAAAGATCGCCGTTGAGAGAATTTTAAGTTGGTATGTGACTTGAAAAGTCGCTGCCTCAAGGTTACTAAGGGCAATATAAAGCAAGTTATTTTGGAGAGCATAAAGACTACTGGGTATTAACATTTTTAAAATTTCTCGAGGTTTATGAAAGAAAGTTAAAGTATGTCCTTGATAATAGAGTACAGAGAAACAAGTGATGATCTTGATGATCTCTGCCATAAAAACAGCAGTTGATGCAATATACATTGGTTGATCTTCTGGCAATGTTGTTCTTGAATAACGCATAACTAAAACCAGCATAGTATTTTGAATAATAAGTATAAAAAGTGATAATTGTTTAAGATTTACATTATTGACTGATGAAGCTAAAAAAAATAAAAAGGCGTTTAATTCAATGATCTACAATTAAACAAAAAAAAGCTAATTACCATTAGTAGTAGGATATTCATATGATATTGGTAGTTCATGTTTCTTTTTAAAAATTCGTTTAGAGTAATGTGACATAATGATATGTACAAAGAAAAAAAAATGTGTATTTATTTCCAAAGCATATGTATTCAAATAAGGATTTGGTTTGTCTTAGTCTTTAGAATTATTATGTAAAAATCTTTTTTTTTTCAGTATCCGCGTATTATGTAATCATTCTTTTTATTTATTAAAACACATACACACCAAAAAAAAAAAAAAAAAAAAAAAAAAAAAAAAAGAAAAGATACATATTTTATGTATTGTTTTTGTTTGGTTCTGTTTTCTTGAGCATATCCGCATAACTGAATGACTTTTTTAAAATTTGAACTTTTTGACAAAGAGCTGATAGATCTTCTTCGGTTTTTAATAAGCTTTCATTACTAGTAGGCAATGGAGGAAAATGGATTGGCTTTAATTGGTCTGTTTCTTTATAGGAAAATTTATATAAGGAATTTGTAAAGCTTTGTTTCTTATACAAACTTACCTTCTTGTTTTATACTAATTGCGTTTGTTGAGTAAGATTTCCTTGTTGTAGGTTCTTTTTTCTTTTTATGAAGATAACGATGTTCTGTCGAATCGAACTTATTATTACGATTCTTTTCTTGTTTATTATTCTTATTTGTATCTTGTTGTTCATTATGTATTTTATGATGACTATGGTTTCGATATAAAGGCTGTCGTAATGAATAATGATGAGTCGATTGCTTTCGAGGAATCTGCTCTACTTCAGAAATGGATAATTGAGTAAAATTATTTTCTAATAGTGTGATAGATGATACTGAAGAACCACTACTCAATTCAGATCTTGATTTTTGCTGTCTATTATTTGTATTACGCAATGATTTTCTATCATTTCCCTTGGGATGACTATTGTATCTTTTGTAAGTAGATCTTGTTACTTGTGTGTATTTATTGTTAGTAGAAGAAGGATAAAAGGTATTTGGTACTGATGTTATTGAAGAAGGATGATAATAGTATCCCATATAGAGAGGTGGTAATGATGGGGTATCAAATATAGGAAATGCAGATGGTTTCTCATATAATGTGGAGTCTACTTTGTCTTTTGATAGTACATGATGATTATTTTTAGAATCCTCTGTTATCGTAGTATTCATATTGGTCTTTAAAGATAGTTTATTATTTGTCGATTTATTATAAGGAGAAGTGATATAAATACTAATATTATCGCCTGGCAAGTTGTCGCTATTTGTCTTTCTATTTATATATGAATGAATAGGTGGTACTACTATCTATCTTTCATGATCTATAGACTTACATTCTTAATATGGGTTCAGATTTCATTCTAGCAGCAATATCTTGTCCTTTAAACGTTTTACCTCTAACACTTAATAATAACTTCAAGGCATCTTCCTCTGTCTCAAATGTAAAGTACCACATGTTACCAATATCTTGTTTTATAGATTGAACAAGTGGTGAATCCAACTCTCTTAATAATTCGTTTATTTCCTATATCATTTTACTTGTGATTAATATACCGATCTATACATGATATAATATAATATATATATATATATAAACATATATTCTTTACTTCTTCTGTACACTCAGGTACATCTCTTAAAATAACAGTATTTCGTTTTAATGATATATTAGGCTTTACTTTTGTTTCTGTCTCATCCACAATGACTGCTGAAGAGCTCTTTAATGTCTTTATGATCAGACTCATATCTGTTGTATGTTCACGAATACGTGTAAAATTTGCAACAAGTGAGATTGGTACATATAACTCAGAATCCATTTGTGATACTAAGTATGTATCATTGATCAAATTCTGCCTACATATGCGTATAAAATGTAATATAAATACATGAAATACACATTTTTATTTTATTTATAATCATTGTTATACCTAGAGAAATAAAATTCTAACTGATTCTTTAAATCAAACTGTGTAGTCATTGTAGTAGTAGTAGTTGTTGTTGTGTCTAGAATATAAAATAGTAAGTCTACGTATATCATTTATATATAAAAAAATAGGTACTTTGATCGGAGTTCATTTCATTTATGCTGCTACTACTTTCATCATGCATAATTATTTCTAGATCTTCATCGTCACGCGTTGTTGTGGGACTATTATTATTTGAAGCATTATAACTAAATACGGATTGAGGAGCAAAAGGATAATAATAAAGATGCTGAGGATAATAATAGAGATATGGCATTGTAGGTTGATAAGACATAAAGTCACTACTAAATGACTGATTACTATTATGGTCATGTTGATGACGATGATTGCGATGATAATAGTAATTTGTATTATTTTTCTTATTTGATCTTTTATTATTCACTTCTTGTTCTTTAGTCATTATTTTTTGTTCTTTATGTGTCATCTATGATATATTAAATATGATATTCACCATAGCAGTCTTTAATTGATCTGTATTACCTTATACGTTGAATAGGTATATTCTCTAGTGAAGTAAGAAGAAAGAGAATTAAAAAAAAAAAAAAAAAAAAGGGAAGAAAAAGAATTAAAAGAAAAAAGATAATTTACCAATAAAATAGTAGATAAGAATCGTTTTGAGTAACAAAACGCCAAACAAAGATTATATTCAGGAGTTTTTTTTTTTAACTTTTTGTTTTTATATGCAGGAGGTGTATGTAGCTATTTAATTGAGTATTTTTTTTTTTACTACATTAAATCAAGTTCATTTCTTGCATTATTTATACTACAAATGGCTTGTATATGACTTGGTTTAAGCTATTCGATATTTATTATAAATAAATATTCTATAAATTCAACTTGAATTACTTCTTTTTTTAATATTCGTAAATGTGTCAATAATATATAATATGCATGAAGAAAATATTTCTAACTTAGGAATGTGTAGCTGAATAAAGTAGCAAGTAATAATAACTTATTTTTGTAAAACAAAAAAAAAATAAAAATAAAAAAATTTTATTGGTCAAAGCTGCTGAATTTTGATTTCATAATACCAAACAAACAGTGCTACAATTTTTTTTTTTTATTTTTTTTTTTTTGCCCCCTTTATTTCTCTCATTATTGTAAACAAAACAAAAACAAAAACAAAAAAAAATGACTACCGCCACCACTGAAGATATTAAAGTAAAAGCAGAAGAAATAAAAAATGAAGCTAATGCTTATTTCAAAGGTATTTTTTTTATATATATTGAATTTATTTTTTAATCTCTTTTAATAATCATCATTTTGAAACTTATTATAGATAAACATTTTACTGCTGCTATTGAGAAATATACTGAGGCTATTGAGTTGAATCCTCAGGTGGCTTCATATTATACAAATCGTGCTTTTTGTCATATTAAATTAGAGTCTTATGGTTATGCTATTGCGTAAGTTTAACTTTGTTATTCATGATCATACTTGAAACTCATTTTATATCTTTATATTTAGTGATTCTAATAAAGCTTTAGAGATCGATCCTCATTTTACAAAGGTAGTAAGCAAAATATATGAAAAGATTTATTTTTAATACTTTAACAATAGGGTAACTATCGTCGAGCATCTGCTAACATGGCGCTTGGTAATTTTAAAGCAGCATTGAAGGATTTGAGAATTGTTTCCAAGCGTGCACCTAATGATAAAGATGCCAAAGCTAAATTTGAAGAATGTCAAAAGATTGTAAGAAGAATTGAATTTGAGAATGCAATCAAAGTAAGTCTATTGCATTTGTTTAAAAGCAGTTTGTTTTGACGTTTTTTTTTTTTTTTTTTTTAGGATGATCAAAAACAAAGTGTTGCATCTAAATTAGACATTGATGCTATAGGTATTTTCTTTTTTTAAAACAAAAATAATCTTATAATTTTCTTATATTTTATAAAATATAGTCGTTGATGATTCATATAAAGGACCTCGAATTAATGAAGAGACAAAAACAATTGATCAAGCTTTTGTAAAGGACATGATCAAACATTTTAAAGATCAAAAAAAGATTCATAAAAAATATGCTTTCATGGTAAAAAGATATATTATATTATAGCATACATTTAATTAATGAGTCTAATTTGACTCTATAGATCATCTTGGCCATTCGTAAATATATGATGGAAGCACCTACATTAGTTGATGTTGAAATTCCTGCTGATGGTAAATTAACAGTTTGTGGTGATGTACATGGTCAATTCTATGATTTCATTAATATTTTTGATACAAACGGTTATCCTTCCGAAAAACACGCTTATCTATTTAATGGAGACTTTGTTGATCGTGGTTCTTTTTCAGTTGAAGTCATATTGACCTTATTTGCCTATAAATGGCTCTATCCCAATCACCTCTTTTTAGCCCGTGGTAATCATGAAACGGATAATATGAACAAAGTGTACGGATTTGAAGGTGAAGTCAAAGCTAAATTTAGTGAAATGATGTTTAGTTTATTCTCAGAGACATTTAATGCTTTACCACTCTGCCATCTTATTAAGAACAAAATCTTTGTGACACATGGTGGTCTGTTCTCCAGAGATAATGTAACTTTGGATGAAATTAGAAAGATTGATCGTATTGGACAAGGACAGCCAGGTTCTGAAGGTTTGATGTGTGAGTTATTATGGTCTGATCCTCAACCTGAGCCCGGCAGATCTACAAGTAAACGAGGTGTTGGTATTCAGTTTGGTCCTGATGTGACCAAGAACTTTTTAGAGACAAATAATTTAGAAATGATCATTCGTAGCCATGAAGTAAAGGAGGAAGGTTATGTGATTGAACATGATGGAAAATGTGTCACTGTGTTTAGTGCACCTAATTATTGTGATACTGTTGGCAATAAGGGTGCTCTTATCAATATGACTCCTGACTTGAAGAAAGAATACATTACTTTTACTGCAGTTGTAAGTTATACAGAGACAATTATATAATAAGTTTTAACGTTTATTTATTTATTTATAGCCTCATCCTTCTGTTCGACCTATGCAGTATGCTAGTCAATTTAGTGGATTATTAGGGATGTAAAACAGAAAAAGAAAAAAAAAAAGATTCTATTTAGCTGCTGCATGCATTATTTGATTTAATGCGTATATAGTACACATACACACACACATACACACACACACACAAAAGCATGTATTTATTTTATAGACAAAGAAAGAAAGAAAGAAAGAAAAAAACAATAAAATAGAGATATTTAAACATGTAAAAATAGGATATAATATATATGTATATGTTATTTAAAAAATGACTTCCATTTCAGCTGCTCCAGCTTCTATATTAGCTTCCTTTTCTTCTATTAGTTTCTGTTTTCGATCAGCTTCTAATTTTGCCTTTTTTCGATTTGAATGCTTATTTAATAAATAACCTAAACTAGAGATTGTAAGTCCTGCCAATACAACGCCCGCTATGATAAGAGATTATTAGTAAAGAGAAGAGGATGAGTCATGACTGTTATTATAGTCTGCTTTTTTTTTTTTTTTTTTTTACTTAATCCTTTCCATATCGTCTCCCATCGAACAGCTTCAATTTCTGTTCGAATATCACCTAACTGTAGTGTAAATTTATTATTTATTTCTTGAATTTTGATATCCATCGACTTTTGTTCTTCACGAGTCTCATTCTTCCTATTATTCATATCCATTTGAATTTCATTTTTCAAGTCTGCAAGAGATTCATTTAACTTTTGTTCTAATCCTTCTACTTCTCTCGTTATTAAAGATAATTCATTTTGTAGCATCTGAATATCATTCCTCCTCATGATTTGTATTTCTGTTCTTAACTCTGATAAGGCCGCTTTAAATAAATAAGTATCCTAATAATAAAATAAAGAAAAAATGAATTATGAATAAATATATATTTATATATGTCTATTACATTTTCTAAATCGGATGCAAATAGTAATTGTTGTTTGACTGAGGCAGTGCTGTAAATTAATAGTAATCATATAAGTATACAGATAGATAGATCATGTCACTTGGGGTACATTATTCTTTGTATTACCATTCTCTAATTCGAAATTTAATACCTTTCATTATCACTTCTGCTTGCTTTCTTTTAAATCCATGATTTTCGAGAAAGGTTAATAACTCATAAGTATCAAAATGATGACTTCTTCTAAAACTAGTATCTGCTGTAAATGAATGCTCCTTTTTATTACTGTCTTCTACAATGGCATCTAAAGTGGGTGACGTAGCATTCGCATTATTATTCATGTCATTTATCATATCAACAGGCCTGGTAGGTTGTGGAGGTGGAAATGGTTTTGAAGCATCATTATATGAATTTCGTTTAATTAATGATCTATGAAAGTCTCTTCTGGACAATTGAAAAAGTGGACGAGTTAATGCTGAGAACATTTATAAGGAAGAAGAAGAAGAAGAAAAAACGGAAAAAAAAAGTACCCCTCCCCCCTCCCAATAAAAAATATTATAAATTGTCTATTGGGAAAAAAAAAAAGCAGGTAAGTATAGCATATGCAAATATTACAGAGTAAGGATTAGCTCTATTTTATATCCGTTCCTGAAATTAATAATTATTCACATCTGATAGTTTATATTAAAACATATGATATAAAATATGTAAAACGTCTCTGTATGAACATAAGCTTGTGTTTATATGTATTCATAGTAAAATACCTTCAATAAGCTGAAGAAGACATAATTCATTTTCTATCAAAATTATATCCCTAAATTTTATTTATTCCTAGGACAGTTAAAATGCACCCAAATATATTCATAGTTTACAAAATAAATTATACAGTTCTTCTTTAAAGATATTAGTTCGGAGTTGACATAGTTCTTTAAAGAAAAGATATCTATGATAGCCTTTGCAAATATGATACATAGTTTAAAGGACATAAAGCTAGTATAATCTTCTTAAATTGGTTACTATCATACTTCGTCATATAATAATCACTGCTTGATTGATTCTTAATAAGAAAAACAAAAAAAGATGAAACATTGTCTTCACTGTGGTATTATTATATGTTGGTTCCTGGTAAATAATCTTTTATATGAAAAGTACTCATTATTACACACATATATATGAATTGGAGTGTATATAGCTTTGAAATAAATGGATTTTAACGTCAGAACAGTCCATATTAACTCTAGCATGCAACGTTCTGATAAATTAATGTATCCATATAAACCCCATATTTAGTTAATTAATTTTATGCCACACTAATAAAGACTCATAATATGCACCAAGTGACGTACGATGACATCCTTGCTATGAAACTTGTAAATCAAGGTCTCTTTTATAGCAATCAACATTGTTGGTATGCATTTGATACACGTGTAACATACAAGTGATGCAACCTTATTTACTTATTTCTTCAACTCAGAAAAGCATTGTTGTATAATCAAAGTACATAAAAATAAATAAATAAATAAAAGAAAAAAAAAGAAAAAAAATATGCCTTTTTCATAATTATGATTAACTTCACAAAGGATAATGGTTATGCTCGGAGTTAAAAATGATAAGTCACGAAAAAAAAAATTCATGTAAAACCTTTGTACCGAGACCTCTTTTAAAGTTTTTTTTTTTTTTTTTTTCTTTTAAAACAAAACAAAAAAAAAAAGACAAGAAGGTAAGAAAAAGATATATATCTTGAAAAGATATAATGAAAAACATACAAACGCTCGTATACAGGACCTTTTTTTTTATTCATTTATTTATTTACAAAAAAATATTATTATTATTTTGAATAGTATTTAAATAAAAATGGTGAAGGGACTTTCACATCTTGTTTATGTTGCTAACTCAGAAGAGCTTTTCGATCGTACTATTAAATTCTATAAAGCTTTTGGCTTTAAGATTGTTTGTCCTTCAAGTCAATCTGATGAAAATGGAAAAGAATGCTGGTTAAAGTTAGCTGCTGATCCACATTCTATGTCATCAAATGTTACTATTCGTCTTACTTTAGATTCAAGTGCTGTATCTCGTCAAAAGCCAAGTAAAGATGAGGATTGGGGTCTGAATGAATCTGCTCTTGTATTAACTATTTTTGATGTTGGGGTAAGATTAATATTAAAGCATAAATGAGTGGGTTATTTGTCTTTTTTTTTTTTTTTTTTTTTTTTTTTTTTTTTTTTTGTTCTAATTTTATATATATACACATATTTATATATATATACATATATTATAGGCTGTAAAAGCACAACTGGATACATTAGACTGTGAATATCAAGATAGATCTATTAAATCTTTTAGTGGCACTTTTCGATTAATTGAACTTTATACTCTTGATCCTTTGAATAACACTATTGTTTTTGCTAATAAGCCTGCTTTCCCAAGTCTTCTCGAAACACCTCTTAGTGGACCTGGTTCTGTTGAAGATGCCGCTAAAAAGATGGGAAAATGTAAAAAGATTGGTGTCCTTACTTCAGGTGGTGATGCACCTGGTATGAATGCTTGTGTACGTGCTGTTGTTCGTTATGGTATTTCAAAGGGTTGTGAAATTTTTGCTGTTTATGAAGGTTATCAAGGTATTTATAAAATGCATAAGAGGATAGCTATATATTTATTCATATCATTCGTTTTAAAATAGGTCTTGTTGATAATGGTATTAAAAAAATGGAATGGAAGGATGTTCGAGGTTATTTAGCAATGGTATAAAAATTATTATCTGAGATATTATAGATTTGATAAGATAACACTATTTTTATTATTATTATTATAGGGTGGTACTAACATTGGTACTGCAAGATGTATGCCATTTAAAACCCGTGAAGGACGTCTTCAAGCTGCAGAGAATTTGATTAAGAATGGCATTGATGCACTTATCGTATGTGGTGGTGATGGTTCATTAACAGGTGCAGACCTTTTCCGTTCTGAATGGACTGGATTAAATGAAGAGCTTTTAGAAAATGGTAGAATCACTCAAGAGGAATCAGAAGCATATAAGCATTTAACCATTGTTGGTCTTGTTGGTTCAATTGATAATGATATGTCCTCCACTGATATCACCATTGGTGCTGTTACCTCACTTCATCGTATTTGTGAAGCTGTTGATTCTATCAGTACAACCGCTTTATCTCACTCTCGTGCCTTTGTAGTGGAAGTGATGGGTCGTCATTGTGGTTGGTTAGCTTTAGCTGCTGGTATCGCTACAGGAGCAGATTTTGTTTTCATCCCTGAAAAGCCTCCAGTTGAAGACAACTGGGCTGATACATTATGTGCTGTCGCTCATCGTCACCGCCAACTTGGTAAACGTAAGACAGTTGTGATTGTAGCTGAGGGTGCCCTTGATAAAAATTTAAATCCTATTAAGGCTGATGATATTAAAGATATCCTTTCTGAACGTCTTGGCCTTGATACTCGTGTTACTACCTTAGGTCATACTCAACGTGGTGGTTCCCCTGCTGCCTTTGATCGTATCTTGGCTACTATTCAAAGTGTAGAAGCAGTGGATGCCGTCTTGAATTCTACTCCTGAAACGCCTTCCCCCATTATTGGTATGAGTAACAATCAAGTCACAAGTGGTCCCCTTATGAAGGCCGTTAAATTGACTCATGAAGTCGCTGAAGCTATTGGTAAAAAAGATTTTGCTCGCGCTATGGATCTTCGTGATCCTGAATTTGCTGATCAGTTCGATGCTTATACTGCAACAACCATCTTGGATGATGAATCCATGTTGCTTCCTCAACACCGTCGTCTTCGTGTTGGTATCGTTCATGTCGGTGCTCCCGCAGGTGGCATGAACGCTGCTACTCGTACCGCTGTTCGTTATGCTCTGAATCGTGGTCATAAACCCTTTGGTATCTATAATGGCTTCCCCGGTTTGGCTCAAGGTTCTGTACATGAATTGACTTGGATTGATGTGGATGGTTGGACCCACCGAGGTGGTTCTGAATTGGGTACAAATCGTGCTGTCCCTGGTGAATCCGTTGATATGGGTATGCTTGCTTATCAACTTCAAAAGTTTAATATTCAATCTCTCCTTATCGTTGGTGGCTTTGAAGCATTCTCCTCTGTCATCAATTTGGAAAAGGCTCGTGAACAATATCCTTCCCTTAACATCCCTATTGCTTTAATCCCCGCTACTGTCTCTAATAATGTTCCTGGTACTGATTTCTCACTTGGTTCTGATACTGCCTTGAATGCCATTGTTGATTCTTGTGATGCTATTGTTCAATCAGCTCGTTCTTCACGTCGTCGTGTCTTTGTCGTTGAAGTCCAAGGAGGTCGTTCAGGTTATTTAGCTGTCGAAGCTGGTTTAGCTAGTGGAGCAAGTACTATCTATATTCCTGAGGAAGGCGTTAATCTCGCTCGTCTCCAATCCGACTCTCGCCATTTGATGGCCATGTATATGGATGATGCATCCGATAAATCTGAAGGTAGAATTATCTTACGTAATGAAACTGCCAGTAAGACATACACAACGGATGTCATCTCTGAAATCTTGAAAGATGAGGGACATGCCTTGTTCGATTCTCGTACAGCTGTCCTTGGTCATATTCAACAAGGTGTTAACCCTAGCCCCATGGATCGTATTAGAGCCACACGTCTTGCCAAATGTTCTATTGATTTCTTTGAAGAGCACACCTCTGCTGCACTTGAAAGGGCTTATGCTAATAATGAACCTGTTCCTATTGAATTATCAAATGCGACCGAGTCTGCTGTTGTTACGGGTCTTTCAGGTGTCAGTGTTACTTATAAGCCTGTAACTGAATTGATCGCTGTTACAGATATGAAGAATCGTAAGCCCTTAGATGCCTGGTGGATGGTTCATCGTCCTCTTGTTGACTTATTATCTGGTCGTGGTTTATTCACTCCTCAAGCTCAAGCTACTTTATCTCATGCTAAAAAATAGATAGGTTTATTATATTTTTTGCTTTGTTTTTTTTTATGCATCATAATTATATACATATAATTTTTTTTTTTTTTTTTTTTTTTTTTTTTTACATTAAATAAATAATAGTTCTCAGTGTTTTTTTTTTCCTGTTAACACGCTGGATGGCTTTTTAATTTAATAATAATATCATTATTTGTCAATTATTAATAACTGCTTTAAAGGACCCTTTAGGTCAAAATACTTTTAATTGTCATTTATTAAAGCTAAATTATTATAATATCTTGATTGTATTCATATTTGTTAATCAAATAAATAGGTGGTTAGAATAAAATAAAATAAAAAAAAAAAAAAAAAAAAAAAAAAAAAAAGATCTGTTTGATACAGAAGAAAGAATTCAAGAAGAAATAATACAATAATCACATTGGACTACTACTTTAAATAAAACAATGCTATTCACTACTACTACTGTTTATTTCCTGTAGTTATTGCTTGGTAGAAAATCTTTGATAATAGAATTAAACTAGACACTTTTCTTTATATATCTTCTGTATATACATATATCATTAAAAGATGTACTAAAAAATAGTATTTTAATTGAACATAACCTTTTTTTTTTGTCAAAGAATTGATAATATCTAATTAACACTTAAACATGTAAATACATTGTTATTAGATAAGGAACTCGTTGCCTCTAGATTCATTCTTGGTTTCAAATACAGGAGATAAAAATTAAAAATCCTCTATTATCATCTTTTCTTTTAAATAATTTTTTTTTCTCCCTCAAATATAGGCCAAGTTACCTTTTCTCTTCCTGATGTATGTACAAATCAATTCAATTTTTGATTATAAAAATATATATATATTTTTTTTACTACAGCTACTACCACTCCTTATCCAATTCCCTTTTTTTTTTTTCTTCTTAACTCATCATATAATATAACTTACACCTCTTGATTTCTTTCCGTTCTGTTTTTTTTTTTTTTTTTTTTTTTTTTTTTTTTTTTTTTTTTTGGATGATAAGATTTTATCGATAAGTCCGAATCTCGGGGATAAATTAAAAAGTATATAGAAAATAAATAAAAATATATATACAAGTATAGATATTTTGTTTGTTTATCCTAAATGCTTATTTTTGTGCTTATAAAATGACAGTTCCAGCTCTTAGAAAGTATGTGATACTTTTTGGAAAGATTGTAAAACTTGAAGATTTTATGGAAAAAGAAGGAAGATGGTTATCAGATGATATTCAGAATGATGAAAGCAACATACCTGAAAGCTGTGTTGCTATTTATTATAAACTTGATATAGAAAACAAGACGATCAAAGAACGATTGTTCATGACAACCTTTAATGCGAAATACATAAAGGCATTCAAAGAAATCAGTGTAAACTGGATTGAAGAATATTTTGTAATAGAAGAAAAGGACTTGCAACAATTGAATAAACCTGAAGAAACCATTATTGAGAACGGTGGAGAGATATTCAGTTTAATTAACAAAGAAGGAGTGGTAGTTGGTGTCTCTTCCATGATAATAGAGAGTGATGGCACTGTTGAACTTGGAAAGATGGGTGTGAAAAAGGCATATCAGGGTAAAGGATATGCTCATCCACTTATATATGAAGCTATTTCATGGGCCAAACGATCTGATAAAAAGTTTCCCTATGTTAAGCTTTGTACATCTAGTAAATTAATACCTGCTATTAATTTGTATAAAAAATACGGTTTTGAAAATATGCCTATAAAAGGTCCTCGGGAATTTGCTAGAGGTGATGTGATGATGAAATTAAAGCTTTAACATTCAATTCTTAGCTGTTGCTATTAAAGAATATCTTGTCTCTAAAACAATGCATTCCAATAAATTTATTAGATTTATAATAATAATAATACTAATTAAATAAATAATACACTGTACTGCTGTGACAATTTTTATGTCAGTTTTTATACATTAGATGTAAAACCTAGACCAAAACATTCAAATAGCGAATAATAAGTTGCCAATAATAAATTCTTGTTCAAGCTTATGAAAATTACGGATATTATTACCCAAAAGCTTATGATATTTATACAATATACCGCTAACATGACCATGATTTAACAATATATAACTTGAAAGAAGACAAGTAAACATCTATATACATATAAAGAAAAAAAAATCCAATGTTGCTTCGAAGACCAAGCTTGATAAGGGAAGCTTACATTTTCATACCTAATTCATATAATTTCTCTACCTTTAAACCCTTTGATTTGTTTTGTTTTGTTTATGTACTCAGAGATGATCAAATCCCATGATCTTCCCAGTGCTTTCGGTGAATACAGTACTTAAAAATAGAGATACATTAACGATACAATTAGAAACGTAGACCAGTGATATTACGTCTTGAGCATGCTTAAAAGAAGGGAGAGGAAAGCATGCGAAGAAAGAATATCAAGCCAGGTACAATAGTATATATGATTACGTATTCCAATGTCAAATGTTGTTTTATTAAGTTCCTGAAGATTCTAAACTAATAACGTTTGTATTAAAAATTATGTCATAGTCAGTATAATACTTTAACACTATTCAATTATGGTACAATAATGATCGTTATTGTTAGTTGTTACTTGATGATTATGAGAATATGCAATTCAACCTATAGTTTGACTGTACTACACTTTGGTCTATTGAAGCCGACTAAAAAGTGTCAATGTATACAAATATCAGATGTATTGGTGTAATCTACTATTCTATTATATTTATATATGTATGAATGTACATAAATAATAATTATTATTATATTTCAAGGTTTATGTGTAACGTTATTACCTGTTGTTCAGTGTAAATACACATTGATATAATATATCAAGATATTAACTGGGCTATTCCATCATGTCATCAAGCTTTTAAATAAATCGATATGTCATCAATAATGCTAATAGGGAGGAATTTAGACAAATAAAGGGGCAAAACTTATACTAAGCACGAGAGAGTAACCGACTTTAATTAAGGTAATATTTGAGGCTGTTCAAAGCTTAAATAAGATTTTTTTTTTTTTTTTGAGGCTGCTTTTTTATGACCGAAAATTTAAAAAAAAAAAAAAAAAAAAAATCTCTCACTCCGTTTACTCACCTTTTTGCAACATAATGTATTGAGTAAACCAATATGATAGTATTTTAGATGAAATATAATGACTCAAATTCCATTCATTAATAAGTGTTTAACTTATTAAAACTTATGTCTTAATTGTTTAAAAAGAAAAAAAAGTGAATACACAAGCCAAAGAACTAGATGTGCAAAATAGGAAATAATGATTTTCGTAAAAATAAACATCGTGATACACAAATTCATTAAAAAAGGAACTAAAATATTGACCGCAAATGCCAATAAACTATCTGAAATTTTTAAAAATATATTTGTATATGAATATATAAATATAAAAAAAAGGGGGAAAGGATAAATAACTATAGATCTATAACAGTGCTCTTTTCTTTTCTTTTCTATAATTTATATTTGGTCATGTCAATGAGAAGAGGACCAACACTTCGAGCCAGTCGATACAGACCTCCTATTGGAAGAATGAATATAGGACAGTCGAGAGATGATGAAGAAGAAAGGATTGGATTGACAAATGCTATAAACGAAACTGAACATAATGAGAAAATAGAATCAGATAATGAAGACACATCGGCATACCCTATGCAAGAATATAAAACAACAGTAAATCAACTGCCCAAGTTGCATCAACAAAATAAGAATCTAAATAGGTAAAAAATTCAATACATTTTCATGTTTCTTGGAACAAGTCGTACAGAGGATTAAATTTTTTTTCTCTTTTTATTAGTGATTCCTCCTCACAAAATAATATTCATTATACTCTTAGTAATATAAACTTAATTATAAAAGTAGTAGTAATTTATATTGATAAATAATATAGTATTACATTTTCGTCAGCTTCGAGGTAATCAAAGATTTGTTTTGGATTATGATGCAGCAAATGATTTTTGCGAAAAGGTAAAAAAAAAAAAAAAAAAAAAAAAAAAAAAAAAAAAAAAAAAGAAAGGATGTATTTATAAATACACACAAATATAAATTATATATCTAAGACTACTGCTATTAAAAGTTGAATTTTACTCAACAAGAAAGGATACAATTCAATGGAGTTCGTGATACAGACGGTCTAACTGAATTTCTTTACAAAATTAAGCGAGAATTTTCGATTAAAATTCATCATAAAATAGAACTTCTTCGCTCAGGAGAACATCACGGTCATCATCATCATCATGCTGATAATCATATTATAGAATTTAATGAAAACTTTTATGTAGAATTTAAAGTCAAACATAATCATCATGCAATTAGTCTACCTGTCGAAGCTACTCGTCGTCCCTTTTTTCAACACCCTGAGCCTGATCTTAGCGCAGATATTGGAGAGGAAAAGGCTGCTTCATGGTTGGAGCTGTTTTATGATTTATTTTATGTGGCTACCTTGACACAATTTACGCATAGTCATCATATTATGGATTGGGGATCATTATTTCTCTATGCGCAATGGTTTATTATTACTTGGTGGGCTTGGTTGGCTAGTTCATTGTAAAGTAGATATATTTAAAACTTATTTGCAGTCTGTTTTTATTAGCTTATTTATATCTATTTCTATTTTTTTTTTTTTATTCTATATAGATATACATCTAGATTTGATACGTAAGATTGTTAAAAAAAACAATATATTATTTTAGTGCTTCAATTAATTATAGAGTTGTAGTGATGATGTTGTGCATCATATTTATAAGCTTATAGAAATGTGCGCAGTTAGTAAAGTGATAAAAAAAAAAAAAAAAAAAAAAAAAAAAAAAAAAAAAAAACGGAAGCTATTGTAATGACTACTAAAAATAATTATATAATAGTTGGTATGGCAGGATCATCCGAATACTTTTTAAACTCAGCAGGCTATGTATATGGCTACATTGCATTAAAGGCTGTACTTGCAATAGAATATTTTGTTGGTAAAGTATAAATAAAGTAAGAAGAGGAAGGTGATTTCTTATGGGTTAACCTGAAATTATATATAGTTTTTATTGTTTCTATCCTTGCCAAGTCAAAATCACGAATGGCCTTACTATTTTATGTGGGAGCTAATCTCTTGTCAATTGGATTATGGGTATCCTCACTAACTATTTTAGAAAAAGATATACATCGTATTCTTTGGTATGTAGGTGTTTTGTGTGAAATTTTAGTAAATGTGATTGTGAGAGGAGACAAGAGACTCTCCTGGGCTGCCAGTCACTTAGCAGAGCGACTTGGATTACTTTCCTTAATTGTTCTGGGAGAAAATTTGATGGGTTTGGTGTCTTTGGTGTCTGCAACAGGAAATTATTTAATTACAGCGTACATATAAATATATATTTTTTATATATGTATATGATATACATGTCTATTCATATTAACTAACTATATACGATATATACTTGTTTGGTAGTATTCCTAATTTTATGGCAGTGTTTATCATTTTTGGATTCTTTTTCATGTATTTTGAAGATTTTAACAAGGAGGTAATATATTTTATTATTATTATATGTCATAGTATTTATTTGATATACGTGCTTTATATGTATTTCTTTTGAAAAATAGATTTTCTTACATAATACATATCATCAAGTATGGGTATATCTTCATTTTCCTCTTCATTTATGTCAAGTCGCATTTGGTATTTCTCTAATTGATATGTAAAGGCATAAAAAAAAAAAAGAATAAGATATTCATAAAATATACAAATTCTTCTAACATATAAAATGTTAGCTTGAAAATTTTCAGGTTTCAGTTGATTAGTGATCACAAGTTACCTGATGAAGAGGTAACTCAAGATGATACAACAATAGGATCAGGACAGCATAGTTCTACACCAGCTACTACAGCACATGATGGAACTTCAGCCTCAACACATCAAGAATCAAGTGGAGAATCAGAAAGTCCGCATCACAAAGCTAAACGAGCTGTTCATGACTTTTTATTAGCCAACAGAGATAAAGAAAATGATGCATATTATTATAATCCGATGAAATTGACAAATGAACAAAACCAAATCTCGAATAATGTTAGCCATAAGGAACCAGTTACCACTATAACAACTTGGACATCATGGTGCCTTTACTTTGCAACTACTGTAGTGACAGGAACAATAAGTATGATTGCTGGTAATGATAATAATGCTGAAGAACATGCCATGTCAACTTCGCATCATTTGGCTCGTCGCTCAGAACCCACTGGATCATTTACAGAGACAATATCAGATAGTCAAATTGTCTTTGTCTATAAAACCTTTCTTATTTTTGCAGGCCTCATTTTGATAATAAATTCACTTATTAAAGCATTGAATACCAAAATATCAGGTAGCTTATTAAACAGAAAACTATTATTCAATAATATACACTATCTAACTATGAATTTATAGATATATATGGAAGAATAATTATAGGTTCAAGGCTTTTAAATGCAATTATTCTTTGGTCCATGTGTGCGCTTCCTTTTGCAAAACTAGACGCGATTGTTCTTCTATGCACAATGGTTGGATCATTAGTATTTCAAGGTAATATACATCATATTTATATAAACAAATAATAGTTAACTTCTTTATTTTTATATAGCCTTAATTGATTTATTGGATTAATATCGATCTTTTTTTTATTATTATTAAAATATATATAATGAAAGAGAACATTAAAGGAAAGAGAGAAATGATAATAAAATAGCAAATATTACTTGCTGTAAAGCTCCTTTTTAGTAAGGTTTAATATTTATTTGTAAAAAAGAAAACATTATCCCACCAACATCAAAATAAAAAGGGGTTACTGATGTCGTTGTAATGAGTACTATATAGTATATAACTTCTCTGCACCATATTTATTTGAAGGGATAATGTAAAGCGATATATAACTTTCAAGAATCGTATTATTACACTAGAAAAAGCCAATACACTAGAAATTGAAAGTATAGTAACTCTTATATCGAGCTACTATAAAAAAAAGATAAAATTTTGATAAAGCAAAATATTTATATCGCCCTATAGTGATTTCTATTGTTATTTATATCTAAGGCCGTTAGTAATTTTTTTTTTTCCAAAGGTTGAAAATATTTTGCTGGATTAGAAAAAAAGCAATTGCTAACTGTTTATAAGCGGTTTTGGTAATCAGATTAGTAATGATAATGACGATAAGATCAAACAAATCGATAACCTGCTGGATCCTCTTTTTATTATTGATATTAATATTTGATAGTTGTTCTACAGCCTCATAATATTCAATCAACTGGCGGTGTACTTCCCGTCCTTCATGCAAATTAGACAATAGCGTCATTATTTATAGAATTAAAAAATATCATTTTTAATGGTTGACTTACTTAATTTAAACTACTTGTATTAGCTTCTGGGGCTGTTGATCTTAACAAATTGTTCAAAGACATATATGTAGTATTACATTCATAAACCGATTCATTTTATTATTTAATATTTGTAAATATTTTTTTCGAATGGTTTAACTCTTTTTGTTTTACTCTTACATCGAGGACAATCATACTTGTTTATAATTGCGTCACTACTTGGAGAGTTATACCGGCTACCTTATTCATTGTTCTATTGAACTTAATTATCTTCCTATCAACCGAATTTTATCTTCTATTAAAAGAGTATAATAAAACTAGAGTTAAGACTTCAACCATTTTAAATGTTAAATTATATCCTAGTATAAAAGTAGGATAATAAACATTAATTCCCTCAAAGAAAATAATATTAGGTAAGATTATTACTAAAAGGTCTGTGAGGACTATTGCTGATCATTACATCAATATTTTAAGTTTGTATAAGGAATTTAAAAAAAAAAAAAAAAAAAAAAAAAAAAAAAAAACATACTAGAGTTAATATAGGAAAATTAATTCTTAGTAGTGAATATAACTGTATTTATTTGCTTAAATTAAATCTGATGAAATGGTTTATTTATGCTACTAAACGCAAACAAAAAAGAAAAAAAACTTCTACAAAGTAGTGAAACACTTATTAATAGGATTATTACTCGTGCTTGTAATAAGTTTTGTTTTTCCTCAGTGATTTTGGAAGGATTTTGCCGTTATTCGGCTAAATTGTTGGAAGGCTGTCTTAATAAAGAATTATTTTGAATTTTGCACACTTTATAACAGCAAAAGATTTTAATTTATACGGAATTCAAATATTTATGGAAAAAAGTAGTGCAAAATCTAGCTGTTACTTTTTTTTTTTCTTTTTTATTTTTTTGAACTAACTAGAAGTGCGGCAATTTAGTTATTATACATGCTGCCTGCCCATTGGATATTTTTTTTTTTTTTTTTTTTTTACAAATTTTTATAAATGGTAAAATCTAGCTGTCAAAATTGCAGTAGTGACACTATAATTAAAAAAAGAAAATAAAAAGAAAAAAATATCTGATCTTTTCTAATTTTCTATATTATTGCATAAACATAAACATAAAAATAAAAATAAAAATAAAATAAAATAAAATAACGGAAAATAAAGTCAAAATATTTTTTTTGTTAAACAAATTAAGTGAAAAGACTTTATTCAAGTTTGTTAAGAGAGAAAGCGGTTTAATATAGAATCATACCAAAAGAAAATGTTAAAGATTATCATTTCAGGCTTTTTAAAGAAAGAAGATGGATCGTCGGAAGTCAAAATCTGCCCAATAAATTTAACCTCATATTAGACTGGAACAACATCTATAAACGGGTAATGAATTTTATTAAAGAAGCGCGCTAGTATAAAAAGAAGTAAGGATAGAGATGAGGAAGAAAAGGAAACTAATTTTTTTTTTTTTGATATAAAAACATATATACTATCTTTTCTTCTTATATTTATTATGGTTAAAGTAACTGTTTGTGGAGCCTCTGGTGGCATTGGCCAACCTCTTTCAACATTGTTAAAGCAATCTAATCTTATTTCTCATCTTGCTCTGTATGATATTGTAAATGCACATGGTGTTGCAGCAGACCTTAGGTAAAATACGAAACAGTATTTTTTTTCTTTTCGAAAGAAATTAACGTTATTGTTGGTTTTTTATTAGTCATATTGATACGAGTAGTAAAGTTACAGGCCATGTTGGTCCTCTTGAATTGGAAGAAGCAATAAGAGATGCTGATATCGGTAAATTTTTTATATTCTTTTTTTTTTAGTAATATAGAATATTAAACCTATTATTATTATTATTTAGTTGTTATTCCAGCAGGTGTTCCTCGAAAACCTGGTATGTCTCGAGATGACCTTTTCAAAATTAATGCAGGAATAGTAAGAGACCTCGCAGTAGCTGCTGCTAATTATGCCCCTAACGCCCTTATATGTATTATTTCCAATCCTGTCAATTCTAATGTTCCCATTGTTTCAGAAGTCTTTAAAAAGTATAATGTTTATGACCCACGCAAAATTTTGGTGTAACGACCTTAGATCTTGTTCGCTCCTCTACTTTTTTAGCTGAGCTTTTAGAAGCTAGCCCTAGACACGTAAATGTACCTGTCGTTGGTGGTCATAGTGGTGTTACGATTATCCCTTTAGTGTCTCAGGTGCCTGGTACTGAAAATCTGACAGACCAAGAAATTGAAACCCTTACAAGACGTATTCAATTTGCTGGTGATGAAGTTGTGAAAGCTAAGAATGGAGCTGGTAGTGCAACATTATCAATGGCATATGCAGGTGCACGTTTCACCCTTAATTTGATTGAGTCTGTCTTCCACGGTGTGAATCGTATTGAATGTGCTTACGTAAATCTTCAAGCTGATCCACAGGGTGCTCAATCAGTACGTCGTATTGCAGATGAAGAAATCGAGTATTTTTCAGTCCCAATTGAGTTTGGACGTAATGGAGTTCAACGTATCTTACCAATTGGTAAAATATCTAAATATGAATACAAGTTATTGAAATCAGCAGTACCTGAACTCAAAAGTAATATTGTGAAAGGTGTTTCTTTTATTACCGATGATTCCAAATTATAGAATTATAGCATCAAGATGTACATTTATTTTTATGCATTACCTCTTCTTTTTTTCCTCTCTAAAATATTGTTTATATATTTATATATTTATACATACATGAAAATTTGTATGTACATAATAACCCCTCCACTTTATCCTTTTTCATCTTTAAAACTTTTAGTATCGTTTAATTATTTATTGTAAATATTTTTGTACCAATTTAAAAGAAATATACATATATATAAATTGCTTTATTATATAAACCTTTCTTTTTTACGCTAGACCCTAAAATAGTGCTGAAGTAATATATAGATCGCATGGAGACATGGTTACAAATTACTATCTCTTATCATATTTAAATCCCGAACTCTAATAATGCGTTGTTTCAAATTTGATCAGCATTCAACCAATATTGTAAACAGAATTATCGATCTCTCCTTTTTTCAGTATTTTGTTTAGTCTTTCATGTAAAGGGTACGCATATTTAGTTTTAAAGTATCTTAATTGACTAAATATATTATTTGATATAATATCTATTATTTTGTTTGAATACGAATGCTTTCTAATGAATAAATTTAGGAGGATGTCTTATTTATAAATCGTATTTAGATGTTATAAAAGAACTTATTTTATTGGATAAGTACTGCAGATGTTATGACTTGTAATGAATAAAGATGTATACTCAGGCCTTCCTTATCACTAAATACATAATCCATTTCTTTTTCTTCTTCTTACTTTATAAGTCTTGCATTATTAATGTTTGTCACTCTTATTAAAACTCTTGTAGCAGATATATTTTCAAAGATATTCCATAGTTTAGCTGTAATAACAATTCAAATAATCACAAACCTCTGATAGTCTGGTTAAAAGAATCAAAAACAAAGTTTAAACTACATTCCTAGCTTTTTTCAAAACTCTGCTGCCATATTATTTCTGTAATATTTTATATACTCAGAATAAAGCTTCTTAAGTTTCTGAAGTTTTTTTTTTTTTTTTTTTTTTTTTTTTTTTCCTCTAAAATAACCTCTTCCATAAAGGAAACACTATATCTGCATCAAGTCAATTTTGGTGACAGTAATGTTGGTTAGTTTCTACAGCTATACTACTAGTTTTACATGCTTAGTTGGTATAGTATTTGTATTATATGTTAACTTATTTGAATTTTCGGATTGTAAAGGTAAACACAAGTTATATTGTGCCCTAATGGTTACCTTTTAAGTGTTTCATTACTGTACTATATTTATTCTGTTGTTTTGGACTTTTTTATATTCAGGACCTATAAGGCATCTAATATATGGTTCCTTACATTTAAATTTTGATAATGCATCTATTCGATATAGTTGATTTAAACAGAGCGAAGAGGCCTATTCTTCTCTACATTTATTCATAACTATTCTGTATCGTGAAGATTAAGGTAATATAAGATACATCATATTGAAACACATTACTCGGTACATTTTTTTTTTTTACGACCTTTAAATGTTAAATATATCTAAATTATATTTATACACTCAAATCATTCTCTCCGATATGTATTATATAATTTGATGATTCATTATAAAAATATTTCAATTCTGACTAATATCTGTAGAATGCCTTGGAAATAAATACAAAACTAGGACTTATAGATATTCGAATCAAATAGAAATAATATTCCTAATCTATCAAAAGCTGAAATGATTTACTCTTAAGAAATAAAGCTTCCCCTTTCAATCATGTATAATCAAATACTATCAAAGAGGGAATAATTCATTTTGTTCATTGTAAACCATTCTTTCCTATAACAAAGACGATATCTTCTTTTATATATAGTCATAATATCAATTTTGTTTTAGTAGGGATGGAGCTGCAGAAATCAAATACTACTACAGATAACCATTTCGGTAGTTTAATTTACCGACATTTTTCTGGCGTCTTATAATGTAGTGGAGTGCTTTTTTCTTTTTTCGCTTTCCATTTTTTTTTTTTTTTTCCTTTAATTATTATTATTATTATTCTTTTTTATTTTATTCCAGTACAATCTTTGTTTTAAAACAAAACAAAACCAATATTTAGATTTATTTATTCAAACGACGAGATTATATATAAAAAAAAAAGGATCTATAAACAAAAGGGAAATAAAACCAACTTGAAGATCAACTTTTTTATATATTTACAAGTTTACTTTATAAAAAAGAAGAAATGACTTTCTTATTAAGATCAAAGACAAATAATGAAACAGATGGTAAAAAGCACAGGTAAATATAATCAGATCTTTATGTGATCCTGTACAAAACATGTCTTCTCATCCATCTAAACTTTAGAAATTGGATAAATCAAATGTTCTCAAGTTATCAAATACCTTTAGATTTAGATAAAGATAATGTGGATCCCATTAGTGGGAATACTATTCGTATCCAATCTCGCTGTTTAGGAACAGCTTCTATTATTCCTTTAACTCAATCATCTTTTCATTTGAATGCCTTGTTTTATGAAATCGCTGATTCTGAAATATCTGAAATCGCATTTGACAAAAAGTCGCCAAGTAGTTGCAGTAGTAGTAGTAGTAGTAGTAGTAGTAGTAGTAGCAGTAGTGGTATTAGTAACGGTAGCAGTGATGATGTTTTATTGTCTTCTGTATTGATGACAACAAATAATGATGAAAGTCCATTCATCCCTTCCTCTTCTTCTCCTCCGCCTCCTGTTGTCATTTTGGATTCTGAAAAGTCACCCATGGCATTACCACCAAAGAAACGAAAAAGACGCCGAGTAATACGCTATGAAGTCATATTTTGCTTGCTGGAAGAAGGTCCATCACCATCTCATATTGAAGAAAACAGTATTGATTTATCAAGACAATATTATCTATTTCCTCGAGAGGCTATAGTAGAGTCGATAAATGAAACCCCGCCCTTAGAGGTAAAACATTCATAAAATTTTATTTTAGTGATCATATTAGAGTGAAGAAAGATGTATAAACATATAAATAAATATTTATTTATATATTTATTTATATTTATATAGGCTATTATTTCCTTTCATATGCCAAAAGAAGCACATTCTTTATCGTATGCTTCTAAATTAGAAGAATTTGCATCTGTATGTGCAACTAATATACCCGTTGTTCGTCAAAGAAGACGGTTTACTGATCCTGGATTACACGTTAGTTCTTTTCTAAGTAGCATGAAATCAAGACCAACTTCAGAAAATAGTAACATAGCTAATATACGATTATCTGGTGTTTCAAAGGTCTTGTATGTCGCATTAAAACAAACAGTTTTAAACTTTGAAACAATGTATGGAAAGATGATTGAATTGATGAAATTACATAATCAACAAATATCAGCGCAAAAATTGGATTTATTAGATGATATTGTAGATGAAGAAGATTTAAAATTTACAAATATGATTGCACATAGTTACTTAAGGAGAAGAAAGAGCCGCTACTATAGTAGTGATGAAGAAGAGGAAGATGATGATGATTATGGTAATATTTACAATTGTATTCTTTTTTTTTTTTTTGCACACTATATCTTATCCTATACAATGACATAGTTGAAAATGAAATGAAAGCAGAAGATGATGAGGACATAACAATAGAGCAACAAGAAGTTAGCTTCCATCCTTTTAACAAACATGCAAGGAATGATGAAGATGATTTATCAACAAAATATTCAAGATCTAATAATAACAACACGAATGGATTTGTAAAGAAATGTTTATATTGTGGTTCTAAAAGTACACCCATGTGGCGTCGTGGGCCTCAGGGCGCTGGTACGCTCTGTAATGCTTGCGGTGTTAAATGGAAACATGGCAAAATACTATGTGGTAAAGATACAATAACATCTACAGTAACCAATAGCAAAAAAAAGAAGAAAAATAAACAAAAGTATAATAAAAGAGAAAAGCCTAAAAAGATGAATAGCAGTAGTACAACGACAGAAGATATGGATTATATCCCCTCAAATAAAGATTATTTCAATCAGCCATCCAGCACAACGTCGTCATTACCTATCAATCTTCATCAAAGAAGACATACAACAGATATGTCTCTTGTAGACAAGTTTGGAATTGTGAACAATACATATGCATTGACTACTGCTGGAGTAGATGCAGTAGAGGCTGCTGCTGTCTTGACTTTATTAAAAAGAAGTTAAAAAGTTGTAAATAATAGCTGTCATATTTTATTATATATTTATAAAGAAAAAAAAAAAGAAATAAAGTTCCATTTATTTATATAAAATATATATATATGTGTGTGTGCTTTTTTTTTCCTTCTTTTTTTCTTTAACCAGATCCACCAGAAAACTTTTTACCAAACATAATTAATTGAAGTTGATCATAACCAGACAATACACCTGCACCAGCAATAGCACGAAGGATATTAGCACCAGCACCCTTGAAAAGAGATTTAACACCTTCCTTGGCTACAATTTCACGGAATGCATGAAGAGAAGAATCATATTTGATAGCAGCACCAGAAGTCATCATCATACGACGACGAACTGTATCAATTGGATAAGAAGCTAAAATTTATAATAAATAAATAAATATAGAGAATTCATATCAGTATATATATATATATATATATATATTACCAAGGCCAGCACCAGTAGTAACAGCCCAACCAAGCAAGAAAGTAGCGATAAAAGAAGATTGAAGTGTACTTGGCATAATAGGCTTAATCGAATCATACATACCAAAATAAAGACCACGATAAACAATAATACCTACACATGAGATATTAAAGCCACGATATAAACCAGCAACACCATCTGATTTCAATGTCTTTTTATAAACATCAATTAGGCCATTAAATTGACGTTCACCCCCTTTCTTGGCAGATTTAGCATCATTAGCTAATCTTGTACGAGCATAATCTAATGAGTAGACAAACAAGAGAGAGGCAGCACCAGCCAAACCACCTGAGGCTAAATTACCGGCAAACCAAGCCCAATATCCATCGCTCTTGTTGCGATTAAACATACGCTTGAATTTATCTTTGAAGGCAAAATTAAGGGCTTGTGTAGGGAAATAACGAATGACGTTAGCTGTATTTCCTCTCCAAAGAGAAATAAAGCCCTCATCTTTAATGGTACGCGCAAAGCAATCACTGATACCTCTATAAGGGGTCGAGAGACGGCCTTGTTTGATCATTTCATCTTGATTTTGTATGAGAAGTTTTATACGTTCGATAGGAGCTGCTGCAGTCTTGGAAACAGCGGCAGAGACACCTCCCATAAGGAAGTCCTATTATCAAGGCATGATGTTTAATCAATGGAGTCACTTTTTACATCGTCTTTATTTATACTTACAACGATAAACTTGTTTTGATCAAAAGAGCTACTCATTTTTGTTCTCTAAATAAAACAAAGAAAGAGGATAAAGAAGGAAGGAAGGAAGAAAAAAGAAAGAAAGAAGGAAGAAAAAAAATAAAGGAGTAAACTTATCTTGATTTTAAGAAATATGACGTTTCATCATCATAATAAAATTTGACCTACTTCTTCGCTTGTTGATTATTCAAATACCGATAAGGGGCAGATCATCTTTCTCAAGAGGCGATTCTCCTTCTATTCATGCCAAGTACCGGAACATCTTTAGTTTCTAAAAATCAAATATGAACATTTCCAAGTTAAAAAGAAATAGTTAGAAATCAGTTAAACGTTCTAAGTCAAAGAAATAATTCATCCTTTTTTTTTTCTTCTTTTTTATAGGCTTGCGTTTACAGAGCGACATATAAAATTAATAAACGGTTTTTTGTCAAAAAAAAAAAAAAAAAAAAAAAAAGCATTAGGTGTCTTTGCATCTATTACAACTTGTGTATATTAAATGACTCTGAAACAAATTATTATATTATGTTGATCTTTATATAAAATATATGGGAAAGGGGAAGCAAAACAAATAATATTTGTGTACACTTGGGGGGTTGGGTTATTTATAGAGAATATTTTGCAATCCGAAAAGAATATAAGCCTTTTGTTTGCTGATTATAGTAAATAATAAACTCTTTGGTTTCTTCATCATTTCAAAGACTATCGTGTCTTAACATTCTTTTTTACAGTCATGTTTTGCGGCATTATTTATATAAAAGTTAAGATAGTACGGCAGTGTGAGGATATCATAATAGTGATAATTGACTCTATTAGCACTAGGCAAAATAGATGTTATACAATCAAGTTGAGAAGTCTAGTTGTTGTATGTAAATAAGGTGTTAACCTATATTTTAGAAGATGAACTGAAAAGTTTATCTATTTCTTAAGGTGATTTTAAAAACTTCAAATAGCTTTGAGGAATACTAAAATACAATGTAAGGCTTTATCTAAGTACATATTGCTTCTGCATAACTGCATAATTTTTTTTTTTGATTATCAATGGCTCTGCTATAACTTCGTTCATTAATTGTTGCATATATTAACAAACAATATTTAGGTTTTAAGATTTGGATAAGGAACACGTAATCCTAATCTATACTGAGCATCATATTTAATGCAATAAAGCTAAAACTTTAACGTTATTATTATGTAATAAGTTTTTTTATTATATTATATCTGAATGATTATCAGATCTTTTTTTTTTATCTAACATTACTCTTATATCGTTTGTCTTTTACTATGTAAGCTTTATTGTATATATATATATATATTTTACAAAAGAACAATATATTTATATTTTAGTTTAGACAATACACAATTTACATATTCTAAAAAGATAACTAGTCAATTAAATTATAATTTGAAAACTGAATAATAGACCTAAAATGGTCATATAACTGGTCAATTGATATAAATACTTTATGGTAAAATAAACCATAAGAGGGAAAGCTGCTAAGAATCGCTGATTGCTATTAAAGAAGCTTGAAACCTATCTAATTATAACAGTATCTACTTATAGGTGTATATATATTATATCTTCTATTGATTACATGCCTTAATATGGGCAATAGAAACTATTAAATATTATTAATAAATACTATCATACAATAAGATACATATTTTCTTTTCTTTTTTTCAAAGAAAAAGGTTAGCATTAGTTAATAGCATTAAACTTCCCATACCCTTATCTATAATAGTAAGAAGAAGTAATATTTAAAAACACTTATTTACTTGTATAAATTATGCTAAATAATAATTAATAGCATTATGACCGATAAATATTTTGAGATGAAAGGGCTTGAAGATGGTTGAAAGAAGAACATAATGCTTGACTGTGCTGTAAAGAGTTTTTTTTTATTTATGAACATATTGCTGATTTTAAATGATTTGACAAAAATAATTCTCCATAATTAATTTCAATTGGCTGTAAGAAATAAAAAGAGTCTGAACTTAAAGTATTACAAAATGTTGTCAATTTAAGACATTTGAATTGTGCTTTGAAACTATAATGTCTTGTGAATCAAACAAATATAAACATACATTTTAAACAAATACAAAACATACGTATAAATTATGAAAGTGTAACATCTCTTGTTTATTTCTCTCTTTTTTTTTTTTTTCCTTTCCTTTCATTTTTTTATTTTTTTTTTAATTTTTTTTTCCAACAAATATGTTTATCGATAACCTTCCATTAGAGCTTGAGTTACTTATATTTAAAGACATTTCCAAAACAAGCATGTTACAATGTCTTCTTGTATGCAAAACTTGGCATAGAGTACTGGCTCCATTTTGTTTTAATCAAGTTACCTTATCACGGAAGCACGCTCAATTTGTCGCCATGTTAAGTAAACCACGATCTAATTACCAAAAGTACACACAAAAAATAATCCTTAAATGTCGTAAATCAAATCTCATGAGCATAGACGACTTTTCAAGGCTGTTTTCATTTTTGCCTCATCTAATAGAAATTGAATTTCAAGGTAGAAGTTATCTTGAATGGTTCTTGCAAAATATTATTCACACTGATTCAAATAATTTAAAGGGTGTTAAACGAATCAGCATCAACGATTCATTGTCCATAAGTAAACATCTGAAACTATTATATCTTGATGCAAATCTTCGATTATGCGATTCGATTACCTATTTATCTTTAGGACCTTGTATCTTTAAAAAGCAGCATGAATTGATCGATTATGTATCAAAATTCAAACAATTAAAAGAACTTCATTTACGCAATACATGCCGTCTGATGGACTTTATTGATATCTTATCAGCTTGCCCTCTTTTACATACATTTAGCTTTAATTGTATTTATTCAATTGAAGATAATTCTCAAAGCTGTTCTGATTTGCCCTTTGAAAGAACTATTATGGAAACTGCTTATCCAATTCACTTGAGAAATTTAAAATTGTCCATGAATGGTTTAAAAACTTCTTGTCTTGAATATATCGCATTTTATCTTCCTAAACAATTAACAAACCTTAAAATCGATACTTTAGAATCATCATTGACTCCTATGTTTGAGAAATATCCAATAACGCTTGTCTATGAATTCTTAAACCGTCTGGGTAAAATTGAAAACGTTGAGTTGTATTCTAGTTATCATGAATTTGACCTCTTAACCACAATTCTACGCTACGGACGTGTTCCTCTTATGACTCTGGATTCGCTAAGGATAATTAATTCTGTAGAATTCATATTTAATATATTCAGTAGTCTATGTAATACCATCGATAATCATTGTAGGACTCATATTGAATATATGTGGGATTACAAACTTTACAATGATGTTCCAGAGCCTCGTTTCTTCAAGTCTGAGTCATACAACAAACTCAGTATCCGTCTTCCTGCTGGAAAACGAGGACATAATATACTTAATTCTGGAGAGACTATGGAGAGATACTTGCAAGATCAATATAATCTATTTGTCATATGCAATAATAAACAACGTCCTTTATTGAGTAAAGTAAAATTCTTTACACTTCTTTCTCCAATTCATAACGATTTCAACTTTATTTACGATGATATCTTTGAAGTAACAGAACCTACCTCGGTTTTCCTGGATACGTATTTAACTTATCTGTTAGATAACTGTCCTCAATTGAAATATGTCGCTATTGTACATGGTGGAAATGGTCGCCGTGGTCTATGTGAGAGTCTTGTGATGGGACCTATCCCTAAACATGATATAATGTCTCATTTATCAACCAACAGCTATTACAGAAAGCAATGGATAAAAGAAGAAAAAAGAAATAAAAGGATGCAAATGATGACAACAGAAGAAGCCCTACGATATGCTTCATTTGAAAACTTTCATATCACTAAACGTATCTTAAAGATGATGACCGAAAGACTTCCTAATATAGAGCATATTTTATTAAGGGACTGTGTCTTTAGCTTTGATCAACAAGAGAACAAAATAGAAATTGATCTTCAAGGATTCAAAAATTTAAAATCGTTCACAACAAGCCTTCTATATCTCAAGTTGAACACAATACACATCATTCATATCTTAGTCAGGAAGATCATTCACGACAATGATAAGGAAGTAAAAAGTACTATGGATCGATGTTATCAAGTAGATTTGGATACAAATTTAAATATAATAGTTGAATCATCACTTCAGGAGATTGAAGCAATCCGAGATACAGAAGAATTTTTATTAATTCAAATAAACGTACCTTTGCAATTGAATATGAACTTAGGAATGAAAAGAGACACGGTACAAGATGACTATTATTTTGTTTTGTAATTATTATTATATCATATTTTATATTCTTACAATAAAGAAAAGAAAAGAAAAGAAACATACTTCTTGCATATGAATTTATTCTATATACAGTTTAAGAAATAAATTTATCTAATTCTTCTAATGAAGGAAATTTGTTTTCAAAATCATCTACTGAAGGCTCATGATTATTATTGGCTTTTTGAGTGGAACGAAATCTGGCAGGCTTTGGTGGTGGAGCGGGTTTAGTCTTTTTATTCACGATTGGAGGTGTATTATTATTTCGAGTAGCATTCTTAATGGCCATGAAACGTGCTTCAATACTTGAAGAGACATTTTTGTTTATTTTAGGCATTATGCTATCATCATCCTTGTCGTTATCATTAACTGATTTCTTGTTAATTATTTTGTTAGTAGATACTGTTGGCCTAGGCTCTTTCACCTCTTCCTTCTCTTTTATCTTTTCCTCTTGCATATTGAGGACAGGTTTAACAGGTTGTGTATGTATTACTTTGGCGGTGGTGGCGTTGGCGTTGGCGGTGGCGGTGGTTGCCTTCTTCTTCATTGGTTTAGGGCTAGGGTTAGGGTTATCATTATTGGATAGTGGTGCACTATGTACTCGAGATGGAGGAGAAGATGTTTGTTTATTAAACGATGTAAAGCTATTTTGAAAAGATTCTGGCAAGGTAGTGGCTGTTGATTGTACAGGAGATGGAGTAGAAGAAGTATGATTATTTGGATCAAATGGATCAAATGTACTTGAATTTTGTTCCTTTGTCGACGTAGGTCTTCCTCTTCTCATAGGTTTAATATTAGGTACTTCTTGTGCTGGAGAAGGCATTTTTTCAAATATAGATGAATTTGTAACTGGAGACATGGATGATGATGATGATGATGATGTTTGCTTACCAAAAGGAGGCGTAATAATAGGTTCAGTATAAATCTATATATATATATATGTATATAGTTAGTAGTATATTCATATAATGGTACATAATTAAACCTTACATCTCGAATCGGACATTCTACTCCTCTTAAATGGCATACAGTTCTTAATACTTGATATATATTAGGTCTGAGGTTTTGATCTTCTTGTAACATAGAAATAATTAAATGACGTAAACCTTCAGTAAATATAGGTGTGTTGGGTATAGTATAACGAGCATTTAAAATAGCTAACTGGCCTTCTTCTTCAAAAGGGGTTGTATAATAGCATAGCTTATATAGTAAAACTCCCATTGCCCAAATATCTGCCTTTTCGTTAATGGGTCTCTTTTGATAGATATCAATCATTTCTGGTGCACGATACTGTAATGTTGTATGACGTTGAATATCTTCTTCTATCTTTTGTATATCTTTTATTGTAGTTGGTATATAATTTCCTTTTGAAAGTGAAGCAGAACCAAAATCACACAGCTTATAATGATGATCATTTAAGATTAAAATATTCTCAATTTTTAAATCTCGATGCAAGACGGGTGGATTACAATAATGTAAATAAGCTAGTGCCTAAATATAACTCAAGTTATTAAAGTGCTAATCTATAAAGTTGCCTAACTTACCTCTGCTACATCGCTAAATATCTTCAATATTTCAGGTTCTGTTAGCCTTTGTTGTAATCTTCTATTCATCAAATCAATGACGCCACCACCTAAATGATCATATGAATAAATATACAAATAAATTTACTTTTCCCTATTGGGGTTTTACCAGGACAATACTCCATTAAAATAAAGGCTTCAAATCCGCCTACAGGTAGCGCGTCTATTCTTGATTCATAATATCTAACAATGTTTTTATGGTCCCTTAATTTTGTCTATTATAATCCAATTAGTAACTAAATAAGTGTAAAATTAGGATAATAAACATACCATAAATGCAATTTCCTTCTCAACCATCTTTAATCTTTCGCTATCAGGAACCACTACTCTTTTTAAAACTACATATCCTGTTTTGCCTTCAATTCGAGCAATATAAACATGTGCAAATCCACCTAAATTGTAATCTTAGCAAATTTGTTTTTTTTTTCTATAAAATTGAACATCTCATTATCACCTTCTGCTATAAAATTATGTACAATAACTTGATATTTTCCAACTTGAATTCGAGTTCCAGGAGGCATAGCACCTGGAGGTAGAGGAGGAGAATTAGAAGTATCAATTCCAACAGGTACTGGGGGTAGAGTCTGTCCTATTCCTTGTTGTTCGGGTATTCGTGATTGTCTTGTTCCTTTTTGCATTACTATTTTTGGTTTATAGTGGAAAAAGGGAAAAAAAGGAAAAAAAGGGAAAACAATAAAAAAAGACTTTCGGACATACAAAATAGTATTTAAACTTGAGTTAATAACTATTTTCAATACATATTTTTTTCATTGAAAATAACACTGTTGTATTGCCCGAGTCAGATAAAAAAAAAACAAAGAAATTAAAAAGCTGTTTGATAGTCAAAAGGAGGAAAGAGAAAGAAGTGAAGAGAAATAGAGAACAGTATTGTCAGATACTAGATTATCTACTGCATAACTATTTGATGAAGACAGTACCAAGAGAAGGAGGAATCTTACTATGGTGAAGATGATCAGGTTCGAAGAGTATGCTACATATTGTAGATCAACAAATAATACAAATAGAAGCAAAGGAGCTATTTTGTACGATAGGTGGCTTTCTACATCTACTAGGAAGGTGGTTGAGTAGAAAAGACAAAGGATCAGTTACGGAGCTAGATGTTTGTATATTTAGACAGATAGTAGCATAGGAACAAGTGAAATCATCGTTTGTGATGAAAGATACAAGGTTTTTGGATATCACTAAGTAACTAACTGAGGCTCGAGTGTAGAGCACGACTACGTTCATCTCTAATCATAAATATCCAAAGAATAAGATCAATGGTGGGGTGTTGGACAACAAGTGGATAAAAGAAACGAATAAGATGAATGGAATTATTTATTAAACTATTTATCTAGGATATTTTATCAAAAAGGATTAAAAGGTGCAACGATCAATATTATCAGTATCGAGTGCACATAATTGCCATGGTGGTTATTTAGAAAGTTTGTATCATTGAGCGTTATTAGCGTTTTTTTCTTTTTTTTTAATGTATATTATTTCCAGATAGAATTATTTGTAAGTTTGAAGCACATTTTATACATAAGGGCTTGTACCAAATATATGAAACATCAAGAAATTATTTACATTCATTTTCCTTGAATAGGTTAATCTAGTATTCAATTTGAACAGATACATTATTAAAAAGAGAGAAAATGCTTCACTGTTAATAGTGTGAGTTACAAGAGGTACATTGCTAAAAAAAAAACTATTGCATTATGTGCAATTATTTTAAATACCGCAGTAGCACCTATATCTCTTTTGTTATAATTATTGTTGTTATTTTTTTTATATATACATATTTATATGGATCGTAAAAAACGTCCAAGGAAACGATCATCTCATGTTTCTCAAAAATCAGAAAAAAGAATTGACTTTGTTTCTTTTTTGTTTTCAAAGGAATTAGTCTTGAGAGTATTTAGTTTTTTATCTTCTCAGGATCTAATCACCTGTACTGTAGTCAGTCATAACTGGTCTCGCATAGCTAATGACGAAATGGTAATAATATAATAAATATAGAATAAACATATGTATATATAATGTATACTCATAATAATGAAACAGTTATGGAAACCTTTATTCTATAGAAAATTTCAAAACTTATTTTTATTAAAGGAAACAAGAAAATATTACTATGATCCAGTGATAAGATATAGAGGAAGTTGGAAAACAAAATATAGAATTCATCATAACTGGTTATACGGTAAATATGTAAATACATATGATAATAAATATATGCTAATAATACATGTATGTAGGCAATTGTCAAATTAGAGATGTTACTAATGTATTCCATACTTCACCAAATGTTCATCAATACTTTCAATTCACTCATGACATTATATTTACAGCTCAAAGTGATTCTTCTATAATTAAGGTTTGGAGATACAATAATAATGAAAAGGATAATTTCTTTAAATTACTTGGTCAAATACAATCACTTGAGGTACAACAAGAAGATATCTTTATTACTTACCTTAAACTGACAACAACAGAAAAACAATATTTAATAGCAGGCTATTCAAATGGTGGATTTACTATATGGGAGTTTTCAACAAATGATGTTATGGCTATAATTAATAATACTCTTGTTGATGAGATACATGAATTAATTACTTATTTTCCTACAAGTAATCAAAATAAAGTCAAGTCAATAGGTATGGTTTATCCGATGATTGTAGTTTATACAGAAAATAAGAAGCTTTCCATCTTTCATTTCAATAATGATACATTAAAACTTATTGATCAGCTACAAAGCGCTGTTGATTGGCAACCGGTAATAATTAATATTTACCCAATCTCGAATCATGATTATAAAAAACTATGGAAAGTTGTTTTATGTTTTGGCTTATTATCTGGAGAAGGGAATTATACATCAACCGCTGTTGGCATTCAAGTAAGGAATATACAAATACTATTTCATACTTTATAATATTTATTACGTAATATTAGGAAATTATTTTATCTACTCATTCTATTCTATTTTCAAGACAAGGATTCAGTATTCATTCAGAACCGAATGTATCTTCATATTCTTCTAATTACAACCATAATACAGCATCTAAACAGCTGATCACATCTATGGCTTATACACCTCCTTATATCATTACAGCCCATCCGAATAACACTATGAAACAATACCTTGTTACTTCAGACAATAATAATCAGTTTAGCGTTACATTTCAACAAATCCTTTATGGTCATGCATTTAGAGTTGATGCACTCGCTATATCCGATCAAAAATTAATCAGCGGGGATAGATCAGGCTTAAAAATATGGGATCTTTTTTTATTAAAACAAGAAGATTTTGTTACAGTGAACCATTATAAAGAACAATCCAACATGAATGAGCTTCCAGAATGTCAAATTGAATCACTAAATTTTGATGAAGATAAAATTATGGCCATTATTAATTTGCCTAACCATGAATCTTCGTTTATTCGATTGTGGTCATTTAAATAAAATGCATGTTATAGATTACATATTCAAAAAAAAAAAAAAAAAAAAAAAAAAAAAAAAAAAAGATGACTAATATTGAAATTGCTGCTGGATAAGAAAAATTAGTAATTTCCCCACACATTATTTTTTTTTCTTTTTGCTTTTTTTTTTTTTTTACTTTTGTTTTATATTTGAATAGTATATAATGGACATCAAATCTATGTTTTCCGTACAAGATAAAATTGTACTTGTTACTGGAGGGTCCCGTGGTATTGGTGAAATGATTGCCACAGTGAGTTAAAGGTTTTAATAGTATGTAATAATTTTTCATATAATAATATACATTTAGGGTTTTGTTCAAGGTGGAGCCAAAGTATATATTAGTAGTCGTTCAGCAAATGTTTGTAATGAGGTAATATTAATTCTAATTAAGATAATACTCAATAAATAACTATTTTATTTCATAAGGTTGCTGCCAAATTAACTGCTCTAGGTCCTGGTCAATGTATCGCCATACCTGCCGATTTGCAAAGCGTTGATGATATTAAAAAGCTTGTGAATGAATTAAGCAAACATGAAAATCGTAAAGTGTTACTCTTGAAAAAAAATAATGATATATATTTATAAACTAACTTCCTTAATCTTATTAAATTCAAATATATACATACATACATACATACATCTACATAGATCTGGATATTCTTGTTAATAATGCAGGTGCTACTTGGGGTGCTCCACTTGATACTTATCCTGATGCTGCTTTTCAAAAGGTTATGAATCTTAATGTTACTCGTATTTTTACTTTGACACAAGCGTAAATTGATATGTAATTCTATTTTAAATATCAAATATGTTAACTTTTCACTATTATATCTGTATTTTTAGATGCCTTCCCCTTTTGAGAGCAAAGGCTAACAAGGATTCTCCTTCTAGAGTTATTAATATTGGTTCAATTAATGGTGAATCGGTAAATTACTCTTGTCTTAAAAAAAAAATAAAAAAAAAAAAATTGACACATATAAATAGCCTCCTGGTTTAGAAACTTATGCATATTCTGCTTCCAAAGCAGCTATTCACCATTTGACACGTCATTTAGCCGGTAGATTAGGAAAAGAACATATTTTAGTGAATGCTATTGCACCTGGTTCATTTCCTTCAAAGATGATGGCTGCTACTTTAAAAGAACGTGGAGAACAAATTGTGAGCGCAGTTCCAGTTGGACGTATAGGTACACCTGAAGATGTTGCTGGTACTTGTATCTATCTTGCTTCCCGCGCTGGTCAATATACAGTCGGTGCTGTAATTGTTGTAGATGGTGGTGCTCTTGTATCTTCTTCTCACTTGTAAATTATATATTTTACAATAGAGTATTGGAAACATCCATATGAATAAAAATCAAATGATTTTCAATATATTCAAAGCTTATCTGTTTGATACTTTAGAAACACGCTTATGATATATACTGAATTTATGTATGCATAATATCTAAAAAAAAAAAAAAAAAAAAAAAAAAAAAAAAAAATGAAAAATAAAAAAATTGTAGGACGCTTTGTAATAAAGTCCTCCAATAATTGAGTATACTTCCGTACGTATTTCTTATGCAGAATATTTCCACATACTATTGTTGTCTTTCTTACACACAAACACACAATAGAACAACTTCTCCTTTGTAAATAAAATGAAAATTCTAGGCAATATTACTAGTTATCATATAGTGTATCGTATTAGAAATAACTTACAAACGTTTCTATTCCATACACATATATTGATATGTCTTCTTCGAGATTATTACAAGGCAGTTAAAAAATGTCATTGCTAGATAATTTTATTTTAAATACATGTATATATCATTTACTTATAAGCTGTGTATGCTATATAAATGTGAACAGGGAATTATAGTAAAGCCTTAAATAGATATAGAACATTCTGCTAAATAACTTCCTTTTTGTTTTTCAAGTAAATAAAATTTGAATGACCCTTATGGGCATACAATATCCGAAATATTATCCAAATCAATTTAAAGCAGAAAAAAAGAAAAGAAAAGATGACATACGATAGACTATAAAGCAAACAAGTCAAGTTGCAGGATAAACAATTAAGTAATGTATATCCAAAAGTTTATTATGAGTATATGTTGGATAAAATTATATCAACTTAATGGATAATAAAATAGTTTATTCAATAAAAGCATACAAAATAGCATTTCTATTCGACAGGTGATTAACATAAAACTCATTTATAGAAAATATAATATAGATCGATTAATATAGAGACTATTATGTGAAAATGTTATAATTTGTTTATTTACTAATAATTAAAAGACTACGAAGAATTTTGGATATAATGTATCTGACACTGTAATAGTATTATTTATATGAGACTTATTTATTCATGTTGTCATTTTTTTTTTATTATTGCGTTTTCCGATTTATTTGAAATATGGATTCGATTTTTTTGAAACACAAATTCAAGTTATTTGATATAGAAATTCAATTTATTTGCAAAGATAAACGTAATCAATTGAAAAAAAAATTAACGTCAAGTTAAACAAATAGATATCCATTTACTTTCTAAAGATACTATAACCACATATTTTTTTCACTCAAAGAATAAAACCGACTGCCTAATAATACAGTTGGAACTGTTTTATGCGTTCCGTATGTAATTATTCAGTATCAAAAGGGTTTGTTTTGGCCTTATATTTTAAAATAATTACAACAGATAACATTTAATATATCAAAGCCTGCTTATAAAAACTGCAAAATTTTTATTTTTATCGCCTTTTCTTTCTTTTTTTTCTCTACCTATTATTGCTATCATAGTATGAAACGTAAAAGGAAATCACCACCCTGACCCTAAGGAAGAGGGGGGTCACTCTTCCAAAAAGAGGTATGTAACAGAATAGGGAAAGTATTACTTAATAGTATGCACACTCATGATGTCTTTGTAATAGCGAGTAAAACTCTTCCCCGACCTGCTACTACTATTACCAACTATGATGAACTCCTAGAAGTCTCTGACAATGATTTCCAACCACAAATAAAGCTTTGCAAGAGAACAAGTAAGTTTCATTATATTGAATTAATAAAGTAAAAACCGATAAAATGTAAATTAAGGTGGAGAAAACTTATCATTCAAGAAATTATAAAGAT